CATGAGAAGCTCAAAGACATGTTTGAGAAGATACTTCATCGTCCAAAGGAGTCTGATATGTTCACCAACGTACTCTGATTGTAATATCCTTCTCTCTCTCTGCTTATCCCATTCTCAGACTCTCTAGGCGTTTATATTAAGTTATAACTTTGGAACGATGTGTAGTTTTCTATTTCGATTTCGTCTAATCAATGAAGATAGGTGTATTACTATTCTCTATGGCAAATCTTTTAGCTTGAAAGATGCTTTTGCAGGGAAGAAGTGAAACTTCTGAAATTTTTACAATGACACTTACTACAGGAGAGGAAGGACAAAAAGAACCAAAACCGTGGCTAAGAACATTCTTGAAGATTGAGGCTGCAACTTTGGTGAGTCTCCTGTATCAATCATCACAGGGAACTCACAAAGCTCATCAGAAGGATCTTCCTCTGTGACCAAACCCAACCCCAAGAAGTCACAGTCCCAGGTTTTCTGATCATGCATCTGATAATACATGTTAAACGCATACGAAGCATTACCATTGCCGCTAAGATGGTTGCAGGAGGAACCAAACCCAAGCGCTGTGCAATCAGACAAGCTACAAGCGTAGTCAACATTATCAGCCAAGTCATCGAGGCTAAACGCGTTGGGATCAAGAACACACCAAGATTTAGGCAGATACTTCACATTCTCCACTGGAGCCAGAGCAATGTCCTTACCTTTCCCGGACAAATCTAGCTCGTATTTCGGTCTACCATCAAACTCAAAGATGCCCCAGTGCCTCTCGAACGTCCCCGGAGCAATACTCTTGGCGTCTTCATCGACGAGACTGAAAAGGTAAACATCGATAACCACTCCTTTCCTCGCAGGCGTTCCGTTGCCAGACATGGCATGCTTGACAATTCCTTGGTTGAATCTCTTTGCACTCTTTGAATTAGCGTTCTTGTCTCCATCCGTAGGCCATCCGACTTCTCCAACGATGATCTTCATCCCCAAGAAGCTGTATCTTTCCATTGCGCAAACTAGAGTGTCGAGATTCGCATCGAACACGTTGCTGTAAACCAAATTCCCATCTCTCAGAGTCTTGTTCGTTCCATCGAAGAAGGCGAAATCTAAAGGGAAGTAAGCGTTTCCGTAAAGACTAAGAAAAGGGTAGATGTTGACTGTGAAAGGAGAGTCATGAGAATACAAGAAATTGATTATCTCGATCGTTGCGTCTCTAAGCTCAGGCCTGAAGTCTCCAGCTGATGGAACAGGGTTCGATTCCGGCGAGAAGTAAATGTCTGCGTTGAAAGGAACCGTGACTTTCACAGTTTTGAGACCAGCTTCCTCTAACGCTCGCTGTATGTTGACGAGAGCTGGTAAAGTGGACTCAACGTAGGTTCCGTTATACGTCTGAAGGAAAGGCTCGTTGCCTACGGCTATGTACTTGATGTTGACTCCACCGTGGTAGGAGTAAGCGGTGACGTTCTCTTCGACCCACGAAGCTGCTACGTCTGGATCTCGAGCGACTTCTTTGAGCAGCCGGTTTGGTATTCCGATCATGACTTCGATCTCTGAACCGACTAGAGCGTCTAGGATGTTTTGGTCGGCTTCGAAGAGTTTCAGCTTGGTGAAGCCGTTGTCTTTTAGCATCTTCACCACGTTTTGAGGTGGAAGCTGGTGGCTCGCCATTGTTCCCCAGTTCACTCCAACACTGCTGGAGACAATTGAGACTTGTGAGACAAGAAAGAGACAGAGAATGTGATGAGAAACGAAGTTGTTCATAACTAATCTTGATCTCTCTTCTGCCATTTTTTTTCTCTCCTTTGTTCCTTCTTAGGTGAATATTTTTCTCTGTATAGTCTTGTCTAAATTTTTGTGGTATAAAAGGTAGAAGAAGAAAACTGATTGGATCTTGAGATTTGTCCTTGTAGTTCAGTTAAAGAATACAGACACAACATGCAAAAGAGCCATTGGTTTTGTGGGAAAACACTTTGTGCATGCCTATTTGACAATCCACGTGGCATTGACCACACCACATATTACTATTTTTTTCTCTCTCTCTTTTTGCTTGTATCAAAGTTAAAATCATATGACATAGTTCCTTCAAAACCATTGAACATAAAAACAAGGTCACTTATCTATAAAACTTCTTCGGTTTCTTCGGTTCGGTTTCTTTGGTTCTTGAGTTTTTAGCTGTACGCTGCACACACCGAGCAAGAAGACCAAGGATAAAATGACGCTTCCTGGTTAGATATGGTTAGGATTTGAGCTGCTTTGCAAATACTGGAGATAACTTGTGGAGCAAGACTTGGAGATATTACACACCTTGCTCCACAAGTCAACTCCAATTGCAAATGTCTTTTCTTGCAATGAAAAGATCGATTAATGTTGTCAGAGATATCTTGTTTCGCTCAATTATGTTACCTTCTTTACAGCATCTGGTGGAGAGGAATTGCAAGACAACATGCATCCAGCTGAGGAATATCGATCTGATTCCATATATTGTTCAGATAGCCATAAGAGTGATCATTGCCTAGTGTAGTCATATTGTTCTTGTAGGAGAGGGTAAAATGAGTGAATTGAAACTTAAATCTGGTGCTCTTCATAGTCGATCCATTTTTCACTTGTTTGTTATATAGCAAGCTCAGTGTTGAACACAATCAAAATCTTTTTCTTTTCAATGTTCTGCAAAATCGAACTACCAACTCAGTAAAAAAATATAAACAAAACGCCACATTGAGAGAGCCTTGCCACAAATATTTATATGAAAAGCATTGATTAATCTGATTTAGTTTTCTGTTACATATAGTTTGTAAGCACGACAAAAAAAAATACTTTGTAATCTATTTTTATTTGAGAAAATTACCTAAACTAGCACTAATTCAACAGTTTATAACTAGTCCAACACCCATTCAATAATTTTAACTAAAAACAGTATAAAAAGACCGTTAAACCATTCTAGTGGCCTTTTATTACATGATGCCATTGTTATAAGGAATTATATTTTAAATTAAACAAACTAAATTAAACTTTAATTAATTAACAAAACCCTTTTTTCTTACCAAAAATTTGGTTTGTTTCTGTCGCTATATATGGCTCAGGGATATCGAATTTGTCGAGTTTGAAGATATTGAGACTACTAAGCTTCACAATTGTGGCTAACTATGAGCTTATTGGAGGAGCTGAAATGCTTGGAAGACTTGGAAGTTCTGACCATAGAGATCACATCAAGTTCGGTATTGGAACAACTCTTATGCTCTCAGAGATTGGTGAGATGTCTTTAAAAGGTATCTATAAAGTACCTCGACGAAGATCTCCGTGAAGTTTTCATAGGAGGATGTGGAGTGAGAGAGATAGTGATAGAAAGCAACACAAATCTGAAGACAAGTCCATGTTTTTTAAGCTATCCAAAGTTTTGATAACTGCTTGTGATGGTCTTAAGGATTTGACGAATGATCCGTTTGAAGCTTCTGTACCCTGCATTATCCTTCCCCTCTCTATTCTCTAACTGTCATCCTCATGACCCTCTATTTTTTTGTACTATACTCTCTTGTTTTGTTATGTTTTGAAGTTTATATTGAATCGTATTTGCATGATACATATAATCTTGTGAAGTTGTTGATTTGTCCTATAACATATATATTTTGTTATCAATATTGTAATGTAACTAGAGAGGATCAGATCATGAGATTAAGCCACTAATCTACAGCTCCGTATATTACAATATTGTAATGTAACTAAACAGGGTCGGATGAAGCCACTAATCTACAACCTTGTATTACTAGATGAGATTAAGCCACTAACCATGAATTATGGTCAGACTAACTAAAACAGGATCGGACCACATGGTTGGTATGTTTATTACTCATGTACTGATTTTTCTACGATATATGAAACTGTAAACTACGGAGCTTCATTAAGTCAGATGTTTGGTTAACCATTCGAAATCGAAATTTGATATGATTAGTTTAATCTAAAATCGAAATGTTTGTGGACCATTAGAAAATAAATCTGTGTTTAAAGGTAACAAACTTTTCGCTTAAGTTTGTGGTTTAAATAAGTAAATCTATAGTTTGTCAAAGTTAGCTAAGGGGGTGTTATTCAATTATGTATTTAAAATCAATTCTATAGGTTTTATAATTTTTTAGAATTCAAAAGTTTTGTCTTATTTTACAATCCATTTGAGTTGATTCTAAAATCTCTACAATATCTCATGAATTCTGTTTTTAAATACAAAATCAATCTGTGGTCTAAAGGAAAATTAAATCTGTAGAAACTAAATAAGTTTATGAAAACTAAGTAAGTCTGTGTTCAAAGAAAATTAAATCTATGAAAACTAAATAAGTCTATGAAAACTAACAAAGTTTGTGACCTACAGAAATTAAATCTGTATAAACTAAATAAATCTGTCAAAATCAATTAAGTATGTGCCCAAAAGAAACTAAATCTATAGAAATTTAATAACTCTATCAAAATTAACCAAGTCTGTGGCTAAAAGAAAAATAGTCTATAAATCCATAAATAAGTCTGTCAAAATTAACAAATCTATGTCTAAACAAAAATAAGTCTATACAAAAAGAGTCTATTGTGTATGTAAATAAATCTGTGGTTTAAAAAAAAATATTTATATATATACATAATGACATTTTTGTAATTCAAGTTTTTGTTAATTAACAAATGATTTAGGGGTAAAATAGGTATAAAAAACTATTAGTAATAAAATAAAAATAAGAATTATTCTAGTAATTAAACAATGAATCAGGGCCAAATTAACTTTTTACTTGAATGGCCAACTAAAACTTTCTAAAATTAAACAGCTTATGGATAAAATCCATAAGTTTACTTGGTTCGTGTTTGTGTTTAAACTTAGTTAAGACCATAAACAGCTTATGGATTAAAATAAAGAAAACAAGGTTTTCCAAAAAAAAAAAAAAAACACTAAATACTATGGTAATGTACTCCAAAAAAATGATCCAAACACAAAAGTGATCATTTTTATAGTATTGATTACTTTAGAAATGATCCTAAATCCAAAAATGAACACATTGACAATTTTCGTGTTGGTTATTGCTATGTGTGTTGGGTTAAATGAAGCTGGTTGCGCACATAATCGTGTAGAAATTCATAACCAACTTGGTCCTGGTGAATATCTTGAAATTTCATGCGGTGGACCTACACGTACAGTAATGCACACCCTGCAATTCAATGATCCTCCACTAGTCATCACGTTCCATGATGTTGGTTGGCCGCATATAACAAAATGGAAATGCCAACTTATGCACGGGTTTAACCTGGCTACTTATTATGATGTTCAAGTATATCGTTCAGTCAGCGCAATCAAGAAATGTGGCCAATTTCGTTCGTGGATCGCTAAACCTGATGGAATTTGGTTTACAAGAGATCATCGAAAACCAGCTGGAAAAGCACTTGACTGGAAGAAACGCTAAGTAACCTTTTTCGAGAAAATGGTTAATATGTGGCAAAATATTTGTAATCATGTGTTCATTTGTACTAATGTCTATGTTATGTTCATCTAAGAGACTTGTTAGATCTTTTAGATCTACGGAGAGTCCTGAGATGGTTTGTCAATATATTTATGCTTTGATCTTTAGATCTCAGCCGTCTTGGTTTTGATGAAAATGCAATTGATTGATGCTTATTACTGGATCTTGAAAATCCAATTTAATTTCAAGAATCTCCATTTGGGATTGGAAAATGTTCTAATTGCTATGCTTTTTCTTGATAGTTTAAATCTCATTAAAAAAGATATGAGTTTTTAAGGGCTGCTGGTCCAAGGTCCTCCAAACAAAACAGTTTCCGTCGCTTCCCACCCGTTCTTTTCAACTCTGTTGATTACCCCCCAATGTAACTAATTGTTGTCGGGAACCCTAACACTTCAATTGACACGTAATTCACCTAAAAGCGCGGTTACGGAACAACGATTCCCAGATTAGAACTTGATTGCGCCACGTTAACCCGACCCATAATCTAGTCTCTTAAATCCGATACTCGACAACAAAACAAAATAAACCTTGACATGTTTTTTTAATGTTATACAGATTCTAAAATTAGTCCTTGCTCAATGTTGTTACTCAATAAAAATTAAAAAATCAAAATATGTGACTTTAATATAGTGGAACCGAAAAATCTTTGAGACTTTATTTATTTATTCATGTTTTATGTTTGAGACATTTTTATGTTGAAATTTTCCCATATAATTTATAACAATTTCTTTATAGTTTTAGGGTCCTGAATTTTCGAAATACTTACAAAAGGGTCCTAAATGTTAATATCTTGTATATTTGGTACATATTTTTATTTGTTTGCACAAGGCCCAATATTTGATTGGACCGGGCCTTAACAATAAATGAAAAGAAAAAAAAGTCGCAAACATGCTAATTGACAAATTATCGCACTAATGAACAAGCTAAAAAAATGTTTTAGTTCATATTAGCAAAAAAAGTTTTAATTTCATCCGATTATTAAAAAAATATAAAAAAAAGACAGAAACCTGACATCACGGGGAGTGGGAATTCGTGTCCTTTGTGTGTACTTTCGTCTTCTGGCGGGAAGCTACTCTCTCCGCTGAACAAAGGAATTTAGAAAGACGACGCCGAAAAAGCCCTAGACACACGTGTGGTGAGAGCACGATTCCTTCTCTGTAACAGTACGAAACGACAACGAGGATGCATCGGATTGCCACCAGAAACGCCGTCGTTTCCTTCGCGTTCCTCTTCCACTCGCCATTTCGCAGTTACTCTTCCTTCAATCCCTCGCCACTTCTACTGTAAGCTCAATTCTTCTTCTCCTTTGTCATAAGATTCCAAAGTTTCGATTTTTATACACATGAATAAGCTCCTATAAATTTTGAAATATTGGATTTCAAATTTTCCAGAATTTTGAATCGAGGGCTTTTGATTTTGTGATTTAGGAGTAATGCCCAGATGATAATTTCTTGATAGAAATGAAAAGTTGTCGACATTTTTTTAGTAATTGTTAAGGTTCTTGTTGCTAATTCCTAACAGAGTCCTTTGTGAAATTTGTCTTGATAAAGTGGTAATACAAGGTACTCTGAGAGGAGATACTGTGTTGGAGATCGAAAGTCTGTGAAAGGAATCACTACGGCGGCTAAGAAATTTAAGAAGTCTAATGATGTTCTAAGTGACAAAGATCTCTCTCATTTGGTCTGGTGGAAAGAGGTAAAGGCTTTTGTTCAAAGACTTTTATATGGTTCCACTATATAAAAAGTAAAGACTTTGTTTCACATATCTTCCTTGAACACTTTTTTTTTTAACAGAGATTGCAGAAATGTAAGAAACCATCTACTCTTCAACTTATTGAAAGGCTCATGTTCACTAATCTAATGGGTCTTGACCCCAGCCTGAGGAATGGGAGGTTTGTTCTCATCTAAAACTATTAGAAAATCTCAACCTTTAACCCTTTTTGAGTTTGGTTGTCAAATGATAAAGTAACTTGCATTTCTTAGTATATGACTTTGAGACTAAAATTCTTCCTTGTTGATGGATTTCTTTCATTTCAGCTTAAAAGATGGAAACCTTAACTTGGAGATGTTGCAGTTTAAGTCAAGGTTTCCACGCGAAATTTTGCTCTGCAGAGTATGTCAACTTTCTCCCTGATGATATCTTTGTTACTTAACTTTAAGCAAAATGGAAAAGTTCTGTAAACGAGTATATGAGTTTTGTTACTTCAGATATAACAACTAGTAGAGTGTTGCCATTGGAATCTCCTGTTATGAACAGTTTTGCTGCAATCATTCTTTCTTTTCAGGTCGGAGACTTCTATGAGGCTATTGGCATAGATGCTTGTATACTTGTTGAGTATGCTGGTTTAAATCCTTTCGGTGGTCTTCGTTCAGATAGTGTTCCAAAGGCTGGCTGCCCAGTTGTGGTACAAAATCTTTTTTTTTTCCCTTAATTTCAAGCTTTTGATGTGAATGGACTCAAGTGTACATATTGTTTATACAATAAAATAATGTCCAGTTTCTTGTTGCATGGTCTCAATATGCACATAGACATATATCACATTTACTGAATCTTTTATTTTGTTTAAGGATGGTTGTGAAGCTATTTTTACTGTGGAGGAAGAACTTGTGTTAATTACATGAAACTACGTTTTTGGTGCCTTTTGTTGGATAGTAAACAAAAGTTGGTGTAGATAAACTGGACCACTGCTGCATTTTATCATTCTTACACGCTTTCCTTCTGATCATCTCCATTATTGTCTACAAATGATTATTTCTGTGTTCTTGATCCAGTTTTTAATTCTTTGTTCTTTCTGCAGAATCTTCGACAGACTTTAGATGACCTAACACGAAACGGTTTTTCAGTGGTGAGTTGAGAAAGAAAATTTTCTTACCATTTTCTCATCCTTAAGCATGTTGAATTAAATCAACTCTATGTGACATTTGTTGCATGGTTTTTTCGTCACTGTAGTGTATTGTGGAGGAAGTTCAGGGGCCAACACCAGCTCGCTCTCGTAAAGGTCGATTTATTTCAGGGTATGTAATCCAAATATCTCATTTTCCTATTACTTAGCAAGAAAAACTGAAACTTTGGTTCCCTCGAAATTCAGCTTTCTGACATGTATTTGTAAGTATCTAGGCATGCTCATCCAGGGAGTCCTTATGTATATGGGCTCGTTGGTGTTGACCACGATCTTGACTTCCCGGAGCCAATGCCTGTTGTTGGTAAGTATGTCATTTGCTATGTTGTTAGTCACTGAAGTAATGAAGATCCTTTTTGTTTGTATATAAGTATTACATCATGGCTTGCTTTGTTTTGTAATCACAGGGATATCTCGTTCAGCAAGGGGTTATTGCATGATATCTATTTTCGAAACTATGAAAGCATATTCGCTAGATGATTGTCTAACAGAAGAGGCATTGGTCACAAAACTCCGCACCTGTCGCTGCCATCATCTATTCTTACATGTGTCATTGAGGCACAATGCATCAGGTTTAGCATATTATCTACAATTCTACTTTGTATTAGCGTCTCTATGGGCACTGTGCCATTTTATCCTCACATTAAGATAAGCAGTTTTCACATGAAATGTAGCATATGATCTAGCAATCAGTTTAGAGTGTCAAAAGACTTATTATAAGAAAAATAAAGTCATGATTTTGTCAGGTTAGTTAACTTTTGAGCTTTATGGTCTTCTTTGATACAATTCTTGAAAATATTACTATGCAGGGACATGTCGCTGGGGAGAGTTTGGGGAAGGGGGTCTACTCTGGGGAGAATGCAGTGGCAAGAATTTCGAATGGTTTGAAGGAGATGCTCTTTCCGAGCTCTTGTCGAAGGTCATAACTACAGAATTTGGCTGCTGATAATTTACTTGTGACATTTCAGTATGGTGAGAAAACAACTATTTGCTTTTCTTCGCTGCAGGTAAAAGATGTTTATGGTCTTGATGATGAAGTTTCCTTTAGAAATGTCAATGTACCTTTAGAGAATCGGCCACGTCCATTGCATCTTGGAACGGCTACACAAATTGGTTGGCATTGGTCTTTTTGGTGAACAGTGTTTGACTAAAGCAGTCTAGGAGTTTTAAACCATGCTAATATATATGTGTTGTCGTCTTGCAGGTGCCTTACCTACTGAAGGAATACCTTGTTTGTTGAAGGTGTTACTTCCATCTACGTGCAGTGGTCTGCCTTCTTTGTAAGCAAATATTTATTGAAACAGAAAGGAAAAGATTAGTTACATTCTCCAGTCCAAAGCATCATGTTTCTGATTTTTGTTTCCTCTTCTTCGTTCTATTCCTTTATCCTTTCAGGTATGTCCGAGATCTTCTTCTAAACCCTCCTGCTTATGATATTGCTCTGAAAATTCAAGGTAATTTGACTAATGTGGAAAGTTTTCTTTAGTTTATTCCCGTTTTGGTTTCCTTATGATTAAGGCTCATTCTGCCTGCCGAAACTATTGTTGTTCCAGAAACATGCAAGCTCATGAGCACAGTTACATGCTCGATTCCGGAGTTTACATGTGTTTCTTCTGCTAAGGTTTAAGTGACTGCTTATAGAACTTTTATGTTTTGAAGTGACACTTGTTATGAATGCCGGTTTGATGAGTAGTTTATGTTCAGCTTCTTAACATCTGTATACATCTTTGTGCAGCTTGTGAAGCTTCTTGAACAAAGGGAAGCCAACTACATTGAGTTCTGCAGAATAAAAAATGTGCTTGATGAAGTATTGCATATGCATAGACATCCTGAGCTTGTGGAAATCCTCAAGTTATTGATGGAACCTACCTGGGTGGCTACTGGTTTGAAGATTGACTTTGAAACTTTTGTAAGTTTATGCATTTTAACTTGAGTCTGAGTTTGTCTTTGTATGCATGCTTTGTTTTCTTATCCATTTTCCTTGACACATTCTCAGAGAATAAGCGCTTAATCTAGTACTACCAGTTTCTTGTTTCATCAGCTGATGAATATGAGTATAAGTTGAAAGTTTTCTGTTTCTTGCCAGGTCAACGAATGTCACTGGGCCTCTGATTCGATCGGTGAAATGATCTCTCTAGATGACGATGAAAGTCATCAGAATGTTAGTAGATGTGATAATGTCCCAAACGAGTTCTTTTATGATATGGAGTCTTCATGGAGAGGTCGCATCAAGGGAATCCATATAGAGAAAGAAATCACTCAAGTGGAAAAATCAGCCGAGGCTTTATCTTTAGCAGTAAGTATATGGTATTATTTGTTGTTTAATCGTTTATGGTGCTTGTGATATTTTCTGACTCTCAAGAAACAAAACATCCGGTGTAGGTAACTGAGGATTTTCATCCAATTGTAACAAGAATAAAGGCCATCTCCTCATCACTTGGTGGTCCAAAGGGCGAAATTGCGTATTCAAGAGAAAATGAGTCTGTTTGGTTCAAAGGGAAACGGTTTACTCCATCTATTTGGGGTGGTACTGCAGGGGAAGAGCAGATTAAACAGCTGAAACCTGCTTTAGATTCCAAAGGGAAAAAAGTCGGAGAAGAATGGTTTACGACTCATAAAGTCGAAGCTGCTTTAGTCAGGTTTTGTCTCTCCCCCTCTATAAAAAACTCTTCATTCAATATTACTGTTTCTTCTACGTATTGATATCATCTTGTTCCTTTTGTTGCAGGTATCATGAAGCTAGTGAGAACGCAAATACCCGGGTTTTGGAGCTGTTGAGGGAGTTATCTGTTAAACTGCAAACAAAAATAAACGTTCTCGTCTTTGCATCTATGCTTCTCGTCATTGCAAAAGCATTATTTGCTCATGCTTGGTACGTTCTTTGCTATATCCACTCCCATTAAGAAAGATTCATTTTCTATAGTTTTAATGTAAGGACTGTCCACAAACTGCTGCAGCGAAGGAAGGAGACGAAAGTGGGTTTTTCCAACTCTTGTTGGATACAATACAGATGAGGTAACTCTGCTTATCTCAAGTCTTTAGGTCTTTTGCTTGTGCTCTCTTGTTCTTATATCTCATGTTTTTGATAATGTAGAGCGCAAAACCATTACATGGTGCTGCTCCAATGAAGCTCACGGGGTTATCACCTTATTGGTTTGATATAGCTTCTGGCACTGCTGTTCAAAACACCGTCGACATGCAGTCACTGTTTCTTCTAACTGGACCTAACGGTGGTGGTAAATCGAGTTTGCTCAGGTCGATTTGCGCGGCTGCTCTGCTTGGGATATGCGGTTTTATGGTTCCAGCTGAATCAGCTTGTATCCCTCACTTTGATTCCATCATGCTGCACATGAAGTCTTACGACAGCCCTGTGGATGGGAAAAGCTCTTTCCAGGTGGAAATGTCGGAGATACGGTCTATTCTGAGCCAGGCTACTTGGAGAAGCCTAGTGCTTATAGATGAGATTTGCAGAGGGACAGAGACAGCTAAAGGGACTTGTATTGCTGGGAGTGTGATAGAGAGTCTTGACACAAGTGGTTGTTTGGGGATTGTGTCTACACATCTCCATGGGATCTTTAGTTTACCTCTTACAGCTAAAAACATCGCATACAAAGCAATGGGAGCAGAGAATGTGGAAGGGGAGACGAAGCCAACTTGGAAACTGACGGATGGTGTCTGCAGAGAGAGTCTTGCGTTTGAGACAGCTAAGAGAGAGGGTGTTCCAGAGACAGTCATACAGAGAGCAGAAGCTCTTTACCTCTCTGTTTGTGCAAAAGAAGCATCTTCTGGAGTTTGTGTCAGGCCCATCAAGACCGAGACTTCAAGCTCTGAGAGAAGTTCACAGAATGACTTGGCAAAAGCTATCGTTAAAATCTGTGGGAAGAAGATGATTGAGCCTGTAGCTTTAGCAATCGGTGCTCGAGAGCTTCCACCTCCATCGACAGTTGGTTCCTCATGCGTGTATGTGATGCTCAGACCTGATAAGAGACTCTACATTGGACAGGTATGTACATACTTTACCATATCACTTCACTATTAGCAAGTCTTGTTTTTGATTTGTGTTATGTAACGTTTATGGTACTGCAGACGGATGATCTTGAAGGACGAATACGTTCACATAGGGCAAAGGAAGGACTGCAAGGATCAAGTTTCTTATACCTTGTGGTGCAAGGCAAGAGCATGGCTTGTCAGCTAGAGACTCTTTTGATTAACCAGCTCCATGAACAAGGCTACTCTCTAGCTAACTTAGCCGATGGGAAGCACCGCAATTTTGGGACGTCTTCAAGCTTGGCTTCTTCGTCGGATGTAGTCAGTATCTCCTAGTTTCAACTTTAGCTTTCCCTTTAGTATAATCATCTCTCTTTGGGGGTAGAATTAGAGTAGAGTAGATTACTGCTGGATTACTACTAAGTAGAGTTAGAGTGAAAAAAAAACTGCATGCCGTTTTACTTTTTGAGGGTTTTTTGAGATTGTGTAAACGGCATTTTGAATCGGCTGTTGAAGAAAACGTTTTTACCAACCAAGTGAAGAGAACATTTGAGCTCTCAGGCCCTCTTCTCTATGAAATCAAAAATTAATGAAGAGAACATTTGAGTTTAAGTGAGCTAAATATTACCATAAACAATTGACTCGTTGAAAGACGAAAGATCAAAGACTATCCAAGTCATATGCATTAGAAAAAGTTAGCCAAATGCATTCTCTCACCGCAATAATATTAACCGATCAAAGACTATCAAGTTTTTCTTTCTGTTATTTCATAGTTTTCTTTTAAACTTTAGAGTACGTAACGATCACCATCAATGGTATACAAATATACAATAGTGTGATAATAAAATAAAACAAGATTATTTGCTTTGCAATAAGATACCTTTGCTCCATGAATGATGAAACCAATGTTCCTTCCTCTAACCACCTCACAAATTTCTCTGACCAATAGTAAGGCCAAACGATGTTCATCCCCATGAAATCCTTAAAGAGAGGCCAAGTCATTGATTTCTCTTTGTTCTCAATAACTCTCTGATATTTAGCTTTGCCATGACATCTTACACTTAAACGTTGTCAAGATCATAATCGTTAGAGGTGGCAACGACACAGGAAATAAGCTCATCAACCATTTGGAAATAAGTTAGATCATCACAATCCTTGATTTTGTTTTTTTCGGTTTTGTCAAGTTTAACCGTGTAGAAGTTATACAAAGTCGATTTGATATTGTTTACATGATCGAATGTATTAGGGTTTTAGATATGATTAGCAGCTGATAATAATTTTTAATATTTATCCCTTTTGAAAGGGATTATGTTCGGAAATTTTCCCAAAAGAGATGGACAGTTTAATAGTTTTTAGTTTAGTGAGAAAAGTCTTTAATTTTGTTTTTCAATTTAGACATTTTAAATTGAGAGTGAATGAGAGAGCTTCATTCTCCAAAATCACTTCGCATATAATAGTATAGATCATGTTACAAAAAGACAGATAATAATTGCACTTTGTACAATACTTGTTCAAACAGAAATGACACTCTCAACAAATCACAAATTATGGTTGCATAAAAGTCTAAAACTTGACTTTTTCGCCACTCTAACCAACGATTCCACGAAGCTCACATCAATATTGTCAGATCACAAATTTTGGTAATATTCTCTATCAATCATTCTTCATCATTCTTTTTTGCCATTTTTGTGTTGAATTGTGTGTAATTGATTTTATTTTTCAGGTCTGATACACTAAAGAGCTATGTGAGCTTATGTGATGAGAAAATGCCACGAAATCTTCCATCTCCCTACCATTTATGGGCATTTCAAGTTGTAAGTAGTCATTCAATTTCTTCTTTCCAAGTGCTTTTTCCATGATTTTTCAATTTTTTTTCCTTGTTTTCAGGACCTATTATGTTCAAGCGTTGATGACACGATCTTATGCTGCTCAGATCTGTGTTCTTGTCAAAGGCAAGTTTTGCTTGCTCTCCAAGACCAGATCAAGCTTCCATGTTGTCAAGAAGGCAATTGAGCTAGCTATATGATGTAAATAACAAAATTTTGTTCTAATTGATAATGTAAAGAACAAAATTTTGTTTCTAATTGATGATGTAAAGAACAAAATTGATAATGTAAAGAACAATATATTTCTAATTGAATTTGTTCTAATTTAAGTCATTAGAACAAAATTGATAATGTAAAGAACAATATATCTCTAATTGATTTTGTTCTAATTTAAGTCATTAGAACAAAATTGATAATGCAACTTTTTAAATCATTAGAAAATCGAAATATAAAGAACAAAATTGACCCGAACTACGTCGTTTCTGTGTTTGTGTTTGTATATTTCTCATTCTCCGACTAAATCGATAATCGAATTTTGATTTTCTCCGATCAATTTTGACCGAATTCGTTCTCCTCTGTATCAAGGAAAACCCCTCCATTGTTCTTCTCTTTTGCTCAACTAACGTAAGCTCATTTCAACATTTTGATTCTGCCTTCATATCTCATAGCTACATTTTGTTTCCCGTCGCTCTTAGTTTATGGAATTCGTTTCAATGGAGTCGTTTGATTAGATTCTGGTACAGATCACTCGCTCGTAATTCATACAAAAGTGATTCGATTTTGATTCCGAGCCTATGATTAGATGGGTGAATCTGTGCCGGGATCGTTCAATTTCTCTTTGATTTCATGCAGTTTTCAGTGTTTTCTAATCTGAATTTTTAAAAAAAGTTTTTAGCTCTGCACATGGATGAGGTTGTGGTAGAAGTGGAGAAGACGAAGAGAGAATGGGAGGAAGCTTACGAGAAGACGATCGGACATGTCTTGGCGATACAAGAGTACGGAAAATCAAAGAGAGGAGACGGAGACGGAGAAGAGAAGATTTCGTTGCAGAGGCTTAACGGATTGGCTCAGGATGGTCTCTCTCTTCTCAATTCTCTGCAATTCAATCTCGATCTTCTCTCGCCGCAGCTCCCTTCTGACGATCAGATCCAGTCCACTCAGTCTCTGCTTGAAACCTGGAAGAATCAGTATCAGAGGTATCTGATTCAAATGATAAGCTTTTGTTTTTTTTTTTTGAAATTTACAACATCGTTGGTTGATCGATTCAGAAGTCGAATGAAGGAACCTCGTTTTTGTATAATCGTTGAGTAATGCAATCTGTAGGGAAAATGATGTGATAGTTGGAGATTGATCTTGGCTTAAGGGTACACTATTCATCAATGTAGTAGTTTGGAAGAAAAAGAGTGAATGATAATCTTTGAAATCTCGTTCAATGCTACATTAGAAGAAGTATGGTTTACATACAGTCTCAGCAGAATTAACATTCTTGTGTTTAATTTGACAAAATCGAGTCTTTGTGGTCAGTTTGAGGGTAAACCTGAGAAGTGCTAATTTGCAAGCAAAGGATAACATGAGGAAAGCTGCTCAATCAGAGGTAGGTCGCATTGGCTTAAGAGCACTCTCCTTTAATATTTTGTATAAAGAGTTAAGAGCGTGTTTACAATGATTGTAGAGAGAGCTTCTCCTCGGTGGTGGAACAGAGTCCACAGTTCTCAGACGTAAACGACAGTATGTGTCTTTTCGAAACTTTGCTACTTCAATCTGTGAAAGAATTGTTCTTTCTTTTGGTTATTGGTTAAAGAAGCACACAGTAAAGTATAGTTCACTGTTTGTTTCCTCTGAATCAAAAAACGTTCTTGGTTGTTTGTAGAGCAAATGCTGGCGTGATTTCGGATTCTGAAAGCTTAACGGAAAGTCTTAGGCGTTCACGGCAGATGTTGGTTCAGGTCAGAGATTGTGCATTTAACATCTTGTTTGCTTGTTTCTGACTAAAACAAGAATTCTCTCTTGACTTTTTTTGGGGTTACAGGAGGTGGAGAGAGGTACAAACACTCTTGGGGTTATTGGTATGTAATCATTCATAGTGTGCCACTATTACTTTGATATGATTTTGAGTGTTTAGACATTAAACTGATGACATATTTCATCCATGTTTTCTATAGATGGATCTAATGAAATACTTAAGAAGGCCGATAGTGAATACAAGGGACACAAGTCTCTGTTGTCGAGGACTCGGAATCTACTTTCTACAATGCAACGTCAAGACGTGATTGAGAGGTACTTTGAGAAAAAGAAAGAATATATTCTGATTACACCAACAACTCTTCCGGTGAATAATGTAAGTAATCTTTTGATGGTATTCAACAGGATAATCCTCATAATTGGATTTGCTCTCTTCGCCATTGTGGTTGCTTACGTTGTTTCGAAGCGCATTGGCATTCTGAGACTGCAACAGATGGCTACTGCTGCCATTAAAGCTCGAATGGCCGGAAAAGCAGGTGCTATGCCTCTTGGACAAGAGTTTGATATTGGAAATACAGTTCCAAATGTTAATGTTCCTCTACAGCAAGGTCTGCACGATGAGCTTTAAAGCTTATTAGAGTCTCAAGTTACTGATATCGGCACTGTTTCAAAAGTACTAATTTTGCTTGTTACATTTGAGTTCATGAATATATCACTTAGGAGTGTTCTCTTCTCTCTATATACATGTAAACACTCTGTTCCTTCTCTGATTCAGAGTGAGAATTTATATAGTTTCCTTTCTTCCTTTGAGTTTTGATTAACTGGAATAGAAGTTACAATTTTCATTTTTTTATTTCATATGCAAACAAAAGAGTTGGTAAAAAAAGGAACACTCTTGTTGAAGGGCATTTGTCACTTCAAGAAGATAGACTCTTGGGTTAGTTAAATGCGGATTGCTATTTTAGAGACACAAGATTTTAATATTTAGATTTTGTATGGACTATAGTAATTGTCTTAATATTTTTTTAAACGTAATTTGTTCATATAGATCTCGATTATTACGCTGGTTAAATTTATGTTACAATTTCTAGATAGTTTACTTTGATATGATTTAGATATTTGGAAGGTAAGTATGATATTTTCTGTGTTACGAAAATCTTTAGAAATCATTCTCAAAGACCCAAATCACAATTCCACTTCACAAAAGTTATCCAAAGTTTTGATATCAAACTGAAATTTGATACAAACAAAATAATTTAAAATGGTAAATTCAAATCTCAACTAAATCAAAATTAAAATTTTTTTTTTTACTCTATAAAAATTTGATACAAAAAAATCTGAAACAAATCAATGTTAATTTTTTATAAAGTGAATTTATCTCACATAGGGCATGGGAAATCACCTAGTGATTTATTGATTTTTTCAACAACAACACAAAAATGTTGCTACTCGATTTATAGTTTGAAATGTAGCCTAATCTTACAATTTTTAGATGCTAATGGACTTTGAAACAAATAAATCTCTTCTCTGACATTCAAAAGAATCATGTTACAAAAAAACAGATAACAATGACACTTTGTACAATCCTTGCTCAAAAAAAAATGACACTCTAAACAAATCACAAATTATGGTTGCATAGAAGCCTAAAACCGTAATAAGCTCTCCCAGTCGATTTTTGCCGCTCTCATCATGGATTCAACTAAACTCACGTCAATAATCTCTTATCACAATTTTCGCTAATAATTATCTATCATTTCATTCTTCATTGTATGTTTCAGGTTTGATACATTTATTAGCTTTGTGAGCATTTTCGGGTCATTTCAAGTTGTAAGTCTTGTTCATTCATTCATTTTCTTATAACTGCATTTTCCATTCTTTTCAATTTTTTTTTCTTATGTTTTCAGGAACTATTTTGTTCTAATTATGATGACAAATTTACTTTTTGACTCAAGAGTGAGAGCTTATTTAGTGTTCTTTCTTCTTTTAATTTTTGACCACTTGGACTAGAAGTTGCAAAAATTTCATCTTTTATTTCATATGCAACCAAATAGTTGGTAAAGAGAACACTCTTGTTTAAATGCATTTGCAGCTTTTAAGAGCCAAAATCGTTCTGTACCAATTCGATAGGTATTGTATTGCCATTAAAACAGTCTATCAAAATCAACTCTTTTTCAGAAGAATTCAACATAAAGCCTCTAAAGATCAACTGTAATTAGAGGACAACACTTTGGCTTTAAGCTTGTACATAACTTGAAGCTTTTAATCAGTCCTTGGCATTGAGCTTCTCCACGAGAATCTTGTTAAGCAAGGGAGGGTTTGCCTTTCCTTTTGACATCTTCATAACCTGAAGAACAAAGCAACATATGAGTTTGAAATAATTCACAGGGTACAAGGTTTCAAGCAAACACTGGATTGTTTCTGTATGTGTATCTGCCATACCTCGCCAGCAAAATAGCCTTGAAGCTTTGTTTTCCCATTTCTGTACTGCTCAAGCTGCTTTGGATTCTCGGCAATCACCTTCAAAACCATTTTCTCGATCTCTGCAGGATCAGTTATCTGCAGCATGCGACACAAAGAAGCCAAAAAAAAACAGTCTAAATGAAGCTTCAAAATGCACTGCAGGAAAGTAAAATATGTATCTCTCTGGATTAAACCCCTTTATGAAGACAATTTGTGGACTTGCCTGAACCAAGTTTTTAGCCTTTATCATTCCTTGAACAGTTCCACCTTTAGCCAATAGCTCAAACAGTATCTGTAAATGCAAAACGGAATAAATCGCATTGAAGATGATGATGATCCAAATGAAAGATGAATACATTTCTTAGATTGAATTGAATACTGACCTGTTTCCCAATCTTTCCACTAATGGTTCCATCTTTGATTGCAGCTATCAGCGCAGCCAACTCTTTCGGAGTAAGTTTAACATCATTGATAGAAAGTTCCTCATTTTTCAAGTAAGCCGCAATATCGCTCATTAGCCAGTTTGCTGCCAACTTCACTTCAGCACCCTCACCAATGACTGCATCGAAATAATCTGCAACCTAACCCATTCATTCCAACCACAGTTTACTCGTCAAACTGATATGAAAGTTTAACTTCAATACTATCAAGGTCGAGGGAATAGGACTTACACTGGCTTCATTCGCGAGGAAAAGCACATCTTGCATGCCTAAACCCATAGCCTCGTACCTCCTACGCTTTGCTTCAGGTAGTTCCGGTAAAGTAGCACGGATGCTGTCAACGTAATCTTGGGTGAGGATCACTTCTGGAAGATCTGGTTCTGGAAAGTAGCGGTAATCAGCAAGCCCTTCCTTTTTCCTCATTGACACTGATTTCTGAACATCTACTCAAAGTTAGTTGCTAATGGAAATAATCAAAGAAAAAAACAGATAAATGAAAGATCTTTTGGCTTAGGGACCTGAGCTCCTTCTTCCCAAAGCCGAGTCTCGGTTACAATCTGGTCTTCTTGCCCCTGATTGTATAGAAGTGCCTGTCTTTTTATCTCAAAGTCTATTGCCCTGCTCATTGCTGAAAACGCATTCAGATTCTTTATCTCCACCTGTACAACAACAACAACAAAAACTCAGCTTGAACTGATCATCCATTCACTGATTAAACAAATGTGAAGCTTCTTGACCTTGGTGCCAAACTCAGCTTGCCCAATGGGACGGATTGAGACATTGACATCGCAGCGAAGAGAGCCTTCTTGCATATTCCCATTACTCACTCCCAAATACCTCACAATCCTCTGCATCTCAGCAGCGTATTCAGCAGCTTCTATACCACTTCTCATATCAGGTTCAGAAACAATCTCAAGCAAAGGCACTCCTGCTCTATTCAAATCCACCTGCCACCACATTAAACCAACCATAAGCTAAAAAGGAAACACCTTTGCAGATTTCACTTAAACCCTTCAAAGAATCTAACTTAAAGTTTCAAACTTTTCCATGCCTGAGAGTAATCTCCGGTGTCTGAATGGAGCAACTTGCCAGCATCTTCTTCCATATGAACCCTAGTGACACCAAATCTCTTGTGTCCACCACCAAACTCAAGAGGAATGTCCACATCCACATAGCCACCAGACGCAATTGGGATATCAAACTGAGAAATCTGATAGCCTTTAGGAAGATCTGGATAAAAGTACTGCTTCCTATCGAATTTGGAACTCAGAGACAAACCGCAATTCAAAGCTAAACCCAATCTAACACCAAATTCAACAACTTTCGAATTCAAAACAGGCAAAGCTCCAGGCAAACCCATACAAACGGGGCAGATGCTCGTGTTTGGCTCCGACCCGTAATTGTTAGGGCAACTGCAAAAGGCCTTTGTGAATGTCGAGAGCTGCACATGAGTCTCTATGCCAATCACGGCTTCGTAGTCTCTCAGAATCTCATCAAGTTTGTTGCTTCCATGGTTTTTCGGTGCGACCCTTGATTGAGAAGGCTGTTTAGCTTCGTGGGTCGTCGTTGTTGTTGCTTGGCTTCCACTACACCTCACGGAGATATTGCTCCTACTTGTTCTTCTTAACAATGCAGTTCCGAGGAGTGTGAAATGGTTTGGTTGAATTGTTCTAAGCAATGCGGTAGACATCTTAACGGAGGATTCTTCTCATCGGCTAACGATAGCTTCGTCTCTCACTCTCTGATTCCGACTTCGGCGGAACGCTCCGGCGGTTGATTTCACCGGGAAATTATGGTGAACTGAGTTTTAATCGGCGACAAGATATCTTCTTTACGGGTGTTGTCATCGTATCATCAAGGCTTATCCACCACAAACTTACATGGGCCGATTTTTGTAATTATAGCCCAATATATTTTTCGAAGCCCAGATTACACTCTTTTGTGTTGTTTTTATGTGTAATTATTGATTGTATCCCTCAACTATTGAGAAATACATAGATTAAACCCTAATATTTTCAATTGTTACTTGAATAACCAATTTCTTTTTTTCTCTATTGTTATTTTCAATTGTTAAGAAAAGAAAAAATGCATGGTGGTAATGGTACAGTTACAACTTATGAATGGTACATATAGTTTTATAATCTATCATATATAGAGTCATTACGTAATAATCTACATATCTTCATTAATTATCTCCAAAAATTAATGTATAGTTTAATTTATGTTTTGAATGGATTCTTCTGATTACAATTTACAAATATAAAGTCTAAAACATTTATCACGTATGGATTAAAATGATTGCAACATAGTGTCAAAACATCCTACTGTTGTATTTTACCATAATCATTTTTAAATTACATTGATTATAATTGAATCCTTTTTTAGTTGTCGAAACAGTATTTATATAACATTTTTTTTTGTTCAAACTTTACTTTTCATTAACTTCTGTTTAACCCCGCAACTACCAAAAAGTCACGGAGTGAATGTTTTGCCAAAACGTCAGCTACAACGTTGTTCTCTCTAGAAATTGAAACGAAAACTATCTCTGTGAAAGAGAGAGCTAGATGAGTGATATCTTGGAGAATTCCGAAGACCTCTGAAGTTTGTCCTCCTGAATTAATCGCCTTGATGATCTGCTGTGAGTCTGAAGCCACATGCAGAGAAGTGAAACCAAGATCGAGGGCGTGTACGAGCGCGTTGCGGATCGCCAAGCCTTCTGCAATCAACGGGGAAGCGATGTTCCTCCTTGCGATTGCTCTCTGAGTAATTAACTGGTTGTTGCTGTGGTGGAAGGTCCAGGCCATTCCTCCTGATTTCTCGAGTTCGTTCCAAGCCCCATCTGTCTGGCAGCGGATAAACCTCGGTGGAATTGGTGCTCTGGTAGATCTGCTCTTCAATTTACCGGTGATCGGCTTCTCTTGGGCTTCCTGCCATTCGCGTGCCCTTATCAGTGCTAGATCTAGGGTTTCTTGAGCCGAGGCGGTTCTGTTGTTGAAGATTCTATTGTTCCTGCTCATCCAGATGCTCCACATGATCCAAGGCGCCAAGGTCCCTGTTCTAAGTCCCATCGGAGGTAAACTAATCAATACATTCAACACCTTGATCCCGGCCTTGAGGTTCATGATTCCACCTGAGGAGATTTGGTTTCGAAACGGGGCCATACTCCAGACTTCTTGTGCTAGATTGCAGTGAAAAAGCATATGAAGTGTGGATTCGGGTCGTCCACAATGGATACAAGCGGCTTGGAAGGTCATTCCTCGGATTGCTAAGTTGTCTCCCACTGGTAACGCTCCTTGAACCGCTTTCCACAAAAAGATTTTTAATTTAGGTGCAAAATTCCCATCCCATACCTCTGTAATCCAGTTAAATTCCGTTGTTGTTGTAGGGAGATTATCTGGGAATTTCCGGGCTCTCGCCGTGTAATATCCGGACTTCACAGAGTACTCTCCTGAATCTTGAGGGAGCCATGCGAGTTTATCCTCTTTGTCAAAGGAGCCAGGGACTATGCAGAGGATTTCTTCTCTGTGTAGAGGTAAGATTTCACTGATTTTCTCTTCATTCCATTCGCCTGAAGCTAGCATTAAGTCCGCTACTTTTAGGTTCTTCGCTAATTCTGGTGCTGGTCCCATAGGTCGTCTAGGCTCTTTAGTCGATAACCAGGGGTCATCCCATACGCATGTTGCTTTTCCATTTCCAATGACTCTTCCCAATTTTTCTTTTAACAGATCTCGCCCTATGGTTATTCCTTTCCAGCCGTGGGATCCTTCAGAAGCTTCGCACTCTAGGAAGCTTGTGTTTGGGAAGTATTTGCCTTTGAGGATCTTTGCTAGTAGGCACTGTTGATTTGAGAGAATGCGCCAGCTTAGTTTACTGAGGAGTGCATCATTAAAACTTTGGATGTCTCGGAGGCCCAAACCACCTTCCCTTTTCCCCAAGGTGAGTTTATCCCAAGCTATCCAGCACATTTTCCTTTTTCCATCGTTTGCGTCCCACCAAAAACAAGTGAGGACTGATTGAATTCTTTGGCATAGCTTGACAGGGAGCTTAAAACAGGACATTGAGTAAGTTGGCATCGAGGAGAGGACTGATTTGAGCATGACCAGCTTCCCAGCGCATGAGAGTTGTTTTGAAGACCAGGAGATTGCTCTTTGTCGTATTCTGTCCACCACGGCGTTAAAAAGATCCTTCTTTTTCCGACCAAAGGCTTCTGGTAGTCCGAGATATTTTCCTTGTCCTCCTTCCTGATTAATTCCCAAGTCTCTCTTAACTCTTCGTTTCACGTATTCTGGTGTCTGCTTTGAGAACGTGATTACTGATTTTTGGCAGCTTATTTTCTGGCCTGATGCTTCCTCATACTTTCGGAGTACTTCTTTAAGAGCTGCACATGTTTTCTCATTAGACTTGCAGAAAAACATCGTGTCATCTGCAAACAGTAAGTGATTCACTTGAGGTCCTCTTGTAGCTATCCTCACTCCTGTAATTTGACCATTTGCTTGTGCTTTGTGACAGAGTCCCGAGAGCACCTCACTGCAGAGAATAAACAAATAAGGAGATAGTGGATCCCCTTGGCGTATTCCTCTGGAGGGCTGTACAAATCCTACTGCTGTGCCATTAATGAGGAATTGGAATGTAACCGAGGTCACACACTGCATGATCCATCCGATCCACTTGGTATGAAAACCCAAACGCTCTAGAACTAGCTTGATAAAATCCCACTCCACTCTATCGTAGGCTTTAGTCATATCAGTCTTTATAGCCATTGCACCTCTCTTCTTTGCTTTTGAAATTTTTAGAAAGTGGAGAATCTCGTGCGTGATCATCACATTGTCCGAAATGGCTCTTCCAGGGACAAAGGCGGATTGGTTTTCGGATACGAGTTCGTTCAGAATCGGATGAAGTCTCGCTGTAAGTATCTTTGAGATAATTTTGTAGTAAACATTGCACAAAAGCAATAGGCCTGTAGTCGGCTACTGACTTTGGAGATGGTTTTTTTGGTATTAGGCAGATGTGGGTTGCGTTAATACCTCGTGGGAGGATTCCAGATGTGAAGAAGAGCTGGACTTCTTGGATTATATCCTTTCCAACCGTTTCCCAGTTTGAGTGAAAGAAGCTTGCTGAGAATCCATCCGGACCCGGTGCTTTGTCCGGATGTATTGAGAAGATTGCGGCACTTACTTCCTCTGGAGTTGGAATCTGTATGAGTTTTGCATTGGTTTCCTCAGATATTTTCGAGGATAGGCTCTGGTTCACCGTTTCCGCTCTATCACCGTTCTCGGAGGTGAACATGTCTGCGAAATAACTGGTAATGACTTTTCCTATGCTCTCTTCCTCATACACAGGTGAACCATTCTCATCTTCAATGACTGAGATATTATTTCTTGCTCTCCTTCCCCTTGTAGCTGCGTGAAAGTATCCACTATTCTTATCCCCCAGGCTGAGCCACATTTGTCTGCTTCTCTGCCTCCAATACTCCTCTTCAGCTTGGTAAGATTCTTTTAACTCTTTGTTGATCTGGAAGATTAGATTATCACTACTAACATTGCTGCTCATTGCCTCTTCTAATTCTTTCCTTTTCATTTCAATCCTTTGTTGACTGTTCCGGTGGTTTTGCCTGTGCCACTGGATTATGGCTCTTCGGCAGTTTGAAATGCGGTGATCAATGTTAGCATTAGGGTAAGTCTTCCAGGCTTTCTCCACGATAAGTTTGACCTCTTCATTATTCCTTAGGCTTCTATCGTATCGGAATAAGCCTTTCCTTTTGTTCTTCGTAGGGTAAAAGAACGTGATGATGGGTCTATGGTCAGAGCCTTCAAAGTGTAGGTATTCACATCTTCCAGATGGGTAAGCTTCTATCCAAGCACTGTTCGCCATTGCTCTATCTAGTCAGCATTTAACATTGTGTTTGTATCTGATTCCCCTCCAAGATAGAAAATTTCCAGTGTGTTTCAAGTCGTAGAGGTCACACGCCGACATGAATGACCTAAAGTCAACAAAAGAGCTCTCTGCTCGGGCTGGACCTCCCACCTTTTCAGAATTGTCAAGGATCTCATTGAAGTCTCTTGTTAAGAACCAAGGTAACTCTCTGCCTTCCGTCTTCGCCATTAGCGTGTTCCACATTTCTTTCCTGTTCGCTTTCTCTGGCTCTCCATAGACGAAAGTAGCCATAAATAGCTTTCCCTGGAAGTGGACTTCAGTATCGATAAAGTTGTCGCATTGAGATAGGACTTTTAGTTCGATTTCCTTTTTCCATAGCAGTGCTAGTCCTCCACCTCCTCTAGTATGCGGCGGCACTAAGGCAATATGATCGTAGTTAAGTTGATTAAGCTCTTTGAGTACAAAGTTGTTTGCGTTTTTCGTCTCCATGAGGAATAAAATGTCAGGAAAATCATTTGACTTTTTGATTTCCTGCAGGCGTCGAATTCTCGGTGGATTCCCCAGCACTCGACAATTCCAACTTACAATCTTTAAGGGAGATGACTGGATGGATCGTGAAAATCCATCCTCTGCTTCGAGATAGCAGGAATTATAGCGCAAGACGGTTGTTTCTTTGATTTTGATGGAACTTTGGACGGTGTCTTCCTTGATGAACTTCCCATGAGCAAACGTCTCTTTGGAGATCCTGTAAGTTGTGGCATTCTCCGTTTCTTTGGTATTGGTGGGGAACTTGGCATAATTTTCTTCTTATTTGGAGGTCTTCCCAGTCTTTTCTTTGCAGGCACTCTAGCTGGTTCCTCTTCAATATGGATATCTGTCAGGACTGGTCCGAGACGCCGCGTGGCCGGGATTCTTTCGTGCATAAGCGGTTCTAATGTCTCCTCTTCAGTTTGTTCGGGGATTTGGTTTTGAGATTTGATTGAGTGTCTGACCATCTGCACTGCCGTATCTTCAAATTCTCCTCTTTCCTCCGCTAGCCTCATTCTCTCTTTTCGAGCTGCACTCTCTGTAGGGTCAGCGCAGTTAGCATACTGAGACATTACTTCCCGTACTTCCTCCCTTGCTTCCGTTAGGGCTGCTACTGGAAGATCAATTATTGGTGTGACTTGGTGGCCGGACTGGTGGTGGTTTCTAGACTGTGAGGATTCTGCCCCAGATCGTCCCGTATTGTTGTGCTGCGGGGTATGTGTGTCTCCACTTCTTCTTTCTCCACTCCTCCTCTCTCTACTTCTTTCGTTCTCCTGCCTTCTTTCTCTTAAAGACTCCTCTCTTTGATCACCACTTCTACTTCTGCTTGTGTTGTCTGCTAGGACCGATGTGGCAATCCTGCGTCCTGTCTCAACCCAACGAGGATTACCACCCTTGTGGAAATCTCGGTGGGAAAGGTTTGAGCGATATCCAGGTTTGTAGCTCGAGAGCCTTTCTCGTTCCCATTGAGAACTAGAGTGTCTTGAATTATTCGACCATCTGTCTTTTTGTAGGTTGTTGTTGTGTTGAGGTTGAAAGTCGCTACTGAGCACGGCTCTTGAGCTCCTCCTCCAGTTCTCCTCCCTGTGAGGTTCTTCTCTTCGGCGTTCAGTGACAGTTCGAGACGTATCCCAGCTGGCTCGAGTAGGTGGAGTTTCAATTCTCCTTGCTGGAGGCGGGGGTATGACTTCCTCCGTTTGCTTCAGAGAGAGGTCAGGGCATTCACTTTCCTCATGGTCGAGCATACCACATTTTACACAATGTTTTTCTAGCTTCTCATAGACTAGAGTTGCTAAAACTTCATCTCCATTAGCAAACTCTAAGGTGTAGGTTTTCAGTAGTGGTAGTAGACCATTGATTTGCACCCTCATCTTTGCATGCGCTTTAGTAATTTCCCAGATTTCAAAGACAGTCTGTTCCCATTGCTGCAGAATAATCATCCAGTGTGCAAAATGGTAAGGTCTGTTGTCCAGTACCAATTGCATATCTTCCTTTGTGGCGAACTGGAATTGAAATTTCCCATGTCCCAGGTCAGCCCCTACTCCTGGTGAGCTGGTTTTCCAGTTTTCCATGAAGAATGGAATGAGTGACCACATTCGTTGGATCTTTGGGTTAGTCACCCTACCTATCAAGGTCAGGGCATGTTTCTTCACCAGATCTGTGTTGTCAAACTCTGGGACTTTGACTCTTCCCAGGCGTGGTGGTTCCGGAGGTTGAGCTAGGCGCTTTCCTTTTTCCGCTTGTGAGTATCTTCTCGTCATTGCAGCCAGAGGCTCTTGAACGACAGAGAGATTGAGAAAGTTTTCAACACCACAAGGGTGAGAGAGTTTTCGAATGGTTTCCCACCGAGAAGGTTTTCTGAGCAAGCCACAGGATCAAGTGTAAACTCAACAAAAATCGTTTAGTGAGTACGTTCTATGAGAGAGATTCAATCCAGGGAAGATTTGAGAGGATTCCATGGAAGAGAAGGCTTACCGGAAAGGATTCAGACGGACCCTCCGACCAAAGTCGGGGGTTGAACCACGGGCTTCCAAAAACCAGACGTGGTATTTTTCAAAAAACCTTCCTTTTTTAGTAAAAACTGGGTGGTTGAGATTTGAGACAATTGACAAACTGTTGGGTAAAGGATGTCTTGGGGGTAGTGCCTGAGAGCGTTTTTCGACTGTTTAAACCTTTAATCGTTTTTTTTGGACAGTATTTATATAACTTAAGGTAGCTATGTTTAGGCCCAACCGGTGATGTTTATTTTTTGTAAACTTGTTTCCACTATATCACAAGAAACTCAAAGTAATGACCATATATATAATTTTCGATCATAAGAAATAGATATAAGCCTTGAAAACTTTTAAAGGTATACTTCATTTTGGAGGTATATAACTATGTAAGCCTTGAAAACTTTTTCGAAGCATCTTATTTTTTTTAACTATATAAACGGACGTTTACGGAGAGAGAGCAAATAGAAACTAGCTAGGGCAACAAATAAGGAGATGTCATAGCCTCACAGGTTGCGCGTCAAGAATTTTACATCAATTTGGAACTTAACGCAAGATATTATTATTTTATTTTCTTCCTTCTACGGAAAAAAAACTGTTTTCTTTTACATTTTAAAGCTTTTTCATATATAATCAGAAAAGATAAAAAAAAAAAGTAAAAAGTTGTCTAGTAAATAATAATATCACCGTTTAATTGGCGCTAACAAATACATTAGATATACTGTAAGTTTTTAAACAAAAATTGTGTGACAATTAAATAAGTGCCGATTGCTATATTTTTTTGTTAAGAAACAGAAGAAAAACCTGAAAAATGTGATTCCTGAGAAGTGGGTTGTGGAAAGCCGGCTGGTCTTTTTTAGTGACGCAGTCTATCAAGTCTCCGTGAGGGCTCTGTTGAATATGTTCATACCCATAAACAACGTCAGTTCCATTGAAACATGTATTTTTAATTAATTAAAATAACTTATAGAAAGTGTTCTTACAGTGATTAACGCTCCAACGGAGGAGATGCATAGAGTGAGAAATAGAATCACTCGCTAATAGGCCCGACATGACTGAAAAACCAAAGTTTAATTATAGTGAATTTAAACGGATCCAGCTGAGTAAATTGACACATAATTTTAGATTATAAAAAAAATCGAGTTGAGACATATATAGAAGAAGATATATTCGTTTTGACTTTGTATCATCATAGTATCTGGAAGATATGTTGGGGTCTCCTACATTATTGTTTTAAAAAACTAAATTATATAATTTGAGATTTTATTATAACATTCGATTTCTTCAGTTTCTCCACTAGAAGAATCTGAAAAGCGGAACTGATGAATAAAACACTTATAAGGCCTCTTTAGTTGTAAAATTCGATCAACTTGTTTTCGAGAAACCCATGAACAGTTTTTCTTTAATTTGTTTTCTTACATATAGTATCATTGCCATTACACGATTGTTTATATATATAATATATCGATAAATAGTTAATTGATTGTGAATTAAATATCATAACAGATTTTAATATATGCAAAACATAAGTAAAATATAAGTAAAATATAAGTGAAATATAAGTGAAATATAAGCAAAATATAAAACAAAAATGAAAAACAAACAAATTGAACGATCTAATGTGACGTTGAGAGGTTTTGTTTACAGGCATCATAAACTTAGCTACCAAATGACTCCGGATGATACTAAAGTTGAATATATCTTTTGTTGTTTAGTGAAAGTGAAGAGATAATGAAATGGTTGAAGTTTTTGTTAAGTGAAGTGAAAAGAGATAATATTTTTGTTGTCAACTCAATTTTTATGGGTACAAATTCAGTTGTTTCGTTTAATTAATCGGGATACTTTTGTATTTTTATCATTAATCATCAAGGTTTGCCTTGCCATGAGCCCGATTGTTTTAACGACTCACTATAAACAAGGAATATTAAGCCTAAACAAATAATCCCACATAAAACATAATTATATAACAACTTTGAATAAATTATATACATATATATATATATATATATTAATTTTTAAATTTAATTAATTAACTAATAATATCAATGACAAATTTGATTAGGTCCATATAGTTTACAAAGGGATCCGATCAATCTCACGAAGTGTTACAACCTGGATTGTGCTGGTTTTATACAAACCAGTCCGACTATCCTTATTGGCGGTGCAATCTCGCCTACGTCCACTTTTGAAGGCCGTCTAACGGAACTCACTATCCAAATCTGGAAGGTTAGACATTTTTTTTTTTGTTACATCCCTCAACTACTGAGAAATGCATAGATAAGACCCTGATATTTTCAATCGTTATTTGAATAAGCAATATCTTTTTTTACTTCTGTTGTTATAAAATTTGTAGGCAGATGGTCAATTGTTGATACACAGAAAAGAAAAAATGCCGTGGTGGTACAATTTCAACTTATGAATGGTACATAGTTTTATAATCTATGATACGGTTCGAGTCATCACGTAGTAATCTACATACATAATAAGTCGTCGATCGTTGGCCAGTGTAAAACAGCAAAAACCTTTCAGTTTCCAAAAATTAAAGTATAGTGTAATTTATGTTTTGGATGGATTCTTCTGATTACAGTTTACAAATATAAAGCCTGAAACATTTGTCACGTATGGATGAAAATGATTGCAACATAGTGTCAAAACATCCTACTGTGTTATTAGGTGTCCTTTTGAAGGTTTTTAATTAAAAAATTTTCCTTAGTTAAAAATTGAGTTAAGTCATAAAATAGAGAAAGTTCATCATTAAGTATTTCTTATGATATAGGAGTAGTCTCTAAGAAGAAAGAAAAAGAATACATATATTAGCATAAGATAATTTTTATTTATTTATTTCATGCATTTATTACAATATTGGAATCGCTAATCATTTGAGAGAAAGGATTTTAATTTATATTACTACTTTTGGCAGCAACATCTCTTAGGAACATTAGGAGAAGGAGAGGAACATTCCCCACCTGAGTAGCGAGCTGTTGTGCAGTCAGATATACATTCATACCATCCGTACCGATCGGTGCAGTCAGCAATGCAATGGTCATAAGAAAACTTTTCTACCTCTGCACATACACAAATCCACACAAAATATTAACCGTAATATATTAATTGTAAGAAAAATATATGAGTCTACTTTTAAAACAGAAACTTTAAAATGTTTCATTATAACCAATCAATATATATATTGAAAAGGTTATAAACATTATAACCAACCAATATATTGAATTTTGCCAAAAGCGAATTTATTGCATATATATATTATCTTTATGACTAATCAATATACAGTATAAGTTAAAAGTCAATCCAATATAAAATATGCAAGGTCAAATCTAGATAGGAAGTATTATGGTATAAAATCGTAACTCCTGATTTTTTGCCACATTAAACTGAAAAGGTGGGATTTTTCTTTGCACTTGGATCACAAATTTTAACTTTGACTAAATGATCACAAATTTATCAGATTTCGTTTATTGAAAATAAATTAAGTTTGACCAAAAATAATAACCATTGATAAAACATATTTATTATTCGTAGATATTATTTATAACTTTGACTAGCGAATGCTGTAACAGGTTATCAAAAGCGATAAAGGTGTTTACTCCCTCTGTTTTTTAAAGATAAATTTTCTAGTTTTTTCACACAGATTAAGAAAAAGTTGATTTTCAATTATTAGTGCATAGATTTCTGCAATAAAACAACTTTTTATAATTTTAAACCAATAAAAATCCAACAAATATAATCATTGTATCTTGAAAACTGAAAAAGTGCATCAAAAAGGTAAAAATTTTATCTTTGTGAAACAACACATAATGGCTAAAAAATTCATTAAAAAAAATGGAGGGAGTATTATATAATAACCTGAACCAATTTTAAATTTCTTTTATTTTTTTAATCTATAGAATACTACTATAGATTACTGATTTAAATCAAACGTAATTTAAGACAAAAGAAACTTATTAAGTTGGATCCCCAAATAACTCAAGATTGGTTTGATAAAACAAAAATCAAACATCATCAAACAGACTATCTTCAAATCACATACTTGTTGTCATTTTGACTGAATTTAATCACAAATTTTATTATTTTCAACATTTGTTTCCACACAATGGTAAATGCTGCATCATAGTCATAATCCTATTCACAAATTGAAAATATGATTTAAAATTCTTATAAACCGTGACATCTGGGAAATGATATCAGATCTACATTTTTAGTTATTGTATCACCTTTAAAATGATTATAGATAATTAAAAAAATATCTAAATTATAATTGGAAACATACCTGAAGCCAAAACATTGTGGTTAAACAACATAACGGCTAATATTCCAACGAGATAGAGAGTAACCAAAGTTTTGATAGTGGTCATGGTAAACTTTTAGATATAAATTATATAGGGAGATCAATGTTTTTAATTTTCTGTCTTAGAGAAAGACTCTACTTTTTTGTTAGACTTATGCAAAACCACTATTTATATAACTCTTGGTCCTGGTAAATCTCAAATTTACCTAATTTGTTTTTTGTATTATTATTAACTGATTCTTGATGTTTATAGATAATAATAGTTTTTATTTATTTATTTGTTTATTTGAACTGTCATTTCAATTTACTTATAGACCATTATATTGAAACTTAAAGAAGATATATTATAAATCCCTTATGAATTTGGTCAAAAGAGAATTATTGCACATATGGTATTGACTAAATTCAAAAAGGTTTTAACCAAAAATACAGAAACTTTGACAAAATCACAAAACTGTATTCAGAATTTTGTTTTTCTTTACCACAAAGTTATTAGATCGGAGTATATTTTATGAAATAAATATTAAATATTTTGACCCAAAAGAAAGAAACGAAACACTTTAAATATAATGGAAAAGTAAGCTTCTATAAAAAAATTAAAGTAATAAGGAGGACTTATTGAATTAATGATTCTGAAATATCTTTAAAAAGTTTTAATTAAGATATTTCATTTATATATATCCAAAAATTCCTTTTAACAAAAAATATATATAGGATATCTGTAGATCTTAATTAATGATTAATGATTTCATATATAATATATATACTGTTTCAAAATTATACTATATTTTAATAAACCAGGAACTACAGATTTCCTATATATTAAATATGTATATATAAATTTTTTTTCTTAAAAATATATATATTTTGAATTAATGATAAGGCCTCTTTAGTTGTAAAATTCGTTCACCTTGGTATTTTTCAGACAGAAATATGTTTTACACTTTTACTTACGAACCGAACCGAAATTCTTGAACTCAGAATGAAATTTCTGAATGTGTATTTCTAGTACATCAGGCTGTTAAAATACAAGGAATTTGTGGGGAAAGAGAATATTTTTTATTTTATAACAAAAAGAAGAACGAATATTTAAGAAGAATGATGTAAGAATTTGCCTACCAACACTAATTACATAAACTAACTAGATTTGTTTTGGCATTCGTGCGCAATATGATGATAATGATACATGAACCCCCACCATCCTCTCAACCTCAAGCTTTTCACTTCTATTCTAAATCTCTCATTTTCTTAATTTTTTTTGGATGACTCATATCTCTCTATCTTCTAGACTATTCAGTCCATTCAGCAGAGTCGAACTTGGGATATCGAAAGGACAATGTATCCTTGCTTTCAACTTTCAACCAATTGAGTTGAGCTATGCAAAAGTAATTAAAAGGGTGTTACTTGTTAGGTACAAGGTTTTAGATTAACTAATAAAGTAATCAAAGGGTATCTAATTTACAACTCATAATTATGGGTTTTGTCAAAGTAAAAAAGGTAGCTTAAGGTGGATTGGTCTTTAGTGTTTAACAGCCAAACTAGATTTGCTGTCACTAACGATTCGGATGCATCACATTTGCTTGATTAGTTTGCATATATCCAATCTTACATTTTGTCCAAGACTTTTTGTTTATAAAAAAATATGGTGTTTGAATGTGTTTGTGGTCCTTCAACTTTGTGTGCCTTTACAAAATTATTTATATGCACATTGCAAAAAAAAATCAGAATTGATGAGTTTCCGGTAAAATATTCATATGTTACTAGCTTTGATGTATGAAAATTAATTCTCGCGAATTGGTGAATTCCTAAGCCATTTACAGTCCCCAATCATTTTGTTCGTGTATTGTCTATTTTAACACTCATATTCATTCATCTGTATTAAATTCGTATAACATTATTTGACTTTATCACAATATTTAGAAACCACTGACATACATAAAATCAAAAGTTACATAACAAATCGGAATTGATAATTTGAACTCATCTTTCAAACGTAGCATGGAAATGATCCATCATGCATTTTTTTTTTTGAATTTCTAAACTGCCTACTATCTTCGATCATTTTTGTGTCTTGTCTCCACTAACACTTTTGTGTGCCTTGTATCGGAAACGAATTTGTAATTTGTGTTCTCGTATTTCCGAGGTTCTCTTCTAAACCAAAATTCGGTCCGGAGTTTATAAGAATTTTATAGTTTCTTCATGCCCCGACAAATTCATCATGACGTTTGCTTTGGACTCAAAAGACTAAGATCATCCATTAAAGACATGAAATCGACATAACGCTAGGCCGGTGATGTAAAGTGAATTTTATCCTAAAGATTAGCCTGATAATGACTGCACCTCATAATATATAATAATTGTTATGGAATGTCTTGCAATTTTACTATGTTACCTATAATGTTCTTTCCAGATTAAAAGTTTTGTTGATAACATTATTGTTTATGTTGTTTCTTTATGCGTTTATTCTCTGTTATCTAGATGAGAACAAGCAAACATTCTGAAAGGCTCGTCTTTTGTTTTCCAAAACCTAATAGAAGACGGAAATAGTTTCATATAGTGATGAGAGAATAATAAAATCCAAAAAGATAAGAAGTTTATATATTCCTAATAGCTTTGATTTGGGTGATAAAATGCATGTTAATAGCCTTAGGAATTACGTAGCCCTCTCTTTTCATGGTGGTATTGTTGTACCACTGTGATACAACATTATCAATCAACGCCAAAAAGTTTAATGTACCAGCTTAAGAATTTAAACTGGTCAAAAATAGCTATTTACTGTAAAAGATAACATTATCTATATTTATGATGGATTTGTGCTAAAACACTTTTAAAGTGCGATTAACTCGAATAGCTTGAACTTGATATTCTTGATGAGTCAATACTTTAAGTGGATGATGTAAGGGAAAGAGAAAAATAATATACTAATTAACTGATGTAGCAATAATACTAATGTCTTTGTAAGAAAGTGGAAACAGTCATAATAACAATGTATGTTTTATTCTTCAACCCAATAACGTAGCTATCAGAAAAAAGGGAATGGTAAAAAGAAGGTTCAGAAAACGAAATGTGAGGAACATATTTACCTTCAACATAAACAAAAGTCTAGGGCAACATAATTTATAGAAAATATCTATTAATAAATTTAAATTTTCAATCGGTTTTGTTCCAAAAAGTAATCTTCAATCAGTAAGAGTATAGTCTATGCTCCAGACGGTACCCTAATCTAATTTAGAAAATGTTAAGTATGCTAAGACATAATATGTAATATGTTCAAATTTTGTTATGGACGGACCACTACAAGAAAACACTGTTATTTCTTACGGCATTTCTGACGGATTCGAGCTCGTTAGGAATTGCTGACCGCATTATGATTGGGTTTCAACGGAAAACTTATCGGTAAGGAATTCGTCAGAATTTTTCTGACGAAATACACATTGTACGTAATCTGTCAGGAATTTATGACTCGCTTCCGACAAGCTCTAACGGTTAATATCTGATGGGTTTTTCCGACAGTTTCCGACGAAAAACTTATGCACAATGCCGACAGATTCCGACGGAATGGGACCGTTGGAGATTTGTGACGGATTTCCGATAGTGCAATCAGAAAACCATCAGAAAATTATGACTCACTTATGCCGGATACAGACGGAAAATATCCGTTGGCTTGCTCTGACGACTTCTGACGAAGAACAGACGTAAAGTTCCGATGGATTCCGACGGAATTGAGCCGTTGGAGATTTTATGACGGATTTCCGACGGATTTCCGACGGTGACGTCAGAAATCCGAAAGAAATTGCGACCGTTATAATGGAGCCGTTGTTATAGCCGTTTGATAGATTGTACAGTCATCAGAATTCCGTTAGAAACTGCCCAAATCTCCATATTTAAATATCTCTCCACCCTTAATCATTTACACTCACAACGAACTAAAACAAACTTTGCAAAATGTCTTCTCCAAACCATTCAGATTATTTTCGATCGTGGATGGATAAGCATTCGTATGATCCAGTGACGGGCCAATTGATAGAAGAGTTTGCGAAAGGCTTTGAGGAGTTCATGGCATTTGCAACACGACAAGAGCTAGCTATGGAATCCGGTAAAATATACTGTCCTTGTCCTACTTGTCGGAATCGTAGATTTGTGTATATAAAAACAGTATGGAATCATATTTATAGATCTGGATTTATGCCGGGTTATAAGATTTGGTATTCACATGGAGAGAGTGAGGAAATGGCATATACTAATGCTAGTGCTAGTTCCTCGAATAGGATAGAAGCAGAAATTAGACCGGAAGTAGAAGAAAACCGAGGAACTGTTCAAATGGTTAATGATGCGTTTCGGGAAAACGTAGCATTGTTTGGTGAGGAAGAAAATAGGATAGAGGAACCTAATCTAGAAGCCCGGAAGTTTTTTGATATGTTAGATGCTGCTAAAAATGAGTTATACAAAGGTTGTAGAGAGGGTATATCGCCATTATCATCTGCAACTGAGTTGATGTCTATAAAGACGGATTTCAATTTGCCTGAAGATTGTGTGGATCGACTTAGTGATTGGGAAAGAAGAATGTTACCTGAAGATAATCTACTTGCGGCTTCATACTACGAGGTGCAGAAATTGGTAGCTGGTCTTGGTTTGCCGTATCAGATGATAGATGTGTGTGTTGACAATTGTATGATATTTTGGAGAGAAGACGAAAACAGATCAACATGTCGTTTTTGCCGCAAACCTCGATACCAAGAAACAGAGGGAAGAGTTCGTATTCCATATAAGCGGATGTGGTATTTGCCGATATCAGAACGGTTGAAGAGGTTATATCAATCCGAGCATACGGTGGAGTCTATGAGATGGCATGCAGAGCATACATCTAATGGAGAGATTGTGCATCCTTCAGATGCAAAAGTATGGAAACATTTTCAAGAAGTGTATTCTAGTTTTGCATATGAGAGGAGGAATGTGTACCTCGGGCTATCTACAGATGGATTCAACCCTTTTGGGAAGCATGGAAGGCAATACTCTTTGTGGCCAGTTATAGTAACACCTTACAATTTGCCTCCATCTTTGTGCATGAAGCGAGAGTTTTTATTCCTCTCAATTCTCATCCCCGGTCCAGCCAATCCTAAGAGATCACTTGACGTTTTTCTGCAGCCACTGATTCATGAGTTGCAAATGTTATGGGATCATGGTGTTGAAGTGTTCGATGTTTCTTGCCAGCAGAATTTTACGATGCGTGCAGTGCTTATGTGGACTATAAGTGATTTTCCAAGCATATGGTATGTTATCCGGATGGTCAATACATGGAAAGTTAGCGTGTCCACACTGTCAAGATGACACTGATTCTTTTCAACTAAAGCATGGGCAGAAGACAAGTTGGTTTGACTGTCATCGGCGATTTTTACCGAGTGACCACCTATATCGTAACAGCACGACATTGTTTAAGAAGAACATAAAGGTGTTTGATTCTCCACCTCCTGAGAGAGACGGTTATAATTTGTTGACACAGTTGAGAGATTTTGGTGCTGAGAAGACGGTTAAATGCGGGGGCAATGGGCATGATCCTGTTCAGGGTTGTGGATCTCATCACAACTGGCACAAGAAGAGTATTTTTTGGGATTTGCCGTATTGGAAGGACCATCTGCTACGCCATAATCTAGATGTTATGCACATTGAGAAGAATTTTTTTGACAACATTATGAACACCGTTCTAAATGTTCAAGGGAAGACAAAAGATAATTTGAAGTCCAGATTAGACTTGCCACTTCATTGTTTCCGTAAGGAGTTACGGGTTATGAAGAACGGGAAAGCATTGCCCCCCTCTTTTGTGTTGGATCCGGCTGCAAAGCAAGAGTTTTTTAATTAGATTATACCCAGTGTAAAATTCCCCGACGGATACGCGTCAAATCTTCGTAATTGCGTTGATAGCAGAGAAGAGAAATTTATGGGGATGACGAGCCATGATTGTCATGTTGTTATGCAGCGCCTACTTCCATTTGCCTTTGAAGGTCTTCTACCAAACAACGTCTACAAAGCAGTTGCAGGTATGATTACATTAATTCTTCTTGGTATATATATATTATTATTTTTATTATTGTAGATACTCTATAAATTTATAATATTAATTTATATATTTTTATGTATGTGTTTGTAAATACATTACAATATTTTATGCATTATAACATTTTCATATCTTTTTATGCAGGTATTAGTGCTTTCTTTCGAGATATTTGCTCGAGATCACTTACATTAGATGGTATCCAATCTTTGGAGAAGAAGATAGCAAAACTCCTTTGCGAACTTGAGAAGATATTTCCACCGTCCTTCTTCGATGTGATGGAACATCTTCCGGTTCATCTTCCAAGAGAAGCAGAGCTTGGAGGACCAGTTCAGTACTGCTGGATGTATCCTTTTGAGCGGTTTCTGTTCCATCTGAAGAAGAAGGTGAAAAATCTAAGTAGAGTCGAAGGTTCTATTGTCCGAATTGTTGCCAACACGAAAGAATAGCATTTTTTTCTAAGATCGAACTCTCTAACATAGAATCTTTTGAAGAACTAACTAGTTCGAGGGACTCGTTCCATCTCATCACCAGATTAGGACCAATAAGCTTAATAGGGTTAATTTTCCTTTGCTATCACTTCTTTTTCATATTGGTTATGGTTAGGAAGCGATATAAACCTGATGAAATGCTTTTCTTGTAACAAAAATACAATAATAAACGGTTTAATTTATTGGACAAGGAGAACCAATGTGCAAAAAGATTTGACCATAATGTGAGTAATTAAGTGGATGATGGTCATGTGGACGCGAACCAAGTATCGCCATAATGCAGTTCACGCGCTTATGCAAGAGTAGACTGTGTACATAGTGTATAATAGGGACGTGCCTTACGTGTAATGAAAAAGGCATGAGCCTTGAGCCCCCTAAAATATATAAACTGGTGAAGGCCCCCAATTTCCCAAATTATTACTTATTATAGTGGTTATAGCGATTGATTTTCAATGTTAATAAGCCAAGTTCGATAATGCATCTTTCTTTTATCTTTAATTCTAGTAACTTTGTTTCTCTATCTATTTTTCTCACACTTTTGCTTCATATTATTTTTTCTTCTTTAAGCCATGAAACTATAGTACGTAGTTCCAAATTTTTACTAGCTTGGCATCTTTTGCTAATAATATCTATAAAATATACTCTCTCAATTTTTTTTATACTCTTACAATATCATTTAAAAGAAATAGAGAGATTGTCTGTTTTTGATAATGCTTATTTGATATATTGTTTATTTTGATCATTACTTTTTTTTAAAATTATCAGCTCTAAGAAAACAAAAAAAAAAATTAGAACTATTATATATTTATTTTTAATAATCATATTAAAGAAAAAAAATTAATTCCTAAATTTGCCTTAGGCCCCCATAACCCTGAGCACGGCACTGAGTGTATTCAGTATACTCATGTCAATAACATGACAATCATTTTATCTCACTGTATGTAAATTTCTATCTAAATATCCAGATTCGGGAATTTGAAATACCCTAAGTTTTAAACGGTTTGGATTAGATTTTGGAGAGGTAAATTGTGCAGCCTTATCAAAAGTATCCAAATACATTTTTTCACATTTTTTTTTATTTATGCACTGAGATCACCACAATATATCTATCAATTTATGTGATCTTATAGTTATATGCAGAGCCATTATGTACACGTTTCATCTTTCTCTGTTTTTGTTAATATACGTTGGATCTTTTATTATTACTAGGATCAATGTTTAGATGGTAGGCTATTATATTTGTGTTACTGCTTACTAATAAAAACATTAATCGTCTAAATCCATCATGGGTGATTTTGATATTTAACAATTTAGAAAATATTAGTCGTTGAGCTATGTTCTTGATACTTAAGCAAAAAAAGACAACGTTCATAATTACTGGTTACTTGGTACTAGTAGCGGACGGTGGAGATTAGTCTAGTTCACAAGTCCACTGGAACTTTTAAAGAAAAGTACGTAGATAAGTATTTGGGACAGCAAATCTCGAATAGATATCTTATCCCCACGTGAAGATTTGGGAATCATTCTACTTAAAGCATACTTACTTAGTTCGTAAACTATATATGATCCAAGTGCGTTGCCTTGTTATTATCAGGATTCAGGACAAACGTATATAGCCGCAATAGCTAAACGTTTATAATAAACAAAAAGTGAGAAGATTTATGTGGAATAGCACCAAAAAATTTAAGCATAAAATATATTAGTAGATTTATAGTATACTCTAGTGAAACTCTTAATCATCATCTATATAAAAATTGAGACATTTGATACGGGCCCCATAAAGCTTCATAATATAACTATTTGTCTTGCTAAATCTCGCTACAGATACTATTACGTTTCGCTGGCGGCTTTCGGACTGAGTTCACTTATAATCAAAATTCTAGATCAAGAATCCATAACTAAGCTCACAACCAAGTTTATTCCATGGTCGTAAGAGTTTATTCACTATATGAAATAGATATACGGTTTTTGTAAATTATATTATTTTTTTCGGGAAAAGTGTTTATGACTAAAGCTATATATGAGAACAACAATGATTTACCGAGGTTCTAGAAGCTTATTGGTAAGTACACATTCTGCACTTTCAAAATAAGATAGGAACACCATTATCGTAGTTAAAAAATTATTTCACACAATCGTGTAAACTTTATCTCTGATCTACAACAAATAAAAAAGTCACCAAAGAGAAGAAAATATATAAAAATGACGAAAATATTATTTAAGCTCAAAAGAATACGATAATTTGGGGCCGGCGACCTATTTCCCCACCACAAAGTTTCAGTCGTACTATATGCGGCCCAATGTATGACCTCGTATCATTTCCCCATCAGTTAAAACTTAAACATCTATTTCCCCACCACTATAACTTCAAATACGCGTTTCTCCACAGGTCCAATCGTGTTGGTTAAATGTCTCTACCAACGAACCAAAACCGGAGAAACCCGTTGTAAACCGAATTAAAACCCGATTCTTCGCAAAACCGGACCCAGATAACCCGACCCGTGACTCACCTTTAAAACCCAGAAATCGCGTCCCAACGGTCGATTTATCCCAAATCGAAAGAACCCTAAAATCTGAAATCGGAATCCAATTCTCCAATCGATCTTTCTGAGCCGAGATTTCGCAAATTGACGGTCAGTCTACAAACATTTTCACTTTCATTAGCCTCCTTATTGTTCTAAACTATAGATTTTCGATTTTGGTACTCTTTTTCTCATATTCTCACTATCGATTTCTTCTTCTTTTTGATCTGAAATTCTTCTGTGTTTTTGGGTTTTTGTTGATCAAAAGACATGAGTAACCTGTCTGGAGCTTCGACTGGATCTTCAAGTGCTCGTTCAAGAGGGAGAGTGTTTGGTGTTCCAAAAACTTGTCATTGTGGAGAACAAGTGATGGAATTGATTTCAAATCAAACAACAATCCGTATAGGCGCTACTTTCGTTGCGGATATGCTGTAGCTAGAAAGGTAATTCGATCACAATCCCTCCTTTTTATTAGTTTTCTTAGTATAGCGAATGTTGATTTTGAGTTTGTTGATGAATGTAAGCTTGCCAATGATAATCACACATTCAAGTGGGTTGATGAAGCTCATTTAGATGAGATAGAAGCACTGAAATCAAAAACAACAAGACTTGAGGAGAAGCTGGAAGCGGTTACAAGTGAGAGGATGAATGAGTTTGAGAAGAAGTTATTTGAGAGAGTGGAAGAGGCATTGGCCGAATCATCATCCATGACAAAGAAAATGGTGATTGTTGTTGTCATTTCGTGTGTGGTCATGGTTGGGTTTAGTAAGCTCTATTAGGTTGATCTTGGGAGAAAGTTGGATTTAGTACGAATGCTTTGTAATGGTATGAATGTTTTAAAGTAGTGATCTTTGGTTTGATTGTTATGAATGTTTTTGTAATGGTAAGAATGTTTAAAACTAGTGATGTTGTAATGATTTGATTGTTATGAAAGCATTTGTCAATCATGAATGCTTTGGATTTCTTTATGATTGCACCTAATTTTGTTATAAATCCAAATTCATTGAGATGACCAAAAGCTTAACAAAGTGCATCATTATCATTACCAAAGTGCATCATAACAAAATACCAAAGTACATCATCATAAAACATCCTAAAACCAAAACCAAAATACCACAAATGCATCAATGCATCATCATAAAACATCCAAAACCAAAAGTCGAATGCCCATACTTCTTCCACTTATCCGAGAATACCCATACTTCTTCCACTACTCTACTTCATTCAATCCAATGTTTGGGAGGATTGACCTTCGCTTTGTGAACCCTCCAACATCAACTACAAAAAAAACAAATACAATGTAGCATTAAAACACACACAACACAAACAAAACAAGACAAACTTAAAGATTACTAACCCTTGGAGCATCCTTATCCTTCGCATGATGCCTTGAATTGTGATTAGCCTCACCACAAACTCCGCAATGCATAATCCTCTGTTTCTCTTTCCGCTGCTTCTTTGTTGGAGACTCATTAACACCCTTTTTCCTCATCTTCTCTGCATTTGTGAGCTTCTTCTTCTTCTTCTTCTTCGTTTCGTTTCCAGGTTCTTGGCCTTCTTCAGCTGCTTCTTCCCCTGGTTTTTCTTTCTCAGGAGGAACATGCACATCCGGAGCATTTGTCTCTGGCCAGAACCTACAACCTCTGACTGGAACGAGTCCATCTGAGTAGTTTCTTCTCCACATACCTGAGCGGAACCAATGACAGACGTAGTCCAGAGGATCAAGACCATACTTCAACATCACTCCATAAGCATGCTTGCATGGAATTCCCGTTATCTCCCACTTCCTGCAAGAGCAAGTCCTATTCTCCAAGCTGACTGTATGGCATTGACCATTAAGCCGTGACTCATAGTAGCCTTTCACACTCTTAGTCACAACACACTTTCTTGCTCCATGTTTATGTGGCTTATCTACAAGCATCTTAGCTAGTTTCTTCTCCACATATGGGGTACACTTACCTGAAAATTAAAGCTATATATGTTAAGATTACCTATTAGAAACAACATAACAAAAGTATGCAAGATATTTCACATATTACCTTTGTGGTCATGAGAGATTCGGGATCTCACGGCTATCCGTGCCATAGCTTGTCTTGCTATGGTTTCTAGCATAGGGATAAAGGCCTTCTCTCTTGCCTTGTTGATAGAGCTGTTGAAAGACTCTGTCGAGTTGTTTTCAACATCTTCACAGCAAGGTCCAAGCTTGTAGAAAGCTCTGCACCAACTCCTAGGACTTGTAGCCATAACATCATCATAGACACCAGTGTCATAGTTTCTAATTCTGTCCAAGTTGACTTGAAACTTTGCCTCATTGTAGCTCCATGCTAGTCTCCAGATAAAGCTCTTCATCCTTGTTTTGCCCTCATGTTTCTTCTTCAAATTGCCATAGATGTGTATTACACACTTTCGATGCTCCATCTTTGGTAACTCTATCTTGATAGCCCTGATTAAACCCTGAAACATAACCGCAAATCAACTTACAAATACATAAAAAAGTAAAATCAAGTGTAAAATACAACACAAACCATAAGCAACTTACATGGTGGCGGTCTGAAATGAACCGGTGGAACACTTCTTCACCTGCAGCATTCTGGAATGTCTCCACTTTCACAGATGAGCCAGGATTAGACTCTACTATCTCTGCTGCATAATCCCTAAGACGTGCAAACTGATACTCGTACTCACTTTCAATCCACCTCAAAGCTGTCCTCCTAGCAGCTTGACATTGAGGTCTAGACACGAAAATTCCCATTCCTCCTTCAACAACTGTTCGATCTTCATTGGCATATAATATTCTGGTTCTTCACGGATCTTGTTCACAAACAACCTAGCTATCACAGGGACCTTCACCATCTCACACACTCCATTTCTCTCACATGTATGCTCCTCTATAAACTTCCTAACTCTCCAAATTTTATCTTTAGGAAGGATCGAAGCATATATTTGCCAATGACAAGGTTCTTCATTACCATCTAAACCCAGACAATCGAAACCAATCTTGTCTTTATCATACCTATACTGCCTGATATTGTACCTGGTTCGAAGAGCATAGTCGAGAACTCGATCCTTGAAAGCAACTCCATTGAAGAAGGTCTGATTATCGTATAAATGCCCATCACCACGAGTTATATGCGTCTGCATTAACTCTCGACCATCTTCCTCTACTTCGTCATCGGTCTCCGGCACCTGGTCGTGGACAACCGCCGGCTCGTTCTCGAACTCTTGCAAGAGTTGGTCGAGCTGATGCTCTTCTCGTTCTGCTTCTTCGTCGTCGAAATCGAACCCCCGCGCACGATTTCTACAAGGTTGAGCCATGACAAACCCCGATTTCAATCTACAAGACAAATCTCGAGTTGATTTCTCTCTCACTCTCTCGATTTCAATTTCTAGGGTTCGTGAGAAATGAAATTGGAGATTTTCGTGATAAATGGTTTATTAGTTGTAATCGGGTTTAAAATCGGGTTTTGATTTGTTTTAGTTTGGTTAACAATAGATTCGGGAATAGTAAACCGATTTCCCGACCGTTAAACCAGTTTAATTTAAACTCCGTGTGGATCTACGTATTTAACTTTGGACCTGTGGAGAAACGCGTATTTGAAGTTATAGTGGTGGGGAAATAGATGTTTAAGTTTCAACTAATGAGGAAATGATACGAGGTCATACATTGGGTCGCATATAGTACGACTGAAACTTTGTGGTGGGGAAATAGGTCGCCGGCCCGATAATTTGATCAAAGTACTTGCCAAGTTGCATCTCACGCGGAAACTTTGGATTATAAAATTTTATTTACTTGTACGACTCTAAATAGCTGTTAACTTGATACCTATACCTTTTTCCCCTTAAACTCGTTCCCCTTTTGAGTTTGATTTCTATTGAGAACAACGGTTTCGTTTATGCACCATATATATCAAATTAAAAAGTTTGATATATTTATGATTAACCTGGTTGTATATCAGTATATATACAAGCCATATACTACAATTTAATGTGTCTTAGTGAGGTTGTGTATTATACTCTATAAATAAAAAATATAAGCTTAAGTTCTTATTTGGACAAAAAAAAAGCTCTTCTCCTGATAAGACGTACACATGAAAAAAAAAATCATATCTTAGCAAAATCACATGCTTAGCTGCTAAACATGTCTTTGCATTAAAGTCATTAATAAACAAAAACCCGTACGAAACACGGAGTTTAAATGATCTCTCCAACGACAAATTTTTTAATAGATGATTCGATTAAATTATTAGTAATGTCGGATGTAAAAGTGATTATTAGTGTCTAATCGTATAATTGAAAATTGTTTATGTATAATCGGTGAATGGTATTGCTGACGTCTTATAGGCACGCCTTTGTGTCCATAGTCTCTGAGCCGTTGAGGCACTTTCACATCTGCAACTCTTTGATATTTCATTTAATATTGTAGATTTGCATTGCGAACAAAATTAAAATACTTCTAAAATGCAAATATGTTGTGCCTTAAAATAGAGAGAGAGTCTCAACAACTTTTAGTACGCGGTTCAAATATCTAACAATACAAAAATGTTGCAGCTCATGGATCTGAACTATTGGAGGTTTTCACATATCATCACTATGTTGGGATGTCATCAGTCATCATGTATATCATAAGTTTAGATAAAGATGATCTAATATAAGTTTAAGTTTAATTTTTACTATAGTATGAAACATTTAAGAAAATTTCCCAACAAAAGTTTGTACAGGTTTCACTTCGTATATCGAAAATGAACAATATCATACTAACCTAGAGTTAGACATGAGTTTGAAAAGTCCAACAGAAACATCACTTGTTATATTAGTACGCATTTTAGACATACTTGATTATATGCTTAACGTCGTTCTTTTTGTTTGCTGCCTAAAAGTTTTCCTAAGCTTCAATGTGTAATGATAGTTCCCTCACATTTTGTAACAATATATATGAAAGACTCAAAATCTACACGAACAGTTAACGATTGTTACTTAACTAATGATGATTTGAGATTATAATATGTAATATTGTGGTTTGTGTTAGTACCCTTATACTATGATTTTTGAAAAAAATAGTTGTTTAAAGAGCATTTAAATGACTTATTACTTTTGACCCAAGAATGACTTAATTACTTTGACTAAACAAGTGGATCGGTCAGTCGGTCACGGTTGGCATGAAATACCCTAAATCTGACCCTAGTTCTAGGAAATTATTATAATGTTTGTAGTGCTAATTAACTATGTTTCTTATCGCAATTAATATTAAATAATAATATTCGACTGTCGTATTAAATTTATGATTCATAATACTACGGCAAGACTATACCATGGACTTGAAAAAAAAAATTAACATTTCTAGAAACAGAAACCGTTCAATAGTTTTGGTTTTAAGTTCATTTGGAAGACATACAGATGGAATTGCACCCAACAAAATGTCGTTTTAAAGAAATAATTTTGGGATTCTTGCACTTCTAACCCACAATTTGAAGTCAATGGCAAAAGTAACCTGCTGTTTTTTTCATTTGGGCTTTACCCAGTTTTGTCCAGATAATAACGAAAATGCCATTACTTTTATCTCTTGTGGTCTACGAATGAGGTCTACGTTGTCGACCAGAAGACCAACAGAACCTCATCCTCTACACTTATTCACGAAACTGCCACTCTCATCAATGAACCCAACCACCATTTTCAACTAACTTCAAGCTTTTAATGCTTGATACTAGTAATTGTGATACTCCAAACATAATTGCACATCCCATACACTCTAACACTATCATTTTCTCCACATTTTCATCCCAAAAACTCTCTAATTCTACTTTTCCATATTTCAAGTTCTTGATTTTCTCAAAATCGGGTTTGTGGCTTTCCTCACCACCGCCGAACGGTTGTGAAGGCTTAAAGACAAAGTTTCATCCCTCGGCGGCCCTAAAGACGACGGCCAGGTTGTGGTTTACTCCATTTTCGTTTTTTCAGATCTGAGTCGATATCGTAGATCTCAGGGTTAGGTCTATAGGTCAACGCAGAGGTTAGTTTTGCAATTGACTAAGACAAATCTGTGGAGTTAGACCGCGTAGAGAGTTCTACATAATCCCTTTGAAAACAAAAAAAATATCGTAAACCTCAAGCAGAGGTCTATTTTGAAAACAGGTTAGTTTTGCAATTGACCAAGGGAGGGCTTTTTTTTTGAGGTCTACAGATGAGGTCTATTGGTCAAAGAGGTTAGTTTTGCAATTGACTGAAGTTCTGGTTTTTACCTTAGACCTCTTAATGTGGTCTACAACAAATTTTAAGCTGACGTCTACGTCAGAGGTCTACATAGGTTTTAGATCTCAGTCTTAGGTCTACCTTAAAAAGTTGGTCAACGCAAAATAATAGGAGGTCTACGATAGTGGTCTACAGGTGGAAAAAAATTTCAAACAATTGCAAAAGTAACCTGTCTGAGGTCTACAGATTTCGTAGACCTCCCCGTAGACCGTATAATTTTTCTAGACTACAGGTTGAGGTCTATTTTGTTCGTGAGGTCTACCCAAATTTTTTGGATGAATTGCAAAACTAACCTCTTTTTTTGTAGACCGCATTTGTAGATCTCAAAAAAGTCTTCCCTTGGTCAATTGCAAAACTAACCTTTTTTAGACCTCTTTGTAGGTTTACTACGATCTAGTTTGGAGGTCTACATTTTTTCCGTTTTTTAAAATCGATTTTCTGCGAAAACTAAAATTGTTTTTGTTAATTTTTTTCATAAATACTTCTGTTAGCCTAATAACTTGTCCCTATGAGAGTTTTGCATGCTAATGTTATGTAATGAAGGTTGTATTAGATTTTTGGTTAAATTTGGTAACTTGGTTAAACTCTGTAGACCGCAGCCGTGTGTGGAGGTCTACGTTTCCGTCTACAGGGCATCCATCAATATATATTAATGTGTTTTCCCTTTGGTTTTCATGCAGATCATGGTTTGTTTGGCATCCGTGTATGGAGCGTGGACTATCAGAGACAGAAAATGGTATTTTGAGGTTGATAAAACGAGAGGAGGTAGAATGTTCTACCTGCAGGATGATTGTAAACATGAAGAGCTGGTTGAAATGGTTGTGAACGACTACATGTTGCAAGTTAATGGCGAGCTGCTGGAGTTGTCATATCCATTACCAGCTGCTATGATGGAGAAATTGCCAACGGATTCACCTCCTATGTATGTGACGAACGACAGACAAGTTGGGAGCTTGGTGGAGTTATGTAAGGAGCATGTGGTCCGTCTTTGCGTCTCGACCCGCGTTGGTATGGGAAGGAACTACAACGAACCAATACATGAGTGTGTCCAAGAAAAAAGTCTGAAGAGGTGGATAAAGAGAACAGGAAGAAGAATTCGGTGATGAAGGCTGGGATGATAACGACTCTGATGATAAACTGGAATGACAAAGCATGAGATGTAAATTCAGAAGATGAATCTGATGACGATGACAATGACTGCTAGTGCTGATGATGATAACAAACGATATCGATGCAGATTATAGTAAGTATGAAAGGGTCATATATGAAGATTCGCATTCAGAGTATATAAATCCACTAAAGACTTGTTTGAACCAAAATGTGTTGTAAATAGAAAGTCAAGTACATAATCATAATTAGATTAATATAATTAAGACAAAAGATATACACATCTATAAAGATTCCGGTGATTTTACCGAAATCATTCCGTTAAAACACACTTTGTTTCCTTTATGACAATGTTTTAACATAATTTAGAAGCATTTTGACATAAAGAGAATCATTAAAAAACTATGGCCATGAACGCTTCTCGACATTTCCAAGAACGTGATTCCAACATCTTGTCTTGACTCTGATCCAACATTTTTTCTCGAGGTATGTTCTGCGTGAGGGATATTTTTCACCTGAAAATCAAAATAGTAAATCTTGTGAAACACTATACTAGAGTAATCAATCTTTTGCTAAGTCTGTTACTCGTGAACTCACAGCCATACAAAAGATTCTCCAAACTTCCAAACAAGAGATCAGCTTCTATTAATGCAAACCATAGTACAAGTCACAAGAGCAAAATGAATCTGAACAGGCCATTGTAATGAATAATACGCAAAACAATATACAAAAGAGGGCATATCAATTAGACAAGAGAAGACACAGAACAAAAAGAAAACATTCTATAAATATGCTAACAGGGAAAGGCACAATGTTTTCACAAGAGTTATGAGCAGAAAACTAAGCAAGAAGAACAATTCCAAGAAGATATTATAAAGTTACAGCTCAAACTGATTATATTTCTGAGTACTAAAAGTTTATTTCTAGCTGATATTAGATTTATAATCACAGAATTAGGTAAGTCGAAGTATCAATTAGCAGAGCAGAAGCTGAGGATGAAAATTTACCTTCAGCAGAAGCCATCTCGACATCCTCCATGGTAACAAGACCCTTCTCCACCATCTCTTTCTGCTCCTGTTTTCAATCAACAAACATTTTTATTAGGACTTATAGCTATGTTTCTGCTCTTGTTCTATCAGCTTTCGCCTCTCTTACACTATATTTATAAGAAGAAAAAAAGAAACAACTTTGAGATTTCAATATCAGTGTGAGCAAAATTATTAAATCTAAAAAGAAAATACGTGTGTGGAAGATGTAATTCAACCAGAAAACAAAAGTAATAGCAAAGCAAAAGAGCAGAGATGATGAAAGAGAGAAATTTAGATAACTCACAAAGTTATAAGTGATAAACAAGCGGTCACGCCTCTTACAATTTCAGGCTCTTTTTCGGTGATGAATACAAATCAGCCTCATGCATCTGCGGATGTACTTCTCCCCTAGGTCATTGAAACGCATCAACGAACGGATTCAAAGCCTGCTTGGAAAATAATCTAACATGTTATTGTTCAAATCTAAACTCAGATCTGTTACAGAGAGAAGAACATGGTTTACCGGTGACAATGGTGATGGAAACTGACTCGACGCGAAGACGGCACTGGATGCGGCAACGACGGAGGTGGATGCGGCGGAAACTGCACGGAGATGGAGGAAGAAGAAGAAAATAAGAAAGTGGCGACATTTCACAGCGAGAGAGCGCGCCGTTTGATGAGAGAACGAGAACGAGATGGTGACGGCGAGAACGAGAAGGCAAAGGCGAGAGGGAAGCGAGATAGTGAGTTTGAGGTTCGAGAGGGAAGCGAGAAAGGAGAGAGAGAGAGAGAGAGAGCGCCGTCTGAAGAAAGAGGCTTTTTTCTTTTTCTAACAAAACCTAGGGTTTTTTTTCTTTTATAGGAGAAGATAAATTTCCCGGTTTAATTAGAAAATTTCGGATAACCGAACTTTCTTTTTCGGTTTAGCTAAAAGATTTAGCTTAAACCATAATTTGTTAAGGTCTACGAATGTAATCTACAAACGTGGTTTACGAGTGTGGTTTACAAATGCGATCTACAACTGCGGTCTAACTAATTTAGGGAATTTGGTTCCCGCTCATTCGGATTTCAAATTTTGGAATTCCCGCAAATTTAATTACTAAACCATTCCGGTTTATTTCAATTTCATCTTCTTGTGCGGTCTACAGATGAGGTCTACATAACCCTAAACTACAAATTTTCTGAAAAAACATGAACCGAATATCAATTTTGTTTGTCATTTACAATATTTATGGTTTGGATAACAAAATATTAAATATAGAAAAAAAACCAACCAAAAACAAAAATTCAAATTGAAACTATCTAAACCCTAAGAATTGGACAACTAAACCCTAAACTATCTATCCAAACTCTTATCAATTTGAAACATTTACTCATGACATTTATAGATTGATTCATTTTTCGTATGATTTATTTTTAATAGATGTCAAATGTATAAGAATTAATTATGCATACAAGTTTTTAATCAAATTATTTTTTATCAATTTTATAATTTATTTTTAAGATTTCATTTTCCTGTAGACCTCGTTGCTAGACCTCTCACGGTTTTACAAGTTTCTAACCTAATTTGTTTTTGTCAACCTAAATTCACTTATTAACATGTATGTTTATTTTATATGGACTCTAATTGTCTTTGTCTTGTTTATGAATACAAATTTTTCATCTAAATATTTTCTATTTATTTTATAAATTAAAAGTTTCATTTAATTAAACCGTAGACCTCATCCGTAGACCTCTTACGTTTTTACAGCTTTCCAAACTAATTTGCCTATGTTAGTTTAATTTGACTCATTTGTATGCAATTATAATTTTCCAAGATGCAAATTACTATTTATGATTTATGTATGCAAATGGTTTCATCAAAATGTTTTTTTTTTTTTCCCAATTAAAATATAAAATTAAAATACAAGGTAGACCGACTATAAAAGTCTATATGTAGACAGCAAGCGTAGACCTACGCTCCGGGTTAATTTGGTAATCGCGGCAAATTTTTTTTGTTTGTTCATGAGGGTGACCTTTGTAATTTCGCTACCCAAACAGGTTAGTTTTGCAATACTTTCAAGTTTCGGGTTATGGTTATAGAAAAAAGCAAATTTCGGGTTATATGTGGAAATTCTCCCAATAATTTTCAGTAGATATTTGGTTTCGACTACGGAAAAGATGGAAACACTAATAACTAACATTGATATTTTGTAATGTTAATTGTTTTACAATAAAATAAAAAAGAGAGAGAACTTACAATCTTAAAATATCTAAGAAACATAATAATAAGACCACCTGTCTCATGGTGACGTACAAAGACCATAAACTCTTTCATAATTATTTAGTTACTTCTAATTTTTGATATTGTATTGTCATAATTGCTTATGTGGAATCCAACGAATCTTATACGACAACACACAGATTAGTGTTAAGATCACACGTATAAATCTCCTCGACACTTGGAGAAACATTAGTGGTTCAATTAAGTGAGTTAACTTAAAATAATCCAGCACCATCAAAATAATTTTCATTGCGCTTTTAAAGAACATATTTATTAAGGAAGTTAAAGTAATAACAATAAGCATAATTAATCTCTTTCCACTAAACCCCTAGATCATATACGTGGCAACAAAACAGAAGTTCCAAATAACTTTAGCATAAAAGGATTATTCTATTGGATTTGATGCCCGGTTGCTCCATGTTACCCAATGCCTCAACATTATTTCTTTAATGCTGCATGATTTTTTAGTGATTATAACTAATTGCCCTGTAATATCCTCATTTGGTGTACATGAAAATGATGAACATTTAACCCCCATAAGTCCGGTTTACTATCCGATTCACGGTTTGGCTATTATCTGACTAATCCGGTTTAACAGAAAACACACAAAATGTACCAACAAGAAGGGTTATTTTAGTAATTTGGGGAAAATGATACCTTTGGGGATCAAAAGTTGAACGAACAGACGAAAGGATAGATACGAGAGACCAATGAAAATGACATGTGAAAAGGGGTAAAGAGAGAACCAAAGTTCTCTTCTTTCTCATAATATTCATTTATTTCCTTCTGTGTCTACAAGTCTAATTCTTTTTTCCTTTGAATAAACGTTTGCTGAATCGATTAATTATTCTTATTACTAGAACTATTTTTGTGATTTAAGATTGAAAAAGTATACACGTACAAGAAATTTCCATAGAATCTTGCTTTTAGATAGTGATAACCTTATAACTTTTATTCTAGAAAGAACATAACTCTACAAATGCAAAAAGATCTTTGTCTTGTCACTAGTCTCTATCTCTATAGGAAACAAACAAAAAAGGTGGTGGAGCCAAGGAGTTTGAGTGAGTGCATATATAAATATTGAAAGGTGGCAGAGAGAAAACAGAACATAACAAAACACAAACACAAAACAGAGGAACACTTAGGTTTCATAATACAGAGAGACAAACAAAAAGATTGGTGGGTTTGAGGGAGAAGGAGATCTAAGACATACTCTTTCTCTTTTTTTTTAGTCTCACTTACTGAAAAAATATATAAGAAGAAAGGATGAGTTTGTGGGGAGTGATGGGAGGAGGATGGGGAATAGTAGAAGAAGGGTGGAGAAAAGGGCCATGGACTGCCGAAGAAGACCGACTCTTGATCGATTATGTGCGACTTCACGGTGAAGGCCGATGGAATTCTGTGGCGAGGCTCGCAGGGTTAAAGAGAAACGGCAAAAGTTGCAGATTAAGATGGGTTAATTACCTTAGACCAGACCTCAAGAGAGGACATATCACTCCTCATGAAGAAACCATTATCCTTGAGTTACATGCTAAGTGGGGCAACAGGTAATTCATATAAGCTTTGATATTTTTTTTTTACATCTTAAAATAAAGTCTGTTTCTTCAAATAAAACCGCAACATTCTGAATGTTAAATATAATTTTATTTTCTTAGCCTTTTTTCCCACAATAGATTGAAGTTTGAAACAATTAACTGTAGCCTTGCTCAAATACGTATCTTGTGTCTTTTTCTTCTTCTTTTTGTTTCTGTGGTTTATTGTCTGATGAGTTTGTGATTATAGGTGGTCAACAATTGCCCGTAGTTTACCGGGAAGAACTGACAACGAAATCAAGAACTATTGGAGAACCCATTTCAAGAAGAAGACAAAATCTCCAACTAACAATGAGGAGAAGACAAAAAACAGAATCTTGAAGAGGCAACAATTTCAGCAGCAAAGACAGATGGAGTTGCAGCAAGAACAACAGCTGCTTCAGTTCAACCAAATCGACATGAAAAAGATCATGTCTTTACTAGAAGATGACAACAACAACAACAACAACAATGGTGAGAATAACTTCAGCAGCAGTAGTAGCGGCAGTAGTGGAGAAAGCGGTGCGTGCTATGTTCCTCATCAGATCACACAGTCAACAACAAGTTCTGGCTATGACCCGAATGGTCACGGCTATTACTCGGTGGTTCCGGTGCCAGTACCTGAGGCTAATGTGAATGAAGATTTTGCGATTTGGGATGGTTTATGGAATCTGGAATTGGAAGGACAAGGAGGAAGCTTTGGTGGCGGTGGTGGTGGTGCTTGTGGTCCAAGGAAGCAATGTTTCCAGAACTTGGTCATTCCCTTCTGTTAACTTGGCCTTTTAATTATCTTATCTACCGGAAAATGAAAATAAAATAAAACTTGACTGACAAGTTAGGTCGAGTTTGAGTTTGGTTTTGTGTAATCATCTCTTTTTTGGATTTTCGGTTAAACACATGTAGTTTTGGTATGAATTGTGTGTGATGTAAGAAGCTCATTTGGTCTGTGCCAAATTAAAAGAGTGATGTAGTAGAAAGTCTTTAGAAGAATGGTGTGTCGATTAGTGTCAATTGTGATACAAAGTGTACAACACAATTCACTCAAATTGATCAAATCATTTATATTATTTATTTAGTGAGAAAATATCTTTTGATGAGATGGACAGACTTTAGTAGATTATTCCAACTTGAATTATTCTAATGAGTTTCTTTGTAGATTAATATCTCTTTTCTGAATTTTGAACAATATAGCTCCTGAGAAAAGCAACCAAAGAAAAAAAAAAGAAATCAATGAAAAATGCAACCAAAAAGAAAATCAAAGTAATATCTCTTACCTCTTGGCATCACATGACATTTTCTGGATATTGTATATGCTCTGAAGCTCTTTGATAAACTCATGGACCATATAATCCTCAGCAATGGTCACAAAGGAGAAAAATTAATTCGATAGTGCATAATTTGTGTTCAAATGCAATTTCAATGACTTTAGATAAGCATTCATAAACAATCACAGTCTAAACTCATGCAATAAAAACAAAACTATAGCATGTACCATAAACAAACATGTATCATTTTGACAATCATAATGTATTAAACATATGTCACTTTTTATTTCTTGTTTGTTTAATACTATACATGCAAACATGCATGTTTGTTTAAGATAAATGTTATTTGATTTTTAATAATTGAATTTAATTAACATTCAAATTAACTCACTAATTTTAAAACAATTTTATTTGATATTTTTCCTAAACCAAATATATATAAACTAAAAAGTATATTGATCAACTACTCCTTGTTTAGATTCAGTGTGGATAGCTGCAGAATCATGTAAAAGATTCCATTACATTTTTCCTTCATGGTTTTTTTGTTTTTAGCATATTGGTTCTACTGTATTTGAATCATGCTTTTTCTTATTGTTAAACGTATCTTTCATATGTTACCGGTTACCCAAACAAAGACAAAAAAATGGAATTTTTCAATTATACTGGTTATAATAAAATACTGGTTACTGGAGTAACAATAATTTTGATTATCATGAAGTCATTGAAGTAATGACGTACATAGTTGTAAGAAAAATTATTAAAATACGTACCCAAACAAAGACAAAAAAGTGCGAAACTTTCAATTACAGTGTGTAATTTGAATTACATTTAAGTGGGTTGTTATAAGGAATATTGTTAAAAATACATACAAAACCCTTTATTGAAACCAAAATAGAAACTTTCTAAGGAACAATTGAACTAGACTTAAAGTTAATAACTTATTTCAATAAGATATATAAAATCAGCTGGAAAAAATAAGTTTTAGTGGTACTATAATACTATAGTTATTATCCATGGAGTTCTTCAAGTTCCGCAAGCAATGCAAAATCAATCTCTCTTGAATCTGACGAACGAAAATTTCGAAGTTTGATATGCATAGATGATAGGTATAGTCACCCTAAATTGTGCCATGGCACCAAGCCATGGACTTACCAACTTACCCAAGAGACCGCCTAATAGATGGCTTTTCATATTGAGTAAACATACTAAGTTTTTATAATTGTCAGTTGACCTAAATTAAAATATATGCACTATATGATTAATCAGTATAATTACTACGTATTACTGTTTTTTAATAAGTGCTATGTGGTAATCCATGATGTCACGTTGTTCTGTATGATTTTAAAAGACACTAATGCAATGCTACTTAAATATGTAAGTAAATTATAATTCGTCGACATAATTTAAAATTTGCTTATTCTATTTTGCTGAGTATCATATTTAGACATATAACACTTTCTCTAAATCTAACACCGATTGAGACTAATTTAAAACACATATTGATCAGAGCTATTAGTTTCAATAAATACTGGTGTTCACATTATTTTGTCTAATCCAAACCAAAATCGAGCGATCAAACGGATTTAAAATTGATCTCATAATCCATTTTTGTTGAGATAAATGACCGCAAACCCTGCATCTAAAATGTAATTATCTATAAAAATATTAGCAATAATTTACTGTCAATTGGTTAATAATAAGGATTTTTTTGTTGTTGTTTTAATCGTTGAGGATATTAGTACTTTTGAATTTAACAGTACGAGAAATTGTAGAGATTTTTAAAAAAAAAATCATAAATACAAAGATTATTTATCGGAGTATCTAATAATCCTATTTTTTGTTTTGAAGTTTCTTTTGTTTTTTCATCAAACAGAAACTAGACAGCAGAGCACGAATGGATACTCTTTCCGTGACAGTGTGAATCTAAACCAACGGGTCCCACTTAAGTACGGGAATCTTTTTCCGTCTTTAATCTATAGACGAAGATTCCTTGGTCAATATTTTTCTAACGTATACTACACTTGTACCGATCATATTTTATTTGTTTATATCTCCTTAGCAACAAATAAACAAATATTGAGTGACGTTAAAATGTTTTTTTTTTTAATAATATTACTACAAATTTAGTTGATCAAGCTGGAATCAAAAGTCAACCCTAAGCCTCCTCTTCTTCCTATTAATAGACAGACATTAGCTTTCTTCTTCGTGTGTCTCGCTTTTTCTTTCAGCTCTCTCAATATGGCCGGAGTTATAACTTGCAATCCGACCGATCTCTCCGCTCTCCTCGGTCCCAACGCCACGGCGGCCGCTGCCTACATCTGCGGCCAATTAGGTACCGTAAACAACAAGTTTACCGATGCAGCCTACGCCATAGACAACACTTACCTCCTCTTCTCTGCATATCTCGTCTTCGCGATGCAGCTGGGCTTTGCTATGCTGTGTGCTGGCTCCGTTAGAGCCAAAAACACGATGAACATCATGCTCACCAATGTCCTTGATGCTGCAGCTGGAGGACTCTTCTACTATCTCTTCGGTTACGCCTTTGCTTATGGTGAATCCTCCAATGGATTTATCGGAAGACACAACTTTGGTCTTCAAGACTTCCCAACTCTTTCTTTGGATTATTCCTTCTTCCTGTACCAATGGGCATTTGCAATCGCAGCCGCTGGAATTACAAGCGGTTCCATTGCTGAGAGGACTCAGTTTGTGGCGTACTTGATTTACTCTTCTTTTTTGACCGGGTTTGTTTACCCGGTCGTTTCCCATTGGTTCTGGTCGCCGGATGGATGGGCTAGTCCTTTCCGTTTAGAAGACCGTTTGTTTGGCACCGGAGCCATTGATTTTGCTGGCTCTGGTGTTGTTCACATGGTTGGTGGTATTGCTGGATTATGGGGCGCCCTTATCGAAGGTCCTCGGATTGGCCGGTTCGAGAAAGACGGTGGTGCTATTACTCTGCGCGGACACTCTGCCTCTCTCGTTGTCCTAGGGACCTTCCTCCTCTGGTTCGGTTGGTTTGGTTTCAACCCCGGTTCTTTCACCAAGATCCTCGTCACATATGATTCTGGTTCCAACTACGGTCAATGGAGCGGAATCGGCCGGACAGCGGTTACAACCATGCTCTCTGGATGCACCGCGGCTCTAACCACCCTCTTTGGAAAACGCCTCGTATCAGGCCATTGGAACGTAACTGACGTTTGCAACGGTTTACTTGGTGGGTTTGCGGCCATAACCGCAGGTTGTTCCGTGGTGGAGCCATGGGCAGCGATTGTGTGCGGCTTTGTGGCTTCCCTCGTCCTTATCGGATGCAACAAGCTCGCCGAGCTTCTAAAATATGACGATCCGCTCGAGGCTGCGCAGCTACACGGAGGGTGTGGTGCATGGGGTTTGATATTCGTAGGACTGTTTGCAAATAAGAAGTATGTAAACGAGGTATACGGGGCTAGCCCGGGAAGGCACTACGGGCTTTTGATGGGCGGAGGAGGGAAACTATTGGGAGCACAATTGGTTCAAATACTTGTGATTGTAGGATGGGTTAGTGCTACAATGGGAACACTCTTTTTCATCCTCAAAAAGCTTAACTTGCTTAGGATATCGGAGGAAGATGAGATGAAAGGAATGGATATAGCACGTCACGGTGGTTTTGCTTATATCTACTATGATGATCATGATGATTCCAGTCAGTTTCCAAGAGTAAACCCTGGATCTCCTATACCTCGCTCTCCTACTTCTCCAGCCGTTTAAGTTTAATGTTTTTGTTATTTTATTCCCGTTAAGTGTTGTTGGGGTTTTGCTTTTGAATTACATATCTTGTTTGGATTTGTTTTGTTTTGAGTGATGATGATCTACGTGTTTTTGTGTATCTTCTTTTTGTTCCATTTGTCCGAATTATATTACTACTTTGACTCGTTTAATGTTTTTCTCTGTTTCTTAAAAAAACATAATATATAGTTCCAACTTCCAATAGTATAATAGAAGAAAATTGGAAAAGAGTGAGACTCAGATCTCAACATGAGAAGCTAGAGTTTCGATGCTCGGAGGATGACTAAATTTACTTGTTCTAGTTTTTTATCTGAAAAGATCATTTGCCGAACATTTAGATTTTTTATAACACTAGAAAAAAGTAGAAAACATACTGTATTGATTATGGTACGTGTGGACGAGGGTTTTTAATTTTTGATAAAGAAAATCATCTTTCTTGATAATAAAAATCTCATAATGCCGACAAAATTAAATGGCTATTGGAAGCGAATAGAAGACTAATCCCAACCCCAAAATAAAAGCAGAGAAAAATCTCATAAACCTCTAACTCTATCTTCTTTTTATTTTCTTGTTTTGTTTTTAACTAGCGGTTTTCTTTCATTTGGATGAAGCAAAAATTATATTTTCGTGACATCCAAATCGTTAGAACAACTAGGGAGCCCATTTTAGTTCGCCACAAGAAAAAAGGTTATTACATAATTTATCGGAGTTGTAATTAAAACGAGAAAGGTTGTCCACAAGAGATCACTACATCATCGGTTAACTTTGACAAAAGGTTGTTTATTGAAAATGCAGTAATTAAAAGGTACATGGCTATGACTATTAAGTCATACAATTATGAAAGTTAATTGAACTAATGAGTAGAGATTACAACATAACATATAAACATATATTCGAGACAAACATATAGAGAAAATCCTAAGCTTGAAACTTAAGAAGATGATAGGATGGAGATAAGCCAAAATCAACCGTGTCCGCGTTTACTACGCTTTCCTCGGCTTTTGACTATTGATCATTCCAACATATATCTAGTAACGATGCAGTCACTTGGTCCACATCTTGCAAAGGTTCCAATGGGAAATGATCCATAGTGCTGTGAAAGGCACATGTTCTTTGACCGATAGTTACAGAATAGCTTTTCGGTATTTAGCAAGTGCCAATAATGGAAAAGTGTTTCTGTATGTAGCATAGTGTGTCAAGCAATTCCTCATAAACACTCCTACTAATTCCTGCATATGAGATAACAACAGTACATTCCGAATCAGTTAGCAAATATTTTTTAAATTTATATAAAAAACATTATTTCTAATCAATTTGTACTAAGATAATGCAAGAAAAGAAACATATCATTTGAATCCCAAGACTTATATTGTTAGATGTGGAATCTATACATTACTTAAAAGGTCATCTCCCATTAACGATAGCTCACCAAGCTTAAAGCCTATAAAACCGATCTCCTCAAAGAAAATCATCATCTTTGAGAATAAAAACAAATCTCCAAAGAATAAGGAAAATGTGAAGATTCCCAAAAGAAAAAAGTAAAAGGAAGTCAAATGAACCGATTTCCTCTCCCTATAAATAGATGACATAACTTGAAAACCGTCCATAAATTGGTGAGAGCTCGAGAGCAAGATCTAGGAGTTTTAAGCTTTTTGTTCTCTGGCAAATACCTTTGTCCGGATAACTCTTTGTTTATCTTTGAGCCTTGAGCATTAATAAAATATTTATTCTCTTAAATCCACAAATTTATATTGCTTATATTTCTAAGTGATATTCTGGTTTAATATAATACTTATTTCTATCAAAGAGGATATGTCTAACCTGTTGAGGGAAATCTCCATTTTCCAGTTGTGAATTGATGATAAGTTTAGCAGCACGATGAAGAGGTATTGGATCTTTCTCGGCCTGTTTTTTGTAACATGTATATATATCAACGAAATGAATCGATGAAATTTCGTTGTACTTAAGCAAATAGAAATATTTGAACCTGTCCTCCAAGAATTAGACCCATTATTGCCCAAGAGGTTTGCACAAGGTTGGTTCTTTTCCCTTCTAATGGTATGTATCTCTAAACACAACATGTTAAGAAGATTAACACTTTTTCAATGAATTAGGTTAAATGCATATACTATAATACATCATGTTGATCTGCGCAAATACCTGTTCAGGGCATGACAAATAGCTTTCTCCCCAACCTCCATCATCTTTTTGTGTCGTGAGCAAAAACTCAACACCTTTACGCATTACCTGGCTATTTTCATATGTTCGACCACCGGCTGCTAGACCGCCAAGAGCAAACCAAGTGGCGTAAATAAAACATACACCCCAATTCCCATACCTATCATGATTCAAAGATAACGTTGTGTTGTTAGGGTTTTTATTTAACCACGCATATGAATTATGTTTACGTAACATACCATGAACCATCTGCCATTTGATTGTTTTCTATGAATTGCACCGCTTTCTCAATGAACATGCTGATTTCTTTTGCCCTATGACCTGGATAGAGTTGCTTGAACAGCGCCAAAGCTTGTAGGACCGATGATGTGCATTCCACGTACTCACACTCAGCCACAATATTAGCAAGAAATTCGGTGGGATTAAGAAACTGAAACACCATTGCAAAGGTTAAACATGAGAGTTTCTTTTCCTAAGAACCTCAAACTCACCAAAAAAAGTGTGAACACTTACTTCAATCCATTTATATGCACGAACAGGCTCCCAAGCAGTCATACCTCCATTCTTGCTCTACATTTAATGAAGTCGTAGTTGTAAATAGTATTAAGAGCCCCCAAAAATATTGTATAACATGATGAGTCTTATAATTTTGATCTAACCTGAAAAGATAGTAGAATATTAACAGAATCGTATAACTGTTCGGGATCTATTTTCTGACCAACAACCTCAACTGGCATCATAGAGAGCAGAAGGCAACACTACACAACCAAAGAAGTAATTTGAGGCAAAATTCTTGTAGAACTATATAACTAACTTGCATGCATGCATCAGTAACTGGTTTAAGCACCTTGAAAGCTTCAGCTGTACAGTCGGAAACTTGCCACCCATGATCTCGATCAGAAAAAGTCCATGCTCCTTTGGACATGTGGCGATACATGTTCTTAAAGTCACCAGAAGGGTTTTCTCTAACCTGCGATGCTCTTTGATTTAGATACAATATTCAAGTATTACTTAGAGATATTCAATTACACTATTGTAATAAAAAGGATATCAAACCTGAGATATCTTAATGTAATCATGTCCTTTCTTGAGTACATCATTGGTTTCATCAGAGATATCACTAGCAAGTATAGCTTGAACCGCAAACGCTGTATCCCATAGTTGACTTCCAAAGCTCTGCATAATATCTAGAATATTTAAGAAGCTTCCCTTGTTAGAGTATAACTCTATATATCTGAATCTTTTATAGTACCTGCATTTTCATTCCATCTTCGGCGACCCACATGTAATCTGGAATCCTAGAAAGATGCTTCTTAAAGTGGTCTCCATTAGGATTTTCAACCCAGCAAGCAAGCATGCACAATGCCTATAGAAAAAAAGAGAGTTCATGATGGATATTAAATATACGTTCTTAGGAGAATATATGCATCAATGCATGATGTTATACAGGATCGATCATGTTTTACCTTCTCAACACATCCAATGGTGATATAATGGCTATTCTCGTCTTCGTAATGTATGTGTTCCATTGCCAGCCGAAGAGATTTTTCCCTCACAAGCTTATTCAAAGGCCAACGGGTAAGGAATGGCTCCACAACGACGTAAAGAGTGTCCCATAGCAAATCTTGAATTAGAGGGTGGGGAAAATACATGTCTTCCTGCAAGAAAAATATGATGAAACTATCGTGACATAGAAATGTAAAGAAAGATACAAAAATGATGAGTCACACCTTTGCATATAGACGTCGTGTTTTATTCCAGTTGATTTCTTCGTAAGGTTGTAGATGGAGTTCTTCACGCAGTTGCATAATAAGAGGTGTTATTGGACCAACAAACCTCTTCCCATATAGATACGACATGGGCATGTAAACCGTCCGGCAATAGCACAAAGTGTTCGCTTTATTTAATTTTGCGTCAAGATGAACATCAAAAACAAACAAAAAAAAACTCAATAAATGAAAATAAAATTTCAAGCTATATATAAAATTGGAAATACTAAAACGTAACGAACCTAAGTGTATTGGAAGAAAAGAAGGTAGCAACCATATTTCGGGAGGCATCGGATTAGTACCGGACCAATCATATATTCCAAGTATCTATATACAAATCAAATCACAGGATGACTATTTTTATTTTTTTTGTTAAAGGGTTTTTTTTTTAGTGTTAAATTGTAGTACGTATGGTTTTGTCTCTCTCACAGGATTATAAATATTCTTTTTGAGTAATACTCTCTCGATTATATCATTATATGATTTATATATATGGTCTGAAACATTAATTTACCGATAACCAAACTTTTCCCCAAGAAGGAATATAAGTCACACCACCACGGTCAATAATCCATTTTCTTGCCCGTTTACATGCGTTTTCTTTTCCTCCGTCCGGACCTTCTCCGAGCATACGCAAGCATAAGTAATTCAGCACGGTGCAGAACATAACGCTCTTACTCTCAACGTGTAATCCCCATCCACCATCTTCGTTCTACAAATCATCAAAGGTACAAAGAGAACTCTCGTTAGGAATATTACTATATATATGTCCAATGATGGGCTTCAAAAACTCTGATCCAAGAAATTCATCGTTGTAATTACCTGATGACAGTAGACATGTCGAAGCATCTCTTTGCGATGCTCTGGACCGAATACCTCCTCGAGATGCCCTGTTATATACAAACAAAATACCTGCAAGAAATTTTCCCTCTTAGTTATCTCTTATCCGAGACAAATTATTTAAACATCTCGCGGAAAAAAAAATCAAGGGAAGAAAGAAGAATTGAAGAAACATACCAACGGAGGAAGAAAGAAGAGAGGTCCGGTTATCTCCGCAGGCCAGTGGCCGTCAGAGGCCTGCAAGGCTGAGAAGAAAGCAACTCCTAGCCGTAACGCCTTTGTCGTTTTTACATGAGTTATAACTTCGCTGTCGCCAATATGCACCGGCGGAATCACTTGCTTGAATTTCGCCTCTTTCAAAAACTGCGCGTACAAATTATTATGAAACCCTTTCTCAAAAAAAAAACGAAGACAATCAATGCATATAAGAAAATAAAATACGTATGAAGCATTTTTCACAAGGGATTTGTTTTGTATTCGTAATAATGTATGAGAAAATCATAATTGTATTTTTCTCGAAACATAAATCTATAATGTAAAGATGTAGATGAGTGGCAAAAAGAACTAGACAGATATATGTAACTTTTCATCCAATAATTTTTTTTATCATAGTATTCAACTATTCATACTGTAAATCCATATCCATCTATGTTTTCCATACAGAATCATGTGAACGCTGTTTTAGCTTTATTTACCAGAGCCTCTATATAACTAAATTTAAATAGTGAATTACAATTTAATAATATTTCTTTTGGCTATTAATACCAATCTTTCTAAATTTTAAAATTCTAAATAAGTTCAAGTTATGAAAAAACACAAAAACTTACTTGCATTCGCCACAAGAGATCACTGCACCCTTTAACACGAGAACGGTTGTCCAAGAAACTTTGGCGAGCTTCTTCAACGGCCGCTCGTTCTTCCGGTGTGCCCGCTTTAGGATCGAACTCCCATGTTTGACGCCCGACGAAGTTATTGCTGCTGAACAGATACGGATCTTCTCCATTTCCCTCTCCTATCTTCAACTTCCACATCACAATGATTCTATGTATATATTATATATATCTCACTGAATTTAGAATTTCATACAGATAATTTATTTGAAATAATGGCGTGATATATATCTACATGCGTTAAGGTAGGTATTCTATGTATATATATCTCACTGATTTTATATGAAACAGAAAGAGATGTAAGTGAGGGGGAGCACTTGTGTTAGGTCAACATTTGCCTACACTGTCGATAAATAGAGGGGAAGTACGTGTGTTTATATAGAGTTCAAAGACGATTAAAAATATGAAAGGATTCTTAATTCGAGAATTTGAACATTATTCTCAGTTATTCATTTTTTAATTCTTTTTAGTTTAGTTAATTTCAGTAACAAAGTGTTACCTTCTAACTTCTAAGACGTACGAAGCCCGTTGTTAAACTTACAAAGGAGCAATTCGCAGAATCTACATTAAAAATGAAAACCTAATTAAGTGTCATCAGTTATAACCTAAGTGTATCCGATACATACTCAATTATTTTTGGTTACCTGCAGTTGAGACTTAATTGTTACCAACACGTTTTCAAATTCCAATGTTTTCCAGCCATACTTATCTTATCGCTTTGAATGCATTCATTTTTGGGACTCATACTAAAATCCAAATGTCTTCATGTTATAATGTTTCTACTTTTGAGTAAAAGAATCCCGTGAACTGAATATTAAATCATGCAAGAGATGGATGATTCCTCATACTATCAATCAAACGATCAATAACAAATTTGTTTCTTTCTTTCCAATTTTTTGAAATTATTGTAAATAGATGGAAGAGATAATCCCTCAAACATCAATCAATCAACAACAAATTTAGTACAATTTTAACAGATACTATTATTATAAAATTTTCATATTTATTCATATTCGTGCGGATATCATTAGCTAGTCTATCTTGTTTGTTTTTTCCATTCAATCGTGAGTGTATTATATTTGGGCTCGTACTTAAGCAGGGCTGGAAGTGAACTATACAAACAATTACGAATGTCTAATGGGTTTTAGGAGAATGTTTTGTGGCCCACAAAGGTAATAAGTGTGGACCAAACAGAAAAAGATGAACAACAAACATTTGCGTGGAGATGAAAAAAGGCAAAACCACAAAAACTACGAATTCAAATATGCTGCATCAATTCAAGTGAATGTTGTACTTTTAATTAGATGTGGCTGGTCTCTGGAGCCTCCAAATGTCCTCTTTAGGCCTGGGACCTGGACCCGAAATATTGAACCGAACCCGATCCGAAATAAGTGGAACCGAACCGAACCGGAACCGACACAAATACCCGAATGGGTCCAAAATTTCTATACCCGAAAGAACCGGACCCGAACCCGAACCGAACCGAAAACCTGTGGATACCCGAAATATTCAAAATATAACTATATATCCAAAAATATTAGTTATATTTAGACTTAAAATAACCAAAATATATAAAATTATAATTATAAATCTAATATAATAGTTATATTTAGAAAACAATAACAAAAATATTCAAAGAAATCCAAAAATCTTTAGTTATGTTTGTTAATATTCAATATTTTTTTCCGAAATTTTGTTAAATTTCGTATAAATTAAACAGTTTTTATTTTTATTTTATTTTTTGTAACTAAAGTTTGGATATCCGGAACCGATCCGAACCCGGGCGGAACCGAACCGGACCCGACCCGAAAATAAAAAATACCCGAATGGTTCTAAATTTTCTAGAACCGAAAAACCCGAAACCCGAAAGGAACCGACCCGAACCCGACCCGAATAACCGAACGCCCAAGCCTAGTCCTCTTAGTAAAGAATTAGGGGTTCATGATTACGGTTCCCCTTAGTTACTCGATAATTTCTTCTTGTTTTAGAAATCAGGGCCTAAATTAAAATATGAGCCCTGTACATAGATTCTTGTTTGGATTTCAAATTACTTCAATCCAGACATAAACATCGACGATCTTGTTATTGATAAACTGAGCTGATTAAAATGAATCAGCTCTTGTCTAAGTTTCTTAAAGTAATAATTAAATTATAGAATTCCGGGACCTATGATGATAATAATAGGGACATCGAAATCAAAATAGAAAATTTTGTAAGGAATACTTGAATTAGATTTAGAAGTTAATAACTTATTCCATTAAAATATATGGAATTTGCTGGAAGCAATAGTTTTTCACGTTGTAATATAGTTAGAATCCAGGGGATTCTTGCAAGCAATGCAAAGTCAATTTCTCTTGACTTAATTTGTTTTGCCAATAAACGTTAATGTAAAAATCATTTTCTTGTTTTTTCGTACTTGTTGTCCGAATCTCTCTGTAGCTATTACGATTCAGAGAAAAAAAAATTGTTGTGAAAATGATATTTTGATTAATTTCAGAACAAAACTTTACACGGTTATGTATTCAAGCCATACAATCAGCTATACAATTAAGTTACACCGGTGTACCAAACCAGGTTAACCAGAAATAACCATAATCCAATTTCACTACGGGTAATGCGCCCAGACCGGAGCCTATAAGTATAAGTATTCTTTCATTATTGTGTTTGTTTTTAATTGCGATTGATTGATCGTTTTTTTTTTTTTTTTGTCAACAGATGGATCGATTAAATGGGGCATTCTTGTTTGATTACGATTAAACAAACCTTGTCAATTAAATTTATATTTTCTTCTGTGAAGAGGCTTATCTATAAACAATAACTGAAATTCCATCTCTTCTGTGCAGTTTGCGTTCTGCAGCCAACAAACAGAATGAAAACCATTCTTGGGCTACTATCTTCATTCATGGCATGAAAGTGAAACGCTACAAAAAAATATGCTTGAATTTGAGTTTATTAGAACCCTTCTTCATCTGCTCGGAAATTCAAGATGGAAACATTTTGATTATGGTACGTGTGGTGTGGACAAGGGTTTTTCTAGTAATGAATGAAAAATAGCTTTCTTGATAAGAAAAATCCCATAATGATTATTGTCTCTTTTATTACTAATACTAGATACAGGAGTTCATCATTACAGTTCCCCCTTAATTACTCGAAATCAGAATCTTTTATAATATGGAATCTTAGATGTACATCAAATTACTGTGGTTAGATGTACATCATATTATTTTATAATATGGAATCTCATTTCAAAGAAAAAATATATTCTTTCATTATTGTGTTTGGTTTTTAATCATTCAACGACTGATACATTGCATTAGAAGATAAACATTAATTTTACCAACAATATTTTGAAGAGAGCTATAGACGCCCAGAGGTCGTCTAATTTCATAAATAAGTAAGTAAACCCCCCTAAAGTGGCTTTTCGTGTTTAGTAAATAACAATATAGTGTTTATAGTTCCTAGTTGACCTAAATTAAAGTATACAACTATCATTAATCACTAATTAAGTACGTATTACTGAATAAATCATTGTGTTATGTGGTAATCATGATGCGACGTCTATTCTTAACATAATTGTCTACGATTTTGAAAGCTACCGTTGCTACTTAAATATGTGCAACTTTATTGTTCGTCATTCTAAACACTCTCCATACAAAGCATTCAAGATCGTATTATCTTTGATCATTGTTTCTTTAGCCAGTTTTTTATCTGGTAATTTTCATTTATTCCATCAGTGAAATAAACCCGATTCATTTCCTTGTTTTATTTTCATTGATCTTTATATTATCTCTTTGGATTCAAATTAGCTCTCAGATGTCAGATAGGTGGTCTTGTAGGTCCGTTGTGTTATTGTGTATGTATTAGTACACAACCTCACAACGATGAGGAATGGTACAAATTGAAGAATTTAATGCATCGGGTAACTTTGGACATGTATATTTTATCAAAAATAAACGTGGTTCCCGCTAATCCATGTTACTAGTATCAACTACGGTTTAAGCAATTAAAACTCTAATAATACTTCTTCTTTTTTGTTGCTAAAAGCTCTCTATCTTAGAGTACTTTACAAGATCATCGTAAGATTGTCGTATAATGAATGTTGAATCTTAACCTAATTGATTTCCAAAAACAAAATTACATGTAGACAAATTAAGTCGGATCTGCAATCGATTTCTAAGACATTTTGTTATTTCGGTAAACTTGCTCGGATCGAGTGAGTGGAACATATTCGGTGTTAATATCAACTGGGAGATCAGTCTATATTTTAAGTGATATAGCATTTATAGGTTTCTTTTAAATTCCGTTGTGGTTTTGCTTCTTGTTAGTCCTCTAAAATGAATCTTCTCATGGCTATTTCCTTTGATTAAGAATCGTCCTTCCTTCTCGCGGTTCTTTTAACCAAGATAGATATTCTTTAGTCAAATATTTGAGAACGAATCATATATATCTCTTTAACCATTATCCATTCATTTTTTTCTGTTAAAGTTATGGTGTGTGATCAGAGAATTTAATCCCTTTTTGGTTAAAGAAGACCCTTGAATTTTATTTACTTTTAGCTGAAAGAAGACCCTTGGTTTTACAACTAGAAAAACCAGCTTGTCTTTAAAATATTTATATTAATTTTCTTTTTTTTTTGGTCAACTAAACTATCACTTTAATAGCTATAAATCCATCACATACAGTTACTAATGGTTTGATTTATATATTCCCTTGTCTTTTTATATTTACAAACTACATGCTAATCACTAAATAACCAAAGCCGTATAGGATTAGGATCGTAGATTACAAGTCGTTACTTCAAAGATTTGGCAGATTCCATCTCTAGCTCAATAATGTTGTTATCTCATATAATAACCTCAAAATAATTCACTAATTATTAGTTAATACCATTGCACTTGAAATACGAATTTGATTGGTCAAGCCGGAATCAAAAGTCAACTCTAAGCCTCTCTCTTCCTCCTTTTAATAGACACGCAAGACAATCTTTCTTATCCGTCTCTCTCGTTCTCAGGCCTCTCAACATGGCAGGAGCTCTAACTTGTTCTGCGGCCGATCTCTCCGTCCTGCTTGGTCCCAACGCCACAGCGGCAGCCGACTACATCTGCGGTCAATTAGGAACCGTTAACAACAAGTTCACCGATGCAGCCTACGCCATAGACAACACTTATCTTCTCTTCTCCGCCTACCTGGTCTTTGCGATGCAGCTAGGCTTTGCTATGCTCTGTGCTGGCTCTGTTAGAGCCAAGAATACGATGAACATCATGCTCACTAATGTTCTTGACGCTGCAGCCGGAGGACTCTTCTATTTTCTCTTTGGTTACGCCTTTGCCTTTGGTGGTTCATCTGAAGGATTCATCGGACGGCACAACTTTGCTCTTAGAGACTTCCCGACTCTCACCTCCGATTACTCTTTCTTCCTCTACCAATGGGCGTTCGCAATCGCGGCCGCTGGAATCACAAGTGGTTCCATCGCGGAGAGGACTCAGTTCGTGGCTTACTTGATATACTCTTCCTTTTTAACCGGTTTTGTTTACCCGGTCGTCTCTCACTGGTTTTGGTCCCCGGATGGATGGGCTAGTCCCTTCCGTCCAGCAGACGATCGTTTGTTTAGCACGGGAGCCATAGATTTCGCTGGCTCTGGTGTTGTGCACATGGTTGGTGGCATAGCAGGATTATGGGGTGCTCTTATTGAAGGTCCTCGACGTGGCCGGTTTGAGAAAGGTGGTCGTGCCATTGCTCTGCGTGGCCACTCTGCCTCACTTGTCGTTTTAGGAACGTTCCTCCTTTGGTTTGGTTGGTATGGTTTCAACCCAGGTTCATTCGCCAAGATCCTTATTCCATATAATTCTGGTTCCAACTACGGTCAATGGAGCGGAATCGGCCGGACAGCAGTTACAACCACACTCTCTGGATGCACCGCAGCTCTAACCACACTCTTTGGAAAACGCCTCCTATCAGGCCATTGGAATGTAACTGATGTTTGCAACGGGTTACTTGGTGGGTTTGCAGCCATAACCGCAGGTTGTTCCGTGGTGGAGCCATGGGCAGCGATTGTCTGCGGTTTTGTGGCTTCCCTCGTCCTTATTGGATGCAACAAGCTCGCGGAAATCCTACAATATGACGATCCGCTCGAGGCGGCACAACTACACGGAGGATGTGGCGCATGGGGGTTAATATTCGTAGGACTATTTGCGAAAAAGAAGTATCTAAACGAGGTTTACGGCGCTACCCCTGGAAGACCGTATGGGCTTTTCATGGGCGGAGGAGGGAAGTTGTTGGGAGCACAGTTGGTTCAAATACTTGTGGTTGTAGGATGGGTTAGTGTCACAATGGGAACACTCTTCTTCATTCTCAAGAAACTCAATCTGCTTAGGATCTCGGAGAAGGATGAAATGGCCGGAATGGATATGACACGTCACGGTGGTTTTGCTTATATGTACTATGATAATGATGACGAGTCTCATAGGGCCATTCAGCTTCAAAGAGTGGACCCTGGATCTCCTCTTCCTCGCTCGGCTACTACTCCTCGTGTTTAATTTCCAAGAATTTTTGTAATTTTATTACTGTTAATTTATGCTTTTGACATAAAAACTTTGTTTGGATATTGCGTGATATATATTTGTGTTTATATGTGTGCCTTCCTTAATGTTTTTAGAAATCAATACCAATTTTCAAGGGGAATGATAATGCATTTTCTTTTGTTTCCCGTCTTAAAGGTTTGTATTTTAATAAAAGTAAGAAAAATGATAAGAAGAAGAAAAATCTGGAAGCTGTTTTGTTCTTGTCTAAATTCATTAAGAATAATATTCAATTCAATTAGCTATCAAATGTGCTTAATGTATAACATTTCACTAGAAAACATTTAACTATAACACCACATACTTACAGATAATTATATTTCTTACACCAATTCCTTCACCTTCACAGTTACAAATGTCTTTGATTTCTAAGATTAGACCTTAGCTAGATAATTCAATCAATAATTAGGCAAATTAGTAACTTTATTAGCGCAAAAGCTACTACTGTTAATTCATTTTTATGGATCATTAGGCAAACTACATTTACATATATCTAATCTTATAGTATTTGTCTATTTGATGACGATATGGACATAAATCAACATATATGCTATAAGATGATTCTTTTAAGTAGGTTTGCTGTAATTCTTGTTTTGATTTCAATCAAGTCTAAACATTTTTTTTCTTTTTCTTTTTTGTTCTTGTCACTGGATATCATCATTGTTCTTGTCAGTTGGTGTTGTACCATGTTGCAGCCATTGTTGGTCATATCCTCACACAACATCATCTCCTTTTCTGAAATCAGCATTGGCTTGAAGAACATGAATGTTATTATCACAAATGCTAACGCAGAGTTGGCAGTGACTCTGGTTTCTAAACGTTAATAATCACACACACGCACTCTTTGTAGTTTGTACACATCACAATCTAATAAAATGATCAGAAATTAGAACCACTGACCAATAAAAATATTATGAACTAATACCAATTGAAAGCTTTGGCTAGAATATGGTGTATATAAAATCCAAATGCAATAAGCTAAAAATATCATTGGTCTTGTTATTAGGTGGAGAGATGGATTTGACTCTCTTTCTTTTTCTCTTATTTAAATTGATGAAAAACATGCAGACATATTAGGGAAGAACATATATATTGTTCTTAACATGCACGTCATAATTTAAATCTTAAAGTTGGACACAAACTTTAGAAAAAAAAAACCAAATAAACAGTCTCAAGGGCCTCTCACACAGAAAAAAAAAAAAAAAACAAATATAAATCTCCAAGTCTTAAAACAATGAACTTTAACAATAGCTTTATAATTCTTAACCCCTTCCGCCCTTCGACTCATCTCCTCAAATAAGTATCATTTACACATTACCGTATTTTTTTCTTCTTGCCCACGTTAACTAATGTAAACTTGACTTTCATAAGTTGACACATATATTTTATCATGAATATTTCAAATTGGTTCACATTTTTTGCTCGACTCTTTCATTTGTATTCAGCTTGTAGATTTCTGAATCATCATTTGATGAATTGGTCATGGACGCTTGTTTTCTATTGAATTTGATGACTACAAGTCACTGGTTTTTCTCTCGACTTTTTCTTATTTGTTTGTTTGCAACCATGAAATTTATTTACGTATTCACTCTTTAAAGATGTTGTAAATCTCTTTCGTTATATAAGAAAGTTCTAGGAAACCATCTCGAAAGCGATTTACCGAGAAATCATCAACACTATCACGGCTAGAAGGAAGAGGAGGCGTTTCAATGGCCTCATGACCCTTTGGCTTAGATAATCTAAGAACTTCAAGTTCTTTTCCTTTCTGTAACCTTGTTTTTTAATCCTTTTTTTTGCCAAGGTTGCTTATGCACTACGAAATCTCTTTTGTATTCCCTAAACGTTTCATTAATGAATATTAACATTCCTAGCAAAAAAAAAAGAAAGTTGGTCATTTTTCCAACAAATTAAAACAAATGCCAGTTAACAAAATTCAAGTAATATTTCGATTATCTTACAAAATGTCTTCTTTTTCTGTTTTACTCTCTTTTCCTTCTCTCACTTTTGCTTTATTCGGTAGTCCATGTCCATCCATGTGGTAGTAGTACGTGAGTACTAAGCTAAATTCAAAGTTGCCGATATAATTCCCGTGTCACTATCCTATTGGTCAGTACCAGAGTTCGAACCTCCATGACCCCACCTGCCAAATCGAATTAGAAGAAAAGTCAGATTTTTGTTTTCTACCTTTAATTATTGTTGGTTAAATCATCATCAGCCCATCATTTCTATTTCCCAAAATACCACATGCTTAAAGAACTTGATAATCATGATAACTAATGCTAACACATAGCTACAAAGACAGAACTCAGCTAAATAATTCAATCAATAGCTTTACTTGGGCAAGATTTGTACACAATGTTTCTCTGTTTTGTTGATGTGCTTTTCTCTCATTTGATGCAATGCATAAACCTTTTGCTCCAGACTCTTATCATCAGTCCCCATCAATCTTCCACTGCTTTGGTTGATGGACTTGCTGGTAATATCTTCTACATGTCCACACAAATGTATGGAAACCATATTCTCCAGAAATGCTTGCAGCTTGGTAGTGTGAGAAATGCATCTTTCCTCATCTATGAGCTCAGCCCACACATCTTCTACTTGCTCACACATAGATATGGCAACTATGTGCTTCAAAGAATGCTCAACAGGTTGAGGTTGATGAATCCACAACACTTCCGTTCGCTTTCCTCTCAGATCTTGTCAAGGAAACCTCAACTTCAGCATAACTCCTCTGCACAACACGTGTTCTTTGAATGCCAAGCTTGAGAGCACATGTCAAACACACATTGGTTTGAATACTCTTTCATTGTGTATATTTCATTGCCTTTCTCTTTCCTCTCTATGGGTCTAAGGTTCTTAGGCTCTTAGCGTATATGGAATCTCATATAATACTCTCTCATTGTGTATATTTCATTGCCTCTCTCTTTCCTCTCTGTGGGTCTTAGGTTCTTACGCTCTTAGCGTATATGGAATATTGGTTGTCAAAAAAGATATAATACTCTCTTCTCATTGTGTATATTTCTCATTCTCCTAGATTCACTTTCTCTCGTATTACTTGTTCCTAACTTGACTCGTACTCGGAAGTTGTGTTGTCTTGATGAAGATATGGAAACTAGTGTTTGTTGAGAAAATAAGATAGTACTCCCTCCGTTTCAAATTAGTTGTCGTTTTGACAAAATGTATCTGCAAATATTTGGACGTATCTGGACATGTTTTGCATTGCAGATACGTCCAAATATTTGCAGATACATTTTGCCAAAACGACAACTAATTTGAAACGGAGGGAGTATGTGATTTGGCACTATGATTATGTTTAGTAGGATATCGTTTCTTCAAATCTTCAAAACCTTATATTTCATAACCTTGACATCGATATCTCCATACTACAAGTTCAAGTTCATACTTAATTAGAGAGAGATAATTAAAAACTACAAGTTCTTCCACGCAATTGCCAAGCATGCAGTAACATAGCCGAAACCATTACTCCTCTTTTTGATAACACAACACACATCCGAAACAATACGAGAGTGATAAGCCCAATAACGTTTATTTCAGGAAGAACAGAGTTGGTTAAACTGTGGAAAGGCACGTGTGATGGCACGTGAGAGTTAAAATATTGAAGAGAAGCCTTGGAGTCAGCCAGAAGAAAGCTTTCGTATAATTAAGAATTGTGAGTTGTTTCTCTATGCTTTTTGTGATCAAACCTGAGTGTTTGAGTTGGGTGATTGTGATTTAAGGAGAGAAGCTGTGGAGACACGATTTTGGTTCTTATTTGTAATAGTAGTTTCTAATTTCTTAGTGTAAATAATATTCGTGTACTCTACAGAAAAAAAAAATTTTAGATCATATAATTAGTAAAATTTCGTACAAGAAAATGCATGTGTTTCCATATGTATCCTGCTGACTCAAGAAAATGCATATGTGTTCGTATACTCTCCATATGTATCCTGACTCAACGAGGTTATATTGTTTTATTCTAATACTAGGAGGGCACCCGCGCAATGCGCGGGATTTTCTTTTAAAATTTAGTATTTTATGGAAGATTTGTAAATTTGTATCCTACATTTTAATCTTCTCTTCCAATAATGGTACCATTTAATTATTGCTTCAATATTTGCTCGTTGTTTTTGTTTTCTTCTAATGTCTTGGTTAAATTGCTCGCTGGTTTATTTTAACTAATCAATATTTATATGCTAAAACGGTTGTTCACGAAATTGAAATATACATTGTTAGGCACTAAATCAATCTTCAGAACCACAAGGACTTAATATTTACAACGACTTACTCTAACCTCCAAATGGTCCTCGAATCAGTTATCCTCGCACTACAAAAAACATGCCATTTAACGTCAGTTTATATATGAGTTAACGTCATTTTTAAAGTGACTCTAATAACATGGCGTTGGTTTGGTAAGTGTCGTAACATGACGTTAAGTTTGTCTGCGTCATTTAGAAAACCGACGTTATAATTAACGTCAAAAGAGTAACGTCACTTTTTTTTTCAAGTTGCTTTTGAAACCGACGCAATGTACAAATGCCACTTAAGCTCTTGTTTTGTTTTTTAGTTAAACTAAAGAACTGTGATAAAGATAAATTCAAAACGACAATGAACTTAAAAATAAAATGAAAGATAAAATATTATATGATAAGAAACATAACATTTGAAAATACATTATCTTGTGTTTGGTGATTACAAAAGAGAGTAGAAATATTAACAATTTATCTGATTAGTTTGACATTTACAGAAGCAGGTAGAATTTGTATTGTTCTCACTTAGATTTCATAACACCACATCTTCCTGAGCAGACTCCAAACAGAGCGTATCTGACCTGAAATAACAACATAATAGCCGAGAAGATCAGAAACCCAAAAGCAATAAGACAACAAGTTCCCCAATTATCAAAACACAGAAAAGATAGTAAGACTGAGAATTTGAGCACGTATAAAAGCATTCTAAAGTTATAATAAAGTTTCTTGGTGGAAATAGACGTTGACGTAACTCTAAAGGAACATGGGACAGCAAACGCCGTTCAGAGTATAAAGTTTCTTCTACTACTACCACCAATGAAGCGAGTTCTGAAAGTAAAGCTGGTTCTAACAGTCCAGGAGATGGGAAGAAGAGAAAACAGGGAGATGATGAAACACTAACCGATCCGTTAAGGAACTCTAAACACGTTGCCGTTTCAGTGAGTGTAGAGGTGGGAGCACGAATCCATCCATTTGTTAAAGTCCTATGACATATTACTGTACAAACGGTAAATATGATCCCATCAGTAAGGATCCGGCAGAGAGTTTTGTTGTTTTCATTAAGGATCAACCAGAGAGCCTTCCAATAAATGAAATAACCACTCCTCAAGCTCCTAGTCAAGAAACTGAGGAACTTGAAGACACTTTTGATTTTGGAAATCAAGTGATTGAGCAGATATCAGATAAAAATGCAACCTCGGCGGCTACTCCAACTATAACTCCGTTCGAAGCTACTACTACTTCAAATGGCTCACCTTTCTCCAATGGAACAGCATTATAAAGTTATAAAACTAAACATAATTTTGTTCATTCTTTTATCTACCTGTGAACATTCCTAGAGTAAAAGACATTGTCGACTTACAGAAGCTACGGATGCATGACTAACCAAGTAAAACATGGGAAGAACATACCAGTTTTCAGTGAAATCCAGCTAACCAGATGTAAGATCATCTCATAAGCTGAAACATGTCAAAAATTAACAACAGAGATCAATGGCAACATAGATCTCGAAGATAAGAGGATGAAAACTCCAGAATCGAACGATCTTACCGTAGTTGGATCTGAAATCCAGTGAAGAGACATGGTCAGTTTCGACGAAATCGAAGGCACAAATGAATGGGAGACGCAATCGACTTGGATCTGAAGTCTTTCACAGATCGTCGTATCTTCTTCTCGAGAGAGAAAGGTCGCAAAACATACTCTCTCTTTATTTCCCGTGACCATCAAACATAATTCTTTAACTAATTAATAAATATTACAGGAAGATCCGGAAAGAATTGAGAATGATCCGGGTGAAAAGAAGTCGGGAGCAGAGAGAAGGCGGATTGGTGAACGGACGGACGGGGAAAAGAGGGGAGACGGGTTAGGTTTTTTTTTTGTAATTAATTTTTTTTTTAGAAAAGCAATCGTTAACGACGTCGTTTTGGTGTAAGACGAAAATTGAAAAAAAAAGTGCAAAACAACGTCGTTTTGGCGTTGGGAGGAAAAAAAATAAAAAATGCCATATGTCAAAGGCTGGAAAGTGCCCAAACCTTATTAGTTATGTAGATTTCATCAAAGTTGACTAAACCATGTTTTGTCGTTGGCGAGCAATGATTGAAATATAACCAATGAGATATAACCATATGAAATGAGAATTTATCTTTAACTTTTTAGAGATATGATGTTCATTGAGATAATGATATAAATTTGTTCATTATAAAGTGGTGGTGTTACTACACCTTTATTCATATACCTATTTCAACATATAGACTTGGTCCAAAATGAGGTATGTGTGTGATTGATTATGATTTCTTGTTTAAAGAGAGATTGAGATTACTTTTTTTTTTCGGTTAAATCATCACAGCACATCATTTATATTTCCCAAAATACCACATGCTTAAAGAACCTGATAATCATGATAACTAATGCTAACACATAGCTACATATGTCTTTGGTTTCTAAGATTAGACCTTAGCTAAATAATTCAATCAGTAACTTTACTTGTGCACAATTTCTACACATTAGTTAGAAACTTTACTTCCACAAAAGCTACTACTTTTCAAAATTGGGATTAAAAAGTCAATTTCTCTATGATTTGATGAAAAACAACATAAACTGGTTTCCTTAGCGTCCAACATGAAAGGGTTGTCGTGGTTCAAGCCATAGCCACGTAATCATACACCAAAACGGTTATGGTTGCTCTCTCTCACCATCTCTTAGATTAGGGTTTTTATTTTCGCCTAAATTGTTCCTCTTTCAGATGTCAAACTCTATTCAACCTGATGGAAGTGCTTCCTCATAGCAAAGACCAACTCTTCTCTCATCTCTACTCGGATTTGAGGAAAAATTATAGGATGTATATAGGCTATAACATGGGTTGTGTGGTGTGATTTTTGATTTGATGTCAATGTCAATCAATTGTAGACATTTTGTTCTTTTTCTCTTTCTTCTTGTCACTTTGGATATCAACTTTGTTTAAGTATATTGTAAAGGTTCTTGAGATCAACGAAAGTATAAAAAAAACTATTTGTTCTTTCTTCTCTTGGCGTTGTCTCTATTGCATTCTTCATTTTTTTTCTCTAAAACAGAGCCTTTTCACTCTTCTTATGCGACAATTACAAAAAAGAAGTGTTTCATTTTCTGGTCAGGTGTAATAAACTAACTCCTTTGTGTCACATATTGTTTCTGGTGTAAGATGAAGTAGTTAGATACATGTCAAAACCAAATACCAAACCAATATTGTATACCCAAAAACTTGAGGAATGAAAAGAAAATTCGATTATTATCCTTTGGGGTATGAGTTCAAATATAGGCCATCACATAAGCAGATGACATCAACATAATCACATATGTACAAAGCAATTCCTCCTGTAAAGCCAACAGCAGATCAGTCTGCACCTTAAGACAACTTGCACCTCTGGCTTCTGCATTGTCAGATGTTTCTAGCCGCTCGACTCCTCCAACTTTATATCTTCAGACACAAATGTCTGTGGAGAAGGAAAACATATGTTAGTTCCTATTGAAAACATGTCATAAAAGAAAGACGAGTGAGCCACATGTAAGTAAACACAATTATTGGTTACTATTGCTATAGATAACTAACAAACCATGAGTGATAGGGTGTAACTCTGAGATACCGTTGATGACAACAACCATAAACTGAGGAAGAGCATTGATCGCTGATCGCTTCTTGACATGTTTTGCATCCAACTGCAAACTTCAAGGCTAACACCGAGATAACCTGAGAATTATCCAACTTCAGACAACATTTCAACATGACCCTATTGTCGGAAACAAACTTCTCATACCACCTATCACTATAAACAGGGGAATCACATAAACACCATGTTTTACATGTAATGATTCATCCTCATCTTTGCTCTCTTAAGCCTTAAAATTTTCCATTTTGCAGTCATAAGACTCAAGCAAGTCTAACACAGAGTAATGAGTATATTAGCTAATAGCAATTACTCCTCTTCTCTGTTCTAATCTTCACGTGTGTTTTCTCTTCCGCTAATTACCTGCAACTGCCTTGGAAGTTTCTTAAAAGACTCATTCACGTGCTAAGCTTACAAGTCTTGCTCCATGAGAATTTTCACAGCAACATCCTGAAATTGGTAGAGAGTAGTTTTGCATAATAAAAATGCTGCAACGATATTTCAGTTAAGCCTCTTTCTCTTTGTTCCACAATGCTGCTGTCTAGTCCTAAGGAGACGTATGTATGTCTTTACTAAGATTTGTAATATTGACAGTCAAAAGGAAGATTCCACAATCTTGCCAAATTGGAAAATCCTCATTGTTAATTTAAATCCCTAAATCCTCAGTAACCAAAAGTTTAAAACTTGCCTCAAAGCACTTGCTATTTCAAAAAAAAAAGTTTCATAGTTTAATCCAAATCAACCATTCTTCTTCACACAACAATCCCATCACAACCAAAGACACAAGGTATAATCCTCTACTTATCTGGATTCAGAATACACAAAACATAAAGCAAAACCAATAGAAAGAAGAAAAAAAAAAGATGGAACTTCTTATTGGTTCTTAATCATCAAGTCAAAGAAGATGAAACTCACAATACTCCAGTTAGATTGGTCCATATGTACCAAACTCAAGATCATACCGGAACATGAAAAATTCCAAATTTTCTGTCTCTGGTTTTCTTTTAATCGAATTATAAGCGTCAAACAACTAAAACGACTTCAGTGTAAAATTGATTTTTGATTTAGCAACATACCTTCTGTCTTAATCGATGCACAGGCGCGATTGAGCTGAGAAGAGTTCTAGAGACTTTATCTCTATCTCTATCTTTCAATGACGAGCTCAAAACTCGGGTTGTAGAAATCGAGTGTTTACCGGAGATCGACATCCATCGCCATTCTTCTATTGAAAGTCTCCGCCGCGATACTCTGTTTCAGCCACGGTCTCGGGAACTACGGCGAGCTTACAGAACAATCGTGAAGGTTTGGGGTGCCAAGGCTTCAACTTTCTTCCATGAGATCGATTCACCATTACAGGCAAACTCACTTTTTAAATTTGAGTTTGTAATTGCAAATTGCAATCCACCATTTTCGATTTTGCCCATGAGTAAATTAAAGAAACCCCTTACTTTTGCCAAAACTATTTTTAACAACCCCTAACTTCTTTTAATCGTAATCAAACCCTGACATTTTTAATAAACGCCTAAACACACCCCTATGTGTGCTAATAAACCTTAGAATCAGAAGAATGTCTCTATTTTCTCTTTATATACTAAAATAAAAGGACATGAAACCAATTTCATTTGTGAGTCCCCCTTTCCGAAATTTTATACATGTAAATTTTTATTTTGAGACCTGAATATCGAAAATTATTAGAAACAAAATAAAAGTCGAAAATGGGAAATAGTTGATAGGATGTATAGTTTATACTTGATAGGAGACATCTCCCTAATGACTAATATGATCTGATTTTTTAAAGGCCATGCTCTAAGATGAATATTTGGAGGTTTTCATTACATCAAATTTGAATTTCAAGATTTATAATGCTAGAATTCATTAAGAATAATATTCAATTCAATTAGCTATCAAAAACATTTAACTATCACACCACATATATACTTAGAGATGATTATATTTCTTACACCAATTCATTCACCTTCACAGTTACAAATGTCTTTGATTTCTAAGATTATACCTTAGCTAAATAATTCAATCAATAACTTTACTTGGACAAACTTCGTACAAGCAAATTAGTAACTTTACTAGCCCAAAAGCTACTATTTTAGTTCATTTTGTTACTACTCTTAGTTGACACCCATTTTCGAACTAATTTGTAATTGGGCCAAAGAAAATTTAGAAACTAAACATTTGGCCCATCACATTTTAAAAATTCGAAACGATTTTTCTTATTAGTCGAAATTACGGTTTTGAGTTTCTCCTAAATCATTCCTCTTTCAGATGCAAAACACTATTCAACCTTATGGAAATGCTTCCTTATAGCAGACACCAACTCTTCTCACATCTCTCCTCTGATTTGAGGAAAAATCACTTGATGTGGTATGCTTTCTGATCCCCTCTCTGCTTTTGAATCTATGTTGTTTCACAATATGCTAATTGTGTGTGTTTGTCTCTTTATCTCAGTAGTGCGTTGCTCAATATCTTTCCTCAAAAAAAGTCTCAACTTCTCTCCTTCTTCACATCTAACATTGTTGAGCTTATGATGGAAGATGGAGATTTGGAGCCTCTCTTCACAAGAATCATGAGCTTCTTCGACCAACAAGGTCTTGAGGTCCTTTGAGTTTCATGTTTCATAGATGTTTCTCTTGAAAATGTGGTTCAATGTCTTGATCAGAATTTCCGTCTCTCTTAGGCATTTCTCACTGTGATTGCTGGTTCTGCACAACTGGCTGCAGCTGGGAATGGGAACGTGAATGCAATGCTTGCACTGATCAAGTCAGCTGCTCATAGACTGGTTTCCCTGGCGTCAATCTTGAAAGGGTAAAAGAGAAACTTGTTCTTGTCTTTGGCTCTGTTTTGCTTTTGTCTTTGAATCTCATACCCATCTTCTCTTGCTTGCTTTTGCAGGAGCTTGCTGCTTCAGAACTTCATCTCCAGCTTTCACCACAGTGTTGGAGACATCGTTGTTGAGATTCTTCAAGGTCGCTTCATGGAGTTCTCTTCCAAAGCTCATGCAAACTTCTTTGTACAATCATGCTTCAAAGTTGCAAGGTGGAGGAGCTGTCTTTTGATTGCATTAGAGTTGGATGCTCATTTCCATAGCCTTGTCAAGCATCCCTGTGGGAACTATGTGCTGCAAGCATTGATCAGGAGGTACAAGAGCGAAAAATGTCCCATTCCCCTTCTTCTTCTCTCTCTGATCACCAACTCCAGGCACACTCTCAGTCAAGACAAATGGGGTAAGTCTGTGGTCTATGTGTTTGATGCATGAGAGATGTAAGCAGAGCAGATAGCTATTATAAGGGAGAGATATAGAATATTATAGGATGTATATAGGCTATAAGATGTTTCTCTTGAAGTTGGTGTGGTGTGATTTTTTGATTTGATGTCAATGTCAATCAAGTGTAGACATTTTGCTCTTTTCTCTTTCTTCTTGTCACTGTGGATATCAACTTTGTAAAGGTTCTTGAGATTCAACTAAAGTATAAAAAGACATTTGTTCTTTCTTCTCTTGGCATTGTCTCTATTGCATTCTTCAGTTTTTTTTCTCTAAAACTGAGATTTTTCATTCTTCTTATGCGACAATTACAAAAAAGAAGTGTTTCATTTTTTGGTCAGGTAATAAACTAACTCCTTTGTGTCACATATTGTTTCTGGTGTAAGATGAAGTAGTTAGATACATGTCAAACCAAATACCAAACCAATATTGTATACCCAAAAACTTGAGGAATGAAAAGAAAATTCGTTTATTATCCTTTAGGGTATGCGTTTAAATATAGGCCATAACATAAGCAGAAGACATCAACATAATGAACATACTAACAAGCTATTCGACTTTGTCCACTGATAAAAAAAAAAAAAAAAAAAAAGCTAGCTACTGAGCATGCGAACATGTCTTTACATTACCACATTGTGCTGTTTTATTTTAGAAACCAGAGTTACTAAAGCAACAAAGGCAATGGTCAAAAGACTCCTAAAAGAATCGCGTATCTTACTGTTTCTCAAGTTAAAGGTAGTGAGTGATTGGTGAAAAAGACAATGACGTAACTAATAATCCATACCTCCCATACCATCCATGCCTGCTCCAGCTCCTGTTGATTCGCTTTCGTCTTCGGATAGATTAAAATGCGAGGTGGTGAAGGATTGTGAACTCACCTTTAGCAGCATTATAACCAAGGTCCGGGTTATTTTTCTCCAAGAGCTTTCCAACAATAACAGCACCTTCAAAGAAAGTACAGTACTATATCAAATAGAGTATACTTGTGCTGTATTATTTCATAGCTGCGTCTGAGATTCTTTCACATGGATCACCAAACGAAGCAAAGAAACAAGTCTTCGATTTTAAAGATATAGATTAGTGATGAATAAGTTTATTAGCTATCAACCCAACGCTGGTGACATTAAGAATTCTATGTTTGTTCTAGGTTACGTATACAACAAGTCTTGCCGTAGCTACAAAATCTTGAGGTGTCGGGATTGTTACGACCCAAATGAAAAGTTTTGGGGTTCGGAATCTATGACATATATAAGCTCTGGTTTATGGAGGGTTATTAATCATAACGTCTATGGACTATGTAGACTGCTTCATGGTGGAGCAGTAGTGGTGGAGGGTGATGAATGCACAAAAATGCCTTACGTATAATATATATATATATATATATATATAAACAACTCAGTGTGGTCGCCATTTGGTTTCAGTTATGTTCCACGTTTGGTCCAAATCCAGCAAAGTAGAGGCAAAAGAAAAGAAAGAAACTAGTTGATGGAAAAATAAGCAAGTGTGATTTTGTTGCAACTCTTCCTTTGTCTTTGTTTTTGTTTTTGACTCTTTGTTAATAACTTTGTGGATTGGCTTTCATCTTAATTTTTGTGTGTGAGAAGCAAAAGACGAAATGATGAATCGATGATGAAAAAAAGAGAAAGAGAGGACAATAGTTAAGAAGAAGATGCAAACACAAATGATGATCGCCTTAGAAAACTTTGAAGCAAATGGTCTCATAACATTTTCCCAAGTGTGCTGTTTATTTTAGAAACCAGTAGTTACTGAGTAACAAAGGCAAAGACAAAGACTCTTCGTGCAATACAATATGAATGTAGAAAATATGTAAACAATAAAGAAAAATGGTAAAAATAGAGAAAAAAAATCCACATAGGAAAAGGTTACGCAATGGACTTTCTTGTTTGTATATAAGACAATGTAGGGTTAAGACGAACGTAAGAAAAGAAAAAAAACCCTAGTTTTTTTACTTTATAGAGCCATCGATCGAGTTGCTTTCTTCTTTTTTGAAAGATCACAATGATTATGTCCGATCTTCCGCATGATATACTAGAGGAAATACTCTCCAGGGTTCCCGCCACATCTCTGAGACCATTACGATATACTTGCAAACTATGGAACGCTCTGTTCAAAGACCAAGGATTCACCAACAAGCACTTTCGTAAAGCACCAAAGCAGTCCCTGGTTCTCATGTTGAAGGAACATAGAGTTGTTTCAACGAGCGTCAATCTCAACATCGGTGCTCCATCTGTAGAGTTTAAAGGTGCACTTGTCCTAAAGGATTCACATTCTAATCCACAACAAGTCGATATATCTTATATCTCTTCTAACTGCGACGGTTTGTTGTTATGCGCCACCAAAGACCACCATAGACATGTGGTTTGGAATCCGTGTTTGGGGGAAACTAAATGGATCCAGTCCAAAACTGGTTACGACCGGCGGCACACTAAGCTTGCTCTAGGTTACGTAAACAACAAGTCTTGCCGCAGCTACAAAATTTTGAGGTGGTACGTGACGACAAAGTTGGTGGGCTTGAAATATATGAGTTTGGCTCTGATCTTTGGAGGGTTCTTGATCACGTCGCTTTAGACTACTCCGCACATTTAACAACGTGTCTTTGAAGGGAAATGCTTACTGGATTGCTTATAAGCAAACCGACAAACTAAAAAATTCTTACTAAGTTTTGATTTTACAAGAGAGAGATTCAGACGGGATGTGTGTTTACCGACGTTTGAGAATGTTGGTTGGATAGCTCTATCAGTTGTTAGAGAAGAAAACTCTCAGTGTTAATTGGAGCAAGTGCATCAAAGATCGAGATATGGGTGACCAGTAAAATTGATGCTAAAGCCGCCGTGTGGAGTAAATCTTTTACAGTGGATATACCTAGTCGCAGTATTCTCTTCAGTTCCCATGAGTTTTTTGATCGACGAGGAGAAGAAAGTGGCTGTGTGCTGTAATATTGGACGTGTATTTCCAAGGGAGCTGAGGCATACACTATTGAAAAATTTACACACAAGCCCTTTTGTGGAAACTACACATCAAGTGTCATGGTGTCCATCTATTTTCAATTACGTTCCAAGTTTGGTTCAAATTCAGCCCAGGAAAGCAGAAAACTAGTGGATAAGAAAATAAGCATGCAGTGATATTTTATTGCAGCTCCTCCATTGTCTTTGTTTCTGTTTTTTCTCTTTACTCTTTTGTTTACTGATTTAGTTTTGGCTTTTGTGGATTGGCTTTCATCTTTTAATTTGTTTGCGTCTTTTGTGTGTTTGACTAGAGAATCAAATTAAATACGAAAAATGATGCTTTAGAGAACTTTGATGCTTTAATGCTCTCTTAACACTACCAAACTGTGCTGTTTTATTTTAGAAAACAGAGTTACTAAAGCAACAAAGGTAAAGGTCAAAAGACTCCTAAAAGAATCGTATCTCACTGTTTCTCAAGACATTCAGTATGATGTAACTAGTAGTCCATGCCTCCCATACCACCCATGCCTGCTCCAGCTCCTGCTGATTCGCTTTCGTCTTTAGGAAGCTCCACCACTACCGCTTCAGTTGTTGTCAACAAAGATGACACACTAAACAACAACAACAAGTATGCATTTAGTTTTAGCTTAGACTCATAATTTTCAGCAGCTGTAAAATATACGTTTTTATGGCTTTGGATCTTTCTATTATTGAGTCTTTATATGGGAATAAGACAGAAGTCACTCCATATCTTCAAAATCTTCATCAGTAAATCCAGCTCTCCTCATACTCCAAATCCAGCTCTGTTTCTGTTGCATGCAATTCGCTTAAGCATCTTGTTCCTGAAACTGGCTTGGCTTCTTGAAACTCACTAGCTGTCTTTTTGAAAAAAAAAAAGGTAGGCAACAACTCACGACGTAAACAGTTTATTCCTCAGGATTTGTTTGTGTACAACAGTTTAGACAGAAAAGAACATACCACAATCATCCAAGACCGAGAGGTAGTGAACCATTTGGGGAGCTATCATTCATGGCAGCTAATCCCTAAACTCGAATTCATTTCTTTCTCCAATCTGGTCAAAATGCCTTCAGTTTCATTAACTCTTTTCTTTTCTTAAAAGACTCATTCACGTGCTCAGCTTACAAGTCTTGCTCCATGAGAATTTTCACAGCAACATCCTGAAATCAGTAGAGAATAGTTTTGCATGATCAAAATGCTGCAACGATATTTCAGTTAAGCCTCTTTCTCTTTGTTCCACAATGCTGCTATCTATCTAGTCCTAAGGAGACGTATGTATGTATGTCTTTACTAAGATTTGTAATATTGACAATCAAAAAGAAGATTACTACATGTATCACAGTTTATTTGTGTAATGATTTTATCACAGTTTAAGACAATCATACTATTGTCTGTGTATGTTTTACCAAACTGGAAAATCCTCATATATTGTTAATGAAATTGAACTAGTAGTCTAAGACATCAAATTTGAATTTGCAAGCTTTAGAATATTAGAATCGTTTTCTTAAGGTTTACCATCTACTAATATAATTTCAGAAAAATCAAAATTCACAGCTTTATATATAGCATTATACATACTCTAGTCTACTTTCTGAATTATTCTTCTTAATACGTTCTATTGTTTTACTTTTACCGTGTCTTTGTCTTTAGTTACGTATGATTTATTTTTCACAAGTCTAACAATCTCGGTTCCCGCCAATATCAAATCACAACACATTCGATTTAACCAAACAAACAATTGAGCACACTAATTAATCAACAATGGTTAAGAAATGTAGCTACATACCATTTGGAGTAAAACGTCTCAGCTACAAGTTATGGATCATTTTCCGTAAAAGCCACACAGCTATTACTTACTTTAGCTTACACATATATATTTCCCAAAACGTAGGGAGAAACAGTAAGAAGAAGACTCCTAAACAAGTTAAATCTATGTAAACTTCAAACAAGAAAAGCCCTACGTATGTATCAAGAATTCAAGAACCACATTAATTAGTAAGTAAATTTATAGAAAATATTGTTTAAGACCATCACAACATACAAATTGGTTTGCAAGCAATGGAAGTCATCAAGTCAATAGTCGAAGAATCTGAGCTTTTCCGTCAGGGTTTCCTGTTTCATCATAAGAAGTCGGATTCTTCGTGGTCACTCATCACTCATCAGCAGGGATTCTCGGAAAGAAGTCGTGGCTCACTACGGATGCGAGACTTGGGGACTTACACGACCTCAAGGCTCTTGCATCTCCTCTTTCTATACCGAAATATTTAAGAGCAAGAAGGAAGAGGCTATAGTCCTTGCTTACACCGATGTTGGATTGATTTTGTTTACGTTGATCTAAGTCCAAGAATCGCCTTTCATTTGTTCTTTTTGTCTAAGACTTGCTTCTTATTGAGCACTGAGAGATGGTTCTCGTAGATAGTGGCTACCTACCATTTCCATCATATACTGTTTAAGAAAATTAACCATCTACTGACTAGATTATTCTCTCTCATCCAATGTAAAATAACATATTATCTTCGTCTACGTACGGTAGAACAAACAATGTCAATGAAACTACTTAATTAACCAACTTTGTTGAATTGAAACATTCTCAATTGAGACCGGCACATGCATGTGTCGTCCCAATCAAACGCATGATATGTATGTCGTTTTTTGGTTATACATGTTAATTTTCTTCACTCGAAAATGATAAGATAAATCTAAGTATGTTTGTTTATGCTTTGTCCTTTCGGGATAATGCAAAATTCATATTTATTTGTTTTAGTTCTTTGTTGTTAAAACTATTCTTAGTTGACGAGCAAAACAAATCTAAACATGAGACCTACCTTGCCTCGGAAGTTAGATTTCACTAGTTGTTTTCTTCTACTGAAAAGTTCACAAACAATAGTATAAATTATGTTCTAGAAAAATGTCATAAGTTCCACACTTTTTAATTTATATAATAAAAAAATAATTTACATTATATGTTTCTTTGATTATGTTATAAATTTATAATCCACCGAATATAGAATTATAGACTAATGGGCCTTTATCGAGCCGGAAGTTAACCCTAGCTCTCTATAAATTAAATCGATCAATCTCTTTCTCTCTACAAGCGTTTGGTTGATTGTCATGCATGGGAAGGGAAGCTATGAAGAGAGATTTTAGACGAGAGACGATGAGGCCGACGATGCACCGTAACTTTTTTGATGAGATTGATTTCGAAGGATCCTCAATGGCTATGCCGATGGATGTCGATTATGACTCCGACAACACGGACATGCTTGACGACTTCGGCCATGGAGAAGGAGCTTTCTCCCCCGCGAAGAAGCCGCCCAAAGACCCTAAATTCTTCAACAGATTCGAGGATGACTTTGACGATTCCGACATCAACTGATTCTCATCCCCTCCTTAAATCTCTCACCTAATTCTCTTAGGGTTTCTAGATTTTCCTGAAGTGTTTTTAATCTTTCTTGACTCCGCTTGTGGAAAGTGACGAGATTAGTGTTTTCGGGATTCATTACTTTAATTACGGTCTTTATAATCAGCAGTCGATCAAACTTCTCATTCAGTTACGTCTTATACATTCTGTACTGATTGCTAGTTTAACTTTTTTGCTCCTAAATTCGTATTGTTTGCTACTTACCACTCTTTCTCGAATGTTGTGTTGTGTTAGTCTTGATGAAGATGGATTCTATTTCTTTGATTTTAGTGAAAAGATAAAAGAAAATATATTTTAATGTTTTATAAAATTTCTTGCCTTTTAACAATGAGATTTTGTGTTTTTTTTTTCCTTATGGTACGATACCTTAACAAATTTGGCACTATGATTATTAAAAATATGGTTTTGTTTAGTAGAGTAATGTTTCTTAAAATCTTTGAGTTCCTGAATCCTTTAGACTCCCTAGTCCAAGCCTTCAAATTAACATGTTCTTTTTTACCAATTAATTCTGATACATCAAATTTAAAACGAAATATTGAGGAACCTTGAATATAGAGACGAGTGTTCTAGTAGGGGCCACATTAGAATTACCTCTCCACTAAGCATACGCCACGCGGGCTTTCGATTGCGTTCCCTTCTTGTCCATCGCATTCGCAATTTCGCATCTAGCGATTTATCCAAGGCTTTATGTTAACCTCAGTCCTAAACCTTATAATTATAAAGATTATCAAATATATGTGATTGCGTTACTTGCTTACCATCCCCAGAAGGACCAATCAGGGAAGACAATATCAAAGCTGACATCATCAGAGCAATAACGAAACAAACACTGTAGGTGGGGCCGGAAAACGTTGACCTGAAAAGTCTTTTGATCGGACGGTCGGTCTATCATCTGCAGACATCAGCTCAAGATCCGGTAATCTTTTTGGATACCACCGTAACAACTGTAACTGTACAATGCCCGATTGCCCCTACATAGTCAAAGACTCAAAGTCGTCTCTAGCTTGGGTTGATTTTCTATATATTTCTTGCTTTCTCAATCATCCCTGTCTCTTTCCATGCATAGCCGTAAATCTTCGTGGATCCAACGGAAGGAAGAAGGAAACGTGGATGGTTTTGATTTGTACGCCAAGGCTTGATTTAATATACTTGACCGTGACAAGTATCTACCATCTAACAATGACCAAAAGAAGATGAAAAATCTCGTCTGACTTATTCCTTGGGAGATTATTAGCTTCATTTTTTTTGTTTTTGGTTTAAATGTTATTATTAGCTTCATTTTTTTTTTCCTTATCATTCATCTTCAAGCCAATGGCCGTGACATTTCCGTTGCTTTTCCTCCTTGCTTCACAATTATTGGTAGTCTCTGGTAAGATTTCCATTTCCAAAATCGTAGGGTCTAACTTTTTTTTATCTATCAAGGTTTGTTAATCATTTTGTTATCTCTAGTGGTGTCAAGAACCTTTACGATAGAGAACAAATGCGAAGAAACTATATGGCCTGCAAGCTACTCCTACGCGGGATCGGTTAACACACCCGGTTTCCAACTTGAGAAGGGAGGTACACGTGTCATAAACGTGTCGTCGTTATGGATTGGTCATTTTTGGGGCCGAACGCTCTGTACAACCAACTCAACAGGGAGTTTCTCATGCACTACCGGAGACTGCGGCCGTTCCAGTAAAGTCGAGTGCTCCACTACCGCCAGTCTCTTGCCTCCCCTAACGTTAGCAGAGTTTCTGGAAACCTTAGCTGAGTTTAACCTCGCTAATGACGGCGGTGATGACTATTACGACGTCAACGTAGTCAACGGTTACAACCTTCCTATGGTTGTGACCCCTGAGAACAAAAAGTGCGAGAGCATTGGATGCGTTATTGAGTTGAATAAGACGTGTCCATCGGAGATGAGGATGAGGAGTGTCGACATTAACTCCAACGATCCATTTGCTTGTAATACGTCATGTCAGATAAACCAAGTCCCGGAGGTTTGCTCTGTTGGACTCTACGTTGCTGATAAAGATATCGTACCACCGAATAGATGCAGCCGGACCATCTACTCGGAGACTTTCAAAAACGCGTGCCCAAGCGCTTATAGCTTCGCCTACGACTCTGATATCAGCACCTTCAAATGTCGTCACTCCTCCAACTTTATCATCACGTTTTGCCCGCCTAGTACAGTAAAAACAGGTTAATAATTCTCCTCTACTCGCTTCTGTTTCATTTTCCAATTATTTTTTCTCTACGTACGTAGGCTAAACATGCATCCAAATCCGACCACTCAGAAATATATATTTTTAGGCCGCTTTGTAAATTGTAAGCACTTAAATGCACCATACCATAGGACGTGCAATTTATGTTTGTAATATTTCTACTGTCGGTGAGTCACAAACTTGGTAGAACGCTGAACGCATGATGTTGGAAAAAAAATGGACCATGCATGTTTTCTTGGATCCATATAATCAATGTGACCTGCATAGTGGGTTATAGGTTCGCCCACATATTAAAGTAAATGAGTTTGTTTGCTAATTATATGTGTATATATATTGATCATATTTTAACTTATAAGTTGCTTGTTGGAGAAGCAAAAATATGAGCTCAATGGCTGAATCTCCATTAGCACGTCGTACCAAAAACACATTTATAAGCTCGAAGAGCAAAACGTTTCTTCATCCACTTTTCTTGGATTTTCGGAAATAAATGGATTTTTTTTCTTTTTCTTTTGTTAATCGAAATGTTTGGTTTGATACATTTGCAGGAAAATTTCCATTAAAGCTAACACTCATAATCGGTACATTTCTTCAACTCTGTGACATTACTTTCAACTCTCTTGCTTATTTAACTTATGATGTACGTAGCACCTAATTTGCAAGGCCTTGTTATCTTGTAGGAATTTCATCAGTTTTAGGTGTGATTATCATTATTGCGATTATGGTCAAGGTGAGAGCAAATAATGTGAGAAAAAGAGATTGGAATGAGAAGAACATAGACGCTGTTGTAATGCTGAAGCGATTTAGTTATGTAGAAGTCAAGAAGATGACAAAATCATTTGTGGATGTTCTTGGGAAAGGAGGATTCGGAACTGTATATAAAGGGAAGTTACTTGATGGCAGCCGAGATGTTGCTGTGAAGATCATGAAGGAGTCAAACGGGAATGGGGAAGATTTCATCAACGAAGTAGCTAGCATGAGCAGGACATCTCATGTTAATATAGTCCCTCTCCTTGGATTCTGCTATGAAAGAAACAAGAAAGCTATAATATATGAGTTCATGCCAAATGGATCCCTTGACAAGTTCATCTCCGAGAAGATGTCTACGAAGATGGAATGGAAAACGCTATACAACATTTATGTAGGTGTGTCTCGTGGCTTAGACTACTTGCACAACCGTTGTGTATCGAGGATTGTACATTTCGACATAAAGCCACAGAACATACTCATGGATGGAGAGTTTTGCCCCAAGATTTCCGATTTTGGCCTTGCTAAACTAAGCAAAGTTAATGAAAGCATCATGTCAATGCAAGACACGAGAGGCACGGCAGGGTACATTGCCCCAGAAGTGTTTTCCAAGAAATTTGGAGGAGTTTCTCATAAGTCAGATGTGTATAGTTACGGAATGGTGGTTCTTGAGATGATTGGAGCAAAGAACATAGAAAAGGCTCAAGATGCTGGATCCAATAACAGTTCAATGTATTTTCCAGATTGGATCTATAAGGATCTTGTGGACGGAGAAATCATGAGTTTTTTCGCGGATCAAATAAATGACGAAGAAGATGAGAAGATATTAAAGCAAATGGTTTTGGTGGGTCTATGGTGTATTCAAACCAATCCTCTTGATCGTCCACCAATGAGCAAAGTGGTTGAAATGTTGGAAGGAAGTCTTGAGGCTTTGCAGATTCCACCTGAGCCTCTTTTATGTTTACCAGCGATGACTGTTCGAACAAATGGTGATGAGATTCAAGAGAGTTCAAGTTTCTCGAAACTAAGTCAAGATACTTCAAACTATCTCGAAAAAGAAGTCCAAGATGATACAGAAGTGAATCAAGATAGCTTAAGATCTTCCTGAACCCAGGCTAGCAAGTAAGATCTTGGGATCTTCTTAATTACGGGTTTGTTGATGAAAACAAAATTAGATTTTGTTAGTATTCACCATTAATATTGACCATTGAGGAAATGAAAATCAACATATTATATGCTTACAGTAAGAAATGATGTTTAATTCTTTTAGATGATTTTTCTAGCGAAAAAAAAAAAAAAAAAAAAAAAAACTTTTAGATGCATACATTACATAGATTTTGGAAGGTTATTATTTGGTCTACTAATTCAATTTACATCGTAATTTTAAAGTTACGGAAATATGTAACCTATAGATAAAAGCGAATAGCGAAGAAAATCTTACAAAAAAAGTTACACTGGTTCTAGAGTTACAGAACTTGTTTTTTCCCTTAAAAACTTACAAAGGATGCCTTCATTAGCGAAGTTTCATTGAATGAATGATAAAGCTCAACAGATTTTTCTAAAATGTTAAGTGGAATTTTCAAGTCAAAGTCAATGTGATGTGTAATTTGCTTTTGAAAACCCATTTGGTGTCCTAATGACAAGAACAGAAAAGGACCTTTGATATAAACGTACATAACGTTTACGTATAATCTTAATCTCTCGGTTCAACTTGACCACCGTCTACTATTCAAAACCCTGAATTTATCAAACATAATTTTCTTTTGTTTTCTTGCGTAACAAATACAACCACATATTTCTTTTAAGCATATCATGAAAAGACAACATACGTCTTCAATTTCTATTTTGTATTATGTTATTTAAAAAAAATATTACAAGTTTGAATAATAAATGTTGATTATGTAATAAAAGAGAAATTGACCCCAAACAAAAAGGATTCTAGATCCAAGATCCATCACTAGTTGATAGCTCTCTACTTTTCTTGCAAGGACCTGATTGGCAACTGGAACCACAATAAGCATCCGTGATACCGCAAAAACCATGCTGACTGCAGCAGAGGATCGGGGAGCAACCGCAGTAGGCAGGAGTGTTAGAGACGGAACCGGTTTGGTTAGTCCCACAAGGACCTGACTGACACCCAGTACCACAATAAGCATCGCTGGTACCACAGTAACCGTGTTGACTACAACAGAGGTTCGGTGCGCAACTGCAGTTCTGCGACTTGGCCGTTTTGGAGTAGAAACAGAAGAGGCAAAGGAGGAGTAGGGAGATTTTTGTAAGAGACATGTTTTTGTTTGTGGGTCAGAATGAAGAGTATGAATGTATGATGATGAGCTTGTGAGTTTAATTGTGAGAAGTGTTTGGTATTTTAGTAAGTGTTTGGTACTTTAGTCATTTCATAGGGATACAATGTCTTTTATTTGAAGTTTCATTATTTAACACACGGCTCTGACTCTTCTGTATTCCACAAAATTTATTATTTGGTCTACTAATTCATTTTTTACATGAACAAGACTAATAAAGTATTTTATTTATCTTATGTACTTACGTGGCCTTTCTAAATGTGATGAAGCATCACAAACTCTAGTATAAAGTAAAAAAACCACATAAAGGACCGTAATCATTAATTCTTATTTCGAAAACAGAGAGAATGGATTAAATTCCTTTTTCTATTAATATGAATCATAAGGATTTGAAGGTCAAAGGGAGGAGAAGATCAGTTAAAATATTGACCCCATAATAAACATGGATCAAGGTTAGTGTTTCTTTTTTTTCTTTTTCTAAGAAACTTTTTTGGGTTGGATTAAATCAAATTTAAAAATATATAGATTTCATGTATTGCCTAATATTCTGATTTTGATTTTACACTTACAAACTGTTGCTTTACAGAAGAAGGCAAAGAAACTAGTGGAGGCTTATAAAGTGGTGAAGAAAAGGAAGAATCTTGATAATAACACATACATACTGGAACATAAATGTAAGTAGAAACTCTATAAATTTTGTAAAAAACTTTTTAGGGTTGGATTAAATCAAATCCAGATGCATTAGAAGATAGAATTCAGAACTGAAATCATTATAGTAATTTACAAGTTTTCTCAACATTATAAGATGCAAATTCTACATATATTTCATAACAGTACAAGAAATACTTCAATACAACAAAAATAAATAATAAATGTATAAGAGTTGAAATGCAAAGCCCAAAACTAAGTATAATGATTTTTGGGTTATGTTTCATTGTTTACTTTTAGTGAAACTATTATTTGGATTATTGCTCTCGTTAAAACATAGCAAGACTACAAATTGTAAATCTTTGATGAAATGTCTCAATGTTTCAAAAATTGTTGATATATTAGAATTTTAAACAAGACAAATGTGTTTTGAAGACACTCACTAAGAATATTCGACTTTTTTTCTCCAAATGTACTTAATTGGCTAAATAAATCGATAAATAACTTTACATGCACAAATTTGGAACAAACTAAACCATAGAAAAGTTTGGTTCCATGTGCTAGTCACTTGTTACTGTTTTCTACGTGTTTAATCAGGATATGATCAAGAGGTTCAGGATGCAGGCAATTTCTAAAATAAGGAAAATCTAAGATATTGTGAAGCATTCAGTGTCAATATTTCGGATCGATCATATTCAGTGTCAGTCTCTATAGTACAATGAAACATATTCAGTAATATTTCAGATGTTTTTAGAGCAAAATATACAGTGTAACTAGCTCGGATGTTTCTAGCTATGAGATCCACGGAGCATACCTTATCTTTGATGAAGTTTTTGAATTGTAACTCTTACTGTTGTGAAAGTCTTGTGCCAAAAAGAGTATCATGTTCTAGAATAATATCGTTTGGCCTATCCAAATTTAGAATAATATTATTAGCAATGATAACCAAATTGGTATGGGGTAACCAAAGGAAAATGTTTCGTGAAACTATAAAGAGCATCATCTTTCAGAATAGAAAATGTTAAATACATAGGTCCCCGTCAAATACAAATAGTGAAGAAAAGACGATGAGCAAAGCTCTTGGCCATGAGTATCACAACTGTTACATGCAAGAATAACAATTAGAAAATATTTAGAAAATCAACAAATTTTATATATGAATAAACAAAAAATTAGGCAAAGGGAATAGAAGCTACCTCGAAATATCAAGAACGAAGGTAATATCATCAAAAGTCTACAAGCTAAAATCATGACCATAAACTGTAAAGTTGGAAACAAACAAATCAGAATTAGAAATCTCACATTGAGACATGATTGACATAATCAAATGTCAACTAAAAATTATGTATTAAATGTTAATTATTTGTTCTAAAACAATAGAAGGTTACCTTGATGATGTCCCGTAATTTCAAAGTACCTAGCCAAACTAGCATTGGTAAAGACAATTTAGCATCGGTACACAAGGACCACAACAAATGGACAAACAAATATGCAACAAGCATATTCACTTGGTTAGGCCATTGCGATTCTGTCCGTTACAAACACATGTCAGTCATACTATACATGTAATACTCCAAGGTCAATTAATTAATATTTGAATAATTTTCTAATGCTTTGTGTCAATTAAGAAGAATAAAAAAACCGAACTAATGCTTTGTCTCAAGAAGAATGAAAAAAACCGAACTATTGTTGATTGTGATTGCGTGTGAAGCACTTCATGTTTCTTTTCATTTGACAACAAGAGACAAGGCATTTAACGTCAGTTTTATTGATTTTGAGTTATGTAGTTTTGGTTATGGATAGCTCTTGCCATAGGAACCAATTCATCTATCGTTTGCAGTCGTATACTACTCTATCCGATCTGGCTTAAAAAAATTTAACAGTTTACCTCAGTTTTTTTATTTTTTTATTATTGGTGTTTTATATTCTTGACAACATGAATATTTTTAACTGTTAAACTCTCTGATGACATTTGACAACATGCGATAATGTCAGTGTCATTATGAAGAAACAGAAGAAGAAAATAGAAGGAAATTCTGTGAACGTATGAAGTGAAGTTTTATCAAGAGAATGATAAGTTTTCTTTTCTTTGAAGATTTAGGAGTTCTTTGAAGAGTCCTAATCCGCTAGAGTAATCTCTCCTTCTCTAGACTCTATTTTATTGTAGTCTTTCTTCATTATGCTCTTAAACATCTTTATTGAGCTATTCATGGATTTTCTCGCATTTAGGTCTCCAAATTTACCTCACATCTTGCGTCTTTTTCTTTTACTATTGACATTATATATATTGAACGAATTTTAAGCTTTTTGAATACAACGTGAATGAACTTAAATTTTGGATTATACCTCTTAGATTATTTCTGGCTTTTTAACGTTCAGTTCAATTAACAACTGAAACTTAGATAAAATTTTAAATTTCATACCCAGAGTTAAGTTCGAGGTCGATTTTTACACATATTGTGACGTGGCTAATGGTTAACGGAACGCTGGCATGTTTAATTGTCCGTTAACCAACTGACGTGGTTTATACATTAAATTCTGAATAAAAACAAAAAAATAAACGACGTCGTTTTGAGTCCAAATGACGTCGTTTTGGCTTTTCAAACTAATCCGTCTTCTTCATCTTCAAGACATGATCGGCGAATGGAAACAACTTTAGGGTTTTGAAGGAGATGGCTTCATCAGCTAAATCAAGTGTGTAATTCGTATCGTCTCTGTTGTGTTCATTTGGAGTTTGATTTGTGTTAATTGAAATAATTGGTAACTCTCTAATGTTCACGGAGTCAAATACAACAGTAAAAGACGCCACGGAAATGAAGAAGGCTCGAAATTCCGAGATCCTAGGTAGATTGTGGCTTGAACAAAGATCAGAAGAGGCGCGCCGTCGACTTCTTACTTTTCCGGTGAAAAAAATAGGAGTAGAAGAGAGTAAAGGGTGAGACGAGAACGACATCGTTTCGTTTATTACTTCTTTATGCGTTTCAACTCAAAACGACGTCGTTTGGTTTAGCATAGTTATTTTATTTTTGACATCATTATTAACTCGTTTGTTCTCCTCTTTCTTCTCTATAAAGTATAAACTCACGGTTCATTTATTACCAAAAAAAAAAAAAAACTTACGATTCATCAGCTTTAATTGTTTTGTGTTCTGACTATTTGTTATCATATATACTATGTTCTTTCGCTCGCTGGAAGGACTGTCTGAATTGCAGAAAAAATTACTGAAAAATCTTTTATTTGGTAAAACACTGCAATTGCAACTCTGGTTGTGAAATTGCTCATCTTCTTTCGTTAGCTATCCATTGGAATAGTATTCATGAGAGGTTACTTGTTTGTTAATTTTAACGATAGATGTTAGATTTCAAAGGTAGGGATTATTACTTTTCTCGATGCTTAGTACACGCTAACTATAAATAAGTCTTCTTAGTCAACGTAAAACCTCCACACTCATTCGGTATGCCTACATATTTGTTCTTTGTGTGCTAAGTTAAGCTCAATTTGTATCTATACGAGGCTTGTCCTCACTACTGGTATTAGAGATGTCAAACAGGCTGGACCGCGCGGAAATGGGCCGAACTGCCGCGGTTTCACTTCTCCGGCGGGTCAAGCGGGTTGAACCGCTGCAGGCTGCGGTGCCAAGATGCTCGACCCTAACCCGCACCGCTTGGTATTTGCGATTATGCGGGTCAGCCCGTGGGTCAACAAAAACTGCAACTTGTTATTCTCTTTTAGCGTTTATAGACTGTGATTGCATCTCTTGTTGTGTGTAAAAACAGAATCAAACATGTATTTTCAAAAACTTTTAACTTATTGCCTTGTAAAGTAATGATATAATAATCAAAACTTGAAATTTTTATTATGTAAAACAGAGAAAGAAAAAACAGAGATGAAGATCGTATCTCGAGCTTCTCATGATTATTAGACTGAGATCGAGCTTTGCTTTCAAGGTCAAGACTTCGATTAGCACAAGCACTTGCATGCAAAGCTCAATCTCGATCAAACAAGGTGTAGAGATGATGATTGCCAAGAGAATTTTGTCGGTCTTCACTCTGAAACGGGATGAATTCGGAGAGAAAGCTTTTTGCGGATAACCCGCAAACCGACCCGCCCGCGCACATCATCACACCAGAACCATCTTGAAGGCATCTAATGTTGAGCTGATCAGAAGCTATGTTTCGCTCAATATACCCTAAATCAAATGAAAAATTAGCAAAAAACCATAATGAAACCACAATGCAATGCAAAGAAGTTGAGAATAGACAAAACATTACCTTTCACACATTCCACGCCGAAGAGGTGTCCACAGCCATATGGTTTACAGAGGTTGTTTTTATTGCAGAGGTAGCATTGAATCTCTCTTGAGTGAAATTCCGCTTCACTGTCTATTAAGCTTGCAAGAGGATTCCCAGGAATAGTCCACTGCGTAAGAATGAACTCTTCATCCCTAAAGAAGAAGAAAACCAACATCACAAAGATCACACAAGAAGAAACGATGAAGACAATTAAGTGGATATGCATTAAGAACACACCAATTGTTGGCAACAAGAAGACCAGTAGCGTAATCTCTGTAGATTCTAAGTCTTTTGGCTAGACGAACTGAGAGAATCTGAATTTGTTCAGCAGCCATATCCTGACATTTACACAGCAACAATCAAGAAATCACCATTGCAAAGACATAACCGCTTCTACTGATTATACTATATGGGACTACATGAAATCTGAAATCTATCTCTCTCTATAATATCCCTAAGTCGATCAATAATTTTACATGTACAAACTAGGAACAAACTAAAATATTTTTCATAGACAAGTTTGGTTCCATGTGCTAGTTCATTACTGTTTTTTTACTTAGGTGTCGATTTTTTCTCAGTTCCATGTGCTGGTCACTCATTACTGTTTTTTTCCTTAGGTGTCGATTTTTTCTCATAAAACGTTTCAAACAAAATCTTTTGAGAAGTTTCAAGCTAGCTCAGTAAAATATACAGTGTTAATACGAAAAAAAAAAAACAATCAGTGTATATTCCATTGTAGTGTAGCGAAAATTTAATAACAGTGATCATGATTGCTATGATCTTAATTTAATAACAAATTAACTAGCGTATCGAAAAACCACAAAATGTCCTACTTTGCCGACTCATAAAAGATTTGTCATAAATCACTTGTTTTTGTAAAATACAAATATGCAGAAATGGTGATTATGAACCTTTTCATTTACAAATAAAGCTAGTTGTTGAATCGAGTTCGGTTTGCAAAACTCTATTTCGTTTGGCAGAAAATAACTGATCTATCAAAACTAAAACCAACTTTATTTCTTCAATTCGACTTAATTTGGTTTAATTGGTTTGGTTTATTTCCGGTTTATGCCCAGCACTACAATTCCACTTAATTTGGTTTAAATTAGATGGTTTCGTTTATCTTCAGTTTATGCTCAACACTACAAATATGTCAGTGGCAGTGTCAATTTCTGCTCCGAGTCTAGTTTAATTTACAAGTTTCTTCACAAAATTAAGGTTTTAATCGGTTTATATATTTTCGGTTTTCAATGCAATTTTCATTTGGTAAAGTTTAAAACCGGATCAAACACTCAAGCAAACGACAGCGTATTGAAAAACCACAGCAAACGACAGCGTATTATCACAGCTCTTGTGTGTGAATTGACATGGCTCTTTTTCCTTTTCTATCTGAACCATTTCACCCCATAGCAGCAAACATCATATAGACATTTCACATTCAGATCTTAAGTTAGCTTATCTTCGCTGGATATAGACATAATATTCATTTTTGAATTGATTGGATTATATCTAGCTATTAGTATACATAAAAATTATTCAGTGTTTAGGATTAGTGTACATAAACATTTGCTTTGTATTACGCTATTGTTGCCCAACACTTCACAGAGTAAGCAACAAGAATCAGTACATCCATCAGTTGACATTGCTAAATTTCCCACAAATGCATATTCTTGATGATGTCTTATAACGCTGTAACAAAGATAAGGACATGATTGTTCTCAGGAACCAATGAATGCATCCGGCTAAAAGCAATCACAAGACCAAATCAATAGTGTAGCTTGAGATTAGCTAATTATATGATCATTCTTCAACTTGTCAATTTGTTAAAGATAGTGGAGGATTATACTTCCAGGTTCGGCTCTTTAAAAAGAGTCTATTTGTCACACAAATAGCTAAATTTTACCTTATATTTTATCCTTTTTTTTAAAAAGTACAAATTTGTATGACATCAAAATTCCACCTGTGTTATGACTTGCTGACTTATGAATCAGAATCCCACACGTGTTAATTAGGGGAGACAAAGCCGACTTTTAATTAAAAATTTATTAGTAAGATATTAAGATACACGCTTGAGAAAAAAGGAAATAATAAGAGTAGCCCTAAATCTTTCCTTTTTTGGCTTACCTATATATACAGAAGGAGTCTCACTCAGGTTCTCTGCGTAAGTAACAACAACAATCACAATTCACAATCACAACAAAACAAAAAGTGAGAGAAAGCTATAAGGCGATTGAGAAACCAGCGATGGCGAACAACGAGGAAGAGTTACGCAAGATCATCACCGTCGCTAAGATCATGGACGAGAAGCTGAGCCCGTCGGAGAAGAGAAAGCTGATGTCTTTGATCGAAGACTTCGTTGATAAGCGCAGAATCAGTCACACGAATTCAGCAAATCTTTTCACCTTTTGTTGGCCGGAAAAGTTCAAAAAGATGAAGATCGAAAGACCCAACAAAACCATCGTCTTCTTGGCGAGCCAAAGATTCATCAAACCAAGCCGAATCATCTTGCGGTTGGGGCTGACGTAGATGGGAACTTGAAAAAGCAGAGCCGTCCAAAATTTGTAACAGATTTATTTCTTTTTAACTTTTTAATGTTCCTGACACTATGTAGTATGTATAACAAGAGCGGTTTATGAATCAATGAAAGGCAGGTTTTTTAACACTATGATGTCAAAGTTTTCAACTCAAATCTCTATCTCGCTATATCTGTATTACATCAAGACTGAGAGTAGTCTTGATCCAACAAGCTAAGAGTTTTATATTTCTCAAAGTTGGGAGTTTTATGAATTGAACAGCGCACTTTTGACTTCCCCACATTTGAGAATGAGAACCACATAACACCCTCAAAACAATCCTTGTGATTGCAGCTTAAAGTAGTGAGCAAAGAGCAACGAACAGTTAGTTACCTGAGATGAAATTAAGAATCCAGTGACGATATAAGACCTTCAAGATCCAATTCCAAGGCCACTAGAGTCTAACAAAATTCATAAAAGAAGACTCTGATTATTATAAAGATAATAGATGATGCTATGCTTTTCAACACTAAATAAGTTAAAGAAAAGCTACTATTGAACTTCCAGCACAAGACTTAGAAAGACGTTCCAATTTCTTCTGAAACCACAGAACGAAGCACCTGTGGAGATTCATAGTTTTTTGAATCACTCGATTTCATTGATTGGTTCAGAAGAAAGTTGTCAAAAACACTCAAAAAAGGAAAGCTGTGAAAGGATTCAGAGCAATAGAGGATCTAAATCTAATCATCCCAGCTTGAAACTTGTAATTTCAAAGCATAAATCAAACATCACACACTAATCTTCCACCTCTTTTCTACCAACAATTCCACAACATGGAGCCATCTGTGGAGATCATGTACATATAAGTTCAAATTCACTGCACAAACAAAAAGGCGAAAATCACACAAAATGTGAAAACTGAATATTCGTTTCGTTTTCCAAACTCGCAGTTACCTCAAGGCTTAAGATTCAATTAGATGAAGGACACGATTCTCCAGGTTCGTCTCTGCAATTCCGGTGAAGGAACTCGACAATGGGGGGACAAATTCGTGAACAAGCGGCCACAAAAATCGAGGAAATTAAGAAGAGACGAGAGAGAGAGATAGATAGAAAACCTGCGAATCTCTTGTAGATCGAGAGATGCGTCGTGTGGATCTTCCAGTGGCGAGAAGCTTCTGCTTGGGGATGAATTTTCGCGCTACTGATAGAGGTGAGAGAGTAAAGAGAGTGAAGTTGAAACTTGAAAAGCCGATTTCAATTTTCAAAATGGCGAAATGCCGCAAGCGAGAGAGAAACAAAACCATGAAAATTTAACCCCCTTAATTTTACTTTTGAGTCAATTAGACCCAGAAAATTACAGTTATTGCAATTCTTAGCATTCGGTTCAAGGTATTGAACCGGACTTTAAACAATTAAAATATATTTAATTTGAAGAATTTTTAATTTTGACATTTTTTTTATTCCTACATTTCTACATAGATAAAAAAACAAAATTGCTGAAATTTTTGCTGAATCGCAGAACAATTCCAAAATTCAGCGGATTAACAAGCAAAATTCATATGTTTGTCAGCAACGTATCTGATTGTGACGTCAGATTCAAATAATTACATAAGTAATATTTTATATATTGAATAAGGTAAGATACACATATTATTTATGACCCAATAAAAAAAAAAAAAAAACAATACGCATAAATAAAGACGTTAATTAAAAGGAGTACATATAAAAAAAATAATCGCGTGTGTAACAAGAAAGAAAACAAAAACTCAAAAAGTAACTGAACAACAAGTACAAATCAGTGGGTCAGAAGAAAGATGATAATTTCGTGTGGAAAAGTAAGAAGCTAAACGAGTACGAAGTAGCAATGGCGAGATGCGAAGAGGATATGTAGTGCTAAGCAAAAGCAAAGGACAAGGTTTTATGTTCTAGTACTGCTAAGCAAAAGCAAAGAGATTCTACTACTCGACAAGGTCGCAGGAAAAAGTGAAGGAACATTAAGAAATGTAAAAGGGGAATTACCATTGGTATACCCAAACATTGTTTTTTTAGGTGACAGTATACTCCATATGACATGTTTGACAATTGGTATACCCCAAGGGGTGGTTAATGACCCTTTTATCTTCTACGAACAAACAATAAACGAGCGACGCAATTACCAATTTACCCATGGTGTTGAAGTCTACGTAAGACGTCAACTAAAGTAGACTTCAAAACGAAGTCTACAACGCCTTAAGATCTTAAATTTTAATTATAAAATTAAAGAAAAATATTTAAACCAAAAACATTATACACAAAAAAGACCTTGTTATTTAGCATCTATTAAAAATATTTTTGCTTGAAAATGTATAAGTCTAAATACACCAGAGGCAAAGCATGCCACAAACCTATAAATTTGGAGAGAGTCTACTCATGAAGTCTACGTTTTTACGAAATCTTAAATTTTAATTTAAAATTTATAAAAAATATTTTGCTAACAAATTTTTATTATTAATCTAAGTAAATACAATGTTCATATAAGGAAAATACAAACTCATGAAAATGTATAAGTTTATAAGTTTCATGAGTATTTGGTCCATCAAGGATAGAGTTTAGGTTTGAAGTATAGGGCTTGGTAGTATAAGTTGTTAGGGTTTAGCCAAATATTTTTTGAAAACCAAGTTTAATCGTTGTATAGTCATTTAATGTTCATATATGTGTTGATTATAATGTAATTTGTGTATATTCAACGAAAACTATTTTATTCCATAAGTTTCTTTGTGTAAAATATTTGATATAGGGTTTAGGGGTTGGAAGACTTCTTAAGTAGACGGAACATGTAGACTTCACAACGAAGTCTACATAACCGGAATTTTAAACTAAACCGGGATTACCGACCTTCATATATATAGAGAGCGTAACCCTAATTTTGTTAAATCTGCGGAAACGAATCTCTCTCTAAGACGGCGCAGCTTCTCTCTCTGGTCCCCTCCCCAGTCGTCGTTGTCGTCGTATTTGTGGTAAGCGGGCGACGAATTATTTTTCTTGAATTGTCATCATGTCGTTTCTTCTATACTGAGACTAAATATCTGATTTCTTGTTCGTGGAAGGGTCGGTCGTGCTTCTCTCTCATACTCTCGTGTCCAGATCTGCGACGGAAACCGGTAACGGGTGAGCCTTAGTATGCAATAGTTGGAATATTTATTGTTTTGATAGTTGTAAGCTAATTTGGGCATGGGGTTCTGTTTTGGCGTACACAGGAATGGGGCGGTACAGCTACAGTCAACCTTCAAGCAGCTCTGTTAGGTTGATTAGCCCTGACGAAGCAGATGTGAGCTCCACCAGTCGAAACTATGGAATTCCTAATTTATGCTATTGTGGGTTGCCGACGATGATGAAAACAATGGACAGCACAGATGAGTATCCGGGTAGAATGTTCTTTGGATGCAAAGATTATAAGGTCAATCGAAAGGTGGTAAGTTCCATCAATTGTCATTTGTTTCATGTCTACGCATCTCTATGTATCGTGAGACCCATATGTCGTTTTTATAGGGTTGTGACCTGCATCTAGTGAAGTGGTGGGACAAGGCTATGATGGAGGAATTCGTTCTCCTGCGACGTGCTACTGACAACCAAGGAGATTGCGTTCGTGTCCTGAGAGTTGCTGATCGGATTGAGGCAGAGCTAGGTGAACTGAAACGCCTAGCTCTTACGGAGAACAAGCGTCACAGGGGAGCGGTACTTCACATCGTCATTGCGCTTGTCGTCCTCCTCGCCGGCATCATCATAGCCTGCGGATGCATGATTATGTTTAGATAAGTTAAGGTGTTTTCTGTGTTCTTGATGTTTGAAAAGATGTTACGGATATGTAATGAAGGATCCCGTTGGATCTAGAAACGTAAAACCCAGAACGGGCTGTATAATATTTGTTGCATTTTGTCGTCTAAACAGCCTACAAATGATGACTTCCAATGTTGAGTGCTAATGTAGACTTCTAAAGTAGACTGTTAATATTGGTTTAAGAAAGTGGTTTACTACGATGTTAATCTACGACCGTACAGTATTATTGCTATAACCATACTAAAACAAGATGTAAACAAGATGTTAATCTACGATCAAGATGTAAATTACCAACGTTACCGTCGAATGTATAGTTTTTATATTAAGATGTAATCTACGAGTGTACATTGTATTCGGAAACTGGAACGTGTTTAAGGAGACTTCCCTTGTTGACTTCATGTGTATACGTCAAGGTGGAGTCAACAAATTGAAATTAGAAAAGCGGGAATAAGCGGGAAGAATTCGCGGGTTTTTGACATTTAGGGTTTTTACCAATTATTTCGCGATCCCGAACCGATAACCGCAGTGATAACCGATAACCGCACCGAGAACCGAAAACTGCACCCATAACCGATAACCCAACCGATAACCGCCCCGATAACCGGTAACCGCTCCTGATAACCGCATTGATAACCGTTCCCCACCGGTCCAAATTTAACTTACTTTCCTCATTTGGTTTCATTCACTTCTTTCAACCCTAACAAAATATTCTCTCATCGACCACGCGATTCCCGACCACTCAAACGCCGTGGAGGATTCCTGACGACTCAAACGCTGTGGACACCTATAACTCCGCCGACTGTATTCGTTCGTGCAATCGTATTCAATTATCGGCCTTTGCCTCCCCTAGTTTTTGTACCGAAGTAAGTTACTTTCCTCGGCGACCCTCGATGAACCCTCGTCTTCATCGATTTTGAAAACATATTATTCACTTATATCGGCTCAAATCCTCGTTACTCACGCATTTTCTTTGTTTTGACTTCGTCCGCCGCCGTAATCCGTCCTCCGCCGCGTCAGTCGTAATACTTGACCATTCCGTCTCCGCCGCTGTTTGTGGCCAGTCCCCCTTGTGGTAGCGAATCGAAGGTAAACAGTCGATTCCCGCTTACAATCGTATGGAGAATTAGGTTGTATTCCTACGTTTATGAATTAGGTTGTAGATTTCTTTGGTATACTTCATCAGTAGACTTGCACTGTAGACTTCGTCAGTAGACTTCCTTTGTAAACTTCTAATAATGCTGCAGGATGGAGAAGCCGTCATTTCCTAGAAGGTTTTTCAGCAAAGGTTCCGAGCCTGCATCCGAGAAGAGCATCGGATACTACAGCAACAACACTAAGCTGTTTGAGAGTCTTGTCGCTCTCTTCACCGACGATGAATGGGCTGAGCTCGAGGGATCTCCGCTCGGTGTCTTCTTCAGATTCGCGAGGAGGACTTTCAACTGGGCATCAATGATTGTGAAGTGTATCCTTACATGTCAAATAGCGTGCAAGAAACCCTTTGAGATATGGAGTGTGGTTGGGCACAACCCTGTAAGGTTCTCATTAAACGAGTTTGCACACATAACCGGTTTGAACTGCGAATACACGGAGAATCTCCAGACCCCCTCCTGTGCTGACGTTGATGAAGATGAGTTCTCTGATTTTTGGCATAAACTCGGTGTTCCTCTCACCAATGGTCCTTCAATTGATAACCTAATCCGAGCATGCGGATGGGCCCAAGACTGGTCAGCGGAGGACAAAAAGAGACTGGCTTATTTAGCCGTGTACGCTGGTTTCATTATCGCAGCGAGGGAAAGTACTGCTACGCCGCTGGGGATGGCAAAGTTGGTAATGGACCTAGAAGAGTTCGAGGCTTATCCTTGGGGCAGGGTAGCCTTCTTGAACCTCATTCAATCTGTGAAAAGCGCCAACCTCAGAAAGCACTACGTTCTGTGCGGGTTCGTTGAAGTGCTTCAACTGTGGACCTACTACGCTATGCCCACCTTCGGCTAAGAATACGGTGATCCCTATGCCGCTCCACAATCTCCGCCTTTGATGGCATTCAGGGGAATGAAAGGGCGTAAGAATATAATGCCTCGACTTCTTGCGCAGGTACGTAATGAGTTCAATAAGAAATGGTTTAGTTATATCATAACATCCCCATATTCATCGTTATGATCGCAGGTTCAGTACAATCATATGGTGATGGTGACGAGGGAGGATGCTTACCCTAGGTGGGACAACGACGTGGAGGATGATGACGTCGATAACGTCATCAAGGCCTTGTATGGTGAGCTGGGTGGAGTGTGGAGATGGAAGCCATCCGACTGGATCCGCGAAGGAATAATGGTTTTGGATAACGTGAAGGCAGAGAAGGGTTTTCCCAGGAAGAGACTGCTGGATTCAGATGACCTGTCCGTGAAGAGACCATGCCATGCCTATGGGATGGAAGGACAGTCCTCCGACGCTGGTTTGGGGACAATCCAGTCCGCATTGCAAGCAATGTTTGATCAGTTCACTGTGTGTCAGTCAGGTCAAATCACCAACCGGTTCGATAGGCTCGAATACAAGGTCGAGCTCCTCACCAACCAGGTGACCTCGCTGGAGTCTGCTGTGGAGAAGCTTAGACAGGGCTCATCGGAAGATACAACAGATAAGGAGCATGACAAGTCCAACGAGGCTGTTGGGTACGAAGGAAAGGAAGAAGAGCCGGCCGGTGCTGCAAAGGTTCACGCAGACGCTAAGGTCCCCGAAGCTTCTAAGGTTCCCGAAGCTTCTAATGTTCCCGAATCTTCTAATGTTCCCGAAGCTTCTAAGGTGCCCGAAGCTGCTGCCCCGGTTAGTAATGATCCCTTTCGCAATAAATCTGCTCGTATTGCTGCCAAAAAAAAAAATGAAATGACTGAGAATCCTAAACCAACTAGCAATAAGGTGGGTAGAGGTAGAGGCAGGAAGAAGACGAAGTAGTCATGAAGATTGTTGTTTGTTTGATTGCAACTCTCCCTTAAATGTTTCGTGTTTGCGTGCGAACATATTATATACATTTCACATGTACACTTCACAAGTAGACTTCACTTGTAGACTTCACATGTATACGTTACATGTAGACTTGTTGCTCATTGAATCGCTTATTTCTATGTTAACACCCCTTAATAATTACGCTACGTTGTTGCTGTTTATCGGTCGGTGTAGAACCAGACAGCCGAATTCTGCGAGAGTGACAACGATAAGGACGACAGTTGCGAGTTCCTGAGGCAAGTTACGCCGTCGAAAACAGACACGGTCGAAAATCTAAAAAGAAGGCAACCGAAGGACACGGCCAAGATATTGGATGCGAAAAGGCGGAGGACAGAGCGGATCAGGATACTAGCGGAGACACAAAGTGGTGTTTACATTGGTAATAGTACGGCGAAGCGTATAGTACCTAACGATGGAGCTAGAGGACGTGGATATGATCCCTTCGCGCCATTGGACAAGGGGACGAAGAAAGCCGTCATAGAGTACTGCAAGAAGTTTCCGTAAGTTGACTTCACATGAATATTTATATGTAGCCTTCGTGAGTATACTTAGTATGTTGATGATAAGCTTATAACCTCATTGGCCTTATTGCTATGATTTGTTCCTAGTGGTTCAGGAAGGAGGAAGACCATAAAAACAGCCAAGGAGTATCCCTTAAGATTTTGGTGGTATGACCTTCTGAATCAGAAGGAGTGGCTGGAAGACACGGTTTGTTACCCTTTCTAAAGTATATATTAACTTTCAGTTGTAGACTTTCATTAAGTTATCTAATCCGATGTTCTCGACAACGCAGCACATAAACACTGCAATTTATTTACTGAGGGCACGCTTGATGGATCACCCAGAGTGGTTCACAAGTGATCGTATCTGCTTTGTGGACACATACTTTGGGCACTACTGGAGTGCTAAGTACGAGGAGTTCAAGCTCATAGAGGCTAACGAGAAGGGCGAAGGGAAGCCCCTACAAAATCTATCGTGGGATTACTATAAAGGTGCACAACCAGAGCCCCGGCCAACAAACAAGATTTGGGGGGTCGACATTGACGAACTTTACGTCCCTTTCAACGTGAAAACTGACCATTGGGTAGCTCTGCTCATTTCCTTGCCGAAGAGGCATATCACTGTGTACGATAGTCTACCCCATCACGTGAAGCCGGAAGAGTTACCTGCACTCTTAGAACCATTGGCGGTGATGTTTCCCTATTTGATGAGGACATGCGTTGACGAGGACATGAAGTACTTGTGGACTCTGGAACCGTTTACTTATGACCGGCCAATCGGACAAGCGAGTTGGACTAATTAGAGTCGATGATGTGGGTGGATGTATGTATTAAGTACAGGTTTAGGCTGACGAGGGTTTTGGTTTAAGGTATTTTTTTGGCCAAACCTATGATGTAACAAGGTTTTCGGTGTACATGGTTGGACAAGTACTCTTCCGATATTACTACTTGTTTTGTAAAGGTATTTCTGGGAAGGGTTTAGTTAACTTCTAATGTAAACTTTGTATGTTAACTTTGTATGTAGACTTCCGTATCACTTTTCTGCACTATTTCTGGTCATTGAAAATATTTGATAAACCATGATTTCAGAATGCCGTACACTATTTCAAGTCTTAAACATCAGTAGATTTGGCATATTACGCATACCCCGAATATAACCCAAATATACTTACAATAACATACACTTAGAGTACCTACGAGACTCGATGGATCTTGTGGAGTTCTTATGAAGACTTATGCGGTAGACATCATGTGCAGACTTCAGTTTGAAGCAGTCTTCAAGCCGGAAAATATATGGTTTACCATTAGGATATGAATTTCAAAATCAAGAAATTATACGTGTGAAGGAGATCTAGTGTTAGAAAATACTTACACATTTTGGCCGTGTATGACCTGGTAATTTGCACTTGGAACACGTGTACTTCTTTGGCATCTTTCTCGGTTTGTTGTTCCTCTTCCGTGCCAACTCTAACCAAGTTTGCCACCTTGATTTCTTTTTCCTATCAGGGACCGGTGCAGGCTCCGGGGGACGGCAAGGTTCCTTTTTAACGAATGAAAAGTTTGATGCTGAAGGATAGAGCGGATGCGCATAGGTAGCGTGTACAGTGTTTTTATTGTACGCTGGACACACGTATGAAGAGACAAGTAAGCGCGCGTCGTTAATTGCAGCAATGGTGTGTGAGCAAGGTATCTTCTCAACTTCAAACACCCCACAAGAGCATGTTCGGAGTTCCAAATCTACATTGTACAAGCCTGCTCTAGACTTGACACTAAACTGCCAATCGTCTATGCGCTCCACGTCCATAAAACCGGCATAGTGCTCGCGCACGGCCAACAAGTACTCAACTCCTTTGTTGTGGAGTGTGGTGAGAGTTAGAGCATTTTCACGCCTCTTGATGAACCAGTGGCTCAGCTTTTCTCTGATAAACTCTAAGAGAGAAGGTAATGGATATCCCTTCGCTTTCTTGACAGTAGAGTTGATTGACTCCGCTATATTGCTAGTCTTTATGTTGAATCTTTCCCCTGGGCAATGCGCTCGAGACCATAAGGCCGGGTTGGTTGTCTCCAAGTATGTTGCAAGAGCGGGTTTTGCAGCTCTGATTTGGTCCATATACCAGTTGTATGTATCAAGGTTGTGCGCATATGCCGCACCTTTCACCATATACATGATATCCTTTGCATGGTAAGTTCCGATGATGTTATTCTGCATATGGTAATAGCAAATCCCTCTTGTTGCCCATGGGAAGACAGTTTCAATTGCGTTTGCGATAGCTGGGTGTCTGTCAGAGACAATGACAAGTGGGAAGTCCTGAGTGAAGAAAGCCTTCAGGTTATTCATAAACCACCCCCAAGACTCATTATTCTCGGCATCTACAACAGCAAAAGCCAAAGGGAAGACTTGAAAATTACCATCCTGCCCGGCTGCGACAAGAAGTGTACCACCATACTTCCCCGTCAAATGAGTCCCATCAACAATAACCACTCGCCTGCAATACTGAAAACCAACCATGCAAGCTCTAAAAGATATAAATCAGTACTTGAAGCGATCAAGTTTATCCCGGACAAGGTCGGTAATAGTTCCTGGGTTTGCTTCCTTCGTTCTATGCAAGTATGAAGCCAAGTTCGCATACCCGTCTTCAGGTGTCCCTCTGACGTATTCATGAGCAGCTCTCAAAGACCTGTATGCTGTCGTATAGTTCAGCTTCAAGCCGAACATCACTTTCATGGATATGACGATGTGTTCAGGCACAATTCCCTCGATAATCCCAACCCTCTCTATGAATAAGGCGCCGATATATTTTGGTGTGCAGCTTTTCCGGTTCGCTACTCGGTCGGCGACAGAACAAGTATGACTGCTCACATACTTTGTGACGAAAAACGCGATTGCCTCGTTCTTCAGAGACGCCCTAACTCGCCATGCACATCCGTTTACGTTGCAAGTGGCAACAAAGAGAGCTGGTGAGGACTTGAAGACACGAAACGAGAATCTGTGCACTACAGCCATCAATCGACACATATTTAGAAGTTCATCCTTGCTTGCAAAACGCTGTCCAACCTTGATAACGGCGTCCCTATACTTATCAAAATGGCCTCCTTCATTATAGCAGCGTCCTTTGAGCCGGATATCATCAAGCGGAACCTTTTTCTCGCGCACATCTTCGTCTGGGATTCTGCCATACTCACTATAATCAGCTTCTGCTTCATCAATCTCACCATTGGTCCAATCGGTTGTTGGTCTTGGTTCATCTACGGGTTCATCGTCTGCATCATCGTATTCGTTTGCCTGTGCATCCCAATCTTCATCATCAGTAGACAAGCCCCACTCGCTATCCGATCCGACATTATCACCATCTGGTAAATCGCTTTTCGCAGTATTCATCCGCTTGCTCGAAACACTCAGCCGTATAACATGCAGTCGACTTAGTTCTACCAAGACTTGAACTTGCCTATCAGTCGTTACAAACGTAGGAGGAGAATCGATAGGTACCCCCCTGGATAATATCAGCTGGCAATGGGTACGAAACCTCAATAAGCTCAGAATTCTAATCAACCCCATATTCATCGTTTGCCATTTCAACAAGCTCGCCATGGGTACAACCATCTCTCAATGAGAACAGTCTACCGCCCTTGTCGTCATCCACTACGAAGAACCAAGTCCATTGCTCTCTCCTCTCCCATTTCCCGTAAACAGCCGCTACGTACACCATCTCCTGCGAAACAAATAACACAACGTCAATGAACGTTTATAAGTACACTTCGATATGAAATCAACATGTAGACTTCATTGTGCAGTCTACTACATTTCACCTAGACTCCACCAAAAACTAAATATTTGATTACCTTCAAAATATAATGATTAAGCAAGTCAAATTGTTACACAGCCAAATAAACAGATAAAAAAAACTTATTGTCCAAAAAAATCTTCAAAATTAGTTATTCATGTAGCACAAACACCTAATTTACAAAACTGTAACAAAGTAGACTTCATGTAGAAATCTACATGTGGACTTCAGAAGGAAGTCAACTTAGGGGTATACTTTTGCAAGAATATTTTGGGAAGTCTACAATGGAAGTCGACAATTAGAGGGGTATACTTTTGCAATTGACCAAATCACGACTTTTTGAAATAGACTTCTTTTTCTAAAAGTAGACTTCCCTCTGAAGTCAACAGTGATAAGTAGACTTCAATAAGAAGTCAACAACAAAAAGTAGACGTCATATCGAAGTCTACTGCCAAAAGTTGACTTCGTAAAACAACGTTTGCAGTTGGTGTACCCCGAGTTACTATTCATTCGTTGACCAGTAGACTTCTTTTTGAAGAAGTAGACTTCACCGTGAAGTCTACGCTCAAAGTAGACTTCACGATAAAGTCTACACGTCAAAGTAGACTTCGCGGGGTAGTCTACAGACTAAAAAAGAAGTCTACATCAAAAAGTCGTGATTTGGTCAATTGCAAAAGTATACCCCTGATGCGTAGACTTCATATGTAGACGTCATTACCGAAAGTCGTCATCAAGTCAATTGCAAAAGTATACCCCTCCCGAAAAATAGACTTCACAATGAAGTCTACACATGGGGTCCACCTTTTTTTGTTGTCAAAGGATTACTGTACACTTCTAATGAAGTCTAAAAATCCAAAAATATTTGAAGGCGTTTGCAGTTAGTGTACCCCGCGTTCACATGTAGACTTCTATATGAAGTCTACAACGCGCCGGAGATCTGAAATTCACGATAAACGAACGGAAAATCACCTTGATTTGCTGTTTGGTTGCGTCGACGGCGGATTGGTTCGATTTAAACCTTCAGCGGAGAAGCCCAGCCGTTGCCGTGAACTTCGTGACCGGAAATGGCATCATACAAGAACTTATATTTTTGAGAGATGGATTATAGAGTTTTTGTGATGAAATTGGAGAGAATAAGTTAGAGAAGAAGGTTACAAAAGCACATTGTGTGATTATGGTGGTGTAAAAGGGAAGAAGAAGCATTAAAAACCTTGGATATGGTTGAGAATGGTTGTTGGGTGAATTGAATTTGATGGCATTTCTGTGAATAAATGAAGGAGATGAGGTTAGTTTGGAAATTAGTAATTTCGAAAAAAATGGAAAAATAGAAAAGATGATGGCATTTTGGTATATATGATAAGAGGGTAAGGATGATATAAAGAAAAAGAGGTGTAAGTATTAGAGGGGTATACCAAAAGCATTGACCACAAATTGGGATCTACTTTTGCAAATATCCCAATGTAAAAAAGGTTAATTTTAATTCGTTTTGGTTTTATGTTCTAGTACTAATATTAATTGTGTGCAAGTGTAAGTGTAACTATATAGACCTAAGAAAGTTTTTGTAAATCCAGGTCAAAATGTTTTCAAACCCAAATCTCTATCTCACTATTATTTGTACTACAACAGTATCAGGTGTAACAGAACTTAACACCCAGAGTAGTTTGTGATCCAAGACCATGAGATTTTATACTTTTGAGCCAGTTGATATTTTACAGAGTCATGTACCAAAGTTAGGAGTTTTGTGATTCAAACAACAAAAGATAGAAGGCATAAAAAAACAGAGCACGGACTATTAGTACATTGTGTGTGACTTGTCTCGACACAGAGCATATGCTTGATGTTTGTGGGAGATAGTTCTGACTTACTGAAGTATTTTTAGGTTCAAATGTTAAAGATCTAAACAAGCAGGCGCTTTTTGAAGTAGAGTTGCACAACAAATTAATTCCTTCCTAGAGTCTCTTGTGATTTCATATTAAGTTCTTGTGTTTTAGCTTATCTTTGCTGGAATTTACATGACAAGTACGAATTAATTCTTTTTTTTTTTCATCTGTAAGACAGATAAAAAAGAAAGAAAAAAAAATGTATAGGATTAGAATACACAGAAAATTAGTTTATGAATACAGCAAAGAATTCAGTTTCCAGTTTTCATGGGAGAGAAGAAAAAGAAACAAAACATTTTTAAAGTCGTCCCTATGTTTTACTTCTGTTAACATTAAGCCTCTTAATTATCTTTTGAGTCAAACCAGACAAAGATAATTAGATTAATTGCAATTCAGGTTCAGTTTTATTGCTTACCAATCGCTAGCGTTCAGTTCAGGTATTGAACCGGACTTTAAACAATTTTAAGGTTGACATTAAACTTTTTGTTTTATTTTAATGAATTTTCAGTTTTCTCTTCGTTCCTAACGAGTCTGTTATTCAATAACCTTCAACGGTCTAAAACGGTCGAACTTATTCGGAGACTCCTTGTTTAGGTGATGTGTGGATAGACGACTTCAAACGTCACCGTTTCTCTTGTTCAATAACCAACTTCCCACTATTTGTACATGTAAATTACGGTTTACAGGTAATTTCATAGCAAATCCATTTAGAATCCGGTTTATGCTTGGTTTACTCCACTTGCAAGTCTGACTTCCAATGTATAGGTTTTGACTACACTGAAAATTTCGTTTTATGGTTTACACTTTACACAGTCATTGTTGCACAACAAGAAGTCAAAGGATCAATTTTTAAAGCTTTGCTAATTATAACACCGTATCAGAGATTTTACATAACGTGTTTATCAAGAAACATACATTAACAATATAACATGCTAACATTGATATTAATTAATATTAAAATTCTATGGTTGAACTTAATTGATCTTCTTTTGCTGTTTCAAGTTTGAGATGTTGCATACCTTAGATCTCTCAGTATTTGATGAAGCACACAGAGATTTTTGGGATTCGAGTGTGCTCTGTGTTGTTTGTTATCACAAAAACGAGTTCTATAGACTTCTCTTTGTTTCCATTGTTTGTTGATACATGTCCTGCGACTTTGAAAGATTAATGTTCTATAGACCTCTCTGTATTTGATGATTTACGTTGAAATTTGGGAATCTCGGGATTTCTAGAGTAGTTACATGTCCTTTTGAATCAACTTGATCTTCTTTTGCTGTTCTATATGCTGCTCTTTGTTGAATACCTTGGATCTCTCTGTATTTGATAAAGCACACTGAGATTATGGGATTCAAGTTTGGTCTGTGTTGTTTGTTCTCATAGCTTATCACAAAAACGAGTTCTATGTTTCTATAGACTGCTCTTTGTTTCCATTGTTGTTACATGTCCTGCGACTTTGAATCTCTGATAAAACTTGGCGGAATATCAGGATATGGCAACAGGAAAGATTGAAGACCGCTCAATTCGGCTTGGAAGAAGGCTTACTCTCTTCAGAGACTACGCCACTGTCTTGCTCGTTGAAAACAACTGGTACTTACAACACCATTTCTTGATCTTGCAGTGTGCTATAACATATTATGAGTCATTGCTTGAACATTTAGTTACCTTTCTATGCTTTTTTTTAGGGACCAAGAGTATATTGTGCGCCAGTGGAATGTTGCTGGAAACCATCTTGGGGATCATGTTGTTAGAAACTGCCATTTTCTTTCAATAACAAGCAGATGTCGTATCTGCCATGTTATCAGGGAGTGCAAATCTTATGGTTGTCGCCATCTATTGTGTGCACGATGTGTTACAGGTTGGATCTTTTTCTCAGTGTCAAATATGTTCTCTGGATTGTATTTTACATGGTTTCTTATTCTTCTGGTTTGTTCTCACAGGTTATCTTGAAGAAAACATAAATGCTGGCGCCTTGAACCTAGTCTGTCCAGTGCAACACTGTGAGAAGATGATGTGCCCAGCTGTTTTCAAAAGTGATGTTTCCATTGCTGTGAGAAACCTTTTCCAAAGAAACCTAAACCGAAGCTTCCTTTTAGCACATCCTGATGAAGAGTTCTCCTACATCACTGCTGCTTATGACTTCTGTTTAGGTAAAAAATGGTACATTCTAGCTTTTGTGGTCCTGGTTGTTCTCTTTTTCAAGGGGCCACGTGCAAGCATGAATCTCAACCTCAACTTCATCCTTTGAAGATAATGAAGAACAAAGAACCTTTTGGTGTTATGGTTTTATAAACCAAGTCTTCTTCTGATTCTGTTTGCTTACTTTTGTAAGTCAGTTGTATTTCAAGTTTAATACTTGATGACTTGTTTCAGGTAAACTTTTATATTGTGTAACCAAATAAAACTGCTTAATGGTTGCGTATACTTGGTATCATACTGAAGAAAAGGCTTTGAACTTCTTTTGTCGAAGGCTTAATCCAATCTCCAAAAGATTTTCTGTTTTATTGGGTTCCTCTGTTTCTTACTGGTGATTATGCAGATGTGCTCCTTTTTTGGATATAGAACTCTTTAATGACTGTTCGAAGCCGTACTTGTGTCTGTACATTCCCTCTTCTTTCTTATCTTTCATTTTCTTGTAAAAACGGAAGACTGAAAGAATATTATTATCAGAAAGCAAAGCATTGATTTTGGTTTTTCTAATCACAACGTAGAAGCTTGCTCTGTTTTAAGTCTGACTTGGACCAACAATGACTTGGCCGAAACGTATCCAAACCACAGACCCGTATCTACTATTCCACCCAAACGTATCCAAACACAAAGCCTATGGTCACACAAACCCAACTCCGAAACTGTACACATCACTCTTTGCAGACAAATTACCTAACAAATTTGACAGCAACATCATAACATTGGAGTTCTTTGCATTGATCAGAGTACATGTAGCTAGATATTCTGGTGCGGCATATCCCTGAGTTCCAACGACTTTGGTCGAGACATGGCTAATTAATGTCACCCATTGGACCATCTCTACCCAAACCAAAATCCGAAAGCTTTGCATTGTAGTGGCTGTAATTCCAAGCAAAAGATACATAGAAACATTAAAGACAAACTTTCTATGGCTGTAATTCGAAGCCAAAGCTACACAAAAGTACCAATTATGTGTCCTACCGAATCTAGCAACATGTTTGATGCTTTGGAGTCTCGGTATATTGCGGTTGCGCTTTGTGAAGAAAAGCGAGTCCTCTATATCATACTATAACTGTCTTTGGGATAAATATGAAGATGTATGAGTTTCCTTCAACGGCATTACAGTTTGGGTGTATTTGATAAATTTCCTTCCTTGCCTTATTATATTTATAGATGTATTTCTCTAATGTTTGTATCTATGTGTATTGCATTGCACCTGTAGTTAACAAATCATTTGTTAATTATAACTACATATGAATATATGATCTTATATGCACATGTAAATGAAGTTATTTTGAAGATGAGTTACGTGAGCTTTCTAACTGTGATGAAGCATCACAAACTGTTATAAAGTAAATGCCACATAAAGGACCGTAATCATTCGTTCTTATTTCGAAAACAGAGAGAATGGATTAAATCCCCTTTTCCATCAATATGAATCATAAGGATTTGAAGGTCAAAGGGAAGAAACTGCTTCATGGTTGTGTATTCAGTAGAACTATGAAAGCATCATGTTATTCAGAATAGAAAATGTTAAATACTGAAGAAAAGACGATGAGTCAAAGCTCCTGTGGCCACGAGTATGAAAACTGTTAACATGCATGAATAACAATGAGAAAATCATTAGATAATCAACAAATTATTATATCAAACAAGAACAAAAAAAAAGTAGGTAAAGGGAATAATAGACGCTACCTCGAAAAATCAAGAGCGAGGATAATATCACCACAAGTCTAAAAACTAAAACCATGACCATAAACTGTGAAGTTGGAAACAAGCAAATAAGAATTAGAAAATCTCACATTGAATGTTAATTAATTGACTAAAACAATAAGGTTACCTTGATGATGTCCCGTAGTTCCAAAGTATCTAGCCAAACTAGCATCGGTAAAGACAATGTATCACCGGTACAAAAGGACCACAACAAATGGACAAACAAATATGCAACAAGCATTTTCATTTGGTTGTACCATAGCCATTCTGTCGATGGCAAACACGAATCAGTAAAACATGTAATACTGCATGGTCAATTAACTAACATTGGAAAGATTCCTCTCACCTTTTCCCTGGCAAATAAACTTATCAACTCCTAATGGTATGCCAAGAGCTGAAGCAATGGCATTCTACAAATGGAAAACATAACACTTATTATCAGCAAGTCATTCATTTCAAATAGTGCAAGTATTTTACACCAAACAAAAAAATGTAAATAAATATACCTTCACTTTGAAGTATGCACTTTGAGTCCTTGCATCAGTCTGAAACCAGACTAAATTTTCGGGATAATAAGGATAGATGATATTGCAAATACCGGGGTAGATCTGACGGACAGTATTTGTAAGTGGATTGTGTTTGTACAGCCTGCTCCTCCTACCTTCATAGAACACAACATCCCCCTCGCCTGAAACTGTCACATGCGTGAACCACCAAGTCTCATATGGCTTAAGACCTAGAGAATTTAAACTTATCAAATAAGTCTTGCTCCATCTTTTTTCCTCTGCATCCAAGCTCCATATCTCTACCGTCCAATCATCATCGTCATCACTCAACAAGCCGCCTGTTACTGTGGAGAGACGGTCCTCAACGCTCATTATCTCGGTTTCCATATTAAAAAGATAACCATGAGGCAACGAGACATCATGGAACTCTTCCGTGTGAAGATCCAAAGCTAGTATCTGGCAACGAGCCCCGTTTTCAAACCAGTAGATTTTTCCGTTCACGTAAGCCGATCTCCTTCCCACGTCAACCTGGTAAGGAGGTGGACTCAGTTTCCTCCACTCCCCAACGTCAACGTCAAGAATATCGCAATGGCTAGGATCAAAGAACATCCTCACAACTTTATAACTCCCACTAACTTTGTCTCTACCGAATCCCATCGACCAGTATCCCGGAAAGAAAGTCCAGTGTTCTGTGATTCCAATTTTTTTAACTTTTCATTAATGACCCACCAATTCAAAATTTACTATATATATATATATATATATAAAAAAACAAAGATTACCACTGAAATAAAGAACTTATGGCGGGGGCACTCGAGAGTGGATACGGGATCCGGCCCGGAAGGGAATCTCAGGTGTTGTCTGGTCGCGAGGTTTAGAACATTGACCCAACCTGGTTCGGGTATGCAGACCAAACCGTCGCACCTCATGGACGGTCGTTTCGTGTGGCAGTTCAAATAGACGAACTCTTCGCCCCATACGAATCGAGACTCGGAGCGAATATTCGGAGGGCCGTAGTCGCAGTGGTAAGCGACGAGGATTTTCCGGCAAGTCTTCCCGGATTTTTGAAAACTCATACGCATGTCTACGAAGCTCTTTGATTCCAGAATAGATTTCCATTCTTTCGAGACAGTTTTGAATTGTAGTAGAGGTTTCAGGGGAAGTCTCAAGAAGATGTTTTCCAGAAGATCATGAGGAATATAGATCGAGTTAGGGTTTGGTTTGTTTTTGTGTTCCCTCATTGTAGTTAGGTTTGCTCTGTTTTCCTGTGTCCTAGAATATTATTAATTAATGTTATATACTCTACGTGTGAATGATAAATTCACATTATATATTTCCAATTTTTAGAAATATTGTAATTTTCCAAAAATGTTTTCTATGGAAATCAGACTAAAAGGAAAATTTTCATTAACTTGTCTTGTTTCTTGTTTTGCCACATGCAATTCACTTTTTGTTTTGAATATTTCACCTTTCTCGACAAATCCAAACAGGATGGATCTTGCTAGCAGAACCGTCCCTGGGAGCAAGCAGAGCAAGCAGCTGCTTGCGGCCCGGATATAGATATGTATATTTTTGGCCCGTATTTTGACAAAAACTTTTTGTAGCCTAATGGTAATCGTCCGTCTTAAATGATTTCAGCAGCCGTGGGTTTGATTCCTCTAGAATACTTTAATTTTTTTTTCCTTTTTTTTTTAGAATTCGGCCCATATTATTTTTGGGCTTGCGGCCCACATATTCTCAGGGACGGCTCTGCTTGCTAGCTCCATTTTTTTCATATGAGACAATTATATGCGATGCGCGAGGTTTCATGAATTTGAATCTAAGGTGTATGAGAGAATTAGCATACAAAGAAGAACGAATAAGGCATGCCGCAATATTCGTGTGGAGGTTTTACGTTGACCAATGAGACTTATTTATAGTTAGCGTGTATGGAAAGCAAGTACAGTAAAGGAAAAAAGGTGAAATAAAAAGAAGTATTGAGAAAAGTGCTTAAAATGACTCATCCTTTGAACTAGAAGAAAAGTCAGTTTTATTGACTTCAACAACACTCTTAAACTGACGTGAACATACAAGTAGGATAACGGAATCGAATGTTTTGCTGTACAAAAGGTCAAAGTTAAACTTGGAGGAAATAAAAAAACCTGCCAAATTCAAGTAGTGTACGGTATACCTCCTTTTTAACTCTTACGGTGAGATCAAATGTGACTTTCCAGATCATATGATACTTTAGAGTCAGAGATCACTTTAACAGTAAGGGTAAAAGCCACTTTAGTACCTTCACGATCTTCCAGTTTCGTCCAGTCATTCACAACTTTTTGTCTCTCATTTCTTTTTGCACATTTCTTTTGCTTCCTAAATTACTAGTATTTGTTTACATATAATTATAAACTATCCGCTATTTTTTTTTCTTTTCTTGATAGAGAATCAACAAAAATTATACACAACTATTTGTTTACAAAAATGATAAACTATCCGCTATAAGTGAAAATCCTAAGCTAGAAATCTTGATTTGTTGTTACTAGATAAACACATCTCTGGAGTGATTTCGATTAATCTTCCCATTAAGAGTTTGCCCTTTCTTGAGCTCCACGATTTTCCTTCATTTATCATGCTTGCGTTGAGATGGTGCTACAACAGTTTACAAACTTCGAAAAAGCTGATTTCGTACTTGGTAGTGGCTTCCAAGAGTTAGATCTCTCTCACTCTCTCCTACAACTATGGTTTGCTCTCGTTCATGTCCTAATTGCTCTGTTTTTATAATTAAATGTTGAATAAAAACCAAGTATAGTACTTGACCATTGTGTTTATTATTTTACTTTCATAAGAAACTGTAATATATTCTTCTAGTTCGAAGGAAGAGTCCTTTTAAGCACTTCTCTCAAGGCTTCTTTTATTAATTCACTTTTTTCCTTTACTTTGCTTCACTTTACTTGCTTCCCTTACAATTTTTCGAATATTCATATTCAATCCAAAGTAGGATATCTAAACTTCAACTAGGTTGGAAAAAAAAATCAAATTAACAGCCTAATTGTTAAGTCAAAAGGGAAAGCGTACTTTTTAATTTGAAGTGAGTCTATTTCTCAACCATCTTCCTGATAATGTTACTGATGAACGTGAGAGACGTTGAATAATTTTTCTAATGCTTTGTCTCAAGAAGAATGAAAAAAACCGAACTATTGTTGATTGTGATTGCGTGTGAAGCACTTCATGTTTCTTTTCATTTCACTACAAGAGACGAGGCATTTAACGTCAGTTTTATTGATTTTTGAGTTATGTAGTTTTGGTTATGGATAGCTCTTGCTATAGGAACAAATTCATCTATCCTTTGCAGTCGTATACTACTCTATCCGATCTGGCTTAAAAAAATTTAACAGTTTACCTCAGTTTTTTTATTTTTTTATTATTGGTGTTTTATATTCTTGACAACATGAATATTTTTAACTGTTAAACTCTGATGACATTTGACAACATGCGATAGATCAATATCATTATGAAGAAACAGAAGAAGAAAATAGAAGGAAATTCTGTGAACGTATGAAGTGAATTTTTATCAAGAGAATGATAAGTTTTCTTTTCTTTGAAGATTTAGGAGTTCTTTGAAGAGTCCTAATCCGCTAGAGTAATTTATTGTAGTCTTTCTTCTTTCTGCTCTTAAACATCTTTATTGAGTTACTCATGGATTTTCTCGCTTTTAGGTCTCCAAATTTACCTCACATATTGCGTCTTTTTCTTTTACTATTGACATTACTAGGGATTAAAGCCTCGTGCAAGCGCGGGGTTGTTTGCGATAATTTTTTGTTTGATTTTATTTATATTCATTGATTTGGAATTTTGAATTATGATAGTTATATGTTAACTTTCATGTTTTGGTTATATTTAGAGTTTAACACCTTACTTCATCTCGAGTTTTCTATTTCTAAAATATAAAATGCATTTGACTAATGTTAAAATTTGTAAACATGATGTAGAATCGCAATTGCACTCAAAATATGATGAAAAACTTCTTACATATATGCTTTGTTGTGGTAGCATATGACAATTGATTATTTTCTATTATGTTATTTTTGTAAATATAAATTATATTTTTTAAAGAAACATGTCACAATTCTTAAAATTTTCATGCTTTTGAATGCAATGAAATTTAAATAATAACTCGACTTCTATTTTTTAATAAAACAAACTCTAACTCTAATTTTTTATTAGCTTTTTACTATGTTAAATAATTTATACTGTACCTTTTTTACTTGTAAGCACATTATAATATTTTCAAATAGGATAAATCTTTTGAGTTAAAACCTAACTATATACTATTTCAAGTTAAATATTTCTTTATTTCATCTCTATTTTATATTACAATTTTCTTTTAACTTTTAACATCAAGATATCACATACTTTATATTAAGAAAAATATTAATACACATATATTAAATATTTTAAATACAATTAATGAATTTTTTTGCTGATGTGGATAGCCTAGGAGGAGAGAGCAACTCTCCTATTATATACTCTCTCCGTTTCAAATTAGTTGTCATTTTGGTAAAATGTATCTGCAAATATTTGGACGTATCTGCAATGCTAAACATGTCCAGATACGTCCAAATATTTGCAGATACATTTTGCCAAAACGACAACTAATTTGAAATGGAGGGAGTATAAGATATATATTGAACTAACTTTAAGCTTATTGAATACAACGTGAACGAACTTAAATTTTGGAATATACCTCTTAGATTATTTCTAGTTTTTTAACGTTCAGTTCAGTTTACAACTGTTCAAAATATTTGCTTGTATTAATGGATGAGAAGAAAGATTTCAAAGCTAGAAATAATTGAAAGAGTTATGTTGAAAGAAAGATTTCAAAGAAATTGGGAATCAAGTTTTTAATATGGTGTTATACATGTAGTCTAATCTGAGTTTATTTCTAAAAATTGGGAATCAAGACTTAGAAATAAATAAAGATTTCAAAGAAATTGAGAATCAAGTCTATTATCTTTGAAATCTTAAGTTCAAGTGGGGAAGTGAAGTAGCGTGCCTCCAATTTCGTTGTTGTTAATCTTAATTTACGTTCATTGCACAATTAGTGTACTTGCTGTTTGTTTCATTTGATTGCCAAGAGAGAATGCAAAAACAAAGCAAAGAGATGGATCAGGAGCTAAACATAACGAAAGACTCCGAAATTTCGTGGAGAATGTTGTTACCATTTGTTGCAAGCAAACTCCATTAGTGTTTCAATCTCCATTTGGGAGATGAATGAGCAGAGGAGTTGTGGGGGAGCTATTTCACCAAGCTTCTTCAGAAGAAGGTTCTTTTGAGCAATAACGAGAATATGGTTGACAATTTCTTCACCGCAAAGAGCAATTCAACATGAGATAAGTTTCAAAACTATCTGATCATAAAGCCACCTATTCAGAGATAGATCTAGCAATTTCGCAGATGGAGAGGAGAAGAACTTACAAAAGACAATATTAGTCATTACTGAGATGTTCTCCACCAATTTCTCCAGAAATTCAGCATTCTCCATCTTCATATGCAAAGAGACTCTTTTCAGGATCCTAACACCAATGGGATGATTCATCAAAACCTTGATTCCTTGAACACATTCCTTTGCAACCACTTTCATTTCATCTGCATCAGCCAAATCAACCAGAAAAAGGAGTTTAGGCACTCTCTCAGGATCAGTGGCATACTGAACAATCTTTCCCCTGAAGCTTTCAATGAAATCAGTACTCAAATTCAATTTCATAGCCATGGATTTTGAGTTTGCAAAGAAAATTTTGAGTCAATGGATCTGTTTGAAGCAGAGGAGAAAATTTTCTGAACTCTTTGAAGAAATGTAGAGAGTTTGTTCGAGAAAATTAAGAGCGAAGTAGGAATATAACACCGAACCTGTTTTTCAATCGGTTTGTTGATCGGTGATCGGTTACAACCGTCTGATGAAGTCCGATAAACCGCCGAACTTGAACGGAGGGTTGAGATGAGGGGAGCAAAGACCAAACCACCTCAACTGTGGTGACTGAAAAACCATGATCCGCGTGAAGAATACGCGGATCGATCTGGAAAACTGTCGATTTCGATTAATCCGATGAACCGCCGAACTTGAACGGACGGTTGAGATGAGGGGAGCAAAGACCAAACCATCTAAGCTGTGGTGACTGAAAAACCATGGTCGGCGTGAAGAATACGCGGATCGATCTGGAAAACCGTCGATTTCGATTAATCCGATGAACCGCCAAATTGAACAGACGGTTGAGATGAGGGGAGCAAAGAGCAAACCATCTAAGCTGTGATGACTGAAAAACCATGGTCGGCGTGAAGAATACGCGGATCGATATGGAAAACCGTCGATTTGGATTAATCGACGGTTGAGGGTTCATCTCTGTTTCCAATCTCAGTGTTTGAGACCAGACGGGAAGAAGAGAGTTTTGAAGGAGAAGCATTTTGTGTTTTCTCTTTCTCTCTCTCACCGGTTGGGGTTCTCTTTTTTTTTCTTAAAATCAGCGCGTAGGAATATAAATAAATAAACGATATTTTGATAAACGATATTTTTGGTTATATCTGAAATCTATCTCTAAGTCGGCGGATTCCAGAAAAGTTTATTGGCTATATATTTTTCTCCAAATGTAATAATTGGTTAATAAATCGATCAATAACTTTACATGTACAAACTTGGAACAAACTAAAATATTTTCTATATACAAGCTTGGTTCCATGTGCTAGCCACTCATTACTGTTTTTTACTTAGTTGTTAAACTTGTTCAATCAAGGATATGATCAAGAGGTTGACAATTTCTCAAATATGGAAAGCTTTTCTTTCTCGAATTTTCCAAATTTAATTCTTGTATGTACTTCATCTTCTTAGCAAACGACATAGACTTTCATCTACATCATCATAGATTTTTCCTCTTTATTTTTGGGCTCTTTTTGTTATTTTGTAACATAATGGAAAGAACCTCTTTCCCTCTTTAAAATGGAAAAGAAGAAACCATATATAAATTGTGTGAATGTGATCACAGTTGTTCACTGAGAGATTGAGATGGCAATGACGGTGTGGCAACTTCCAAGGGATTTGGTGGAGGAGGAGATACTATGTCGCATTCCGGCGACATATCTAAAAGGGTTACGATCTACTTGCAAACGTTGGAACAATTTATTCAAGGATAAGAGATTCGTAAGAAATCACTTTGATAAAGCCGCAAAGCAGTTTCTTCTTCTCATGCTGACGAAGGAGTTCAAGATTTTCGCATTGAGGATCAATCTCCATGGCACTATATCTTCAGATTTTAAAGGTGACATGAGCCTTCTCGGTTCACCTTCTTGTCACAACTCAGCTCAACTGGATATATCTCAAGTCTTTCACTACGATGGCTTGTTGTTATGTATCATGAGAGAAGACACCAGAATCGTGGTTTGGAACCCTTGTACTGGTCAAACCAAGTGGATCAACCAACCCATAAAACCTCACAAGCTATGCGACACATATAATCTTGGATCCTACCGAGAGTGTAACTCCCCCAATGATAGCTACAAAATATTGAGACACGGGTTATATGGGGGCACCGACAAATTCGAAATCTGTGAGATGAACTCTAATGCATGGAGGATTCTTGATGCCAATCCGGACTTTCAATTATTTTTTACGAATTCCAGTGTGTCTTTGAATGGAAAGACCTATTGGTTTGCTTTGGATGAAAAAGAGCGTCACCTTGGCATGTTCTTGGCCAGCTTTGATTATACAACAGAGAGATTTGGATGTCTGCGTCTTCCCCATCAGTGTTTTCCTGTAGATTGTGGTGAAACTGAGGCTCTTTCCGTTGTCAGAGAAGAGAAGCTGTCGGTGTTATTACGACGCAGAGAGACATCAAAGACAGAGATATGGGTAACAAATGAGATTGATGAGACCAGAGCGGTGTCGTCCTGGAGCAAGGTATTAGTAGCTGATTACCCTCTGGTTGATATTAGCATTGAATTAAGTTTCGTGGTCGATGAGGGGAAGAAAGTCGCCGTGTGTTTCGAGAGATGGATGGAATTTGAAGACGTGACCAAGTCGTACGACTTGGTAAACATCGTTGGAGAGGATAATAAAGTCACACAAGTGTATTATGGAGCATCTACAATGAGTTCATGTCAGTGGCCACGTTTGTGTAGTTATGTTCCAAGTTTGGTTCAAATCCCTTGACCTGCACGCAAAAGTAAAACAAAGGTTACTATATAAGCCACATGCAAATTGAACCTTTGGTCAACGTTTCTTAATTTGGATATAGCTAATAAAAGGGAATTATTATTTCGCTGTTGTTTGGTTTGCTTTAGTACACTTTTTTTTAGATTTATGTTCGAATCATTTTTCGCTGTTCTTCTTGATACAATGAAATGGCCTTACATTGGTTTTCAGAAAACGAGCAGTTCGTTTTATTTTTTGTTTATTTAGTAAAAACTCATGCATTAAGTGGATAGATTTTGTAACTTAGAGACGTGTTAGTAAGTATATTTGGAGTGTTATTTGTATATTCCGAGAGCAATTGAGAACATGTAAACTTTGTAACTTGGAGACGATCATATGTAAAGTTTTTCATAGAACATGTAAAAAATTCTTACATTGACAAAGATTTTTTTCAATGATAGGTGTACATGATGATTAGTTAATCATCTATCAATTCAAGGTTTCTGTGCTTTTTCTTTTACTTTATTGTAAACCAAAAATTCAGGAGTTGGTAAAACAATATCAACTAGTAAGAGCCAATGGACACCTGAGAAGGATGTTGTCAAGAAGAAGCCTGTTACGTTAATATATCCTATAGGAACTCCAAATCAAGTTTCCTCTTCAGATGAGATCTATCAGCGCTGCAAAACCAAAAAAAATCAAGAATGGTTCCTTAGAGCTGATCTAGAAACTGACTGCAAAAAGACTAAAACTAATTTTCTTTTTACCTGGTGATGGTTGGTCGGTTTGGTGGCCGCTCGGCTAAGACGGTGAAATCTAAAGACATTGGAGCTTGACCATCATGACTAGCTTGTTTCATCACATCAACGCTCTGGTCCTTTAAACCATAACCAGACTTTCCTCTGTCAGGGATCACTCTTCTAAGCTTATGTGAAGGTGATAACGTTTTCTTGAAGGTTTTGAGTTTACTACTATCAGACGATTTAGCGTCCTGCTTCCGAATCGGTCTTGCTAGCTTCAAAGGATCAGTAGGAGATGGTGCAGATGCGAAGTACCTGTGTTGTAGAGCCTGCTGGATCGATATTCTTGACTTGGGGTCGTAAGTGAACATCTTTGACAACAGATCTAGAGCATCCTCGCTAACCGTTGGGAACAAAGAACGTAGAGAAGGTGCAGGAACAATCTGATACTCCACATAGTCAGGAAGACATAACATATCAGGCCATTGTTCTGCTTTTGGAGTCCCTAACGCGGCAAAGATCTTGCTTAGTTGGTCTATATCACTGTTTCCCTGGAGATGGAACAAAGTGAGTAATCAAGAACACAGACGAAGTGTGATCAAGAGTCAAGAAGTGTGATCAAGATTCATCTTTTAGTACTACTTACTTTGACCAAGTAGTGTATATATACCAAACCCAATTGTACATTCAAAGTAAACCAATGACCCTAAACCAAGAGAGAGAGAGAGAGAGAGATAACCGGTCTACATAATTACAGTACCAATTATCATCTAAATACACAAATGAACTATACACACTAATAGCATCACTTCATCCCATCAGGTTTCTTGAGACAGTGGATAAAGACAAGAGCTTGATCTTGAAATGAACTCCTCAGCTTCAAGTTTTCTTAAACAAACTCAGCCGTTGTTTCTTAAAAACAAAAAGAAATACAACTGATGTTAATTAGCCTCATAATTTTTTTTTTATGTTTTCTATGAGATAATTCTGAAATCTTTAATGTGCAAAATTAATATTATTTTTATGGTAATTAAATTTCGTATACAATCGTTCAAATATTCAATCTAAAGTAGGATATCTAAATGAGGTCAAAAAAAAAAAAAAAAAGTAGGATATCTAAACTTCAACTAGGTTGGACAAAAATTCAAATTAACAACCTAATTGTTAAGTCAAAAGGAAAGCGTACTTTTTAGTTAGTTGTACTAATGTATGAACATATAAATAAGACTTTTGTACGTACGTAATTGTACTTCTGGTGTTTTTTCTTTCCTGACAAGAAGAAAACAAACCTTAATAATATGATGTATATCTCTGCCGATGTAGTCGAGGGTTTACTCCTTAGGCTTCCCCTGAAGTCTCTGGGCAGATTCAAAAGCGTGTCCAAAGAGTGGAAATCGATACTCGAATCAAAGAGGTTCGTGGAGTTGCATCAAAAACCAAGGAAAATCCTAACCGTTCATAACTGCGATTGCGGCGTCTCGCCGCGTCTTCTCCCAGAGTCACGATTCGAGGCTGGCGAAGAGTTTGTCTCTTTGCACTGTGATGCGACAAAACCGTCGTTGAGTTGCGAGGGTTTGCTCTGCATCCCCGAAACTGAGTGTGTCCACGTGTTAAACCCTTCCACGGGACAACTCTGGCGATTCCCTTCTCCTTCCCTCTTAGGCCCCCGTCTTAACCGCAGATTTAGAAAACGTAAATCTCTTTTGTGTTCAAATTTTTCCATTATTGATGGTTAAGGAAAAAAATTTAAGAGCTGTTTTATTTTTCAGGAACATGGTCGACTTATTTCCCTGGATGTTGTGCGATGGGATTCGGCAGAGATAATGTTAATGGTAGTTATAAAGTGGTAAGGATCTTCGATTATCCTGACTATTGCGATATTCTTGATGTCAACACTGGTGAATGGAAGAAACTTTGTAAATCTCGTCGTTACAAGGTTGACGTAGGAAGAAAATCGGCTAGTGTTAATGGAACAATCTACTGGTTACGAATTACGCGTGACGGTGTTGATGCCGATCGCGTCTACTACACGATACTAGCCTTGGATCTCCACACGGAAAAGTTTCATGACGTCCAACGTCGGGGTCTTCCCGAGGGCATTATGTTTGAAGCACAGATTGTGAATCTTGGGGATCGTCTTGCCATAGCCATGCCTCAGTCGAGTATTGTTCAAGATAAGCATGAATGGGAACTAAAGATATGGAGTATGAGTGCAGAAGAAGAAACATGGAGCAAGACTCACTCCATAAGTTTAGCTTCTTTAGGTATGAACAAGTCTATTTCGTTCACGCCTTTAACTCTCTCTAAGGAAGGGAATGTTGTCTTCTATGCCCATAAGAAGAAGCGGTTGTTCAAATATTATCAAGAGGCAGACCAACTCCAAAGCCTCTCTAGAGACATTTGTGTTATATCTCCTTACGTCGAAAATTTGGTCACGATCCATTCTAAGCAAGTCGAGTTAAGGACTCGTGTTACATGCCTCCGTAGTAGAAAGGTATATATATATATATATATATATATATACATACCTTATCATGATCATGTAATCATGCGTATCCCTTTAAACTGAATATTTCTTTCTCTTTTATGATTTGTAGGGTTGGTTTGAATCAAGAGTTGACGACTTTTTTAGTAAGGGAAAAGGTGGGAGATTCTTCCAAATGTTTTTTTTTTTTTAACTTTTAAATTAAACTAATCTTGCAAGTTTTTTTTGAATATTTATTATTGAATTTTACAGAACTAGGCACGTGGCTATGGAAGAACATGATCAAAGTGCTTGCTACATACTTGCTTGCCCATTTACTGTGTTCCTACTTCTGCAATAGCATTGGCGAGACTTTGATTTGTGCAGCTAGTCTTACATTACTCTGTTGGCTTAATCATTCTGGCAAAGGTGAACCATTAGCGGTTGGTCACATTATCATGGTACTATATATGACCTCTCTTCTGTTTTTTATATAAATAAACTTTGTCTATTTGATGACTGCTTTAAGTGATTTCTCTTGTTTTTTTTTTTTTTCAATTTTACAGACTATAGTCGTTATGAAGATCTTTGATATCATCATTGACGATTTTGTCTATTCGGAGGTAACTTCCATCGCTTTTGTTTTTTTTTATTCTCAAGAAGCTTGTTAGTTACTTAAATTGTTTGTCCTTTGCAGGTTATGAGATAAATACGTATACATGTTCGGTCATAGTTGGAGGCTTCCTGTTCTAAGATTTTTTCACCCGTTTAAAGATCACCACTTTCTTTTTCGATCATTTTATATTAATTAGTTATCTAAATTGTTACTTTGTTACAAACCTAAAATTACATACAAACATTGGCTAAAATAAACCAAAAATGCTTGAGGACATTTACCCAATGTAAAAAAGCTTAAAGCATTGCTGACGTCATCCGCAAACACCACACCTGCTAGTGAAGTAGTGATGACCCTATCACTTGTGTCGTCTATAATGCTTTTATGCTTCGGGTAGTTGATGTTCCTAGCTAGAGAGTTTAGTTTACTCCTTTTCTTTACGCAGTCTTGTGCTGTGAACTATGTTTATTAGCTTTCGTCCATAAACAATGGAAGCTTGAATCTTCCCATTGAGGAGTTGCCTTTTCTTGAGCTGCAAGTTTTTCCTTCTTTCTTTTCTGTTTCTGGATCTTACGGATCCTGCTTTCTTTGAGATGTTAGTTCATAGTATCTGTTTCGAGTGTGCACCGTGAGGTATACACGCGCCCACAAGCTTTGTTTCGCATTAATAGTGTCAACAAGTCTCAGATTATTTTAAGGCTGCATAAACTATTCGAGAAAGCATTAATCGTCACGAAAAGAAAAAAGGTTCTCGTCTCTGTCAGAGATCAATAATCCAATCAAGTAAACAATAAGACAGTTCAAGTTCAGCTTTTTATCTTGAAGTGTCCAAAAAAAGATTTGATGAGCAACGATTTGGTTTAATCTGAGCCGTTGAGCACTCAATCAGGAAAAGTCATCCCGTGGAGGTTGGAACTACTAGAAATGACGACCACATAACCAGGGCACGTGTTACGCTTACAAAAGAAACTTCAAAGTTGGTTCACTTTTCTCCACCATTCGTTATTGTATGTCATGCAACTTTAAAAATTTTTGTTGGAAACTTGGATTTATGTTCGTGCTATTTTTTTCAGAATCATATATTAGCGCTCAATCTAAAGATATTATTCAGTAATGATATTTCACACAATCTAATTTATGATATATGGAGTATTAGGGGCATTTCTTTTGGTTTCAACCAATCGTGTTAATTCATACTCCATAGATTGTGTGAGAAACTCGTGATGCCATATGGAATAATAAATCCAAATGATTTTGCTATCTATGCATATGATATTTTTGAAATATCCTGTATCCTACCTCATTTTTGTCTCAAAGTTGCATATGCATCATATTAAGATATCATTTCGTACGTACCATCCCCTTTAATTTATAAGCCTTTACACGCCAAAATGAATTATGGGTTGTGCAAAATAAAGCAATAATTTTTAACGTGACGATTTTGTTGTTGTTGTTAAGAGTATCTATAACGTGACGATTGATTGGCGCCTAGCGATATATGTAGATAGAAATAAAGGATTACCATCTACATTCAACCATGTTGTGAAAAGGGGGTTAACTATAGGATATCTATATCATGATACGAGTAATCTCATTCACAACATGGTTGCATATATACACTAATGTGGATAATAAGTTAATATATAAATACAAAAGTTTATAAACCTTCCAATAGTCTAACTATCATCTATTCTTTTAGTGAGTTCATGAAAGAAAACGTTATTTAACAACCATCACTTTCGACCCCCCAAAAGAAAACAACCATCACTATCCCGTTTTCTTTTAAGAAAAAGTGTTTATCTCACCGATATAAACCGTGTAAGAAACAAAAGACATTTATTTATTTAAACAATACAAAAATTCAAAGAAAATCTTTATTTTTGGTCCCCAATATTTGGATCTTTAACCACAAAAATAATTTTGAGGTTGATGAAAAAAAAAAACATATATTTCTGAGGTTATAAGCGCGTCTGCTGGAAAGTTCACGCGCACTGTTCACATCACCGTCCATTCTGAGTTCTGTCTCTAATCTAGAGATCTCAACCGTATCTTTATCCACATCATACGTTTAAAACACGTGGCACAAGATCACCGATTCAATCAAAGATTATTTTAATCTTATCCTTTTTTATGTCTCCCTATAAATATCTTCCATTTCTTCCTCTCCAGATCTCCTCCGTCACACAAAAACTCTAAAATCTCAAACTTCTGATTCCAAACAAAGAACGATTTTGTAAAAGGGAATAGTGAAGCGATCGATTCTCGTAAGAGTTAGTATAGAGTGAGAGAGAGAGAGAGAGAGAAAATGGCGCTTAATTTGTCGCATCAGCTCAGAGTACTTGCCGGAACTCCGATCAAGTCCGGTGAAATGACGGCACCGTCGGTGGATTCGTCGTTATCGGTTTCACCACCATCGGCGAGGATGCATAAAGCGATGAATCTGAACTACAAGGCTCACGGAGCGGATCCGAGTAGAAATGTATCGCCGCCGGTGAGTCCGGTTTTGGGGGCGACGCGAGCGGATCTGTCGGTGGCGTGTAAAGCCTTCGCGGTGGAGAGTGCAGTCTCCGGAGTCGAGACTGTGGAGGAACAGAGAACGTACAAAGAAGGAGGGATCGGAGGGAAAAAAGGGAACGGAGGCGTTCCGGTTTTCGTTATGATGCCGCTTGATAGCGTGACGATGGGGAATACGGTGAATCGGAGGAAGGCGATGAAAGCTAGTTTGCAGGCGTTGAAGAGCGCTGGTGTGGAGGGAATCATGATCGATGTGTGGTGGGGTTTGGTTGAGAGGGAGTCTCCGGGAGCTTACAATTGGGGAGGTTACAATGAGCTGCTTGAGATGGCGAAGAAGATCGGACTCAAGGTTCAGGCCGTCATGTCTTTCCATCAGTGCGGTGGTAACGTCGGTGACTCTGTCACGTATGTAATTTCTCTTCCTCATCTCTTAAAATCGTTTTAGTAATCTGTGTATTGTAAGCATTTTGATACTCAGGATTGCATTTTTGGCTTATGTTTGTGTGTGCACTGGATTGGATATACAGAGATTCTGTGGATGTTTAGTTTGATTAGGATGAGTATCTGTAGGAAATGATTAAGAAGTTGGATTTGAGGCTTGAAAAGTTGCAGATTACGATCAATCTTGGAAATAGTTTATTGAAAGTTAGGTAAGCAAAATTGTTTATGTTTTCATTGATTAATGGAGTAACGTGTACGGGAACTGTGTTGACACGTGAGGACGCAATCTTCTAGAGGAGAGTGATAGGTTCAAGAGTCTGAGAGCCACATCTTCTTCTTTGTTGCTTTTAGCGTCTGTCTCTTATTAAAAGATTTAAGTGGCTTGCTCGTCTTTTTCTCCCTTGTTTTCTTCTTACCAATTTTTTCTTGCTCCTTTTAGGCTTTTCTTGTTTTCTTTTGTATTTTTGTGTCTTTTTCAATATTTGATTACATAAGATGGATTCTCTAGTCAAAGACGTTTCTTTTAGATGGTCCTATGAATTATATGTTGTCTTCAGTATAGACTCTAGTCCATTTACTTTTAATAAGGATGAAGTCACTGTCTTACTTACCATTCACTACTGAGATTTGGTGTTTACTAATTGGGAAAATCTTTTTACTCTCCAGAATCCCTCTGCCTCAGTGGGTTATTGAAGAAGTTGACAATGACCCAGACCTTGCATACACTGATCAATGGGGAAGAAGGAACCACGAGTATATTTCACTTGGCGCTGATACACTCCCAGTTCTCAAAGGCAGAACACCTGTGCAATGCTATTCAGATTTCATGCGTGCTTTCAGAGATAACTTCACGCATCTTCTTGGAGACACCATTGTGGTAAACTCTAACTTCTCTTTACACATTCTCGCTTTCTCTACTTTGTGTGCTTGGTTGATTGAATTTGGACTGAATTCTTTCTGTTCAGGAAATCCAAGTGGGAATGGGGCCAGCAGGAGAGCTGCGTTACCCATCGTACCCCGAGCAGAACGGGACATGGAAGTTCCCAGGGATCGGAGCCTTCCAGTGCTATGACAAGGTAATTGCCACTAAATCACACATGAAACACCCTCTGATTGATTTCACACAAAAAATGTAACAAGACTCAAACTGTTCTTCTACTTGCTGTGATTGATGCAGTACTCATTAAGCAGCTTGAAAGCCGCAGCTGAAGCTTACGGGAAGCCCGAATGGGGCGGTACCGGCCCAACCGATGCTGGCCACTACAATAACTGGCCAGAAGACACTCAGTTCTTCAAAAAAGAAGACGGAGGTTGGAACACAGAGTACGGAGAGTTCTTCCTCTCATGGTACTCTCATATGCTTCTTGATCACGGCGAACGGATCCTATCCTCAGCCAAATCGATATTCGAAGACACAGGTGTCAAAATATCAGTCAAGATCGCCGGGATCCACTGGCACTACGGAAGCCGCTCTCACGCCCCTGAGCTCACAGCAGGATACTACAACACAAGGTTCAGAGACGGATACCTTCCCATCGCCCAAATGTTAGCAAGGCACAACGCCATATTCAACTTCACTTGTATCGAGATGAGAGACCACGAGCAGCCTCAAGACGCGCTCTGCGCACCGGAGAAGCTAGTGAACCAGGTGGCTCTGGCGACACTGGCTGCAGATGTTCCTCTGGCCGGTGAAAACGCGCTGCCTAGGTACGATGAGTACGCGCACGAGCAGATCCTCAAGGCGTCCGCGCTGAGCTTTGATGATGAGAAGAGCGAGGGAGAGAGCAGAGAGATGTGTGCGTTTACTTACCTGAGGATGAATCCGGAGCTGTTTCAGGCGGAGAATTGGGGGAGGTTCGTTGGGTTTGTGAAGAAAATGGGTGAAGGGAGAGACTCTCATAGGTGTGTGGAAGAAGTTGAGCGTGAAGCTGAGCATTTTGTGCACGTTACTCAGCCTTTGGTTCAAGAAGCTGCAGTGGCTCTTACTCACTAGAGACACAGAGAGAGAGAGAGATTAAAGAGAGACTGTGGCGTTGGTTCGATGGTTGTTTATGTTTGTACGCGGTGTAATGAAATGATTATACGATGATGCTGAAAATGTTTAGGCTAAGTCTGTGTATGTATTGACAGTGAAGAAAGAAAAAAATGAAATGTGCCACAGCTCTGGTTTTTGTTTTTGGGGTCAGGTTGTGGCATTGTACTAATAAAATACATATTTGTCCTTTCTTCTTCTTTTTTTCATATCAATATTAGCATAGAGTAAGAACTGTCTCAAATATGCAAGTTCAGTCTTACTTAGCAGATCTATAGATTGAAACAAATTTATCACTGGAAACAAAATAAATGGAAATTAGTGAGAACATGAGAAAGAAAGAAAATCAATAATTCTTAGAATGCCGTGACCTCGAGTGCGTTTTAGATGTCGGATAAGAATTACTGATTTGGTAGCTCCACACACAATACTCATTTTGTCAGATTGTGGCATTGTATAACTACTAATATATGCTAACAAATGTACATATTTCCTCCTTTTTTTTACTTTTCTTATAGTAATGCAGATCAATATGACAATATATCATGAAGAATGATGATTTAAAGCATTTCTTTTACAATACAGAATGTTATGAATGAAGAAAATGATTTGATGAATGTGGCATTGTGCGTTGGTATACATATACCATACGAAATACTTACAATAATACATGCAACAAAATCTACATACCCGATGTTAACTCTAACAATAGATAGCTACCGAAGATTGTCTCAGAGGTTTATGGTGTTTTCACTCTTCAAAATGTGAAGAAATTAATTACTGACAAAAACACAAAACCAACACCTTAATAGTAAATTAAGTTCATTCAAAATTTAATATGCTAGTCCTTAGATGCGTTCACCAAAAGGACGACTATATATAATTAGGGAGACAAAACACAAAGTACTAATTTAATGATTCTTCTAATTAATGAAAAAGACGATATACTATAAGATAAGAATAATTAAAAGACAGAGAGACGTATACTTAGGGACGTTCACGTGAAGGAACAGCTTAAACCAGCCAAACAAAGATACTAAATTCTCATTCCCACAAACAAAAATCATGGGACCAACCTAATCGTTTAAAAACTGATTATGTGGCTGTAAAAACCAATTAAAAATCCGATAAAACTATTCACATGAACAAGGTTTTGATTAGACAACAGTCTTACTTTTGTCTCTTCCTCTATATGATTAAGTTGACCCTTGAGCCACTCAAAAACAGGTATGTCTATTCACCTCCTAATTCAAGATCTGCACACATATTATCTATTTTTTTGGAATCCTGTGACTATGGAAAACTGATTAGTAATATGAAGAGAAGACTTATAGAGTATAGAGTTATACTGTTATAGAGTTTATAGAGAGAGGGATGGGTCCAAACTCCAAATAGTTGAAGATGGACCATGTGAAAAAAACAAAGAAAGCCCACACCATTTATTGGTAAAATGGATGAGAATATAGTGTTGTAGTTTTCTTTGTCCTTAAACCTAATCTTCTAACTCAATTTCCACCTTCCTTTCTGACATCTCCCATCACTCACCTCTTAAATTTATTCCATTCCACCAAATTTTTAATCTCACCTTTTGTTTTTATTATAGTATGTTAAACATGTGAGAGAAACACAAAGCTACAGAAGTTACTGTTGTGAGATGCTTTTTTTATGCCTATATATAAATGGTAGAGTAGCTTCTTCACCTCATAATTATGACTTCTCTTCATTGAATGAAGAGAAAAGCCTCTCTACATCAACAACACAAATTCTAAAGAGAGAGACCGAGAGAGAGAGACAAAGAAATATATATTCTCCTTCATTAACATTCTTGTTCATGTCTTAAGAAGAAACATCCAAAATGGGTGGTTGCTCAAGCAAGCAAGAGAGAAGAAGTGTGATAAGTGTCAAGGAGACTTCAACTGAGAAAAGCAGAGGACGAAGACATGTGAGAAGAGAGGTGGATGAAAGGGAGAAAGTGATGTTTGATAAACTTAGAGAGGCGGAGAGAGAGTGGAGGAAAGAGCGGAAGAAGCTGAGAGAGGAAGTGAAGAGGCTAAGGAAGAAAGTGGAGGAGAGAGAGGAAGCAAAGACAACACCAACAACAACAACAGAGGAGAGAGAGTACTGGAAGTGGGTTGTTGAGGAGATGTGTGTGGAGAGAGCAGTGAGAGAAAAAGCCGTTGAGAAATGGAAACAACTCTATTTAGCTATCAAGAATGAGCTTGATCATCTCATCATCCACACAACTTCTTCCTCTGGTAAAAAAATCAACTCAATTTTCAGTTTTTTATTTATTTTATTTTGATAAAAGTATGAATCTTTAAATTGGGTTTTTGTAGGAGAGGCAATAGTGCAAAGGAGACTTGAGCAAGAAGAAGAAGAAGCAACTAAGACAGTGGAAGAATTGAGAGAAGAAGTTAGAGTTAAAGAAGATACAATTGAGAAACTAAAAGAGAAAATAGCTTTGATGGATAGACAAAAGTATGAGAAGGAAAGAGATGTTGATATGCTGAGACAGAGTCTAAGGATTCTCGGAAGCAAGAAGAAGAACAAGAAGAAGAAAGGAGAATCATTTGCATCAATGAATCTGTTGATTTTGAAGACCAAATGCGTCGAATGTACATAACACTTTTTGTCCCAAATTTTTCTTCTGCAACAGTGACAATATCTCACTTGATCAGAGAATCTTTGATCCACAATGTCTTTTTTTTTTTTTTTAATATTTTTATCTCTTGGTGTTATTCACTTTTTTATATTGGAAATAGCGAAATCATAGCACTCTGAGTTTCAATGAAGCACATGATGACACATCAAAGATTTTTCAGAAATCATTTGTTTCTGTAAAATACAAATATTGTATGCAAAAATGATGATTATGAACCTTTTTTCATTTACAAATAAAGCTTGTTGTTAACGGCAAAATAAAAATAAAAAATAAATAAAGCTTGTTGTTAAAATAACGGATCTATCAAAACTAAAACCAATTCCTTAATATCCTCAATTCGACTTAATTTGGTTTAAACTAGATTAGTTTGGTTTGGTTTATTTCCGGTTTGTGGTCAACACTACAAATATGTCACTGTCAGTGGCGGCAGTGTCAATTTTTGCTCCCAGTCTAGTTTAATTTACAAGTTTCTTCACAAAAACAAGATTTTAATCGGTTTATTTATTTTCGGTTCACCAATGCAATTTTCATTTGGTAGAGTTTAAATTCATTTCATCTAAACCGGATCAAACACTCGAGTCAAACGACAGCGTTTTGAAAAACCACCAAAAAACCCTACTTTGCTGACTTCTGAATCTATCTGAATTTTGACCAGACGTCTCTTCTTCTCTCACTCCTACTACAATCAGCACGTTTATCTCTCACCCACCACCACACTCACACTTCACCATCGTTAAAGAACATCCACTCACTCCGCCGACGAAAACCCATTTCCGAGTTTCGAACTTCATCTTCCACCTTCTGATCAATCCTCTCCACGCGCCACAATGCACGCCACAATCCTCTCACCACGCGCCACTATCTTCCCCTGTAAACCTCTCTTCCCTTCCCAAAACATCCGCTCCGGAGATGACTCTCGCCGCCGCCGATCAACCATCTCCTGCTCAACCCAATCCGTAACCGCCGATCCCTCCCCTCCGTCCACCGACTCCTCAAAGCTCAACAAATTCAGCTCCAGAATCACCGAGCCCAAATCGCAAGGCGGGTCGCAAGCAATCCTCCACGGCGTGGGTTTATCCGATAAGGATTTGCTCAAACCCCAGATCGGGATTTCGTCTGTGTGGTACGAAGGCAACACCTGCAATATGCATTTGCTTCAATTGTCCGAGGCCGTGAAAGAAGGCGTCGAGAAAGCCGGGATGGTTGGGTTTCGATTCAATACGATCGGCGTGAGTGATGCAATCTCGATGGGGACGAGAGGGATGTGTTTCAGTTTGCAGTCTAGGGATTTGATTGCTGATAGTATCGAGACTGTCATGAGTGCTCAATGGTATGATGGCAACATCTCTATCCCTGGTTGTGATAAAAATGTGAGCTTTATCTTCTCTCTCTTCACAGTCTCTGACTTTTGTGATTGATTTTTAGCTTCATGCTTATTTGAATTTATGTGCAAATTTGCAGATGCCTGGAACAATTATGGCTATGGGAAGGCTTAATAGACCAGGGATTATGGTTTATGGTGGAACCATCAAGGTACTCTTTTTTCTTCTTCTTTCTGAATTCTGATTGAAGTTTACTAAACCCTAAGCTGGCTAAATCTCATTGCTTTGGTTTTGTTGCAGCCTGGACATCATGAAGAGAAGACGTATGACATAGTATCTGCTTTCCAGGTATCTTGCTCTAGGCCTGATGATGATTAACACCTCCTTGTTTATGTTACGTTGTATCTTAAAGCTCTTACATTTATGGGATTAAGAGCTTCTCGGTGTCTAATCGCTATAGTACTTTGTGTTTCTTGTATTGTTTGTCAGTGTTATGGAGAATATGTTAGTGGCTCAATAAGTGATGAACAGAGAAAGACTGTTCTGCATAATGCATGTCCTGGAGCTGGAGCATGTGGTGGCATGTACACAGCTAATACTATGGCTTCTGCAATTGAAGCTATGGGAATGTCCCTTCCTTACAGGTGAGGCTTTTAACGCTAAGAGATCACTTTTATGAATCAACTTCAATCATTTTTGACAGATTTTACGTTTGCTTGTTCTGTTTTGAAGCTCTTCGATACCTGCTGAAGATCCGTTGAAGTTGGACGAGTGCCGGTTAGCTGGAAAATATCTTCTAGAATTGTTGAAGATGGACTTGAAGCCTCGAGACATTATTACTCCAAAGTCACTTCGGAATGCGATGGTTACTGTCATGGCTCTTGGGGGATCGACCAACGCTGTGTTGCATCTAATTGCTATTGCGAGGTAAAGTGTTAATCTGTTTTTGCTTAGTATTATCATGGAAAACAGTAGACTGAGGTAACAGAAAACGGAAACTATTCCAGGTCTGTTGGTTTGGAGTTGACACTTGACGATTTCCAGAAGGTCAGCGATGCGATTCCGTTTCTAGCAGACCTTAAACCCAGTGGGAAGTATGTTATGGAAGACATACATAAGGTGCGGCTTTTGCAACATCGTTGTGTTTATTAGTTATTTGTTTTGGACTGATAATTTTGTTGTTGTTTGATCTACAGATAGGTGGTACACCAGCTGTTCTTCGCTATCTATTAGAGGCTGGATTTATGGATGGAGATTGTATCACAGGTATAAATGCTCAACCCTTTTAGAAAATTTCATATCAACATTTTCGGTTGCATAACTATGATTTGATTGTAAAACTGATTACACATAACTATTATTTTGTGTCTCCTACCAGTCACAGGGCAGACTTTGGCTCAAAATTTAGAAAACGTCCCTCGGTTAACAGAAGGCCAGGTAGGTTTTGTTTGTAATGTTATTGGTTTATCTTATCAGAATCTACCGGCTGTTTCGTCTTGATTATGATGGATGTTATTGATACAATTGTCTACTGAAAGACTTAACAATGTCTCAGGATATAATTAGACCTGTGTCAAACCCAATCAAGGAGACCGGACACATCCAGATCTTGAGAGGAGACCTTGCACCAGAGGGTTCTGTAGCAAAAATTACCGGCAAAGAGGGTTTATATTTCTCTGGTAATGTTGGTTTCACTCCTTTACACTCACACTTCTCAGTTTTAGAGCTTATATAATGGAAGTGGAACTATTTGTTTTAGGTCCCGCACTTGTATTTGAAGGAGAGGAATCTATGTTGGCTGCTATATCAGCAGACCCGGCGAGTTTTAAGGTAATTTTCCTTTCTGAAATGAAGTTCATCGCCAGAGTTGGCTGGTTAATTCTTCTATCTGCTGAGAGATGTAACGTGTTACAGGGAACAGTAGTTGTTATTAGAGGAGAAGGTCCTAAAGGAGGTCCAGGCATGCCTGAGATGTTGACACCAACAAGTGCAATAATGGGTGCTGGTCTTGGAAAGGTATTGATCAGTTTTCTTACTGTCTGACTGATTGAGGCGTGATTTGATTCATTTTATCTTCTTAATCCACATCTGAAAACATACTTCAATGAAAGTGACCAATATCTTTGCTATTGGTTGCTGCAGGAATGTGCATTATTGACTGATGGTAGGTTCTCGGGTGGGTCTCACGGTTTTGTTGTTGGCCACATCTGCCCTGAAGCTCAGGTCTCTCTCTCTCTCTATACTGGCTCTCCACTGGCGCTGCTTTCAGATACTAGAACAGATATTAATGTGATTTTGAGAATGTGAAGATGGTTATGTTGAAAGCTTTTCCTTGTGTGCATGTTATATATATCTGCAGGAAGGTGGTCCGATAGGTCTGATACAGAATGGAGACATAATCACAATTGACATAGGAAAGAAGAGAATAGACACACAAGTCTCGGCCGAAGAAATGAATGAGCGTAGAAAGAAATGGACTGCTCCTGCATACAAAGTTAACCGCGGAGTTCTATACAAGGTAATCTAATGAAACCACAACTTTGTATGAATGTAATGTAACTCCTCTTTTGATATTTTGTTGGATTAGTTGCTAAAACAATTGTTGGTATGAATATGTTCTACAACAGTATATCAAGAACGTGCAATCGGCTTCATATGGATGTGTGACTGATGAGTAAAGCGAGAGATCTCGTTTTGTGAATGAGCGGCTTAAAGCAGTGTTGTGTTCATGAGGGCCTCCTTTTGTATTATTGTTACCTTTTCGATCATTTTGCTCAGTTTTCTTGTCTTTTGACTGATTTTTGTTTAGAGGTTTGTTCAAAAATAAAAACTTTTGATTGTGGTGTTGCGGATAAAGACAGATTTGCTGAAATCCAAAAGAGAATCTAACACTGATGGAAAACAACACTTTTCATTACAAAACACAAACAAACAAAAAAAATCCCAAAACGGTTTACTTTATTTGTATAAAAATAGTAACTTCACACAGATTCTGATGAAAATAATGGAATGCTTTACCTTTGGATCATCTCATGTATTCTGATGAGCAAGAACGATGTCAGAAGTGGTCAAAGTCCCAGATTCATCAAGATCGAGTTTCTCAAATTCTTCCATAATCCCAATAATATCTTCCTGATCAATCTTGTCCATTTCTTTCAGTCTATACACAAGAAACTCTGCAACTCTGTAACACACAAAAGACAAGGAAAATAAGAAGAAGAAGAAGAATGGAACAGAAGAGAGTTATATGTCTGATAGTTCTAACCCAACGACTCCTTCTCCTTCAAGATCAGCTGCTTCAAGATCAATCTTTGTGAATCTTGGAATAACAGAGCTTCATCATCATATCAATAGCAAGATTCAGTGTACTAAGACAATAATGTTATTTCTTCCAAAGATGACGATGATGATAGTAATGAATCTTTGCTTACCTTTGGATGTGAGAGTTTGTCTGAGCAAGATCAATGTCAGAATCTGTCAGAGTTCCGGATTCATCGACATCGAGTCTCTCAAACTCTTTTGTTATCTTAATGATATCTTCCTGATCAATCTTGTTCATTTGTTTTAGTCTATATACCATAAACTCCGCAGCTCTGCAACACACAAAAAAGATAAGAAGAAGAAGAAGAATGAAACAGAAGAGAGAGTATGTCTTCTGATGCCTCACCCAACGACTCCATCTCCATTGATGTCAGCTACTTCAAGATCAATCTTTGTGAATAATGGAACAGCAGAGCTTCATCACCAAATCAATAGCAAGATTCAGTGTACTAAGATAATAATGCATAGACCAATAGATTTCAGTGTCTTCTGATGCTCACCCAACCACTTCATCTCCATTGATGTCAGCAGCTGCATTGATTTTGATATTTTGGTCATTGGACACAGAATCACCACCACGAGGGACGCTTCTAGAGCGACGCAATCTTCTTTTTCTTGGAGAAGATGATGTTCTTGAGGTTTGGTTCAAGTCTTGATCCATGAGCTCCGTAGGTAATAATGGTTTATAGGTAACTATCAAATCTAACAAAACAAAAAGTGAGGATTTCGAACAGAATCTGAGTTACAGCTACAGATTAAGATTCATATCTTTCAGTTTATCTATAACAAACTCAACACACACACACACACACATACAAACAAAGATAAGATCAAGTCAAGAAGTCAAGAAGATGATTCATCACATATTAAATAGGGGCAATTAAGTATCCATCTAGTAATGTCTTAATGTACATATTTGAGTCAACTAAGTTGTGTCGATATACAAGCCAATCACTCATACCGACATGTCCTCATGTTCTACAGCATTAGCATCGTCCTCAATATTGTCACATTTTTGTGACTCGTAATCAATAATATAAAAACTATGCTGTCATCTAATAATAATGTACCACAACTTAGTCCACTCTATTCTGTCGATATCCAAATCTTTAAACTAATATACTTCCAAATCGAAAGGGACATCAACCCCTTTTTTATATATATCCTCAAGGTTAAACAAAACAAGAGATCAACGGCGGATCCACGTTTAAAGAAGGGGTCTAACATGCCACACATTTCAATTATAATATGTAGTTGGTTCATGTCGCATAAGTATGTGCTGGATCATTTGGTTGCATTCGTCCCTTTCCTTTAGCTCTGTTTTGGTAACTCTTAATTAAGTGAACTCTATCGTAGTCAGTGATGTATTTACTTTTGTTTGCAGCGTAATCTTCATTTAAAACTATGATTAAGATTAAATCCCCAATGGCATTATATTTAGTACTATCTTACAAAGTTAAACAGTTTCAACACTAAACTTATGTCTTGGGGGATTTTATTACTTCACACATCTCATGACAAAATCTTTCAAACATAAAACAAACAAAAAAGGATCCAAACTTTTGTTACAAAGTTTATTATAAAAAGAAATATATTGACTTCTCATATCTTCTTCCAAGAGTGTTCTTGACACCAATCGACAGCACCTTGGGACATGTTCTTCACTGACTCCCAAGTCTGTTCCCAAAAAAAAAAAATTATAAACATTTGCAAGATTTAGTTTTGCTAATACAATATATTCGTGTACGTAAATTCCAAAATTTTACTACTAGTAATGATGCTTAATTAACCTTTGAATCTGTGAAGTCGTCTGAGCAAGAACCATGTCAGAGGTCGTCAGAGTTCTTGATTCGTCGTAATCAAGTTTCTCAAACTCTGCCATTATCCCACCAATATCATTCTCATCAACCTTCCCCATTTCTTTCAGCTTATACACAATAAACTCAGCAGCTCTGCATGGAAAGAGAAAAACAAAGATTCTTGTCAAGAAGAAGATGGAAAGAAGAAGAGATAATATATTAATTCTTGTCTGATGCTTCCTCACCCAACGTTTCCATCTTCATCGAGATCAGCTGCTTCAAGATCATTGTTAGTGAGTTTCCTTGTCAAAACCCATTTCACTATTGCCTTCTGTTTGGTCTCTGCCCTAAGCTCAACAAGATAGAAGAAGAACCTAGCCAAACATATAGTGCTCATCAAGATCCAAACCACACCGAAAAGCCGTCCCATTCCGGAGCTAAAACTCTTGTCTCCATAACCTAACGTTGTAACCGTGGAGCACACGCAATAGAAAGCTAGAATAACTTCCATTTTCTCAACCACCACAAGAAAAATCATGCCCACAAGGAAGAGGACAACAAGGACAAAGAATGTCACATAGCATTTGTGTCTCAACTTGTTAGTATCCAACTCCTTGAGAATGTCCGTTGGAGTAGAGGTTTGTCGCAAATGGAGAGCCTTCACTAGCAAAGTCTCTTGCTTCTCGACTAGATAATCTGCTGCTCGGCTTAAAATGCTACTCATGAGGACCATTCCGGAGAAGACAAAAGCACAAGCAAGTAGTCTTGAAGCAGAACTGTTAGGGACAAGGTCACCGTATCCAACGGTTGTCATCGTTACTATACAGAAGTAGATGGAATCTAACACACCGTTGGTCTTGTGACCGGAGATTTGGTCTCTCACGAGGTAGAAACAAAGAGTACCAATGCTTATGTATAAAACCAAGAACATGATCATTCGCCTGAGGTTAGGGTTTAGATCTCTCAACAAGGGGATGTTATTTGGAACATGAAGAGGTGGCTCATCGGTTTTGATATCATCGTCATTGTACGAAGAATCACCACCACGAGGAGCGCTTCTGGAGCGACGCAATCTTCTTTTGCTTGAAGAAGAAGTTGTTCTTGAGTTTTGGTTCAAGTCTTGATCCATGGGCTCGTTAGGTAACAATGGTTTATAAGCACTCGACATTCTAGGTAACTATCAAATCTAACAAAACAAAAAGTGAAGATTTCGAACAGAATCTGAGTTACATCTACAGATTAAGATAAAGAGCTGAGACTTACCAAGTATTATTATCGATTAGAAAGCCAAAATCGGAAGAAGTGGCTTGGATCTTTCAGTTAATCTTCATTAATGCTTTTCACAGTTGACCAAATTATCTTCGGTTCTTGCTTCTTGTGTTTTATTTTTCCACTTCTATTTAGTTTTAAAGTTGACATTTTCTTTAAATAAAACTTTAACCGGCGCTTGTGGCCCAGTGGTAAAGGACCCTCAGCTGAGGTATCCGCCATATGGGTTCGAGTCCCGGCCACAACGGATTTAACATCCCTTCCATTGGGGCGCTAGACCCCACTTGTGGGGATAGTCGGGAATGTGGCTGCCCGGATACCAACCAGAGTTATAAAAAAAAAAAAAAAAACTCTTAACTAATTTCTTGAAAAATTATTGTTGAGATTAGTTGGCGGACCTAAAATTTTTTTTTACCCGGCTCAATGATCAATCGAAAACCAGTATCCTTGTTGGCTTAAGGATGACAACAGAAGTTATACGAAAGTGACGATCTAAATTTAGCTGTTATATGGGTTTTAGTTGTTTGACAATGATTTAGTGAAGCTTAGTTTGTTTTTTTGGACAAAAAATAAGTGTAGTTCAGTTAATAGGGGACTTTTAGTAAGATTTTATTGGACCAAAACCATTAGGCTCTAGTTAATGGCCTAATGGGGTGTCAAAATTAAAAATTAACCTGGTTCAATTTACAAATTCATAAGTATTAAACCAAAGAAAATAAATTTTAAGGTGTGTCACGTATTAGAAAATAAACCAAGGTATTCTATCACGTAGGTCCGCCTTAGTAATGATGATAATTACACCCTTAAGTATATACAAGCCAATCAAATCAATCATGTCGACGTGCCGTCATGTTCTTCTACAGGATGGTAAAATACTCAGTATTGTCACTCCATTCTCTCTAAATCAAATAATACAAAGAAGAAGTGTGCTGTCATCTTATAGTCAACTGTATTCTGTCGATATCCAAATGTTTAATCTAATATATGTAATTCCAAATCGAAAGGGACATCTCTTGCCAAAGATTATAGCGTAATCCTCTTTTAAAATTCGATTAAGATAATTATAATTTAATTCCCAATGACATTGTATGTAGTAGTAGAAGTATTACAAGGTTAAACTGAGTTTCAAAACTCGTAAATAAATGTCCAAGGGGATTTTATTACTTCCCACATCTCATGACAAAATCTTTCAAACATAAAAACAAAACAAAAGAGATCCAAACTTTTATTACAAAATTAATTATTAGAAAAAAAGCAAAAGAGTTTTCAAACTCCAAATAGATAAAATATACTATAATAAAACGAGAAGTATATTTGACTTCTCATTTCTTCTCATTGTAACCAAGAGTGTTCTTGACACCATCGACAGCACCCTGGGCCATGTTCTTCACTGACTCTCCAGTCTGTCCCCCAAAACATTATAAACCTTAGCATAAATTAACACAATATTAACTATACTCAATGGTTAAAAACATTAACTAAATTAAGATTACTTGTTGGATGAAACCAGAAGCTTGTTCTTGGCCGTGCTGGGCAGATTCTTTGGTGGACTGTGCTGTTTGCTTAGCAGATTCTGTCCATTGCTCGGCCTTCTCCTGCATAAATATACCAATCCATACAATATTACATAACTAAATTCAACTTTATATATAATAAACTAACAAAAAAAGAAATGGGATGGAAGAAGATACAGTAGCTTGGCCCCTGGTCTGCCCAGCGTTGTAAGATTGTTGCAAGTTCGACATGGTTTAATCAACTTAACGTATATCAACTATTGTTTATTGTTTTGTTTATGGGTGCTAAATGAGCTTTTGATTGATTTTGTTTTCTTTTCTAATGAGAATTGTATTTATAGTGTTCTTCTTCACAGAATTTGGATTATAAATTTTGTGGTGAAGTAAGAAATGAGTAAACTTCGGGAGAGAGATGTATGGATGGCCATCTATGTTTTCTTGACTTCTTCTCTTATTTTTAAGGTTAAATTACAGTAGTATAACATCTTTGACCAACATAATCTGCATAGATAACTTTCGTAAGCTCTTCGTACATTCTTAATATTTATTAACAAGATTAACCCTAAATTGACATAAGTATGTTTCGAACTAGATAATTTCTTGGTTAAAATTTATCATACATTAGATAAATATATACAATATAAACATGTTAAAATAACCAGAAACCTAGTAAAATTTATAGATATCTTTTTTTTTACAACTATTATATAATTTTTAGAAACATTAAAATTTGTAACAAATCCTAATCTAAACCCTAAATGTTTAATTTGTAATATAAAGTATGTTAAATAATATCAATATAAACAGCACACAAATATATATGAAAGAAATCTAAATCTTAGATGAGAAATAGCGAATATGAAAAATAACGAGCCAAACTAAATATGTACAACGTTTTAAAAAATATAACGATAAAAATCTAAACCCTAGACGAAAAGTAGCCAATATGGGATATAGTGAATCCAAATTAAATAACATAAATATGATATAGATCTAAAGCCTAGATGAAAAAATAACGAATATGGTATATAGCGAACACAAATTAAATAGCGTAAAATATGTCAATCGTAAAATATATATGAAAATAAAAAGCTAACCTTTAAATTGTATTGAGAGAATCTAAACACACTGTTTTAACTATCCAATGTAGTAACTAACCAACAAGGTGTTATAGAAAATATTGTGGCCAATTTTCATTAGCTAATTTCTTAGTTATTGTATTTTTTTTTTTTTTGTTAATGGCCCATTCCCTTCTATTTATTAGCTAAAATGTCAAATAAAAAAAATCGAAGGGCTTTTAGAGGAATGTATATTTTCAAATATGTATACACTTATTTCCATAACTAATTTTTTATAATAATCTGTTTAACAAAACTATTTAAAATTGATTAAAAATAGAGAAAAATAATTAGTTTATTTTATCAAAGGGTCCAAAGTCCAAACTAAATTTTGAGCCAGTTGGCAGTTACATGAATCAAGTATAAAAGGTATAACATGCATCGTCATCTCTATCCACGGAAGCAAAGCACAGTCACCTGTTTCAAAGAAAATCACTTCCAAATATGACAAGTAAAATAAAGAAAGAGAAATAACAAAATACCCAATTAAAATCTTTTTCTAAATTGGTAGATTTCATAACTTAAATTTAGTCAAGAAATTGTGATTTTCCATGACAAATGTTTACCGTTCTACGGTTCTACATTAGGTATCATATCTTTAGATTATCTTTATCACATTTTGTCTTAATCCCCAAGAAAATATGCTTTATTGGCATTTCACTCCATTATCATGTTGGCTATATAAAGAGGTGAGCAAACACCACAACAACATCAAAGTAAGAAAACGAATATAAGTTTATCAAAGATCAATTGCTTCTCATTTCTCAAGTCTCTATTTTCCATACTTCATACAAAGATCAATTGCTTCCAAATCTCAAAAAACACCAAAGCTTTCTTACAGTTTTTGTAGAGTTTTCTCACGTGCAATCTGAGCGATCCCTAAATGTTGACACGAGCGAGGAAAAGGCAAATGACGACGGCGACGGAACGGACCCCAAATCCGTCACTGCCTGATGACGTAATGGTGAGCATCTTTGCACGCGTGCCGATATCTTATTACCCATGTCTCTATCTCGTCTCCAAGCGCTTTCAGTCTCTCCTTGTCTCACCCGAGCTACACAAGACTCGATCCCTCCTAGGGCGCCGCAAGGAGAATTTTCTCTATGTGTGTTTAACGTTTCCTACTGACCCCAACCCTCGCTGGTTCACTCTCTGCCGCAAACCTGACCAAGCCCTAACCAAGAGTAAGAGAAAGAAGAAGTCAAGTGGCAACGTTTTGGCCCCATTCACAACGTTTAGTTCTCCTAAAATTGAACGACGGTCCTGTCTCGAGGCGATTGGCTCAAATATCTACAAGATCGGGAGATCCACTAAAGACGAGCCTCAGCCTTCATCTAGCGTCTTGTTCTTGGACTGCCGGTCTCACACGTGGCGTGAGGCTCCAAGCTTTCTGGTGGAGAGGAGTAGCCCTCTTATTGCTAGTGTTGTTGGTGGAAAGATTTATGTCTTAGGAGGCACCAAAGATCATGATGTAGATCCTTGGGACCAGATCGAGATGTTCGACTCGGAGACACAAACTTGGGATCACGTTCCGAAACATAACTTGAAGCTAGATGTTTGGGGGTTTAACCGCAGGATCGCATGTGTTGATGGTAAGCTCCACCTGAAGATTGAGAAACAGTATGTTGCTTATGATCCAATGGAAATTAGATGGGACGTGGTCGAAAGAGACATGTTTCGGCATCGGAGTCCGTCTATTCATGAGAGGTTGGCTTATTGCACGGTAAATAATGTTTTCTACCGTTATAGTTATTGCCATACTGGGGACACGTTAAAATGGTATGACACTGAGTCGGAAGAGTGGAAGAAGGTGAAGGGTGTGCTAAGACTTCCAAAGTTTCATGAGAGCCCTCTTATTAGGTTGGCTGATTATGGTGGGAAAATGGCGGTGTTGTGGGAGAAGCTGGATTCATGTTCTAGTGGCTTGAAGACGCTTTGGTGTGCGGTGATTAAGCTTGAAAGGCGAAAGGATGATGAGATTCGGGCGAAGGTTGAGTGGGTTGATGGTGTGCTTCAAGTCCCTTACTCATATGAATTTGTGAAGGCTCTTGGTGTTACTGTTTGATGAATGACATTCTTGGATGTCGTTACTCTTTAGATAACATTATGTTTTTGGATGTTGTTTTGTCTTTTGTTTTTAAACTTGAATGTTGTAGGCATCATCATTTCACTTGATGGATATCTTATTTTCTGCTTCTAAGCACCTATGAAATGTTGTTCCGATTCAATAAAAGGGATTACTACCTTCATGATGCCAAATTTTTCTTTCTTAGAAGTACATATTATTTAATGATACATAGTATTATATATGATTTTGTTCTGAATGTTTGTGTGTTGTAACGATGATGAATGATCTTCTATGTGTGTTTATCAGAATGCCATTGGCATTAATCTTCTAAAAAACATGCATCTTCATGTGCATCCACGAAGGCAAAGCACAATCACACGTTTCAAAAAAAAATTCACTTCCAAATGTGAGTGATAAAAGAAAAAGAAATAACAAAAATACCAAATTAAAATCCTCTTTAAATCAATAGTTTGTCTTTGACTATATATTAAAAAAAAAAAAAAAAAAAAAAAAAAAATCAGTAGTTTTCCTAAATAAATAAAATTGTGAAATCCATCATAAACTTTAGATTAATCTTTATCACCCTCAATTAAAAAAAACTCAACAACATCAAGTGATTTTTTTTTTACTATACGTCTTAATTGAAGTCAAGTCAAAACCCTAAATTCAACTCATTAATTTTTTCTCCGTAGTGGGGGAGAGTTGAGAATCCTCCAATGTTAACACGAGCCGGAAAGAGAAAGACGACGACGACGAATGACCTGTTGCCGACGCCGGAACGGACCCCAAATCCTTCACTTCCTCATGACCTAATTTTGAGCATCATAGCACGTGTGCCGAGATCGTATTACCCATATCTCTCCCTCGTCTCCAGGAGTTTTCAATCTCTCCTTGCCTCACCGGAGCTATACGAGACCCGATCCCTCCTACAGCGCACGGAGAGTTGTCTCTATGTGTGTTTACAGTTCCCTACTGACCCTAACCCTTACTGGTTCACTCTTTGCCGTAAACCTTACGGAACCCTTACCAAGAATAAGAAAAAAGAAGAAGTCAAGTGGGAATCTTTTGGTCCCAGTCACAACTTCTTGTTCTCCTCATATTCAAGGATCGTCATGTCTCGTGTCGCTTGGTTCAAACATCTACAAGATCGGAGGACACATCAACCAAGAGAATCTGCCTTTCCGTTCAACTAACGTCTCGATCCTAGACTGTCGGTCTCACACGTGGCATAAGGCTCCAAGCTTGCTTGTGGAGAGGTGTTTACCTATTGCTAGAGCAGTTGATGGAAAGATTTATGTAGTAGGAGGCAATGAAGATAATGGTTTAGAGTCTTGGGACCATATCGAGTTGTTCAACCCACAGACACAAACTTGGCACCACGTGCCCAAACATAACTTGACGGTACATTGGGGTATTTTCCACAAGGTCGCATGTGTTGAAGGTAAGTTCCACTTGATGATTGGGGAGAAGTGTGTAGCTTACAATGAAAAGGAAAGTAGATGGGACGTGGTTGAAGGAAAAATGCTTGAGCATTGTATTAGGTCTCTTACTCAGGTTGTGTCTTATTGCACGGTAGAGAATGTTTTGTACCGTTATTATTGTTATCAGGTGGGAGAGTTTAGATGGTATGACACTAAGAAGAGATTGTGGAAGAAGGTGAAAGGTATGGTAGGGCTACCAAAGCTTGATAATCGTTGCTGTATTAGATTGGCTGATTATGGTGGGAAAATGGCGGTTTTGTGGGACAAGGATTCAAGTTCTTGTGGCGTTAAGGAGAAGACGCTCTGGTGCATGGAGATTGCGCTTGAAAAGCGCGGTGGAGATGAGATTTGGGGGACGGTTGAGTGGAAGGATGGTGTGCTTCCAGTCCCTGTTGAGAGATATCAATTTGTGAAGGTTCTTGCTGTTACTCTTTGATATTGTGCAAGATTGTTGTTAGTGTCTTATGGGTATTGTTATAACATTTTGTTGGATTCATTGTTGTGTCTTGTGTTTTTAACTGAAATGCTATTAAAAACATCATATCATGGTTGGCTTATTTTGTGAGCTAAAATGTTTAGAGTATATGCAAATTGCATTCTCCTAAACACACGAGAAAACCAATGACGTGTATGTAGATTTGGTTAAGAGGATCTTGAACTAGTGTGGAATTGGCATGCACCATCTGGTTACAACTTACAACTATTGGCATTGAAATTCACAATAAACCTTCCATGATCCTTGGCAAATTTAAAAGTCGAACTGATTACTGTATTTTGTTGGCAATCTATGCTTGGATTTAGTCACCCTAATGAACAAAAATCACACAAACAATAGATATAGCAAACATTGAATATGATAACTGACCAATGACTATGTTCAAACCTTGCAAGAACAGGATTGATAGTGATTATTTTTGTTAAAACTAAAACAGTGAAAAGTTCATGTAATATCCAAAACCATACCGGGATTCTGTTGGTAAAACATATATTTGATTCGAACACTTGTAACCTGAGCTATAATATAATCAACAATTACAAAAATTCAGTCAAAAACTACAAAAACCAAACTCATATAACCTCTCTCTGTTCACAAAGCTTTCGTGTCTCTCCATTTGGAACACTCTTGAGTGTGTCTTGTCTCTCACACTATACCGTTTCTGATTTCTTCTTTACTTAGCCTCAAATCCAATGAAACCCAAAAAATTTGGATCAAACTGAACCAAATGAATTCTTCCAAAACAAAAGAAGAAGGAAGCAATAGGGGCTCCATGGCTCGTGCTCGGATTTACAGTTTAAGAAGCCATGTCATACTCATGCATTAGAGAAGCTTGCTTGTTCTTCTTTTCGATGGCCCTCCTGGGAACATCTTCATGATCCATCCTAAAACCCTTTCTACCACCTAGAGAGAGAGAGAGAAATAATTAATGTGTGGTCTTTTTCTCGACACCCAAAGAGATAGATAGAGAGAGTAAGTACCTCATCGCCCTCATCTGCAATTGGTGGTCTCTCTTGAACAGCATGAGAATCCGGCTGCTTTGCAGGTGAAGTATTGTCTATAGCCATATTCTGTGCTGTTAGAAGCTCTAACCTTTGCGTCTGCACTTCAAGTTTTCTCGACAACTCTTTGTTCAGCTCCTATGGTTAACAAACATGAGAAAATGTTGAGGGCAGGGACCAGATTAAGGCTATGATGACTAAGATATAGAAAGCATGGTCGTAGTTGGTCAAGTCAGAAGAAGACATGTTTTCAGTCTGTGCTTAGAGCATGCATTTCGTGAGATACAGTTTCTGTTGATGTACCTTTATCCGCGCACTTTGAGATAACTCAGATGACAATGCTTGCACCAGTTCCTCTTTTTCAATTGCCAACTGCAGCCAGCGAAGCAAAATAACTGTCACCTTGAGAGTTGAAAAGTACTGATTCTCACAGCTAAAGAAGAAGAAAAAACTTCATATGAATGAATGATCCATGACTACTACCTCAGCAATCAGTGTATTTATGTTATGAATCACTCTCATCTGATCGGCTGGGACGCTCAGTGAAAAGCCTTCAAGAGTTAATTGTCCAGTTTCAGGAATGATAACTGTATTAGATGAATCACTTTCGAGCAGAGAGGTAGAATCTGCTTCCTGGTCTGGCATGGTATCTGAGATTGCTGCACCAAGAAAACAAAGAGGAAAAGGGATAATAAGATATGGTGAAAGTGAAAAGATTAAACTTCAAACTTTTCTTCAAAAGAGATGCCGAAGATGGAACAGTATAAGTTTACACATCCAAAGTATACTTCAGATTTCTATAATAGTACGCATATACTACTTTGATTTTACAAAAGGACCATTACCAAGACCTTCTGTAGAGGTTGATGCGTTTTTTCTGGAGCTTTTACTAACGTCATTGGACTTTCCACCAGAGGAAGCCTTCTGCACCATTGTCTGTAGGACCTTCTTCTCTGAAAAGGAAGATGAAGAACATCAGATATATAGAGAATTTGTAGAATCACATTGCTTTTTAGAGGAACAGATCTTGGTGTGCATACCTTCCTGAAGAGCTTTAATAGTAGATTGCAAGTCTTGACGATCTTTCTCTAGGGTCTGTAATTTTTTCCTAGGAAAAAATTAGATAGGTAACATGAGAAACATATACCAGAAAGCCGTAGAAGTTACAGACTGAATCCTTAGGGGCTTGGTTCTTTTTTAATCAAACATCAAGAAAAGTTGAAGATATGGACAGGTAAATAATAATACAGTAAAGGACCTAAAGGTCATACTTGTAAGATGACATTTCTGCTTGTGCTTTCTCCAGTTCCCTCTCCAGCTTTAACTCACTAGATCTGAGTCTGAGAGCCTAATATATGTTCCAAGAAAAAAAGTTAATCGTTAAACAGATGTTTATAAGCATTTTAACGTAGGAGAAACAGACACCTCACAACATCAACTGCCAAACATTAAACTAAGGATGTCACTCCTCACTTTTGCAGCTATGTGAGTCGAAAATGTTCTTATAACTAATGTAACTGTAAGAACAACACCCAAAGCCTATTACCTTATCTTCCAAACTGATGACTTCAGAAGCCAGTATTTGTGAACGCTCATCAGCAGCATTACATTCTAGCTGCGCATTTGCATACTCAATCCTAAAAGATTCAAGCTCCCCCTGTAAGGAAACAGTGTTAAAGCAAGTAACAGCGTTTGGAATGATCTAGACAACAGCTCCAGCGAATGAAATAACATGGCATAGAGAAACACATTCAGAATCATACTCGGGCATGCTCAAATTTTAAGTCTCATAAGTAAACATCAAGCAATTAGATAACATATGAATGCAGCAAAATGCAATATCATGCTTTACAATAATATACTGTTAGAGCACATACAACTGGAATTTATTGAGAATGAATAATTAATACTAACCATTTGATCTTGGATCTGTTGTTGTAGCCTCTCCATGTCATCTTTTAGTTGGTTGACAATACTTCTCTGGATAAGATAGAAGAAAGAGCAGTATTACACGAATCAGTGGAAGCATTTGGGACTGTTATAAAAGGTATAAGCACTCTTAACAATAAATAAGCTTAGCAAATGCCATTAAGTAGACATCCTCGAGAGCCTTTTCCAAATTCGTTGTTTCTACAATTTTCTCTGTCTCACTTGTGAATGCAACAATTTCATAGTCTAAATCGGTTTAATCAAGAGTATGGCACTTTAAAGTTTAAACAAGATACTCAATCCATATCCGTCCAAATCATGAAATATTAGTACTCTAATATTTGCATCTCCTATGGATCTTAATATCCAAAACCACATGACAACAAAATTCTGGCGACAAAAGCGATAAAATGCTAACAATTAGTCAACTACCAAATGGTCAAGATTGTTTTCTTAGCATGCTGAACACTATCCAACTAGGGTGGCATAAGTCTTCATGTACCTGCTGATTATATGTGTCTGTCATCGAAGAATTTTCAGATGCTAAGGATTCAGCCAGAGCACGTGAAGCATCAAGATCCCTTTGCAGTGAAAACTTTTCTTGTGTCAAGTCCTCAATATGCTACAATTGGAAATATGAAACCATAGCTCAGAAAATGCAAAGGAAAAAGGGTGTACAAAGAGGAATAATGAAAGCTAGCCTCCTAGAGTAAAATAAAAGAGCAATGCACGACAATGTAAAAAGAATATGAACCACCAGCTAGAGGCATCAATTCAAAATCTTCGACAATTTGCTCATCTTCATATATCAAGCGAACAACTCCTACTTAATTCTTCTAAATGAAAAGACCATACCGGCTCTTTGCTTACTCAAATCTCAAAACCAATCAAACATCACCTTCCAACTATTACGTAGCATATGCACAATACATTAACAAAATAACAGATGGTGGTAGAAGTCAGTATCTTACCTGTTCCAGAGCAGTAAAATCATCATTTTGTTTTGGCATGGAGTAATCAGTGAAACTTGGCATTACTCCATTAGCAGCAGGAAACAAAGAACTTCGGTAATTATCAGCTGGATTAGGAGAATCAGATGCTCCACTAGTCAGCGATGGTCCATTACTATCTCGTCTCCCTGATATATATTGGAGTGAAGATGTCCCATAACCATCACTGCTAGTTAGTCGGGAACCACTGGCAGTAACCAAATCCGTCTCAATCTCAGGGTGTTGATACTGAGTAGCTGGAGCTCTTGAAATATTAAGGGAATCAAGGAAGGAAGGACGAGATCTCTTGACTTCACTTTTAGCTGAGTAAAACGGCGAAGGGCTTGTCATATCTACTCTGTAATCTGAAGATTCAGAAGGTCGAGATGATGCGTCCGGAGAGCTAAACAAATAACTGCTAGACAAAGTTGGCTTCTGCACAAAGCTACCTCCTCGTAACTCACCACTTCCCTGTTGGTTGTAGGCATATTCGTGATTAGACCCTGCCATCGGAGTGGTAGGTTGTTGAGAATCTAGCAACAAAAACCGTAAAGATTAATTAGAAGAAGGGGTGGCAAAAATTAAATTACTTCATCAATCTCAGATGATAGCCACGTACCTTTATTGTATGAGAATCCACTGCCATGCATGAAACCGTCCATTTGCATCGACGTTGAAAGCAGACTGCTTCCAGAAAAAGGAGATGAGCCTTTATAAAAACCATCACTTTCTCTCAGAGTAGAAGCACGATTGTAATCACCACTTGATTGCTTGTCTATATTGCTATAAGGTACAACTTCAGGCCTATTATTCACTGTTAAGTCATCTGACGAACCTCTCAACTCTAAGCTACTAGAAAAACCGACTGCACCCACTGATTCCTGGCCATCATCTTTCTGACTTCTTCCTTTGCTTCCATCATCCGGTGATAAATTATATACATCTCCAGAAAATGAGGATTTGATATGTGTTTCATTTGAGGAAACTTGATGAGTTTCAGCAGATTGCCTGAGAGGTCCATTAGACATAGATGCAACATCTCCATCTGAATCGGTGACACTTTGCTGGCTGTTCTCAACAGGCTGTGTGCTGATACTCTGTGATGCCTTTTTGGCTGCTTTTTGCTTCCGAAACTGCTCAAGCTGAATCCAGAAATTTCACACAATTTAGATACATACGCGTAAGAAATCACAGCCTTTGTTCAAATAATCAAACATCGATTCTGATTGCATGTAATTGGAACATCAAATCTCAACTCTAACATCATGAATTGAAACGGCGACTAAATGATTAGATAAACCCAGAGAAGAGGATCAAAATGACTCGGTGCCGACAAATTTCAGATTTTGAGTTGCAGAAATTCAAAGTAAACGAAGGAAATTGAACAAACGAGAATGATGATCGATCTTACCTTACGTCGTCCAGCTTCAGCGACCTCTTGCCGCCGCGAACTAGGCTTAACCTGAGCTGACGCCATTTGACTATACTCGAAATCTCGCAAAGGGGAAATTGCCCCCAAATTTCTTCAAATCAATGTTTTTTTAATTACCATTGAATCCAATTAACCCATGAACATTCCGAAATCGCCGATTACAAAGAAGAAACTCGTCGCTGATGTTATAATTGAAGAGAAACTCGAAGCATGGGCCAGATCTTGACGCGAAGATTGATAAAATTTGTTGGGGGAGAAAACAGATGGAGATCTCGAGAAACAGTTCAAAAATCGAGGGGATTGTCACCCAAAAGGATACCGAAAAACAAAGAGCAGAAATTTAGGGTTTTCGATCTGATGCAGAGAGACGAAGAGAGGACGAAGTTTGTTCGTCGGAGTTATTATAAATTTGGTTTCCTTCTCCGCCAGATCTCTGATAATAACATTCCTTCCTTTTTTTCCCCAACGTTGCTTTGAACGTTTTTACATTTTTGTTTAAATTAAACGTATGGTAAAATTAGATTCCATTTCATGTATGGTAAAATTATAAATGTGTTGACAAACGATAGGCAAACAAAATGTCTGAGTGTGTATTTGTGTTTGTGTTTGTTCATAATTTTTTATTGTTCTTTTTCCACAACGTTGAGGTTGTATATATAAAAAGAAAACTTATAAAGAGTATATAAAAATGAGATAAATGAGTCGTGAGTCGTGATGGACACATATCTACGATATGACACGAAACAAAAAACAAAATAGGAACATGACGACAGACCACCAAAGAACATTATTCAACACTTGTTTAAAAATGAGACAATAGAAACTTCATGTTCCTAAACTTTAGGACGATTAAAGAAGCAAAAGTATTGAGACAAAATGAAGCAAGCAAGGTAAACCCTTTTTGGTTTCATTTCCTGGAGTTTTGATTCGGTTTATGATCGGATTGTTTGGTTAAAGAGAAATTAGCTAATGGATTTATGAATCTCTAGAATCTAATGGGTACCAACGGTGGCTTGGCAGTTTGTAGGTTTAAATAGTGGAGGAGACCAAGATTGTGATTCCAGTGAATGAATCGGATTTGGGTTTTGTAAGCACGATGGAGGTGGAGAAACGACCCCTCGAGATGATTGAGTGAAAATTAGTAATGAAGATTAAAGCAAAAGAAAAGTATGGAGAACAGGTAATTGCATGTAGCTTGAGATAGCAAACTCAAATTAAGGACATCAAACTCAATTAGTTAATATACTCGAATTCGTAAAACGTTTTTGTGTGGTCTTTTTCTTGCTCTTGCTTTACTCATTCGCTTTTCCGTTTTGTGTTATTTCTTGTGTCACACACTATTTCAGAAACAAATACACCGTATATCTTGGTTTTGTTGTTGGTTCAAGAGCTAGACACACATATATATAAAGTTTATACATTTGTTAATGATAATACCAAATAATGTAAATTTTATTAATGTTTATTGCCCGCATTCTTGTGATCCAGTGGTAAGGGGAAGCCTTTGTGAAGGGCAAAACTCCTAAACCGAGGTTCGATCCTCCCTGGAAACAAAAATCACATTTGTATGGGAAGTATGTCAGTTGGGCCTCTAAACTCAGGATAGGCAATGTGGTAGTCCAAAGGATGAGTCCACTTTGTATCACCTGGGTGCATTTCTACCCGGGCTAACCGGAAGCCGATAGGGTTTATCAAAAAAAAAAAATTGTTTATCACAATAGGATATCTACAAATATATTCTTAGCTAGCTAAGAACTTGTGAAGACTAAAGAGGAAAGGTTAAAAAAGGCAAAACCCTAAAAACATATCTTGCTTCCCAAGTTACTCCAAGGAAAAGTTAAAATGGCAAATCCCTAGATCGTGATTGTAGAAGTATCAAACTTTTCCGTCTTCGTTCTTAAAAGATTAATGACGACACTCAGAGAACTTCCAGGGGATTTGGTAGAGGAGATACTCTGCCGCGTTCCGGCCAAATCTGTGAAACGATTACGATCCACTTGCAAGCGATGGAACCGTTTATTCAACGATGTGGGATTCGCAAGAAAACACTCTGATAAAGCCCCAAAGCAGTTTATAGATCTCGTATTGACCGCTGAATACAAGATTCTTCCGATGAGCGTCAATCTCCATGGAATCAATCCATCCGTAGAGTTTAAGGGTGAGCTTAGCCTTCCCGATCATCCGCATTCTATGGATGTCGATGGAGTCTTTCATTGCGACGGCTTCATCTTGTGCACATACACCTCCAGAGACGAATATGGAATCGTGGTTTGGAACCCTTGTACAGGTCAAACCAGGAGGATTGATCCCGTTGTTCGCAATAAAAGCCGCGGCTTTGCTCTCGGGTACCACCAGGACAAGGGTAAGAGGAGCTACAAACTACTGAGCTACTATGATACTCTCAAAGATTCGGCAATCTATGATTTTACCTCTGATTCATGGAAGATTGTTGATGGTGATATCGCTCCAGGCTGGAACGTTGGAGACGCTTATAGTTGCCAGAGCGCGTCTTTGAAAGGAAACACTTACTGGTTTGCTAACCACGAAACAGAAACGCACCTTGGCATGTGCTTGCTCAGGTTTGATTATTCAACAAAGATATCATGTGGACACGTGCCTCTTCCCTATCAGTATCCTAGTTACAGAACTTCGACTCTTTCCGTTGTTAGAGAAGAGAAGCTTTCGGTGTTATTACAGCCTCATAATACATCCAAGACTGAGGTATGGGTGACTGATAAGATTGATGGGACCAAAGACATGTCGTGGAGAAAGTCTTAGCATTGGATGTGAGCTATGATCATCGCCTTTTGAATTTTGAAAGTTTCTTGCTCGACCAAGAGAATAAAGTCGTCGTTTTATGTGCGGACTTTGAAGAGGATTACAATTTCTCTAGCAAACTCTACGTTGTTGGGGATGATGGTGAAGTCACGGAAGTGGATATTGAAGTAGATGGAGTAAAGGAGTGTTGGCCAGTTGTTTTTAATTATGTTCCAAGCTTTTCTCAAATCGAAACAACCTAGCTTTTCTGGATCTCTTTTGTTTTGGTTTTTTCCTTCTCAATTTATCTTGGGTTATGTTGTTTAAATGATCCTTTGAATTGATATATTCCATTAAGGTGTGGTATTATTACCAGATGTTTCAACTTCCAAGTGTTCCTTTCTTTAACACAGTTTCAAAGTTGTATGATCAAATCATGTCTCTACAGCAAGATTTATAATTCTGCCTTGCAGTATAAGTAAGGGATTTATTAGGTTAAACAAAACAAAAGATAAAAGGAACATGTGTTTGATTAGAGAAGCTTTAAGCAAAGAAGCAAAGAGCTTCACTGGTACACACAAAATAAAACACGAGCGAGAAACACATGCTATAAGAGTGGGTGTGATTTATCACAACAACTTGTGACATTTCTTTGTCGTAAAGTGAATCCACTATCTATGTACATCATCAATGGTTGGTCCATGTGGCCTTATCAGATAGAGAGAGAGCCGTGTGACTCTAAAACATACTATCAACATCATCTTCTTCCCAATTTCACATTCCTCTTTTCATTCTTGCAAACAAATCTCACAAAACCCTTAGAGAAAGAAGCCATGGAAAAGCAAGAAGCAATAGTTCTCTATCCATCACCACCAATAGGTCACTTAATCTCCATGGTTGAGTTAGGCAAACTCATCCTCTCCCAAAACCCATCTCTCTCCATCCACATCATCTTAGCTCCACCACCGTACAAGCCGGAAACAACCGCCGCTTACATCTCCTCCGTCTCCTCCTCCTTCCCTTCACTCACCTTCCACCGCCTCCCAACCGTCGAGCCTCCCTCCTCCACAAAACAGTGTAAACACCACGAGACACTCACCCTAGAAATACTCTCTCTCAGCAACCCAAACATCCACCGGACTCTTCTCACCATCTCCAAAACATTCAACCTCTGTGCCATGATCATCGACTTCTTCTGCACCGCCGTGTTAGACGTCACCGCCGGTTTCACTTTCCCGGTCTACTACTTCTGGACCTCCGGAGCCGCATGTCTCGCCTCCTTCTTCCATCTCCCAACTATCCACGAAACAACAGCCGGGACAAACCTCAAAGACCTCCGCTCGCTACTCACCATCCCCGGCGTTCCTCCGATCAGAGGCTCCGATTTTCCTAAGCCGGTTCTCGACCGCGAAGATGATATCTACGATGCATTTATATCGATGTGTAAGCAGCTCTCGAAATCTCCCGGGATCATTATCAACACCTTTGAGACGTTAGAGAACAGAGCCATCAAGGCCATAACAGAGGAGCTCTGTTTTCGCAATATTTATCCGGTCGGACCGCTGATTACTACCGGAAGAAACGGAGATAAGAATGTCGAAAACACAGATTCTTGTCTGGATTGGCTCGATTCGCAGCCGGAACAGAGTGTTGTGTTCCTCTGTTTCGGAAGCTTGGGTTTGTTTGAAGAAGAACAGCTGAAAGAGATTGCTATAGGTTTGGAGAAAAGCGAGCAGAGGTTCTTGTGGGTGGTTCGTAATCCACCCGGGCTACAAAACCAAACCGAACCGGACTTGGAATCTCTCTTACCGGAAGGTTTTATAAACCGAACCGGACACAGGGGAATGGTCGTCAAATCTTGGGCTCCGCAAGTTCCGGTTCTGAATCATAAAGCAATCGGCGGATTCGTCACTCATGCCGGCTGGAATTCAATTCTCGAATCCGTTTGCGCCGGTAAGTTATATAACCGGACTTGAATTCTCTCTTAACCGGAATGATTTGGTGTGTGGTTTTATTTCATTTGGTGTGGTTTAATTCAATTATAGGCGTACCGATGGTGGCGTGGCCGTTGTATGCCGAGCAGAGATTTAACAGAGTGGTGATCGTGGATGAGATCAAGATTGCGATTCCGATGATTGAATCGGAGACGGGTTTCGTGAGCTCGATGGAGGTGGAGAAACGAGTCCGAGAGATAATGGAGGATGGTCCGGTTAGGGAGAGAACCAAGGCCATGAAGAATGCGGCCGAATTAGCATTGACGGAAACCGGTTCGTCTCGTACCGCTTTGACTGCTTTACTTCAGTCGTGGAGCCCAAAACGATCTTCTTAAGAGTTAAAAGAGTTTAATGTTGTGTTGTTGTTTATGAAATACACAAAAACTTTTAACTCAAGCTACACAAGCTATGTTCTATGGTTTTCTTGGAACTACAACTCCAATATTATATATGGTGATTGATCTGAGTGATAACAGTAGTGTAAAAGTGTGTAAACCTAACATTTTCAACAAAAGCAAAAGATAATTCATCCAACAAAATCATATTTTTCCTCTACAAGAAATTGGACAATAAAAGCAACTTAAGCACCGGATCATTTGTAACTCCATCTTGATTCCGGTAGGTAAATAAAGAAGGTAACTCAAATATTGTATATTTCCAATTTTGTGATTTAATAGCTAAACCCAGCTGACCAAACTTCAACCAGAAGGTTATTTCAAATATCTAAAAAGTAAAAAAAACCCAGAAAAGTTTCGGTTTTGTAGAGCTGAACCGAACCGAGAACTTTTTACCAACAAGGGTAATAAATGAATGGATTTTAGGTGCAAGTGTAACCAAAACCAAAGCAAACCAAATCACTAATTATGGTTCGTTACAGGTTTTTTTCGATTAACAGTAATAGTATTATCATTTATCACAAATCTGTTTTGGGTGAGGAAAGAAATTTCAGAAATTAAATTGGAAAATGTTAGTAACAAATTAACAATGAAGTTAAACCCTAAAACCCTAGAGGGGTAAGTTAGTAGCAGCTACTTCTAGAGTCTTCTCCTTCGTTTTATCAAGTCCTCGACTCTTCCTTCTCTCCATCGATCTCTCTCGCTCGTCTTAATTATCTCTTCTTTGAGCTCCGTCATCGTTCATTTTCTTCCTTCTCAGTCACCATGTACCGTCTCGTTTCTAATCTCGCCTCCAAGGCAAGGTAAGAACTCATTTCCTTCATCTAGGTCATTCAGTTTTCTGATGGGTTTACTCAACAATGGAAGGAAATGGAGAATTAAATCGATTTGGGTTTTGATCTCGTCTCCTTCATTTCATCTGGGCTCTTCAAATCTGCTTCCTTTAATCCCGATTTTTCCGATTGATTTAGTTTCTCGTTTTCTCTCTGTTCTCAGGATTGCGAGTAACACTCGACAGGTTTCCAGTAGAATGAGCTGGAGCAGAAACTATGCAGCGAAAGAGATTAAGTTTGGTGTTGAAGCTCGCGCCTTGATGCTTAGAGGTGTTGAAGAGCTTGCTGATGCTGTTAAGGTCACTATGGGTCCCAAGGTACTCTGTTTCCTTCTTCTCCATTTGAATTGATTTACTCTAGATTTTGGCCAGAGGTTTTATATCTCTATTTAGCATTTGATTTTGTGTAATTGGTTTGTTCTGTATCTTCTTTTCTTCTATTTTGGTCTTTAAGTGTCATGTGTGACTGACTCTCTTTGTGTGATACGAACTTTGAAGGGACGAAACGTTGTGATTGAGCAAAGTTGGGGTGCTCCTAAAGTGACAAAAGATGGTGTCACCGTTGCCAAGAGCATTGAGTTCAAAGACAAAGTCAAGAACGTTGGTGCCAGTCTTGTGAAGCAGGTTGCGAATGCTACTAACGATGTTGCTGGTGATGGTAAGTTATTGAAACTCTTGGCTTTTAACTTGATTGTAGAGACTTTACAAGACTATTTACCAAAACTTGTGCTGCAGGTACTACTTGTGCTACTGTGCTCACCAGGGCTATATTCACCGAAGGTTGCAAGTCAGTTGCAGCAGGGATGAATGCGATGGACCTGAGGCGAGGTATCTCCATGGCAGTTGATGCTGTGGTGACAAACCTTAAGAGCAGAGCGAGGATGATCAGCACATCAGAAGAGATTGCACAGGTTGGGACCATTTCTGCTAATGGAGAGAGGGAAATTGGTGAACTGATCGCTAAGGCGATGGAGAAGGTTGGCAAAGAAGGTGTAATCACTATCCAAGTAAGTGAATATATCAAATGATTGCTTATGGTGTTGATAGATTGGTCGAACCATAACTCTTATGCGGGTGTAATGCATTGCAGGATGGGAAGACATTGGTTAACGAGTTGGAAGTTGTAGAGGGGATGAAGTTGGACAGAGGTTATACATCTCCATACTTCATCACGAATCAAAAAACCCAAAAATGTGTAAGTTTATTACTCAATACTCAATCAAGTTCATTGATGGGTCAATTCAGTTAGAGAATTTACGGATTTTTGTTTTTCAATCTTTGTAGGAACTAGATGATCCTCTCATTCTCATCCATGAGAAGAAGATCACCAGTATCAACTCAATAGTGAAAGTGTTGGAGTTAGCTCTCAAGGTATGTATGCTTTACCTTCCATTAGTAAATTTGGATTCATGTTCTCTTGATAATTATGTCTTCCAAGGCGTCTAATATGGTTTCTCCATTTGCTGTCCAAATAAAAACCTTACAGAGACAAAGACCGCTACTGATTGTTTCTGAAGATGTTGAAAGTGAGGCTCTTGCAACTCTTATCCTTAACAAGCTCCGTGCCGGAATCAAGGTTTGAATCAACTGACCTATTGTCTACTGATTTTGAGGGATGATCTTCTTTGTTTTGAGACTGATGGTTTCCTCTCTGATAGGTTTGTGCCATCAAGGCCCCTGGATTTGGAGAGAACAGGAAGGCCAATTTGCAAGACCTTGCTGCCCTTACTGGTGGAGAGGTAATACATTTTCCGCGTAATGTGTCAGTCTTGTGAGCCCTGTCTACACAATGAGAGTATTGACTTGGCTTGATACAGGTTATCGCAGATGACCTTGGCATGAATCTGGAGAAGGTGGATCTCAGCATGCTAGGAACCTGCAAAAAGGTAGTCTTTTGAAACCTTTACTGATGTGGACACTGTAGCTCTGTGTATGAAGTTTTATTGACTATGGCATTTTCAGCATATCCTTGATGGTTGAGACTTGTTGTCTGGCTCTTTGTAGGTCACAGTCTCCAAGGACGACACTGTTATTCTTGATGGAGCTGGCGACAAGAAAGCTATTGAGGAAAGATGTGAGCAGGTTGGTTTTGTTCCTTACGCCCTGATCGATTCAGTTGGTAGTGATTTTATATGCAGGAAATTGCTCAAGTGTAATGAAATGAGTAGAGGATGTAACGTAGCTATTTTTCTAATTTCTTTGGGATTGCAATTAACAGATCAGGTCAGCAATGGAACTGAGCACCTCAGATTATGACAAGGAGAAACTGCAAGAAAGGTTGGCTAAGCTCTCTGGAGGAGTTGCAGTTTTAAAGGTTAGTCTAGGTTAAAGAGTTTCTGTAGTGTAAGAATAATAGCAGCTTGGTTTTGTTATAAACTTTTGGTGCCTTTTGGGTATAGATTGGAGGAGCAAGTGAAGCTGAAGTTGGTGAGAAGAAAGACAGAGTGACAGATGCTTTGAATGCCACTAAAGCAGCTGTTGAAGAGGGTATTTTGCCAGGTATGTCTTCTCCATCACTCTTTTCACATAAAAGCTCAAAAAAAAGTTTGCAAAATGTGCTGAAGAAACAAAATCAAAACACTTGCAGGAGGAGGTGTGGCTCTTCTATACGCAGCAAGAGAGTTGGAGAAACTTCCAACAGCCAACTTTGACCAGAAGATTGGTGTGCAGATCATTCAGAACGCATTGAAGGTAAGCAAAGTCTTGAAAAACGAATACCATCTCTGATCTGATGATGCTTAAGAAGTTGTTTAACTGGTTTTGCTTTTGGTTTGCCAGACTCCTGTTTACACAATCGCTTCAAACGCTGGAGTAGAAGGTGCTGTTATTGTTGGCAAGCTCTTGGAGCAAGATAACCCGGACCTTGGTTATGATGCTGCTAAAGGTGACTTCACAATCCTTCATCACCTCGCATTTTACTCTTATCTGAAGATTGTCTTTAGCTAACTCTTGAGAAAAAAAACTAGGTGAATATGTGGACATGGTGAAAGCTGGAATCATAGACCCTCTGAAAGTGATCAGGACGGCTCTCGTTGATGCTGCGAGGTAATTAAAAGCGAAAACCTAACAATGTTGGTTGTTTTTTCCTTTCGATATATGAGTCTAAGCTAAAACTAAATGCATACTTGTTGTTGTTGTTTAGTGTGTCATCTTTGTTGACAACAACTGAAGCGGTAGTGGTGGAGCTTCCTAAAGACGAAAGCGAATCAGCAGGAGCTGGAGCAGGCATGGGTGGTATGGGAGGCATGGACTACTAGTTACATCATACTGAATGTCTTGAGAAACAGTGAGATACGATTCTTTTAGGAGTCTTTTGACCTTTACCTTTGTTGCTTTAGTAACTCTGTTTTCTAAAATAAAACAGCACAGTTTGGTAGTGTTAAGAGAGCATTAAAGCATCAAAGTTCTCTAAAGCATCATTTTTCGTATTTAATTTGATTCTCTAGTCAAACACACAAAAGACGCAAACAAATTAAAAGATGAAAGCCAATCCACAAAAGCCAAAACTAAATCAGTAAACAAAAGAGTAAAGAGAAAAAACAGAAACAAAGACAATGGAGGAGCTGCAATAAAATATCACTGCATGCTTATTTTCTTATCCACTAGTTTTCTGCTTTCCTGGGCTGAATTTGAACCAAACTTGGAACGTAACTGAAAATAGATGGACACCATGACACTTCATGTGTAGTTTCCACAAAAGGGGCTTGTGTGCAAATTGTTTCAATAGTGTATCGCACCAGCTCCTCCCTTAGTGTTACAATTCCATTACAGCATACAGCCACTTTCTTCTCCTCGTCGATCAAAAAACTCGTGGGAATCTGAAGAGAATAATTGCGACTAGGTATATACCCACTGTAAAAGATTTACTCCACACGGCGGCTTTAGCATCAATTTTACTGGTCACCCATATCTCGATCTTTCTTGCACTCCTGCTCCGATGTAAGACTGAGAGTTGTTCTCCTCTAACAACTGATAGAGCCATCACCCCAACATTCTCAAACGTCGGTAAACACACATCACGTCTGAATCCCTCTCTTGTAAAATCAAAACTTAGTAAGAATTTTTTACGTTTGTCGGTTGCTTATTAGCAATCCAGTAAGCATTTCCCTTCAAAGACACGTTATGAGATTGTGCGGAGTAGTCTAAAGCGACGTGATCAAGAACCCTCCAAGAATCAGAGCCAAACTCATATATTTCAAGCCCACCAACTTTGTCGTCATCGTACCACCTCAAAATTTTGTAGCTGCGGCAAGACTTGTTGCTTACGTAACCTAGAGCAAGCTTAATGTGCCCGTCGTAACCAGTTTTGGACTGGATCCATTTAGTTTCTCCCAAACACGGATTCCAAAGCACATGTCTATCGTGGTCTTTGGTGGCGCATAGCAACAAACCGTCGCAGTTAGAAGAGATATAAGATATATCGACTTGTTGTGGATTAGAATGTGAATCCTTTAGGACAAGTGCACCTTTAAACTCTAATGGATCACCGACGTTGAGATTGACGCTCGTTGAAACAACTCTATGTTCCTTCACCATGAGAACCATGGACTGCTTTGGTGCTTTACGAAAGTGCTTGTTGGTGAATCCTTGGTCTTTGAATAGAGCGTTCCATAGTTTGCAAGTATATCGTAATCGTTTCAGAGATCTGGCTGGAACTCTTGAGAGTATGTCCTCTAGTAAATCATGCGGAAGATCGGACATAATCATTGTGATCTTTGAAAAAAGAAGAAAGCGACTCGATCGATGGCTCTGTAAAGTAAAAATCTAGGGTTTTTATTTTTCTTACGTTTGTCTTAAACCTACCTTGTCTTATATACAAACAAGAAAGTCCATTGCGTAACCTTTTCCTATGTGGATTTTTTTTCTCTATTTTTACCATTTTTCTTTATTGTTTACATATTTTGTATATTCATATTGTATTGCACGAGGAGTCTTTTGTCTTTGCCTTTGTTGCTCACTAACTACTGGTTTCTAAAATAAACAGGCACACTTGGGAAAATGTTATGAGAGTTGAGACCATTTGCTTCAAAGTTATCTAAGGCGAGCATCATTTGTGTTTGCATCTTCTTCTTAACAATTGTCCTCTCTTTCTCTTTTTTTTTTCATCACCATTCCGTCTTTTGAGTGGGTGGTAATGGGAGGCATGGACTATTAGTTACATCATTGTCTTTTTCACCAATCAGTCACTACCTTTAACTTGAGAAACAGAGAGATACAATTCTCTTAGGAGTCTTTTGTCCTTTGTTGGTTTAGTAACTGGTTTCGAAATAAAAACAGCACAGTTTGGAAATGTAATGAAACCATTAGTGTTTACATCTTCTTGTTGTGTCCTAACATTTCGTCTTTTGATAACACAGAAAAAGACAAAAAAAATATTTAAGATAAAAGCCAATCCACCTAAATAATTAAACAAGAAAAAGGCCAAAAACAGAAACAAAGACAAAGGAGGAGCTGGAATCATCACACATGCTTAATTTCTTATAGACTAGTTTATTCTTTTCTTTTCCCTCTCCTTTTCTGGGATTTGAACCAAACTTGGCACATAACTGAAAATAAATGGGCAACATGATACTTGTGTAGTTTCTACAAAAGGGGCTTCTGTGTAATATTTTTGAATAGTGTATATCACCTTCGAGCCCTCTACATATCCATCACAGCACACAGCCACTTTCTTCTCCTCGTCGAACAGAAATCTCATGGGAAAACGAGAAGGATAACTGTGAATGGGCGCCACCATATCCATTGTAAAACATTTGCTCCACCGAACGGCTTCAGTATCAATTTCATTGGCCACCCACATCTCGATCTTTGATGCACCAAAGTTCCGATGTAACACTAAGAGTCTTTCTTCTCTAACTACTGATAGACTCATCCAACCAGGATCTTGAAACGCCGGAAGACACAGACGTCTAAAACTCTCACTTGTAAAATCAAAACTTACTAGTAACAAATCACTTTTAGAGTCTATCCTAGCAAGCCAGTAAGTATCTCCCTTGAAAGACACGTCATTTTGTTGTATGCAGCAGTTGAGAGCCCCGAGATCAAGATTCCTCCAAGAATCAGAACCAAAGTCATACATTTCAAGCACAACAACTCTGTCGCCATGATAGTACCACCTCAAGATTTTGTAGCTACGGCAAGATTGGTTGTTTTCGTAACCTAGAGCGAAACTATGGTACCCCGGGTCACAAGTTTTGAGTTGGATCCATTTAGTTTCCCCCAAACACGGATTCCAAACCACCACGTGTCGTCTATTGTTTCTGGTGGTGCATAACAACAAACTGTCACAGTGAAAAACGGTAGATATATCGACTTGTTGTGGATTAGAATGAGAATCTTCTAGGGCAAGTGCACCTTTAAAATCTACATGTGAAGCACCGGTGTTGAGTCCAACTCTAAGTTCCTTCAGCATGAGAACCAGGGACTGCTTTGGAGCGTTACGACAGTGCTTCTCGGTGAATCCTTTGTCTGTGAATAAAGAGTTCCATAGTTTGCAAGTAGATCTTAATCGTTTGAGAGATTTGGCTGGAACCCTAGAGAGTATTTCCTCTACAACATCCTTCGGAAGGTCAAACTTCATCATTGTGATTTTCAAAGAGAGAAGAAAGCGACTCGGTGGCTTTGTAAGTTGAAATTTAGGGTTTTGCTTTTCTATTTTTATTTCGCGTTTGCCTTAAACCTATATCTTGTCTTATATGTGGACAAACAAGAAAGTCTATCTGCGTACCTTTTCATATGTGGATTTCTTTTCTTTTTCTAATCTTACCATTTTTTTTTTCCTTTTCAAAGATTTTAAAAGGAAACGAAGCAGAAGCATATACAATAATAATGTTTTTTTTTGGGGATTATATATAGAAACCTGCATGAGGCTTGGATAGGAGATCCGAGTCGGAGTCCGAGATCCTTTGAAGTTTTACCTGTACCATCCTTTGATGGAGGCATTGTCGTGTACGTGTGTCCCTTTTGGTTTGTTTGTTTCAGAAATGGCTTCTCAATTATCCGTTGATTCGCTAGTGAAACACACAAAAAGATACAAACAACATAAGATGAAAGCCAATCCACAAAACTAAATCATTAAACAAAAAGTCAAAAACAGAAAGAAAGACAAAGCTGGAAGAGTTGCAACAAAATCACTTGGTTACTTTTCTATCGACAAGTTTCTTTCTTTTCGTTTGCCTCTTCTTGCTGGATTTGAGTCAAACTTGGAACATAGTTGAAAATAAATGGGCGCCATGTCCATGATACTTGACTAGTTTCTACAAAAGGGGCTTCTGTGTAATACTTTTCAATAGTGAATTTAAGCGGCAGGGTTGTATGTAGATTAAAGCACACAGCCACTTTCTTCTCCTCGTCGATAAGAAAACTAGTTGGAAACTGAAAAGAATTAATGTGAATAGTTATGTCCACTGTAAAAGATATGCTCCACAACGCGGCTTCAGTATCAATTTTATTTGTCACCCATATCTCGATCTTTGATGCACCAAAGCTCCGATGTAACACTGAGAGTTGTTCTTCTCTAACAGAAGATAGAGCCATCCAAACATGATTCTGAAACGTCGGAAGACACAGACGTCTAAATCTCTCTCTTGTAAAATCAAAACTTAGTAACAACTCTTCATTAGAGGTGTGTATTTCCTCATAAGCAATCCAGTAAGCATTTCCATTCAAAGACACGTCATTTTTCTCTATGTTGTAGTCGAGAGAGACGTGATCAAGAACTCTCCAAGAATCAGAGCTAAACTCGTAAATTTTATTCCCACCAACTTTGTCGGCATCGGATTCGTACCACGTCAAAATTTTGTAGCTGCGGCAAGATTTGTTGTTTACGTAACCTAGAGCGAACTTTTCGTTCCAAAACTTGTCACCAGTCATGAGTTGGATCCATCTAGTTTCCCCCAAACACGGATTCCAAACCAAGAGTTTATGGACGTTGGTGGTGCATAACAACAAACCGTCGCAATGAGAAATATTAGATATATCGACTTGTTGTGACCTAGAATGTGAATCCTTTAGGACAAGTGCACCTTCAAACTCTACAGATGGAGCACCGATGTTGAGATTGGCGCTCGTTGAACAAACTCTATATTTTTTCAACGTGAGAACCAGTGACTGCTTTGGAGCTACACGAAAGTGCTTCTCGGTGAATCCCTTGTCTGTGAATAAAGAGTTCCATACTTTTCAAGTAGATCGTAATCCTTTGAGAGATGCTGCCAGAACCCTAGAGAGTATTTCCTCTACAATATCCCGCGGAAGATCAGACATCATCATCCTGATCTTTCGAGAAATAAGAAAGCGAGTCAATGATCGATGGCTCTGTAAAGTATAAATTAGGGTTTTGTTTTGTTTTTTTTTTATGTTTGCCGTAAAGTCGTAAGCCTATCTTATCTGACATGGACACGCAAGAACGTCCATTGCGTACCTTTTCCAATGTGGATTGTTATATTTTAATTTCACAATTTTTTTCTTTTTCCAGCTTTTTAAAAAAAAGAAACGAACATATACAGTATATGTTTTTTTTTTTTTTGAATTGAATGTTTGATTATGTTCAAACCCAAAAAAAAAAAATCTTTATTACAAGTTAAATTTTTTTTTTGATAAGTTTGAATGGAAAGTGTGGAAGAAAAAACAGAGGAAGTCAACGAGTGGTGTTGACTATTGAGCTAGCTATATGTGAAAGACTCTGAACTCGCTTAAAGTGGAAGACTCTTTTTCTCTCTAGGGGAACTAGAAACACATTTTGTCTGATACAGTGCAACAAAGTTAAACAACCAACTGCTACGTCCTAATCAAAGACCAACTTGATGAGATGATATAATACAAGAAATCTGTTGAAAAGGGAACACTCTTTTTCACATAAAAGCTATAAAGTATGCAAGATGTGCTCAAGAAGCAAATCAAAATACTTGCACGAGAACACTTGGAAAAATGTTATGAGACCATTAGCTTCAACGTTTTTAAGGCATAATTTGTGTTTGCATCTTCTTTTTTCATAATTTCGTATTTGATTCTCTAGCCAAACACACAAAAAGACACAAACAAATTAAGATGAAAGGCAATCCACAAAACTACATCATTAAACAAAAATTCAAGAACAGAAAGAAATACAAAGGAAGAGTTGCAACAAAATCGCTTGCTTATTTTCTATACACTTATTTTTCTTTCTTTTCGTTTGCCTCGCATTTATTCAATTTGAACCAAACTTGGAACATAATTGAAAATAAATGGGCACCATGATACTTGTGTAATTTCTACAAAAGGGTCTTCTGTGTAATATTTTTCAATAGTGTATTTAACCCCCGAGGTTGGCTCTAAATTGTTATTACAGCACACAACCACTTTCTTCTCCTTGTCGAACATAAAACTCAGGGGAACCTGAAGAAAATTACTGTGGAAATCCACCGTGAAGCATTTGCTCCACAAAGCGGCTTTAGCATCAATTTTACTGGCCACCCATATCTCGATCTTTGATTCACCAAAGCACCAACGTAACACTGAGAGCTGTTCTTCTCTAACCACTGATAGAGCTATCCAACAAAAACCCTGAAACGTCGGAACACACAAACGTCTAAATCTCTCTCTTGTAAAGTCAAAACATAGTAAGAATTGTTCGTAGGTGTCTAATTTCTCAGAAGCAATCCATAAGCATTTCCCTTCAAAGACACGTCATTTTGTTGTATGAGAAGTATGAAGCAGTCGAAAGCGACGGGATCAACAATCCTCCATGAATCAGAGCCAAACTCATATATTTCAGGCCCAACAACTTTGTCGTCGTCATTGTACCACCTCAAGATTTTGTAGCTACGGCAAGATTTCTTGTCGTTTACGTAACCTAGAGCGAACCTATAGTGCCTCTGGTCACCAGTTTTGAATTGGATCCATTTAGTTTCCCCCAAACACGGATTCCAAACCACAGTCTATTGTTCTTGGTGGTGCATAACAACAAACCGTCGCAGTTAGAAATATTAGATATATCGACTTGTTGTGATTAGAATGTGAATCCTTTAGGACAAGTGCACCTTTATACTCTACAGATGGAGCACCGATGTTGAGATTGACGCTTGTTGAAACAACTCTACGTTCCTTCAACATGAGAACCAGGGACTGCTTTGGAGCTACACGAAAGTGCTTGTTGGTGAATCCTTGGTCTTTGAATAGAGCGTTCCATAGTTTGCAAGTATATCGTAATGGTTTCAGAGATGTGGCTGGAACCCTGGAGAGTATGTCCTCTAGTATATCATGCGGAAGATCGGGCATAATCATTGTGATCTTTGAAAAAAGAAGAAAGCGACTCGATCGATGATGGCTCTGTAAAGTAAAAAAACTAGGGTTTTTTTTTTTCTCTTACGTTTGTCTTAAACCTACATTGTCTTAAACCTACATTGTCTTACGTTTGTCTTACCATTTTTCTTTATTGTTTACATATTATCTATATTCATATTGTATATTTGTATTGCAGTCTATTCTTTTGGCTCTACTTTGCTGGACTTGGACCAAACTTGGAACATAATTGAAAACAAATGGCGAACCACACTGAATTGTTTGTAGATTCATCACCCTCTCCAATAATGTATTCCATGTTCTTGTTCGTCTCAAAACTTGCATTACAGCACGCGGCCACTTTCTTATGCTATACAACACCATCATGCTTGTAGTATCAAATATATTGGCCACCTACATCATTGTCCATCTTTAAGATCTCCTTTGTAACACTGAGAATTTCTCTTCTCTAACAACTGATAGACCCACAGAACCAAGATTACGAAATGTGGGAAGATGTACACGTCTGAATCTCTCTCTTGTAAAGTCAAAACTAAGTAAGGACTGACTTGGTTTATTCATAATCCCAAACTTGGGTATTCATGTAGAATAAGGTATCCCAAACTATGGACTGACTTGGTTTATTCCTTCAACATGAGAACTAGGGACTGCTTTGGAGCTACACGAAAGTGCTTCTCGGTGAATCCTTTGTCTGTGAATAAAGAGTTCCATAGTTTGCAAGTAGATCTTAATCGTTTGAGAGATTTGGCTGAAACCCTAGAGAGTATTTCCTCTACAACATCCTGCGGAAGATCGGACATCACCATCGTCATCTTTCGAGAAAGAAGAACTCGCAGACTCGATCGGTGGCTCTGTAAAGTAGAAATTAGGGTTTTGTTGTTTTACGTGTGCTTTAAACCCTATCTTTTCCTATATGGACTGACAAGAAAGTCCATCATCTGCGTACCTTTTCTTATATATGTGGATTTGTTTTTTATAATTTTACCTTTTTTCTTTTCTTTTTCCAGCTTACTTTTAAAAAGGAAACGAAGCATATAGAGTCTATTTTTATTTTATTTTTCGAATAGAATGTCAAATTATGTTAAAACCAACACCAAAAAAAACTTTATTACAAAAAGTTTTGAAGGAACTAAACTAAACAGCACCCTTGAGGAAAATATTATGAAACCATTAGCTTCAAAGTTCTCTAACATTTGTGTTTGCATTTTCTTCTTAATTATTGTTCTCTCTTTCTCTTTTTTTTCATCATCGTTTCGTCTTTTGATTCTCTAGTCAAATACACAAAAGACACAAACAAATTACAAGTTGAAAAGCCAATCCAAAAAACTAATTCTTTAAACAAAGAGTCAAATACAGAAACAAAGACAAAGGAAAGAGTTGCAACAAAATCACACTGAGTTGCTTATTTTCCGTATCGACTAGTTTCTTTCTTTTCTTTTGCCTCTCCTTTACTGGAATTTGAACCAAACTTGGAACATAATTGAAAACAAACGGCGACCACCCTGAATTGTTTGTAGATCCATCACCCTCTCCAATAATGTTTTCCATCGTCTTGCTGGTCTCAAAACTTGCATTACAACACGCCGCCACTTTCTTCTCCTTCTTGTCAATCAAACAAGTCGCGTAAACCGGAAAACAAGGATCAGGAATGTGTAAATCTACTCCATCGGATATGCTAAGCAACACCTTTACGCTTTCACTATCAGTTATATTAGCCACCCACATCATTTTCATCTTTGATGTAAAAGATCTCCTTTCTAACACTGAGAGTGTCTCTTCTCCAACAACTGATAGACCCATATAACCACGATCACAAAACGTCGGAAGTTTTACAAGTCTGAATCTCTCCCTTGTAAAATCAAAACATAGTAAGAACTCACAAGATTTGTTGGTTTCTTCAGTGGCAAGCCAGTAAGTGTTTCCCTTCAAAGACACGCCATTTGCTCGTATGAAGCAGTCTACATAGACGTTATCATCCTTGTTATCCCTCCATGAACCAGAGCTTATATCATAGATTTCAAACCCGGAAAATTTGTCATCCCAACACCTCAAGATTTTGTAGCTACGGGAAGACTTGTTGTTTACGTAACCTAGAGCAAACCTAGAGTTCTTCATGTTACCAGTCTTGGGTTGGATCCACATGGTTTCCTCGAAATACGGATTCCAAACCACGAGTTTATTGTCATTAGTGGTGCATAACAACAAACCATCGCAGTGGAAAACTCCGACTATATCAACTTGTTGCGAGTCAGAATCGGGTTCCTTTAGGCTAAGTGGACCTTTAAGCTCTAAAGGTGGACCCAGTACCGAAGAAGCAGCGTTGAGATTGACGTTCACTGACCAAACCCTGAATCCCTTCAACAGAAGAATCAGAGACTGCTTTGGAGCTGTATGGAAAAGATATTCTGTGAATCGTCGGTTTTTGAATAAAGCGTTTGCAAGTAGATCGCAACCGTCTCAGAGTTTTCGCTAGAGTTTTCGCTGGAACCCTAGATAGTATTTCCTCTAACAAATCCTGCGGAAGATCAGACATCATGTTTGCTTTTGCTTGTGATCTGTCCCGAGGAAGAAGAAAACGTACGACTCGAGCTCCCAAAGTAGAAATCAGGGTTTTGAATTTCACGTTTGCTTTAAGCCACTCTTTTTTTCTTATATATATAAGAAACGATTTCTCCTGTTTTTTAAAGTACTCTTTCCTTTTTTCCTATACGTACGAATCTGTTGTATTAAAAAAAAAGGAAAAGCAACATAGACTACATTATTTATTTTTTATTGACTAGCAATAATAATTTAATCAGTCCAGAGAGTTCAAATTTAATCCATAATCTGAGTTATGAGAGCTTAAGCAATCAAAGTTGTTAGAAACACAATAGGCGATTTCCACACACATTATAACTAAATGAGAAAAAAACAATGAATCGCATATAAAAAAAGTAAAAACCGAAATATTGTAACTCAGTGATATGCAGATACATTCCATTTGCCATTTGGTAAAGGAGAGCAAACAAACCTCTGGTTGTGCCTAATTTATATAAAGTTACCAAATTACTGGACACCAAGTAAAATGAAACTACATACTTAATTAGGCGCTAAACTATTAGACTCGAATCGATATAAGGTTTCGTTTACAGGGACAGTTACTAAATCGTTTTTAACCCAAAAACGAGTATTTTAGATCACATTTTCACCGGCCTTTCCTGCCCTTCTTGACAGTAGCACAATCCGGACAGTACCATTTCCCCTTGGGTTGTTCTTTCAGACCGACGCAGCCGAAATGGAACCACTCAATCTTGCACTGCAACGAGTTTATATTATATTCATCAGTCTCAAAGATTGATTGTGACTCACAATGTCAAAAGAGAGACGTTTACTGTGAAAAGAAAGAAAATCAAACCTCGTTGTTGTCACATGCAATCATCTCGCCGTAGCTAACTTGGTTGCAAATGCAGTAAGTTGGTTCGTTTGGATCCACAGGCAGATCCAAATCCATCCCACTCGAACTCATCCCCGTCGTCCCTGCTGCTGCTGCTGCTGTTGACGCTGCAGCCGTCGCTAGCCTTGTCCTGCCACAACATTCAAATAGATTGTTTCCAGTTGGACATAAAACCTCATATTGTGATACATATATGGAACAGAGATAACTCTGAAAGACACTCACTTCTTTCGTCCTCCTCTTCTACCTTCACCCGCTTTCCCGGCTTCTCCGCTGCTCTCCACGTTTGATGCAGCAGCAATTTCTTTCTCTGATTGAAAACCAACAGTGTCTTGCATGTTTATTTAACCAGAAAAAGATAAGAGAGAAGAAGCTCAAGCTTCAATAAAGTTAAGAGACCTTTGCGCAGCTCCTCGGATTTTTTCATGTACTGGTCAAGTTGCTGAACATGCATATCCACCTGAAGCAATTACATCATCTGGAAAATAATGACTTTATATAGCAAAAAAAATATTGAATAATCCCATGAGGCTTTGCAAACTTTAAAGCTACATGAATCCGAAGTCAGACACCATAACAGTGTGAAGTCTTTGTGTACCAGATCATAAGCCTGCATAGCCAAAGCGACTTTCTCGTCAGCGATTCGGACGCTGTGTTTCTGTTCATCAAGTGCTTCCTCTGAGAACTGTGTGAGAGATGTATTGGCTGTGACATTTCCAGCTCTGCCTCTTCTTATCTCCTCTATTTCTTTCTCGCACCGTTGCTCATTTTGTCTTTGGTTCTCTACTCAAAACACAAACAAAGATGAAGACAGTCCACAAAACCAATACACAATGAGCATATAGATGCTTTACAAAGTCTTGCTTTATACTAAACACACAGCAAAACAACTCATCTCTAACATAAATTATCCAGAAGCAACGAGCTATGCAGAGGATGAAATTCAAAGAAGTTTCTAAAGATCAATGTGTGCAAGTACCCTAAGTTCCTGCTCAATGTGGATATAAAACTGAGAGAAGTTCCAATTGTTACCTTGCAAACTTTTATCCAAATCACGCAGGAGTGCATATTTCTTCTGCAAAACATGAGCCAGCGACACAAGATCTGCAAAGAGATATCGAGAAAGAGTTGCCTAACTATTATGAAATGAACAGATCTATAAGAGGTCATATCTTGTCTCAAATCCAAAACAGAGATGCAAATAACAAAAACCAAGAACACAGATACATTGCACAAGAAGAACGGATATTATCAATACACTGGCACCAAAATATAACAGACTTTTACATTCTTCCACCAAACAGTCACAGGACATTGATATGCTTACATTTGGAGCATATCGAAACCGATAATATAATTCAGTAATTTGCAGAAATGTCAAAGATTCAACACAATGTACGATTGATAAAGGCGAGTTTGAGCAAACAAACAAAAATCTTCGTTTTTTTTTATCTAACAAGAACAATAGAAAACACACATACTGTGACCAATCCTAAGCTTGAATCAGTCTATAACAAATTTTGAAAATTTCATATTCAGTTTCAATGAGAGACCTGTGTCTTCAAATCATTCGACTAAACCATCTTCGATTCCAATTAGCTTATTGTTATCTCACTCTCGATGAAATTCAAGAGCATGACATCGATCTAATCCTCCGACTTCGAATCGCGATTTCAAAAATAGTGTTTTGCAAACTAAATTGGACAATTCGTTTCTTCGATTACAGAAAGGAATTAAAAAAATGATTCGAGAAAAGATACGATTTGCTTACTAGATTCAAACTCCTCGGCGAAGGACATTTGGGGATTTAGGGTTTCGACTTGTTCCCAAATCTTTAAATGTCTCTTTCTCTCTCTTATTTTATAATTGGCGCACAAAATTAAATCCGTTTCATTACTCAGTTTCATTTTCATATAAACAATGTTAAATTTCCTCATTTTCTTGCACTGATGAAGTGATGATGACTGAAGCATGAACTAAATTCTAATTATGGAACCTACACCACCAAAATTAAGCTACAAGTAGTACAATTTTAATGAAAAAAAAATGGCAACCACTAAATTAACGAGACTAATTTCAAGTATTCTATCATCATCTGACGTTTTTCTTTTTAGGATTTTCACAAATGTTTATGAAGAAAGACAAAATTACGTACACTCAAGACAACACAGCTATAAAGAAACCCAAATTCAACAACTACACAAAATCACAAATCGCAACAACTTCACAATCACTATCTATATAAACACCATTGGCTCACATCTCACACATATTCATCAAACAATCTTTAAGGCAGTTCAAAAACTTTCTTCCAAACCAATCTCCATGATGATCAAGCAATCACCATTCTTGCTTTTAACATCAACCTTGTTCACACTTGCAGTTTTCGCAGCAGCGCTTGATCCAACACCAGAAGACCCAATTTTCGAGCTCTACATGCACGATCTACTCGGAGGAAGCAGCCCCACGGCGAGACCCATCACGGGTTTGCTCGGAAACATTTACAACGGCCAAGTTCCGTTCGCTAAGCAAATCGGTTTCACTCCTCCCGAAAACGGCATCGCCATACCAAATGCAAACGGCGCTCTCCCAACGGTTAACGGCATTAACGGTATACCTCTTGGAACCGGCTTGTCCGGTACAGCTTACTCCGGTCAGAACCTGAACGGTATTCAGACTCAGCTAGGACCTGACGGTCTGAGTCTCGGGTTTGGCACAATCACAGTCATCGATGACATACTCACATCAGGTCCCGACTTGGGTTCGCAGCTGCTTGGTAAAGCTCAGGGGGTTTACGTTGCGAGCTCTGGAGATGGAAGCACGCAGATGATGGCTTTCACAGCTATGCTTGAAGGTGGAGAGTACAATGACAACCTCAACTTCTATGGCATTTACAGGATCGGAAGCGCCATGTCGCATCTCTCTGTCACCGGAGGCACAGGTAGGTTCAAGAATGCTTGTGGCTTTGCAGAGGTCAGGCCGTTGATTCCATCTGGTCAGCATTTTGTCGACGGAGCAGAGTCGCTTCTGAGGATCATTGTCCATCTAAAATACTAAAAGAAAACACAGAAGCAGCCTTTACCAAAGGATTTTCAAAACTTGTGCATGTGTGTATGTGTGTGTGTGTGAAATGTTCTTCTTTTTGTTGTATGTGATAGTTACTGATTGAATGCAAATCCTGAAAGAAACTTTATTCCAAGAAGTAGAAGATTCTTGTACATCAACCAAACCTGGTGATATTAACACGGTTAAGCACAGTGGTTTCATCCAAACCGTAAAGAGAGTCTATCAAATGCATTCTCAATGAAGCTGGACCTTTAGCCATCGCTTCTCCCAACTCACCAGCGATGCCAAAGATAGACATTGCGGAGACCGTAGCTTCTAATGGCTTTAATGGATCGATGGCAAGAAACGCTGCAATCAAACCAGCTAGAGAGCATCCAGTTGCGGTGATCTTCTGCATCATCTTCGTCCCGTTGTGGACACCAATGACTTGTTTCCCATCAGTGACGATATCAACAGCTCCTGACACTGCAACCACAGCACCGCTTGATAGAGATAGTGACTTTGCAGCTTCTATGGCGTCTGTAGATTCATGAGAGCTATCAGCACCCTAACAAAAACATTAAACTTCATCAAAACTTCTTAAATTCTTAAATTCTGATGAACAAACTTCAAATGAATTGAACAGAAGATCAGAGAATTGCAGAGTTAACTACAATAATTCAATTCAATTTCAATCATTAAAACCTCTCTAAACGAAATTACTGAATCACTATCTTCAGAATCATTATCATACCTTAGTCTGGCCCGGTGAAGCAGAAGAGAGAGCAATAATCTCAGAACCGTTTCCTTTGATTACAGTCGGTTCAAACCCGACGAGCTCGAGACAAGCATTTAACCGGAACCCGGAGCAACTCACGGCGGCGGGATCGAGAACCCAGGGCTTTCCGAGCTTAGAAGCGAGTTCGGCGGCAGCTTTCATGGAAGGAAGCCAGTCAGGTGTGAGCGTGCCAACGTTGACGCAGAGCGCGTGAATATGAGGCGTGAAATCAGGAACCTCAACGACGGAGTGAACCATCGCCGGAGATGCGCCGGCCGATAAAAGCGTGTTGGCCACGAGATCCATCGAGACGAAGTTGGTGATGCACTGAACCAGCGGCGATTGTCGTCGGACGGCGGCGAGGTGTGCCCACACGCCTGAGCTCCATTCCTCATTTTGCTCTGATTTTGATTCCATTCTGCTTAACCAAATTCATTATTACTAATCACGATTCAAATATATAAGAATACACGGTTCAATACCGGTTAAGACTTAACCAAATAAATCAATTGATTCGAGTCCTTATATTTTCCCTTTTAGATGACAACAAAATAAAAAGCTTAGAGAGCTTAGAGATGTTTCTTTCTTTTACAACAAATGAATCAAACAATCTCAAGATTAATACATGTGAAAGTGGAACTCTCTAGCCAGTTTATATACTATGTCAATGGTACAGTGAGGATGATCATTCAGATATGCACTGGTGAGATTTAAACCAATCGTTAGACAACAACTCAACAATTCGTCTCTCGAGCCTATCCGAACCAGAGCCAGGCCTAAGAATCCCTGAGTCGCCCCAGACAGAACACGAGCTACTGTTTTTACTAGAATCTCCCAAGCACCAACCACCAGGCACAACTTCACCATGTTTGCGTCCAAGAAGCTCATGATCGATACGGTCAAGATTAGAGTCATCGAATCTGAATCCTCTTGCAAACGCTGCTCCGGATTCGAGCATATCGGTGAACTCTTTGGGATCGAGGTGATGGTATCTTTCTTTGGAAGTGTCGTCGGAAGCTAGGTAGAGTAAGTTGTTGTTGATGATGGTCTTTTTGAAGAGATTCGAGTTGCAGAGGATGGTTGGGAAGTAGTTGGAGAGAGAAGCTGGTGTGTTGGATAAGTACATGAGTAGTGTTCTAGGGAAGTTGTCAGTCCCCAAGACGCAGTGCTCTATGAAATTTCGGCTTAGGATGGAGAAAGATGGACCTGCCAAAAAAGAATTCAAAGACATAATGTTATCTCAGACCATTGCAGAGATTCTCTAAGTTTTACATATCACATTTGGATAGAAAATGTCAGTTGTTAACAGTCAACAAACTTGTAGCAATGAGAAACATTGTAATCGGTTCCTAGACTTTGGCTTCATTTACCGATAAACGTGACATCATCATGTAGTCTTTTTTTTCGTTCCAAGTAACAGCGATTCATTGTTATCATCGATATTTACCATCTACTTAGAGAATTGGGGAATGAATTTAGTTCCTATTGAGCAGTGAAATTAGTAAAAAGTCTTTCCATGTTTACTTCCTCACAGTTTCCTATCATCACATCACTTGAGATTCAGCTATGTCATATCTTTTAGCTAGTTATAATTGCCTGCAAAGAGATTACCCATAAAAGAAGTTTTCTAGTTTAAGCAAACCTTCTTTTACATTTCATCAAAAAAAAAAATTATTACTTCGATAAGTTTCATAGGACACATTTGGAGGCCAAAATGTAAATGAAATGAGGAAAACTGTAAGTGATTCCTAAATTTTGGCTTCCCTTTCCTCGCTTATCTGCTTAAGCAGCTAATAGCACTACTAATAAAGAGACTATTATCTTCCAAGCAAATTGTGAAATGTCATGAACACTGAATGCGCTAAGAAACAAAAAAGGTCATTGTTCAGCAACGATCAACAGAGAAGTACAGAAATCAGAAAGATGAACATACCTGAGAATAACTTGAAAGCCTTAGGCAGCTCTCGTTTCTGTGTAGCAAAGAACATATCGGTTTTCTCCGCAAGATAGAGCCCTGGGTCAACAATCACTGGCTTCAACCTCCTTGACCTACGTGAAACAAAGAGAAAATGCTCAAATTTCCCAAACTAAATTGATCATCAAAAACATTGAATAGAAGCAACAATAGGCTTAACGAAATCTCAGTGGAATCAATGTGAATAGAGAGAAGCACAATCTTACTCTCTCCATCCAATGTAGCTAGTGTGGTTCACGAAATTCAAGTCCTTAGGCAAATGTGACAAAATGTGAAGAAGCTCTGCACAATCCAATTCAAAAAATTGGTAACAAAATCGCACAGAGTAACAAATTCAAAGAAATAGCATGAGGGATCCGAATCTAACCATCTTGAGTAACGAGAGGGTAATCGTCAACACTGAGATTGACAAACCAATCCCAAGCACCAGACAATCTGAGAAGAATCGAGGCACCGTGAAGCGTCGATGCCATCGGAGACGACCCTCTCTGGTAAACGAAATCCGGCTTCCCGACGACATCAACATTCCTCGCAGCTCGGAAAATCGGCACGTCTTGCACTACGACAGCGAGCCGATCTCGCTCCGACTGCGTCGCCAAGCTATCGAGATGGAGGAGGTACCGATTTCTAGGATGGTAAGTGGCGTAGAGGAGACGGAGGATCCGGCGCGAATCGTCGGAAGATCCGGTAATGAGGTAAGCGACGGAAGGAGGAGCTGTGTCGGCGGCGATTTTGGAGGAGGAAGGGAAGAGTCTCGGGTCGGGTCGTAGGTCGTCGGGTCCGGTGTATGAAGATGAGGAGCGTGAGGAGGAGGAGGAGAGAGAGAGGAGGAAGCAGAGAGAGAGAAAAGCTGTGGTGAGGATTATGTAAAGAGTGACTCTCGGTTGCTCCTTGGAAACCGACGACGGTCCGTTGTGCATTTTCTCACGGCGGCGCGTTTTCCCAACGTCTTGGGGGGATTTTGGAGAAGAAAGCTTACTCTGTAGCAATGGTCAGTCGCATCAGACTCCGAAGATAGTTTTTTGTTTTCCTTGATAATTAAATTGTACCTTACTTGATGCTTAACGACAATGTTTATCGTTAAAACAAAAGATTCGGACACGATTAGAATTGATAACTTTAAAATTAAAATATAATGTGATTCCATTACAACATACAAACGTCTACATCTGGGAGATTAACAAGGAGAGATTACATTTGATAGTTAATAGTTTGATACTAATAAAGACGCAGTTAATCATGAAGCCTTGGAAACAATCTCAGTATCATCATCATACAAGTGAACAAACATTTCAACTGTAGATTTATGTGTCATATATTCAGACTTGTTAGCAAATACAATACTTAATTACTAACGAATATGAATGAGTGAATGACCTCACCTCTCTGATGAGCTGAGACTGGATTGATCACTCAGAACACTAGAGATCCTCATAACCAGCATTTGTTGCATGAGTTCAAGATTTACAGAAAAGCAAACCAAACCTTGTGGTGTGTCTACATGTTAGCTAGCAGGTTGAACACAATATAAACATCAATCTTAACGAATTAGTAGAAACCACCACAGCTAACGATTCAAAGGAATCCAAATATGAAGCAAGATATGCATGTTTCAATCAAACTTACAAGGTAGAGAAGTGGGTGTTTTCTTGAGCTGTTTGGACAAGGCAAACAGATCAACCACACACAACAACTGATGCATGTTTCCGTCTTGATGATGCTACAAATGTAACAGCTGCTTCTGCTTCTCTGATCAACCCCATCACACCCTCATAATCTCAATCTGATCCATAGGAAGCAGATAGATTCGATGATTCCATAGCTCATCGAATTCGTAGAGCATCTGAAAACACAGAAACCAACAAAAATGGCGACTTCTCTTCAAATCCATAACTCGCGCTCGATCGGGAAAATGAAACGAAACGGCACCGTTTCGTCGTCAGGTGCCATGCCCAAAGTTCGCGTCTATCTAATGCGAGTCTTCGTTACATAAAAAAAAGTTATTTTACAAATTTAGACTTTCTAGTTTCGAATTAAATGGTTTCAGATTTCAATGACTTGTAATTTTAAATCTTCAGATATCCTTTCCCTTAAATGAAAAAATAAATATTGACCAAACTAATTCAATTTTTATAGGGGGACAAACAAAGAAGTCATGGATTTTTCAAGATTTCTTGACCATGATATCTTCTTAAGATGTATACAAATCTTATTTATGCACTAACTATAATTACCATTTTTTAATGTTGTAATAAAATAATTTGTTATTTGATTAGATTCTTGATCTTTAGTATTCACAATGGTTTAAGGAAAAACACCATCAAAACAAGGACAAAAAAGTTATCCCTTAATTTAAACCATAATGGCGTAATTGTTACGATTCACTTGTCACACCTTTATTATATATATATTTTTTTAATTTAAGCAATGAATCACTTTAGCTTTCAAATAACATCATAGTGTGGTGCGCGTAGATAGATCATCTCCAATCTACCCCGCAACTTGCGGTGGCATTTTATACAAGTCAATAAAAAGCAATGACACGTGTTTTATCATCATTCGTCCAACGCTCACGGTTTTGAAATCTTATTGGTTGATATACATCACCCGTTGGTCACTCAATTGTATTATCACCCCTCAGCTTTCCCAGTAATCACGTGAATGCCATTATGGTAAATAATCTTTCTTTTTTTAATTTAAGGAAAAAATAATAAAATTAGGGAGGAAATCTAATGGGAGAGAAGAGTAAAAAGTATTAGATCAAAAAGCCTCTATCATAAGTACGGTCGATCTTCCCCTTCCATTTCATGGGGTCCACAGTCGTAAATGGCAAAACAACGAGTCACTTTTGCAGAATTTACAGGAATGCCATTCAATCACACCGTTGATTTCGGTTTCCACGATAAGTAAAGTGGGCCGCGTCGTAGTTGATTATAGCATCAGTATACGTTATAGGAAAGTTGATTTTAAAAGAGAAAGGAGAAAGAAAGAAAAAAGAAATTCATTTTCGTGTCATCCCCTTCCCCACTTCCAACCAAAAAATAATCAAATTTGCTTTTTGCTCAAAAGGAAATTATATTCAATTAAAAAAGTTTTTTTTTCTTTGTTGAAATTAAAATAAAAAAATAAAAGAAAACCCTAAACGCCGTTGTGATATTTGGAGAGAGGGAGAGAGAGAAAGAGAGAGATTAAAAACTCCTCTGTTTTTCTTTTTATCAAAACATTTTTCTCTCTCTTCAAAACGAAACTGCGAAGCGATTTTTCTGATAATTAATCCCGACGATGGAAATGGAATCATTCATGGACGACCTTTTGAACTTCTCTGTACCGGAGGAAGAAGAGGACGAGGACGAAGGATTGGGAGAAGGAGGAGAGGATTCGCGACCCCCGAGGAATATAACTCGTCGGAAAACCGGATTACGGCAGACGGACTCTTTCGGTCTCTTAAATCCCGACGACCCTGTAAGTTTTTCCCGGCCGTTGCGTTACGTAATACATATTCGGGGGGTGAGAGGGGTTGAAAACATTTAATTGGTTCCGGCGACACTGGACTCGGCCGAGTTAACTCGCCGTCGGAGGTTAATTCGAGTCACGGCGGTGTGCTGTTGACTCAGCCGGGTCAAAAGTCGGAAAACGCGTTTTCCTTTATTGAGTTATTAAACGTGCACGTCATGTGGGGACGTTTGCCGGTTCGTGTTGTCGTGTTAAAAGACGAGAATACCCTTTGGTTTTTAAAAACCCATGCGCTTTGGTTCGGGAGTTAGTTGGAGGGTATTTTCGGAAATATAAGTGTTTGAGGGTCATTGTTTCGTGAGCTGTTTCCTCACATGATGGTGAGCTACCACAATTAAATTTTCTCAACCATTTTTGAATTTTATTTCGTTCACACACACTCACACACCACTTTATTTTTTTATTATTTATATTCGATGCATCTCAATTATTTTCATTTGACAATTATCGGGATAAACGACGAAATGACATAATTACCCTCCCATTTTTTCTTCACCCACCCATTATCTTTTTCTTTTCCCACTTTTTTGAAAAACGAGGAGAGAAAGTCGACTCAGTCGAGTTAACGAGTTCGCTCGGTCTAATTTACTTTGCTTTGGTTTTGGAATTTGCAGGGAGTTGTTGAGGAAGAGGATTTGGAATGGATAACAAACAAAGATGCTTTCCCTGTGATCGAATCATTCGTCGGCGAATTGCCATCGGAGCATTTCCGTATAGTTTCACCGGTGCGAGTAGCGACTGAAGCGAAGCAGCTCAGTCCGGTTTCAGTATTAGAGACGAGTAGCCATAACAGCTCAACGACGACCTCCAACAGTAGCGGAGGAAGTAACGGAAGCACGGCGGCGGCCGCCGCTATCACCAACATGATGATGAGCTGCTGTGTAGGTTTAAACGTGCCGGTTAAGGCTAGGAGCAAGCGTCGCCGTACGGGACGCCGCGATTTGCGAGTTCTGTGGACGGGGAACAACGAGCAAGGACCGCTGAAGAGGAAGGCGCCGTCGGTTGCGTCGTCGGCGGTTTCGATGGGGAGGAAGTGTCAGCACTGTGGAGCGGAGAAGACGCCGCAATGGAGGGCGGGACCATCGGGGCCGAAGACTCTGTGTAACGCGTGTGGCGTGAGGTACAAGTCCGGGAGGCTTGTTCCTGAGTATCGCCCGGCTAATAGTCCGACTTTCTCGGCGGAGTTACATTCGAATTCTCACCGGAAGATTGTAGAGATGAGGAAGCAGTATCAGTCCGGTGATGGTGATCGGAAAGATTGTGGATAAAAAGTGGTTAGGATAATTTTTAATTTCTCTTCTTTTTTTTTCGAGAAACTTTTTTTTCCCGTTAATTTCTCTCTTTTTTTTAAGCTTGTTTTAGGGTTTTGCAGTTGGAATTTAGGTTTTTTCTTTTTTACTCTTTTTCATTTGTGAAATTAGGGGTAATTACTATTTTAGGGAATATTATGGTCAGCGAATGGAAGATAACTTTCTCATTTTACTGTTTATTTTATTCTGTGGTAATTTAAAAAATAGAACATGAAAAATATAAGCAAGTTCTTGTTAGATAATTTCATAACCACTTTCAGTGTCTTTTTTTTGGTCCAAACCAAATATAAAGCTTCTATGAGAGAAATTGGAAATGTGATGCAGTTTTGGGGGTTTTCTGTATGTCTTGATTGAGTGATTATCTGATTCTACTTTTGCCTTTTAATTTACTGACATATTTGTCTAAAATATCATATAGATATGTCTTTGCAAACTATGTATACGACGATTCTGTGCATTGAAAATAGTTATAAAGGTTAGGTGAAAAAATGTGGTTGTCAAAAGCAGATAGTAACCACAACTACTAAGTTACATATGATACAATTCTGTTTTTTTTTCTTCTACTATAAAGTAAGGAATGCAATAACATCAAGCATAGCATTTTTATTTGTATTTTATCACTGGTAGAGAAACTCAGATTGTTTATGGGTGAGAGAATAAAAAGAAGAAATTTTTTAAAATGACAACCACTTATCAGCTAACAACCAAAAATCCATTAAAGCTTAAGCAAATAAAATGCACACAACTTTTTAATAAAAATAAACTATTTGTTGCTTCAATTTAGCAAATATATTTTATTAGAATTGTATTTCTAAATTTTGTATAAAACATTTTAAACGTTCCATATGAATAGATGGTCGACAATTTATCCAGTAACATAATTATTTTCAGGTGATTCATTACAAAACATAATTTCATCACTATCACCATAGATCATTAGTTTATAAAAGGAGTAGTGAACATCGTCCCTTCTAATACGATAAAAGTGACTTTATATTACAAATGTCAAATTGTCAATAAGAATTAATTAACATCATCATCTCTGGAGACAAAAACTGATGATGGATCGGAGGAGTAGAGACCAAATAATTAGATTAGATGTAACATTTTCCTGATTTTAAATAGTTTAATGTGGTTTTTAAGGGAATAAAATAAGATTAGTCTAGTAGTAACGTATGATTGAGGAGTCAGTAAGTGTGTGGAGTAGTAGTCACATGGGATTTGATACTTAGCTAATATATCATTGCACATGCCTTTACTCTTCTTCCTCCAAATTCCACCAACTCCATTGTCTCCATTCTACGCCATGAATCATGGCATCATCTTTTTTCTCTAATATTAATATCCAATACATAGTATCTGTAATATTAGTTTTTGTTTACATTTAGATACAAATCCAACTTGAAGTTCAAGTCATTGTAGCAGAATGATATTGTTTCTGTTGGTCAAAATCGGTTGATTGTTGATGAATAAAGATATATTTTCTTTTTTTTGGGCACGAATAATGATATCTTCCAAGTTCGAAGCCCTTTCATTTTTTTTTTTAAAAAGAGCTAGGTATATCAAAAATTGATTTATTTTCTATTGCATACTACATCAACATCCCGATAAAAGCCCTCCTTATTTTATCAGTAAACTAGTTATATTTTAACAAGAGATGCATCTAACTGTCTTTATTTAGGTAACCCAACTCGCAGTTTCTTTAACAAAAACAAAATCAACTCGTACAAAAAAAGTTATATTACACCTACTAAACTAGAATTTTCTAAAGACATCATAGGCTAATTCTGAAGTTTGAATCCCATAGGTTAACATATATACAATACTCTTTTTTATCTTTTGACAGACCAACTAGTATTGAGTTTTCGTTTGTTTGTATGACTGCATTATTAATAGTGGGAACCCAAAACTAGTTATCTTTAAGATATTGGGCTAAGTAGCACTACGCTCAACTTTTGTGGACTTTAACAGAAAAACAAACTACGTGGCCAGTGAAAACAAAACAAACCAGGTAAAACATACATACACAAAAATGTTGAACGAGGAAATATTACACAAACAAAGTTCTCGTATCTAAGAAGTGCTTTTTGTCATCATACGAGCGACAACAAAACACACACGTACACACACAAATGAATTCGTTATAATCTGAAAACAAAACATATCCAATAATGTGAAATAAACTGGTATAAGATCTAAATGTTTTGGGTAAAAAACAAATTGGTAAGCAAACTGGTTGGTTTTGCTCCTGTGACTTGACTCCTTCCCTTATGAGACTTGATTTATGAGCTTATATAAAGATATTCGGGAATGGAAATGAAAACTCTCCCCCTTAAGAACATTGACACTAATCTTTTAGCAGAAAAATAAAGAGCATTGACACTAATCATTTTCAGCCCATTGTTTCAATTGAATCAAGCTATTCTCACTTGCTCATTCTAAACGAGATTTCCTAAACCTTTGAGCCTAGTCTATTGGTTTTTATCGAAAAAAAAAAAGGAGTAAAATGACACATAGAAGGATATAGGAAAAACAAAAACATAAAAATTTAGTTAGTATATTTGATGTCCGGGCGTTAACGTCTAACTACATTTGTCGACGTCCACCAAAACTAATAAAAACAAAAACAACAAACGAACAAAAAGCTTATGACCAAGAAAAGTCCTTAGTCCAATAAACCTCATCACTACTAAAATAAAACCCATCTTCTCTAACGGACCAAGAACATTTCTTGGTAATTCCACATCTATTGCTGTCCCTAGAAACCTTAAACGCCTCGAACCTCTTCCTCTTCGATTCCCACTTCATCGTACACGTGTACACTTGTCTCCACGACCACAACTCCATCTTAGCCGTCCATCCGAAGTCGTCTCCCTCTTGAAGCGCGCGACCACCCATATCTCCTTGAGGCGAGTTGCACCATATCACTAGAGGGACAGAAGAGTTGCCTCTGAAGCTGTTGATCACACGCACGTCGTATTCCTCTCCAAATAGCATAGTTTGTGGCTGAAGCACCAATGTGAAGATGATCGTTAAGGAGATAACGATTAGCACAAGAAGGAGTATTTTTGGAGTGTTCATTGTTTATGTTTGATTGTTTCTTCTTAACAATGTGTGAAGGTTAAGTTCGTTCTGTTTGTGTTTTTGGGGGAGAAAGGTGTTTATGGTGAATCTTCGTATCGGGGAGAGAATCTAAAGACGAAAATGCATATAAATATATTGTAGAAATAATGTGTTTTTTTTGTAAAAAAATCTAAAATCTCATATAATAGCAAACTAGATTTTTATTCGTTTTTAGTTAATTTTAGGCTGTCTTAAAATATTATATTTTACAGAATTAATTAAATAGTAATAGTTAATTTATATAATAAAGGAAAAAACGAAAATGGAAACATATAAGTACTATGGTGAAGATCTATCTAGAATATTATAAAAGGGAAGAACCAGATATGAATAGTTTATATGAGGTAAAATTATACAGGAAAGAAGGGAGGATAAAGGAAACAAATTTTGAAATGAATTTGAAATATTTGTTATAATTATGTGAATATATGAAACAAAAACTGATATATTTACTAAAATCTATGAAAACTTTTTGTTTTGATCCAAATCTAGAATTATACATTGCAGAAATAAATACTAATTTTCAGTAATCAAATCACAAATTTACTTATCACAATCTTGGTCCATTTCTGTAATTTAAGCTTAATGGTATAAACTATATTTGGGCTTAAGTAGGCCCAACAACGTCTCCCAAAACGTACTCACCCCGCTTAAATCGGTAGTGGCCGTAGTGGTAAACCGGCGGTTACAATATTTAATTAATAAATTAATTAATCACTGTAAAATGAAAATATAAATACTCACCGATCATTTCTCATTTCTAGGGCTAATCGTGATTCTCGCATTTCACCGGCGGTTATGGCTTTGAACAACCGGAGATATCTCGCTTTAGGATTGGCGGATCCTCAAATCGCCGTCCCAGCAACCGCTTACGCCGAAGCCGTCGAAACGAATCATCTAAGCATAGTCGGTCGTCTTCTCCGCCCGAAAAACCAAGATCTCTACTCAGTAATCCAGACACTCCCTCACAAGTGGAATGTCCGCGGCTCTCAATTGCGCGGCCGCATCATCGGCGGCGGGAAGTTCCAGTTCCTATTCGACACGGAGCGGGATCTGGAAATGGCTCTCTGGTCAGGTCCTTACACGTACAACGGATGGATCGTCGTGCTGCAGCGGTGGGAGGACGAGCCGGGTCCCGAATTTCTCCGATCGGTGCCGATGTGGGTGAGGATTCGCGGGATCCCGATTCGGTACCTCTGCAAAGGAACGGTTCGTGAGATTGCTTCGTCTATGGGGGAGGTAATGGATATCGAATTGGATGATAAGATCATCGATCTGCGTTACGTGCGTGTTCGTGTGAACGTTTCTGTGGATTCGAGGCTTTGTTTTAAGAAAGTGGTGAGGTTTGAATCTGGAGAGGTTAAGATTGTGAGTCTCCGTTACGAGGACGTTGCTTGGGGAAGAGCAAAGTTTAAATTCTGTCGTAATTGTGGGGATATGAAGCATCTCGCGAGGTCTTGTAAATTGCCTTGGATTGATGTTCCTGATCCTTATGAACGTTCTCTTTCTCCACCGCCTCCTGATGCTGCTGGTTCTGATGCCTTTGCTGAGAACAATGGCCAAAGTGGAACTTCTGATGCGGTTCTTGATGGCGTTGAGATGGTTGGAACTTCAGCGGAGGGGTCTAAAAGGAAGTTTGAAGCTTCGAGGGAGGAGGGTGATGATATACAGAGGAAGCGGATTCGAGGAAGCTCTGATGGAACAGAGGATTTGGGGGTTAACCTCGGAGTAGTTCAAGAAGAATGATTTTGTAGAAGTTAGAAGGGTTTTAGGTTGGGGATGATGAAATCTTGAAGTTGGTCACAGTGTTGGTGTTATTATGCAAAATCTTTACTTGATGTAGTGAATGATAATATATCAAGTAATGAAAGTAATTTGCTTTGTTGCATCTTTCTTCAAGCTGTTACGATTTAAGCTGCATAATCATCCAAAAGTATGAAGACTATTGCTGTGGAAGAGAAAGATATTGTGTTGCTTATTGGTACGCAATCAATATTCAGTTTATGATTCATGATAACATATCAAAGGGATACCAAAGATAAAAAAAAAAAAGCAAAAAGATTGCGAAATAAAACTTCAAAACAACAAAACTAAGATGGAGTCTAAACCAAACATCAAAAATTTCAGAATCGGAGCAAAAAGGAACATGTCTCTTACTTTCTCATTCATTTGTCAATTTGGTGTCTTCCCATAAGCAACCATTCTGTTTGCAGGAAGCTTCTTCTCAGCTTCACGCCTTCTTCTCTTGGCCTTCTTCGACAGCTTTGTTTCATCTTCCTCGACTTCCTCTTCTACCACCGGTGCAGGTTTCGTCTTTTCAACGACATCACTCTTCTTTCTCTTCTTGCTTCTCTTCTCGTCATTGTTCTCCCTGATCCTCTGGTACACCTCCCTGATCTTCATTTTCTGCTCCTTGAGCTTGTACTTATTCACCTCCCAATCCTTTTCCACGAACGGAGCCATCTTCTTCAATGGCACGAACTGGTTCAGCTCCGAGTCGTCCAAGACGAGTATATCCGAAGTCTTTAGCCCGTAGCTGTTTGGCTGAACTTTCGCAAACTTGAACCTCGTTTTCAAATCATCAATCGTACCCTCGTAGTCTAGCTTGTAGTACTCATCCATCAACTCTTCCTTGACTCGTTTCACAAGAGAAATCTTTTGCTTTCTCTTCCTCTTCCCCTCTCTCCCTTCCACCTCTTCTACTTCCTCTTCGACCTCCTCTTCATCAGAAGAAGAGACATTCTCCTTAAGTTTCGAAACCTTTTCCTTGGCAGCTTCAAAACCATCCCCACTCTGAATCACACCCCAGTTCTTTGGAAGTCCAAGCAATTCATCTTCCTTGTCAAAGTCCGGTTTCTCATCATCCTCATCACTACGCATACCATCATCCTCCGCACCATAGTATTTCTCATCATACAAAGCTTTCATCATCTCATCATACTTAACGGGATCAAACTCATCATCAAGGTCTTTAGCACCTAAAGCAATTTCATCACCTTCTTTAAAACCAGCGACAGCGAGCACTCTCTTCATCTTCTCGTTAATCTCCTTCTTCATGACATTCTTCAGCCTCTTAACCTCCTCTTGCCTCTCAATCTCAGCCATCTTCTCTCTCGCCTCTTTGTTCTTCCTCTGCGTTTTCCTCGAGCTGTCCTTCTTCCTCACCGACCCTTCAACAATCCTAGAATGACCCATAACCGTCTCCTCTGCATTCTTCTCCTGATGCCTAAACTTCAACTCATAGTTCTCTTGATCATTGACCTCCTCGAATTCTTCCTCCAGCTGATCCAACTCTGCTTGATCAATCTTTCCCTCTTTCTCCTTCCACATCTGTTTCAGAAAGTAATCTCTCAGGAACTTATTGCCTTCGTCAAGCTCAGCTTCGTCGCCGAAGTATTCATCCGCTTTCTTTTTCACCTCCTCATCGTCAACTTCCAAATCATCTCCTTCCTTCACTCTCAACAGATCATCACCATCATCATCACTATCATCATCACTCTCGCTCCCTCCAGCCTCCACAGCGTCGGCTACAGCTTGCCTTAAAGCCTCCTGCTCCTCATCGCGAGTCTGAATCCTCTCTTCGTCTTCTTCATCAAACTCTGGACCGTTCTCGAGCAATTGCCTCGCCTGAACGTCTTTCAGATACATCTTCTCCTTCCCCTCCTCCTCATTCTTCTTCTTCTTCCTCCTCTTCTTCTTCTTCTCCTCCCCATCCTCCTTATTAACCTCAACCTTCGCCGGATACTCCCGTCTCTTATACTTAACCAACTTATCGAAAAGGTCTACGCGATCATCCTCTGGGTCAGACATTTCTGGAATTTTTGCTTCTTCGTCTGAATCCTCGACCTTGAGCTCGTCGTCGTCCTTGCTGATTCGACCTCCTTTCACCATCTCGTCGTATTTCTGGCGATCCTCGCGCTCCCTATTGAACGCCAACTTAAGAGCGTAATCCTCATCGACCTCGAGCTCAAGGGGATCATTGTTCAGTGGAGAGTCGTCACCGTCGTCTCCGAGAAAGCTTTTTCCCATCGTGGTCGCAATTTTGTTCGATCTTCTGGTGTCGTCGGCGAGACTGCTCTTTGCTAGGGTTTTCTTTGATCCCCAAATTGTTGCCGTCGTTTTTCAATTTATACCGATTTGCTAACACCAAAGACCTTATTTTCTCAACCGACGGCGTGGACCAGACCGGGTTAATTTTTTTGATTGAACCGGATCTGTTTTTCATTAGACCTTCAGTGGATTAGACCGGTTGGTTGATCAAAATGAAAGTTCAAACAAGTTTGGAACTAAAAAAATAAGTGGCTCTTTTCATATAGTTTAGGCTTGATTTGATGTCAACATATATATAAATTCATCAGAATATAAAGAAGATTTTAGTTTCCGCTTGTCAGACTCAAAAGTTAATAACGAAAGCATAAACTCCAAAAGCATTTTGAGAAACTATACAAACTAGAGTCATTTCTTCTTTAGCTCTCTCTCTATTGAGTGGTCACACTCTTCGCTAGATTCCTCGGCTGATCAACGTTGTGACCTCTCAGAACAGTCAGATGATAAGCCAATAACTGTCCCACACCAAAAAAAAAAAAAATCAAAACTTACAAAAAACAAAACAAAATACACAGTACATTTGATGCAAGAGATTAGAGATTTTACCTGTAACGGCACAATATTAACAACAGGTTGCAAGCAATCTTCCACTTGAGGAACTTCGATGGCTCGACAAGAACCACTCGAGCTCACCGACGCAGCATCGCCTTTCGAACACATCACAATCAGCCTCCCCTTTCGCGCGTGAAGCTGCTGAATCACAGACTGCTGTTTGCTGAAACAAGCGTCGCGAGTGGCGATCACAGCGATGGGAAGATTCTCATCAACTAAAGCTAATGGCCCATGTTTCATTTCTCCTGCAAGTATTCCTTCGCTGTGCATAAGCGATACTTCTTTCACTTTCAACGCTCCTTCTAACGCCGTTGCGTAGTTGTATCCTCTGCCAAACACAAGCAGTGACTGCTCGTCTATCAACAGTTGCGCGAGATCTTTCATTTCCTCGTCTAGCTTTAACACTTCCTTAACTTTATCTGCAAGCCAAATATGATATTGCTTAACAAAACAGTCTTGAGAAGAAGCAACATTGTTGACATTTACTTACTCGGCAAATCAAGAAGTCCATCGATTATAGCTTCCCTTCTTGTTTGGCTTGAGATTGTGTCACTTCCTATGGCTAAAGCTAGCATAACCATCACCACGATCTGACTTGTGTATGCCTGATAATGTTTGGGGTTGGGGTGAACCTCCAAATTCGTAAAGATGTATGTATGATATGTTCAGAGATTCAAGAAAATTATTACCTTTGTACTTGCTACACCAATCTCAGCTCCTGCGTTGATATGAACACCACAGTGTGTTTTTCTAGCTATCGAGCTTCCAACGGTGTTAGTTATACCAACACACAACGCACCGTTTTCTCTAGCGTAGTCCAAAGCAAGTAACGTATCCGCAGTTTCACCGGACTGGCTCACAAACACCGCCGTGTCCTCTCTGTATATCGGACCTTGCCGGTCCCAGAGATCACTAGCAATCTCCATGCTGACTGGTATACCAGAGAGTTCTTCAAGGATAGGTCTAGATGCAAGAGCGGCGTTGTAACTTGTCCCACACCCGATAAATACTATGCGTCTGCTTCGTCTTATGGTCTTTAAGTGATCTTTTAAACCACCTAGGAGGACTGTTTTGGCTTTGCGTGAGCCACCGCGTATAAGCCGGCCTCTCATTGTAGTGGTTAGAGATTCCGGCTGCTCGTGGATTTCTTTTTGCATGTAGTGATCGTATTTCCCCTTGTTTATTTGCTCCACCTCCATCTCCAGAACAGATAACGCACGTTCCACTGAAGCAGGTCTAGATAAACCGTTACGCCTCTCGTTTTCAAATTTTAGTATTGACACGCCTCCATCCTGTTAATCAAATTACAAGTGGTGAACACATATCCTCCAAATTGAACAATATTAATAACATAAGTGATATGGCTTGTGTGAATGTTACATATTCTTAATGATCACTGATCAGTCAATAAGTTTCGTTACTCGTATGCTAAAATTCAACACTCATACTCAAATTTGGCAGGGAATGAGAATATACTAACTAAAATAGTATGAATGGTTTATTGTACCTTGAGGTGAACAACTTCGCCATCTTCAATCACCAAAACTTTCTTTGTATGCTCAACAAGAGCGTGCGGGTCACTTGACAAGAAAAATTCCTTAGGATGCTCATTCTTGGAAAAAAAGTGGGCATCCTGGAAAACATGAATGTTGTCCTTGTCTTGATCTAGCTCCTACGAAAGCATGCAAAAATGAGGTATTTCTTACAAGCCGGAAAGGTTTCGTCACTGTGAGTGAAAAAGATAAAGCTAGCATTTTTCGAAATCGTGATCGAGTTAGAAACATAGATACACAAAACCAGGAGCGACATGAAGCGAGTCTTCCACTAATCCGTTCTAAAAGAAGCAAATCTTCGTTCCAAAAGTATTTTTCTTATTCTCTCTTTTTCATATCAAGATTTGCTCTTTTCCCTACGAAGTGGCTCAAATGTTACAGATCCTGATACATACTAGCTATGAAACAGCTACTTGATTCTGGTGGCAGAGAGTTACTTACTTTAACGCCTAAAAGCAATGGACTTCCAAGCTTGCACGCAATTAACTCATTCGGATAATGCCAGCTTTTAAATATAAGAGCATACGCTCCCTCGAGATGCCTCATCACTTCAAAGACAACTTCACAGAAACTTACAGTCTGTCCACCACCTGCAAAAGCATAAGAATATAGATGCAACCGTGAAAATGTGCATGCCTAAAGATCATCTCAATGGACCTACAACTAAACATCTCCTAAAAATTTATATTCAAAACCATCAGCTAGTAAGCAATCCTCATCTATACCTTCTTCATTTGCTTTGTCAAAAACAAATTTGGCAAGCTTGGGAATGACTTCAGTGTCTGTATCCGATGTAAAGGTAAATCCATGCCTGACTAACGTTTCTTTCAGTACCTAACGCAAGTAACAATAAGAAGATAAGGAATCAAATCAAGAGCATATCAAAAATGAGTTTTGTTTACTCTATTATACATATAGAAGCATAGAAGTAGAGACCTCATAATTAGTGATAACGCCATTGTGAACCACCAAGAAATCATCTCCAGGACCAGAAGACTGAGGATGACTGTTCCTCGGAGCTGGCTCTCCATGAGTAGCCCACCTTGTGTGTGCAATCCCTGCATGGAAATAGAAAACTTCGTCCAAGTTTAAATCCGTATTCGTAATCTCTGCAATTGAAAAGAAAAACACAAATCATCATCATCATCACAAGGAAGAAGTGGATTCATAAAAATTTGGATAATGAAGATCGGAGATCCAGAGAAAAGGGGGAAAGAGGGAAAGTGACCTTCGTTGACGGAATTGACGAGCGAATCGATGTTCCCCGCTTGACGAAACACGAGCGGAGGAGAAGAGGTAGGGGAGTTTTGAGAGAGCGAGTCGTCGATTGCGATTCCGGCGGAATCGTAGCCTCTGTATTCGAGACGACGGAGGCCATTGAAGAGGACCTCGAGAATGTATCGTCTCTCTTTGTTCGCGTGGAAATTCAGGTACGCGAATATTCCACACATTCTGTTGATCTCTCTCTCTCTTTCTCTTTCGCTTTCGCTGATTCAAATTTTGGTTACAGAAGTTTTCGTGGAAGAATGAGAGGGAAGAAGAGGAAAGGAACGGTGAGTTTTTCCAATTTTGACTCAGATTTGGGGGTTGACCAGTAAATACGATCCACTTGTTTGGGTGTTTTTGTCTATTTGACTTGTGTCAGGAGCTATCACGTGGCTGCTGATGATTGGATAGAGAGAGCGAGTTTGCTTTTGTTGAATAGCGGATATACAGCTTACGCCTAGCGCGTGGCGGTGCGCCGCTGGTCACGTGGGGTTTCGACTTTCGAGTTGTCCTTTTATATTTTTTGTCAAAAGTTCAAATCATATGAATATTCTACTTTTGCAGCACTTGAAAATGATATTTAGGAGGATTTATTAGTTTGTCGTATTAGATTTCATTAATTTTAAATTATGCTTGAGATTTTTAAGATATAGTTGTCTGATTGTGTAAGTGAAGTTTAGGCAGGTTGCATGATGTGAAAGACATAAGAAAAATTCAAGAAAACAAAAAAACACACATTTAAAGTGGAGAAGGTTGGAGTTGGATTATATTATTAAGGAGCTATAATGGGCCAGGTTTAGTAGACGGAGTTCAATTAACAACGGGGCTTATTGTGTGGGCTCAGGTAATAACTAAAGGTTAACCAGAGATTAAAACTCAACATAACAAGATATCAACAAAAGATCCGTTGTAGCACACAGGTTAACTTCAAATATGAAATTGAATTCCGGGTTCGAAGCCCGGCAGTGGAATAATTTTTGTTCTTTTTTATCAGAAAGAAAAATAAGAGTTGAGATAAAAATACAAGGGAACTGAAACGAAAATCTGTGATTGTGAGGGTTTATGGGTTTTTTCGACGGTGTAAAAGTTTTGTACAAATTGGGTAGACATTTTACCAGGTTTAGTGATAAAGTTGGTTTGGATTTGATCCATGGGATAGATGCATTGATCAGGCTTGTGACAGACAAAATCGAGCCCTTGTCACTGTTCAAATTCCCTTTTAATCAATGCCCCCAAATACAAAAGTACATCAAGAAATGATATCTAGTGTTATACTTATACATCTGAAAAATCCATTACATTACGTTTGACCTACGTACTAAATTACCTGTGTACAAAAAAAAAAAACCAAAACTTGTGTAACTTCCATAGGCCATAGCACACAAACTAGAAATTTGACTAACGATGTGCACGAACATAATAATCATAACTTTTTTCTATTGACTAACACATATATACTTTGAATGAAAACGTTGAATTAGAAGATATAGTTAGTGACATTTTCAATAATATGTTATAAATAAAAGTTTATCTATAAATAGCTTTAGTTTCTTGATCTTGCTCCTACGAAAGCATGCAAAAATGAGGTATTTCTTACAAGCCGGAAAGGATTCGTTTCAAGGAGGCCAAAAAATATAAAGAAGTCGTGATCTTTAGTACGCAAAGAGATATGAAGCAACTCTTCCCCTATTCCGTTCTAAAGGAAGAAAATTTTCGTTCCATAAGTATTTTTCTTATCTCTCTTTCATACCAAGGCTAGCTCTTTTCCTTACGAGAGGCTCAAATATTACAGATCCTGATACATACTAGCTAAGAAAAAATGTTAAGCTCCAATGATCGAGTAGAATGAAATAGCCTCGTGAGTCTAGTGGCAGAGATTTACTTACTTTAACGCCGAAAACTAAAAGCAATAGGCTTCCAAGCTTGCACGCAATTAACTCGTTCGGATAATGCCAGCTTTTAAATATAAGAGCATAAGCTCCCTTGAGATGCCTCATCACTTCAAAGACAACTTCACAGAAACTTATCGTCTGTCCACCACCTACAAAGCATAAGAAAATAGATGTAACCGAAACAAAACATAGCTTTGTTGTATTATATTTTAGATTTTATTCATTTTAAAATATGTTCGAGATTTTTAAGATATAGTTGTCTGATTATGTAGGTGAAGTTTAGACATTGTAGGAAGTGAAAAACATAAGAAAAATTCATGAAAAAAAATACGTTTAAAGTGGGGAATGTTAAAGTTGGATTATTTTCTTATGGAGCTTTAATGGGCCAAGTTGTGTAGATGGAGTTCCAATTAACAACGGGGCTTAGGTTTATTTTGTGGGCTCAGGTAATAACTAAAGGTTAACGAGAGATTAAAACTCTACATAACGAGAGATATCAACAAAAGATCCGCTGTAGCACACAGGTTAACTTCAAATATGAACTTGAATTCCGGGTTCGAAGCTCGGCAGCGGAATAATTTTTTTTCTTTTTTATCAGAAAGAAAAATAAGAGTTGAGATAACAATACAAGGGAACTGAAACGAAAGTCTGTGATTGTGAGGGTTAAGGTTTATGGGTTTGTTTCGACAGTGTAAAGAATTTTGTGCAAAGCCTCAAATTGAATAGACATTTTTACCCGGTTTAGTGATAAATATGGTTTGGATTTGATCTAGAGATTTTTTTCCGATAAAGTGGATGTGTCACCGTTCAAATTCCCTTTTTTAATTGATGCCTCAAAATACAAATATATCTTTATAAGAAGAAATAATCTTTAGTCATCATGATTACCAAAAGAAAATACTTGTGCACCTTCCATAGTACACAAACTAGATATTTGACTAACGTTGTGCACGAACATGACCATCATAATGTTATAAATTCGAGTTTATCTATATAGATTTCATTTCTTTGACTTGTTTCCCTTGCGACACCTAAGAAAAACAAATTTGGCATCTGCTTTGACTGTATGAAATATTATTGGTTATAAATAGGTTCAAGAATGAGATGCAAAGACATCAACCAAAAAACTGAGACAAGAAAAAAAAAAACAAGAAACAAAAGAAATACAGAATGGCTACTAAGTTCATTGCCGTCTTCATTGTATTCAGCTTTTTGTTTGCTACTCAATTTTCCAATGTAAATTTGCTAGTTACTAGTATTTCTCTTCTGTTTTGACCAAAAAAAAAAGTATTTCTCTTCTGTTAATCTTTAAATCGATTAGATTCATATAGTTTTTTACTTTCTTTTTCTTTTTCAGGCTAAGGAACTAGAAACTCAATCAGGGCCAATCCACACGGTATTCATAAAACTTTAAAATCAACAGAAAACAATAATAACAGTAATAAGAGGAATGTATTTTGCACATGAAAAAAATATTTACCATTTCTATTGTTTTTACAAAATTATTTCGCAGGAAGGAGCAGAAGGTTCACTTAAAATTGGAGGTAATGTTGTTTAACAATGTCTTATTCCTTGATTAAAAAACTTTATTAAAGTATTTGCTTCATTTTTATTCATTCAACGATGTTGTATATTTGTGTGTAGACTGTCCGGCAGCATGTAACGTTCGATGTTCAGCGACATCTCACAAGAGTGCATGTTTGATGTATTGTAACCAATGTTGCGATAAATGTTTGTGTGTACCATCGGGAACATATGGACACAAAGAAGAATGTCCTTGCTACAACAACTGGAAAACTCAAGAAGGTGGCCCAAAATGTCCTTGAAAATTAAATTTAAAATAAATGAAAATGTACGTTTTTCTTTAATTTATACACATTTTATGTTGTACGTCTTATGGTAATTTCAACATAAATAAAATCGTATTATTTACACAAACAGAAATTTCGACAAACCAAAATAAAATCATATTTCGGCAAATGTAGACCGATCTTCCTCAAACTGCAAAACCCAAACCTTTTATGTTCTTTTCAGAAACCAAACCAAACCAATCCAATCAAAACCAAACCAAACTAACTGTGAAACCGAAACTAGAAATTACGATTATTATGGTAATAAAGAAAAAGGAGAGTTGCACGATGACGGCATTGGACCCATTTAATAAGCCCAAAATTCATATAAAATAAAATCGAATTTATTCTTATCAATCTTCTTCTTCCTTCTCTCTCTCTCTCTGCCTTTGGCTTCTGCTTCTTCTGCGTCGGAGATCTCTCCGGATCGCTTGATCGCTACGCGGATTTTTGTCTGCTAACCTCACTATGACTCATATCCTTGTCTATTCGTTTGAAATTTCTCTTTTGTTCCAATCGTTTTCTTACCTCAATTGATTAACATTCGTAAGTTCTGTGCTGTTCTGTCTTGGATTTGGTTTTGCGTGTCTTACAAGGCTGAAAAGCCCTAGAAATCTGTCAAATTTTAGGTTTTTATTTTAGATCAGCAGTTGACATTGGTTTCTCCGTGTGAATCAACTTGAATCTTATGGTTTTATTAATCTCCATTATCTGATTTTGAAGTTGTACAAGACGGAAGCTTCCGGAGTTCTATGCAGATCTGATCTTGAGGGTGATGATACTCTCAGGGGGTTTGCTCATTTGTGTTGTGTTTGATTTGATCTCCGTTTATAAGAGAACCAAAATTAGTTTTGTTTTCTTTGATTCTGGCTTCTGAATGGCGAAATTGCACGGGGAAGTCAGAGAGAGCGAGACCGTTTGAGGGCTCAAGCTCGTACCGGAGACAAAGGAAAGAACAAAGATGACGGATTAACTCCTGAGCAACGCCGTGAAAGGTATTAAACTCAACTTAGCCTTTGCCTCTTGAAATCTTATTACAGTTACAAATCGATTTCAAAACTGTGTTTGTGTGTTTTGACACGATTTAGGGATGCGAAAGCATTGCAAGAGAAAGCTGCAAAGAAAGCTGCTCAAGCTGCAGCAGCTGCTTCTGGAGGAGGAGCCAAAGGAAACAATACTAAGAAATAAATATTTGAATGATTTGTAATACTTCTTTCTATTGAAATCTGCAAGTGTTTCTCTATGTGCAACTTTGCTTTTGAATGTGAACGTTTGATGTTTGTGGTGATATACTGATATGTTTTTGCTTTGAGCATTCATGTGTGTGACTTGAGGTATATTTGCTAACGTTTCTCTTATCAATTAAACATAGTTAATGAATTAAACAAGCTTACAGAATCATCTTCCTCATAGATTAGTACATGATAAAATATGCTTTAAAGTGTTGTTTCTTAGCTGCTCTCTGCGTCATCATCGTCAAGACCAACCCAACTCATGAAAGCAAATAGAAACTCCCTAAAACCCACTTTCCCTTTTCTTCCCCAATCCATTTCTTCTGCAAATTCACAAAAAAAAAAAACAATCCAATAAGTAAAACCAATCCATTTTCTTCTGAGTAAACGCATAGAGGAGAGTTTGTATATATATACATACCGAATCTCATGTTGGTGACATGTGAAGGAGATCTCTCCAGAGGATAGTCTTCGTTGTTCAATGTCTTTATCACATCAGCCTTGTTCAGTTTCCCTTTACCATCTTTGTCCAAGAACAAGAACACTTCCACTATCGGATCAAATATAGATTCAACCAACTTTGGACCCATCTCTCTAGATTCCTAAGAAACAGAACAAGATTTTATTACTTTTTCAATAGCTAAAACATTCAATCTATCTACTTGATTCTTACCGAGCTAGATTCAGAGGAAGGTTTTGAAAGAAGATAAACGAGACAGAGAAGGACAATAAACTCATTAAACTGTATCCCTTTGCTTCCATCAACATCACACCATCCGTATAAACCTTTCACTTCTTCCTCCGACAAACTCAGCTTTAGTTCCTCTAAGCATTTCTTCAGCTCTTCCATGTCGATTGTTCCGTTTCCATCACCATCTGCAGATTATCTCAGAAACAAAAAAACATGTTTAAAAAAACTTTAAACTGGTGGAATCTTGAAAGAGATCAAGAAAACGTTACCGTAGGATTCGAAAACGCTTCTGATGTTTCTTAATCCTTCTCTGAGCTTAGGAAACTTCATGATTATCGAATCCATGGACTTTAAACTCCGGTGTCCCGGATAATTCCTCCGGCTCTCCACCATTTTCCGTTCAAGCTTCGCGTCCAGCTCAGCATACTTCTTGTTGCTCTCCGATTTAGCACAGCAGCAGAGCATACTTCCTCCACGGTTTCTTTTTGTATATCAAAACTTATGTATCAAAACCAAAGAAACAGAGAGACAAAACTGATAGAAATTTATGGAAAAAAAAACAAGAACTCACTCTTGTTAATTTTTGATGGTTGTTGAAAAGATGAATGAGAGGGACAAGGCAACAGACCAAGTAAAGCATAAAGAATCATGAAGAAAGGCATTAAGAATAGTACCAAAGTTAAAGGCTCAAACTTTGGTAACACTTTCATCATTTTGATATGGTTTTTTAATTATTAGTTTTATGGTTTCTTTATAGTTTCTGCCTTCAACCTCTTTTCACTTGAATACAAGAAATAATAATGAAAGGTCAAAGCTTAAACATCAAATATATATACATGAACAGGCTAATAAGATGAAATATTGATGACAAGTTTTGTATCGAATAATACAATCCCCTCCAAACCTTATCTCTCTCTACCTTCTTCTCCTAAACTTTATCCAATGGTACTACTAGGCATAATCCAGCCAGCTTCATACCCAACACCCACACTGTCTCCACGAAGCCGCTTCTTCATCGACGCAGCGGACACCGAGCTCCCATTGGTGATGGAAGTCAGAGAGCTTTCTACCGAACAGTTGGTTGTGATGTTGTTCTTGTGGTCTATCGCTTCTGCCAGCTCGGAGAGAGACGGCATCATCATCATCTTGGTTGTATCGAAGAACGGGACTGTTGTTCCTTGAGAGTTGTTGGAGACTTTGATGGCTAGGTCTGATAGCTCTTCCCTAGCTGCCTCAAGTCCGGCAAAAGCAGCCGCTTGCTCGTCGAAGGCCTTGCAGGCTTTTTCAAGAATCGATTGCAAGTACTTCCCTTGTGCCTCTATCCTCAGCTGGAGTCTCCGTTGCACCTGCCCATACTAAAAGACTAATTCAAAGGTTTGCACTTTAACAGCAGAACGTTGTTGCACAAACTTTTCCTACAGAAGTTCTGACACTGTTTCAGTCTTAAGTGCGCCTTTGTTCATTTGTGGTTTGTATCATCATGAACAGGAGCAAGAGAAGTGAAGAAAACTGACCTCCAATTGCTCGTGTAGTCTTCTTTGGACTTCCATCTGAGCACGTAGAGCCTCGGTGACTTGGTAACTCCTGGTTCACGAATAAACAAGGAGAGTGTTCATATTATTGTAATACGTTAGCCAGTTGTAGAAAGAAGAAATCAATTGTGACCATACTCGTTCTGCTCCTGCGCTGCCATTCTCAGCGATGATGATGAAGATGAACCTGTATCCTGACTCTCCCCAACACAAGAAGCTGCAGCATCAAGTTCACGGAATTAGTAAAAGTCACGAGATATGAATTTGCAACAGAATTCATGAAAACAGTACCACATGATAAAGGTTTACAAAGTGTAACAAAATATGGATATAGATAGCCAAAGAGATGAAGCGTAGAACAAAGAGGCTTTCACATTCACAAAATCACAAACAGAGATTTAGAAGACAAGAAGGTCAAGTGAATAGATACATACCATCCTTGGAGTTCTCAGTTGATTCTTTGCAAGCTTGCCTCCCTAGTCGGAATTTCTGTCCAACAAAAGAGAGAAACATAACACCACCATCAAACACCCAAATACGTCGAACCAGTGAAGATATAACTGAAACTTAACTCTAGCAAATATCAGAATCTAAGGTGTTGTTATCTCATTAACCACATAATAGCTCTGAAAAAAGGTTAATTGGTAACCAAAAATCTGGAATCAGTTTGTGCAAAGACAAACCTGAAGATGTGATTTGAGGTGGTAGAGAGTGAGTCCCTTCACTCCCATCGTTCTCATGATAGTTTTAGGCGTCGCTTCTGTAAAGATGAACACACAGAGAGAGAGTCTCCATTAGCAAGCGTGAGGAAAAGAAAAAAACTCAACTTTTCAGAGATGATACTGACATTTCTTAGTTACTCTGACTATAACTTCAAAAAAGGAAACAAATTTTACAGACTGAAGAAGCTTTATCCTTCTATTCTGGGACGCATAGAGAATATCAAGTTCGTCTAAGAATCTGATTCAAGTCTAAAGTACACACCTTTATCGAATCAAAGTAGCTAACTAGCAAGTAGTAAACGGAACAAAATCTGAAAATAGCTAAACTTTTTCATCTAATCCAGAGCATGAAACGAAAAGCTACACAAAGCTGTAAACTTTGAAGAGAGCGAGGCACGGATTGAGCAAACTCAGCTCACATTTCAGCTCAAGATCCAGAAAGTTTTAACAAAGACGAGTGAGAAACAAGAGGAGAGCAACAAAAGGTAAATTTAATCAGCAGAGGAGGACTTACTGTCGGGACCTCCGAGCTGGGTGACGGCGTCGACGAACCTCTCATGAAGCTCCGACGTCCACCGGAGACGGGGTTTGGGGTCAGTGGTTAAGACCAAACATGCGTCTCCGGGAAGATTGGTTCCGTCGAGAGGTCCGTGGAACTCGCCGGAGAGTCCACCGTCGAGAGGAAGCGAGCGAATCGCCGAGTACATTTTCCAATTTCGTCGCCTAATAGAATTTCCCCGGGAAAGTGAAAGGAAAAGTGTTGTGGGAGAGAAAATTTGGGTGGTTTGCAGATTGTGGGATTTCGGATCCGGGTCAGGCTCCGGGTCTTTGGACAGCGAAGAAACGGGTGGATAGATTTGGACGTACATAGAGCGAGAGAGAGGACCATGTTGTAGTCTATTTATTTAATTTGTCGCAGAGGTACTTTGATTAAAGTACTAAATCATCATTTTTTCTTCAAAAATATTATTTAGACTCTTTCTTAATTAGAGAATTATATGATTTGATTAGTAAAAGAGGGTTTTAGTCTAGTAAATACATCTAATTTTACATAAAACTGTTCTTTATAGCAAAAAATGTCAAAGAAGATTCAAAGGTTATTCCAGATTTATATATAGTTGAAGTGTCACTGTTTCCAAGTGTATTTGATTTAATTGTGAAATATTTTCAACTTAGCTGATCTGATCAAATTTACTTTTGTATGCGTTTTTATTGTCCTCTATCATCTTGAGAGCTAGTCAACGCTAGTTTCCTATAGTAGAATAGTATCAATAATTATAATGCAAACTTTTGAAGAAATGACAAATGATACGGTTTGATTTTGATGTGAAGCTTCAGTCAGATAGTTTTTAGTTAATCATAAAATATAAGTATATTACTATAACTTTGTTCCTTGAGCAAAGCAATAGCGTAGGTGACTGACACAAGATATATATAGCAGTTTAATACAAAATGAATCAAGAAATAACTTATATTATATAGGTGGTTGAAAAGAAGAACTACTAAAAATTGTTATCATATAGTATTGAAATTAAAAACTGTCTCTATCCACCAACCCGTTTTGGTTAAATAATACTTGTGAAACATGCGTGATGCGGCCATAGTAACATGACTAAAAAGACTCTTGAGTTTGTTTTTGTTTTAAAATGACGTAGTTGTTGGAAGTTGGAACTAGATATTGGCATATTGCAAGTAATCGAACGTTACTGGTTTATATACCAGCCTTTTGTTTTTCTCAAATCAACTTACAAAATATGAATCTATAAATAGTTTTGATCATTTATAATATGTTGTGATAATATATAAGCTCCTGCTTGGAGCCTAGATTTTGAAAACCTTTCAGCTAGCTATAACCTTAAATCTTATAGTGCTAGAGAGAGAGAGGCGTTTGCCAGAAAATTTGACCTATTGCAGAGATCAAATCAAGAAATCAACTGCTGAATTATCAAAAAAATTAGAATATCCAATTGATACGGCAATCTTTGGTTGTATATAAGAATGAAAGTTCTCGATTTGAATCCAAAACTATAAGAAATTTGATTTACCAACCCTTTATATTGACATATTATACATGTTTTGATAAGAAAAGTAGAATAAAACAAAAAACATAGCAGACAAAAATATATTATTACATAACTACTTAACAAGTTGGAGTCAAACACATGGCCTCGGCGTCTAGTCTCTACCAACTTCGCCGATTTATGAATATATATATAATTTTATTATTATTCAGTAAGTAAGTAGTGCGATCATAGGAAAACTAACGACAAAGAAACAATAAGTATTGTTTAATGTAATTCTGTTTCATCAGCTAAACCAAAAATACTTTACGGTTAACATGATTACTATTTAGTTTGACATAAGTGCAACTTGATCAGATTATGTGGTAGTTAAATTTTTTAGATGTTTTTGCTGAATGATTGAATATCAAAAGAATGAAAACAAATTAATTATTGAGTACACAAGTAGGTTGGACTCTCAAACTAATGCTTCAGGTGCTATCATATGGGCCAAATTTGGCCTTTTGGGCCGAATTCTAATACGAAACCCAAAACCAACAATGACAAACACTTGTTTTTGAAGTTAATGTCGAGCTAAATCAACTTATTAATCAAAGGACAAATGCTTACGCTCAAACAAACTACAAACTGAAAATGATCAATCAAAAATCTAAAAAACAGAAAACAAGCAATGAGCGAAAATCAAACAGCAATGGGCAAATATTGAAGCCATTCATCACTATCAATGAAGCTGAGATCAACCAAACTTTGTACAGAGGATCCACTCAGCTTCTTCATCCAGCCCACACGTCTTGCCGTATTCGATCCACTTCCAAAGCAACCATGTTCTGCATACGTCAGCTGATACTCGCGTCCCACGAAGTTCCACGCGTCCCAACCTTCGGGAACAACCACATCCGTCAGGTTTGTGTTGGAAAAGATCACTCTAGAGTAACCGCGCCACGGTCTTCCCAAGAAGGCCATGCCCGTTCCGTGAACGAGACTGTCTATGAACACGAATCCGTTAGCGTCGTACGGGTTGGTCCGTCCTTGAGCCGTTATGTAACCCGCTAGTCCCGGTTCTAGCAGCCCACCTAGCACTTGAACCACACAACTCTACAAAACCCACCAAAAGATATTTTTAGTATAAATCATTTTCTTACATTTTTGGTTTGGATTCTGTTTTTAATCATATCCTTATTATATATGAAGATATTTAGATTTTTTACTTTTCGCGTCAAAACATTCTAATGATTAGGACAGTTTTATATAATTATCTGGATTGAACAAGTTTTATAAAATTTCATATATATATATATATATATATATATTGGATTTTGGTTTAATGTTACCTTATTATAATTTATAAGCGGATACTATTATGTGAAGAAATGTAACTGACCTTGTAAACAGATTGGCCGTTACCAAAGATGAAATCTACGGCGCCTTGGATGGTGCAGCGATGGAAGTAGTGTCGACCTTCCACATCCCACAACGTATCTTGGACTCCGGCAAACCCTACGTAGTAAAACGCCGACATATCGCCGCCGATCAACGCGGCCACGGCCGGAGTTCTAGGGTTGTTGTTCACTTTCCCTTTACTCGGGAAGTTATAAGTATTCTATGAAAAAAATATAAAAACATAACATTACTCACGAGGCCACGACTAACAATAAACCCTTTTTGTATTTACTCTAACAGAAGAAAAAAAATGAAACCATACCACGAAAGTGATGCTTTTGACGACGGTGTAATCGGCGAAAGTAGCAAAGGTAGGGCTTTGAGCAACCGAGTAATGGTCGTCCCACTCAACTCTCGTTTTCCTCTTACCAGCTCCGATTATTACTATGAAGGGTTTCTCGTATGGTATCTTTAATTTCTCTCTTTTATTTACAAAAGAGAGGAAACGTTACTAAGCATTTTCGCATAGATATATGTAACTTCGTGTGAAGTCAATTTCAATGTGGATATTACTGACCTGTAAAGACCGGCTGCGACTTTGATGAAGAACCAATTGCGATTGTTGACTGGAACCGAATCGATAGCTTTTTGTATTTTCGTGAAATTTCCATGGCCAGATTGGTCCACAAACACTTTTTGGTGGTAAACTCCGTATCGTTTAGCTTCGATGAGATGAGGTAGACAAAAGCAACAAAGAGCGACGAGGCCGATGAATAGTCGATGAGTTTTCATTATAAAAGCTTATGATTTGATTAGATGAAACCAAAACGTATAAGGGGAGTTTAAGAGAGGGGAGAAGAAGTGGGAGTAGTGGAGGAAAATGCATTTTTTATTTAACTAGGCCGTGGGATTTAATGCTTAGTTATCGTAAATATATTTGTGAAGATTTTTTTCTTTGTTTTGTTTTGATTACATAAGGGTTTTTATGGCGTAATTGGAGTAGAATCTAAATGAAACTGGAAAGTTTAGCATTCTTTCTAGTTTTGGTGATCAAATCTTGGTTTTGTGTGATATGTCATAGACCAAAAAAGGACGTTGTGATCTTTTTCATTGTGATTGTGGTAACTGCAAAGTTAGTGGTCGTGATTGAGGAGAATAATAATACTGAGAAATAATAATTAAAACTTACTAAGTACTGTACATTGCAATTGATATATGGTAGGAAACTCCGAATTTCTTAAGATATACATTTTGGTTTAAGGAAACTTGGAATTAGTCACAGATATACATTTTAAAAAGTCATCCATACATGTATATATACTATAATTCTTTTAACAAGTATGACCAAAGATATGTATATATATTTTTATGATATGTATATACTAGTATACTACAAAAGATATGTATATAGTATATACAAATAAGTAGCATGTTTGGATATAGAAAATAATCACACTCGAAATATTTTGATCTCGAAATGATCACACTCCAAAATGAAAGGCAGAATGAACAAATAACTTTTTTTCATAAAAGTATTCAAATTTTACTCGATGTTTTTGTAAACTCGTTTTAATTCTTTAGAAAATTAAAACTATAAAAAAAGAAGAGAAATAGTAAAATACTATCTTCCTTTTTTTTTAATATAATGTAAAATTTATTAAAAAACCAAGCTTTTGTACAACGTGTGTGTGACTAGTGTTTGTACAAAAGCTTGGTTTTTAAGCTTTTTGAATAAATTTTACATTACATTAAAAAAAAAAAGGAAAATAGTATTTCTCTTCTTTTTATAGTTTTTAAGTGAGGATAATGAGGAGATAATTGGTTGTTGTGACGCGTCGGGGTGAGGTGAGGGGAAGAAAGAAGATGAAGTAACAGAAGATGATCAAAATTGTCTGAGAGATGAAATTTTTGTATGTCAGTCATTGACATTCTACTTCTTCGTTGGTCTTGATTGTTCTTGCACTCTTCCCCTTGATCTTCAACTCTTTTGTCGCAACATTCTTTGTTCTCCCTATCCTCATCTCAAAACGAAGTGCCACGGAGTTGTGGTCGATCTTGATCCTCCTTTTCTTCAAGAAAAACGTTGCCTATGTTTCCTTTCAAAGTTAGGTGCCTGATAGAAACCGGAATTGGAGATTGGAGACTCAGGTTGACAACAAAGGTAAGAGGAACTGAATCATATACACATGTACGGACCGAGTATGGAAAAACGTACGTTCTGAGTAATCTTTATCCACTGCTATTCGCACATATTATTTTTCCAAACATGAACTATGAAACATAGTTCGATTACACCAAAAACATTTGAATTTGTTTGGTATATATAAGTCACAAGACATGCAAGATTGCAAGTGTAGAAGAAGGCAAGAGATAAAAACTTAAAAGATGAGCGGAGAGAAAGATATATAAATACGTATAGTTGTGATTATGTGTATGTACATGCATATATAAGGAGAGCGTTAAAGTCCTTAAATAATAAATATGCATATTCTTCATAATTTGTTAGAATCGTATAATCTTTTTACACTTTTAAGCATCTAGAATTATAAATTCGAATTTTGGGGATCTAGAGCATCTTCTCTTCAAACAAAAACATTTCAAGTTAAGCTGACTATTGAATAATCCAAATCATCTCTTCTTCTTTTTTTCTTTCATTTATAACAAATATTTATTTTTAATAGTCGTAAGAGTGAGGACACAGAAAAAAAGAAAAATAAAAGATAGGAATCATGTGAAACACACGTGTATCATACCTCTCTATCTTTCAGAGCTCACAAGCCAAGCCGCTCTTCATGATTATCTACCGCATTTCGTGAGTTTAATAAAATAATACGCTTCTCCTCTTATGTTTCTATGATTTCAAAATTGAATTATTCAAAAGTGAAAGAAGAGATTCGAAATTAGAGAGATCAGTCTATGTGTGTGACTCTCAGTGTATATGTTAATAGGAGTGCATTTGTACGACTTAAAGATGATGGCAGCTCCACTTGGTTATTTCTTGTAACAAAATTTCCGTTTTGTCACAATTTCCATAATTTTACATGTAAAAATTATCATATCTGTTAAAGAAATTTCATTATCGAATCTACAAGACTACAACGACAACACATTCTGAATATTGTTACTTGTTGAGTCTCCAATAAACAACAAAAAATCTCAACTAGGAAATCGATCAAGAGCAACAAGGTCTTTTGTCCAACAAACAAAAAGACAAAAAAAGAAGAAACTAATGTTCAAGTAAAGAACAAACTAAACACTTAATGTTCAAGTAAAGAACAAACTAAACCCAAGGACTCTGAAGCAAGTGAGGTAAGTGAAGACAGAGACTAGAAAATTGAGAACATGGTCCATATCCGTGTAGTTATCACTGTCTGTTTCAGGTTCCATAACAGTGTTGGAAAAAACTCTATGTGGATCTGCAAATGTTACTGTGTTCTGATCTTCCTGGGCCACAATCACAGGGTCATATGGAAAACTCTGTTCTTGTCTATTTTCTTCAATCTTTGTCCTTTCAGAGATCTTAGTTTTACTGCAATCTTCTTTGAGTATATTTTTGGCTTTGATATTCTGTATCGTTATGGTTCACTCATGGTTTCGGTCTTAATTATCACAATGAGAATCATTGAAACATATTTTCTATGTGATAAGGGAAATAAAAAAAGGTCAGAAACATTTTTTCTTGTGTGACAAGTAACTCACACCGTAATGAAAGAAAATTCCATTTATCAAAAGCTATTTAAATTTCAGAAAGAAAAATCTGACAATTTTGGAGGATAAGCAAGAAAATATTATAAAAATAATTTGTGATATATATTTAGATCATTTAGTTTTGTAGAAGAAATATGATTAACTAAATATTACTATAGTGTGAATGAAAAGAAAAAGATAGAATAAAGCACATAATCTAAATTCAGTTTCTGTCCACGTCTCTCTGATCTGTTGTATAGTTCGACCAACCACCTGAATGGCCATCTTCCTATTATCTCCAATTAGATGACATTTTCAGATTGTCTTTTGGCTTTTTGGGTCATTGGGCTACTTGCCCCTAAAACATTTTTAGACTTATTAACATATCGTTTGGGTATCAAAATCCCCAAGGACAAGGATATGTACTCAATTTTACCGAAATCCTTTGGAAAGTAATGCAAACAAAAACAAAAACTTATCTAACATTTTTGCGGTAGTACAAATTCATATAATGTGACTTCTAAATGTGAGACAGCACAGAAAATTGCATCTATGATGTTCCTAGAAAGAAAACTATGTCGATGAATGAAATGTAAATCATAAATTTATGCCAAAAAAAAAAACATCTGAAGAAGCTACTCCACCGTACAGTAAAGTTTAATTAATTTTTCCAATAAATTAATAGTTCACCGTACAGTACTTGGTTTTCATGCATTTTTAAAGTAAACTAAGATCGATTCCAAATTCCAACATTTACCATTTTAAAATAATCTAATTATAGAAATAGGATACTAATTATGTCTTGATGATTGGATACCATATCCAACACAAAAGGAAAATAATGATTAAAAGCTAAAAAATAAAAACATAAAGACATCTGAAATGTATAAAATGGAACCAAACATAAACTTTAGTTTACAATAAGGCACCAACATACACTAATGAAAAGTGTCTTTTATCGAAATCATGAGTAAAGAAGAGAATATAATAAAATCATTACATGGTGGTATTTGCATGAATAAAGCTAAATATCTGTTGGATGGAACTTGCGATGTCTTCAGCCGTAAACCTCGTCTCACTTGTAATCTGCACATATTTACATCTACCTCATGTTAGCCTTTACTACATAAACTTTATGACATTACAGTTCATACTAATTCATAATTCATGGTTCTTTGCATCTCCTTTATGATCTTCTCTTTTGTGTGTCGCGGGAAACAAAATCTGTAAAGCTCTTTTCTTTTAAATCTTGTACTGCCCTAAATTTTATTAATAAAAATAGAAATTATACCATAATCATAAATATGCTTATAGTAAAAACGCTATATAACATATGTAGGTATTTATATATGTAAGCAATGTATGCAGTCAAGAAATATATTATATATACATATAAAATGCCTATGATTATGAAGTAAGCATGAGAAACTTGCCTTGACATTGAAGGAGTAGAGGACGGTTTGTTCCATGGTAGTGATGTTGGTGTGGAGAATCGAGAGGTGAAGGTCCTCCAACGCAGCTATGGTCTTAATCAGTTGTCCTGGCCTTCTTCTTGAAAGTATCTTGATCATGGCGTCAAACCCTAGCAGCTTCACCTCCACATCAGCCAAGCAGGACTTGTTCTCCGCAGTCTCCTCCCGAAACCCTCCTCCTCCGCTCTCTAAATCGGTTACATTCCCCGTGATAATCAGCGGGTTAGTAACCGAAGTTATGGGGGAAGAAGAAGAAGTTGTTGTCGTGGTCATGTCCCCGACTTGCCTAGAACCGGTTTCTCCTAGGATTCTTCGACGCTTTTGTGATTCCAGACACTGTAGGAGTTGCTCCAGCTCTCTCACAAACTCTATTGCTCCTCCTATGATCGACGCTTGGTCTCCCTATTATATATATTTTTATTTTAGTATGGTTTGAGACGATCTTAGTTATATATACATATAAACACTCACTAAAAGAAAATTTTATGTAGGATATAATTTGATTTTTATGAGTATCATACCCTTTGAACGTAGGAGCCAGGCATGAGAGACCTGAGGACACGAAGATGCTCGTTCATTTGCTTTCTACGGTTCCTCTCAACAGCGATGTGAGTCATTCGCTGGCTTTCCACTTCTTCGCTGGTTTTGCTCGTTCTAGCTCTCTTCCTCTTGCTTTTGACCTCCTTCGTCGTAACATTCTTGTTCTCTCTATCTTCTTCTTCTTCGCCTCCAATGAAACGGAGTTGCACGGAGTTGTTGTCATTGTCGTCGTGATCTTGATCCTCCTTTTCTTCAAGAAACACGTTTCCTTCACAATCACCTCCTTCTTGAGACATGAGATGTTGGGTTTGGTTATGGTCCTCTATCTTGTCGTTCAAGACTGGGAACTTCAAGAAATAAACCGGGTCGATTCCGGTTTCTTGTTCCTCTTGGTTCCTGGTCTGGTTCAACGCCAGCTTCGGACCGAAGTCCGCAAACTGCATCACGTCCGCAAAGCTCATTTTATCAAAAGAAGGCGTTGCTCCAAACCCGGAAGGAGACAGTTGATGCTGCGATTGCTTTTGCTGTTGAAGGTTTCTGTTGAACATATAGTCTATCATACCGGAGCTGTTATCGTCGTTACCGCCTGAGGATTCGCCTAAGAAGTTCGGTGCCTGAGAGAAACCGGATAAGAGAATCAAGTAAAAGAAATGAATCATTTATTTATAACTTCATACAGAAGAAACAAATTAATGATCGAAATATGGGAAACATACGTACCGAGTAATCTTTATCCATCGCTTGAAAACGTTGAAGACTAATCAAGGGTTCGCTTCTTTACGCCAATATAACCTGATGAAGAACAATCCACGAGCTTCACAGTCAGTTAAAGAAAAAGAAAAAAAACACGTAACACAAATTAATACCAACCCTAGGCAAAAAAATACAAAAACATGTTCCACCATATCCATGTACATGTATGTTTATGCAAAATATTTTTTCAAGCTTGATTATGAAAAGTAATAAAGTGATAAATACGAAACACATTAGAAATGATTTAGTATGGGGTTTTGATTAAATAGAAAGAGACTGACCTTGTATGAAATACTAGGGTTTACGAGACGCAAGACATGCAAGAGTAGCAGAAGATGAATAAAGAGAAATATATAAAAATTGAGATGTCCCAAATGAGCAACCACCGCCAAGCTCCCACCTATATATATACACCCACACACGTACATATACATAATACATCTATACGTAGCGAGAGACATACATATATGTGTGCATAAGGTATAGCAAGTGGCTTTAAAGTTCTTAGTTATGTATGTTCTTAATAATTTGTTTGTATGAGAGGAACTAAGGAAGAACATTTTTTTATTTAACAAACAAAAATAAACTAAGGAAATCACTATATTGTATATATTTAATATTCACAATATTTTGAAATTATTGTCGTCCATTAGATTTATAAATATCTATTCTAATATTGTAATTTAAATTCGTCTATTTTTAAAGATAGGACACATTATTACATTGCCTCTTTCCCCCTAAGTACCTAACTAACTACTTATCAACTACATCCATTGAAGTACTAAGGAATAAAATTAAATGGGATTCGATTTTGAATTGGAGACGTATAGAACGTTTTCAAATGATTTATTTTTGATAGTCAAATTTGAATTGGGGATCTAGAGAACCTCCTTAGCTCTTAAAATAAAACTCAAGTGTGATCGAATTAATAACCGAGATTGAGTCAAATGAAAAGATTGTTGAATTTTCCAAATCATATCTTGTTTGTGTAATAAATAATGCTTTTCTTTTTAGCAAACGTAAGAGCGAGAGGAGCCAAAAAATAAAGAAAAAGGAGTAATGAGAGACACACGTGTATCACCTTTCTCTATCTTTGGAACCATTAAAGAGTAGATGAGTTTCAGAGTTCACAAGCCAAACCGCTCTTCTTTTTCTACCGCTTTTCGTGAACTTAATCAAATCTCCCTACGCTTCTTCTCTTTTATTATTCTTATCATTTCAAGGTTAATTACTCCTATACACTATGTGTTGTTGTCAAAATTTCTTTTAACAAAAATAAAGTATATGGATATTTTTTTCACGAAAATGACCTATGCTATTTGTGTGTGTATGTGGAAACATGTGAATTTTTATTTTTTTTGTAGTCAGACATGTGAATTTTAATAAGGACAAGGTTGTTGTAAAAAAATATTGAAACGTGTAAAGTTGGTATAATTTTTCTGAAGGTTCTCACTGGTAAATTATTTTAACGGAAACTAAGTACTTTTTTAACAACTTCTTTTGTTGCTGATAATAATAATATCAGCTTGTAGACGTTTTTTGTTGTTGATAAAATCAGCTTGTAGACGTTTTGTTTGGACAGTTTTTAAAAATTATTGAAACTAAACCATAATACAAACAAATTAAAGGTGAAGCTAGAGCACAAACTGAGACAGAGAAACGATTTTTCTTCATGAAAGCGATTTGAGAAAATTTTGTTTTTATTCTTATAAATTGTATCTAACATTAATTAGTAAAATATTATCTGTTGTTATATGTCATCCCCTATAACCGGTTCACGTTTTTTATTTTTTACTTTATTGTTATTTTTGTTTTCTAATCCTTTGAGTCTTTTTTTTTTCTGTTCTTTTCTTGAACTTTCTTTATTGTATATGCTTTATGGGCTTTCAGTATTACAGTTCCAAATTTGTACATCCCTATAAGTATATAACACACTATTAGAAAACTAGAATAACATAGATATATATATATATATATACTTTTGTATGTTTAATAAAACTTTAGACTATAATGTAAGCCACGGGTGGAGCCAGTAAAGGAGCAAGAGTATGATTTAGTTTGTGTAATTTTCTTATTATTTTTTTATAAAATTTTGTAATATAATATAACATTTTTATTAATTGATATCGGTTGTAATATTTCTTCAATGTATATTTCATAGTTATTAATAATTTCTTTATGATTAATATTAAGGACTATAATGTAAAACAGAAACACTTTTAAAGTTGAATTTGTAGTTTTCTCATTGAAGAGAAAATCCCTAAAACTTCAGAAATGATATTATGCAAACTTCAAAAATGATGGATTAGAGATGTTCTAGTACACTCAAATACCTGAGTTCAAGAATGAACCATGGACAACAACTATTTTAAGGAAAAACAAGAATAATCTTCCCCTATGCCACTCCCTAGTCTCTACATTATCTATTCCGAAGTTTCACCGATTAATAACTATTTTAAGGAAAAACAAAACTTAAAAATAATCTCAAAAATTGTTTAAACATAGTTTTATATATAACTTAAAAAATATATGGCTTTATTTTTTCTACTTGATAATTATGATTAAATATCAAACTGTTTTCAAAACTATTATAAGCTTTAGCTTTATGAAGACTTTTAATAAATAATCTTGTTTTAAATGATTAAGGGACCTTTTCTAAATTTCTCTTGAGGTTTCGTATTGAGCCACGCAATAAACATTGCCACCGACATTTTTTACCGCGCATAATGTTTCTTTTGCTTTTAAAATGGCTGTAAAAATGTTAAACAAACTAGAGATATCAATTTGTTGTAGACAAAAAAAAAGTCACTCTTTTATTTCCTTTTATTTTTTCTTCATTGCGACTTTTTCTGTCAACTTTCCTCCTTTTTTTTCCTTTGTTACTTTTACTTTCCTTCTTTTATTCTTTATGTATAACATACAGATAGATAATTCTATTATACTATCTGATAGCCAAAAGCGGAACTAAATAAGTAAATAGACTGATTACCTGATATAAAACATAAATAATCAAAAACAAAATTTATCTAAAGAAAAATGATACTACTCTACCTATATTCACTGAAATATATGGAAAAAAGAAATTTATTGATCCGTGGTCCAAGAGTTTCAATCTGGTGACCTTAAAAAAATAAGATAAAGGTCCAGCATAAGTTACTTGTTTTCCAAGATCCTCTTAATAATTATATCTATATAAATTATGATCGCCAACTCATATTAGACCGTATTTCTAGTAATAATAACAAGTAATAAGAGTCAATATAATAAAATTAGACTGAGTTTTACTAGAGTCATTTTTTCATACAATTGGGCCGGGCTTGAGATAGTCCATTAAATTATCCTAGTTAATATGGTACATATTATTTAAAACTTTATGAGTTTTTAGAAAAAAATGAGTGAACAAAAAATCCAGATTCATTCTTACACCAAAGAATAAGGGAGAAACATGAAAATCCGATAACAAAAACAAATTAAAAAACATAAGATTTGATTGCGATAGGTGTCACGGTAATCTTACGGTGAGATGAGTACGTAGGATCCCTATAAAAATCATGCATTTTTGTACGCTTCTTTTGTAGTTTCTTTTGGAGTTTATTCATTTATTGATTTTGTCAACGGAGTTTACAACTATAGATAAGCTCCTCTTAATTTATTGTATGTTCACGAATCACGAGTGGCAATGCTATTTACAAATGATAGATTTCGGTTTTTATATATTTACTGTAGAAAAATTAAATCTCTGGTTGTCTCCAAAAGCAAATAAAAATAAAACTCTTTATAAGAACTGGTGTGAATGTTTTACATCAGCCAAAATTTACAAGTGATTTAATGAAGCTAAAGTAATTGATCAATCATCTTTCTACGACGCACCTTAAGAAAATTATCCAATTCTAGTGATTGGGCCAATCCTAAACCGATCACAAAAATCGTACATAACGAGGCATTGAACCTGTGGAGAGAAAACAAAAATCAAAGAAAAATTCCAAGGCAAATTGATTGCAGAGGGATTGCTTTACTTCACAGCTGGAATCACTCACTGCTCGTCGAGAGATTCTTGATTAGACGAGCTTCTCTTTTGGTTCTTGTTCTTTGCTTTATTTACTTTTATCAAAGGCTTTCATTTTGTGTTGCAAAACTCTCTATCCATTTCATTCAAGTTATATTAATCGAAAACTGTTTACTCAACAAAAATTGGACAAGTTAATTCTAAAAATGAATCGCATGCAATGACAAGAAATGGTGTTTTCTTCCCTGAACGGTTTAATTCAACACGGATGACGTATTTAAAATAGTTTTTGATATCCAATAATAAAAATACATAATTAATACTTCAACCAAAGAAAAATTAACTCTCTAACAATGGATACCGCAAAAATGACAGGAATTAACAGTAAAATGACAATGTGATTATATATATATATATAACGGTAAATAAAATTGGATATGGTAAAAATGTTAGGGATATTTAAACACATGATTTTCTTTCTAAAGTCATTTAATCTATATATTCATATAAAGTTATATAAATCATCGTACGTACGTTCATTGAAACTATCATACATAAGAACTACAATACCATGCGATTAGCTAAACCCACTATAACAATATATTATAAATTGTTTGTAGATACGTAAATCAATATTTTCTAAAAGTTAACCCATGCAATTTGATAACTCCACCATCTGACTTGACAGCACAATGAAAAAGTAATTCCAAAATCTCACATTTCTCAATCTATTATGACAAGATTTGACAATACAATGACAAAGTGATCTCAAGATTCTCACTTTTTTCAATACAAAGACATACAAACTTCCAATATTCCCAAGCTTCTCAATTATCATTTCTATAAATACCATTAGAACTCCATGTTTTTGGTTTCCCAATTTATGTTTTGAACTGTAATTTCAGTTATATCGTAAAGATTCAATTTAGATAAATTTTTCTTCACTTATTTGATTTCTCTATCTCCCCATTTCTTTTGATATTTCCTTTGATTCTGATGATCATGTATAGATGGGCTGGTTGTTAGCCTTGTTCTAGGGATTTTGAGTGTGAATTCTCTTGGATCTATTAATGAATTTCAAGATTTTCGTAACATGCTATTCTTATAAGATACTTTCTTTTGAAATAATTAAGTACTTTATATGTTACATATGAGATTTAGAGATTCCAGGTGTTGGGTGTTCCTAGTTTGGGCTTAGTCTTCTTGTCTCTAACGAGAGCTAGGACTTGGTGTAAATTGGTACGATGAATTTTGCATTAGAACTTTGGGCTTGTGGCTTTCTTATCCATTCTCTTCATTGGCCACCTAAAACATGTTTTAGTACTCTAATGAACTCATGAATGATACTTCGGCTTCTTTATAAGGTTGGTGAAGTCTCTTGGTGTTGTTAGATGATTTAGGCATAATTCTTGGCTTGAGAGTAATAAATGCATGCATGATTTGTTGACTGTTGCAATGCATAGTCACATGTATTTGCATTTAGAGTCTAAGATCAATGATTAGAGGGTGTATAGCCAATCAAGAGATTAAGGGATGGATGATGAGTTTTTCTAAGAACATTGTTCCTCGATTATTAGGACTTAACCTAGTTTACGACGAATCCGGGCCTCAGTAGATGCATGTCAAGCATAGGATTCGAGTTCTTATTTTTTGTGTTTAATTAATTTTCAGTGACAATCTCCTAAGAAAATATTTGTTAGCTAGTGATAACAGTCTACAACATACAACAACAAAACATCAGTCAGAGGGATTCAGAACCTGACACAATTAATTATTTTCCTGATTTTTTTTCATTAAATAAATAGTTGGTGGTTAAAATTCTTTTTGTTTGAAACCCATAATTGTCATGATGGTTTAATAATAGTTTACCTTAGAAACCACACCACCATACTCACCATTCTCTAGGTTTGGTTTAGCTCGATGTATTTATTGATCGAATCTAATGTTAAATACTTATTTTTGTAGAATCGTGTAACCAATGTAAATAATTGTAAATTTAGACTTCAGAACTGGACTAGTTTCTTACTTTCTTTGATGAGAAACCCGAATACATCACTAAGCATAGAAGCTCACTACCATATTTGTAAATGGAATGCCGTACCACTTGCTGTTATCTCCCCCATTACTTTTGATGTTTACTTCGATTTTCATGTATATTTCGGCTGCTTATTATCCCTTTTCCAAGGATTTTGAGTGTAAACTCTCTTGGATCTATTAAGGGATTTCATTATTTACGCTCAATTATTTTCTTCTAAGATATTTTCTGTGAAATAAGTTCACATATATGTTATAAATAAGATTTAGAGACTCATGGTGTTGGGTGTTGCTAGTTTGGGCTTAACCTTGTCTCTACTAAGAGTTGGGACTTGGTGTAAATTGGTACTATGAACTGGTTTTAAAACTTATGGTTTCCTTATTCATTCTCTTAACTGATCACCTAACACATGTCTTTGTACTCTCTAATGAACTCATGCATTTACTTATGTTTCTTAGTATGGTTTGTGAAGTCTCTTGGTGTGCTTTGATTTTTTTTTGGTCGTGTCTTGCAGTCTTGGTGTGCTTTGATGATTCAACGATCATAATGCTTTGCTTGAGACATATGGATATGCATTTAGACTCTACGACCAGTATGATTAGAGGGCGTGAAGCCAATCAAAAGATTTAAAAAAGAAAAAAGAAAAGAAAATCAAAGTCAAAAGATTAACAGTCTACAACAAAGTGCATTAGACAGAAGGAATCAGAAGCTGACATGAATTCTCTTTTTCTTTTCTTTATTTTTCTTCTTTTAAAATAAAAATAAATATTTAGTGGATATAAGTCTTTTTTTGGTTGAAACCCACAATTGTCATGATGGTTTAACACTAGTTTACTTTTGAGGCTTCGACGCCTTTCGACCACCACACTCACCATTAGGTAGGTTAAACATAATGTATTTATTCTTGTAATGTTAAATAATTCTAGCCTTTTGTTAAAGAAAAATGTTAAATAATTCTTTTTGTGGAAACGACTCCTACATAATGTGAAACATTAAGTTTACTCGGTTTATAATGGTTAAAAAACGTTTGATATCTTATAATGCTTATGAATTGTTAGAGAAACTAAAAATAAAATAAACCCACAACAAATATTCAAATTGTAACAAAACTGAATCATTAGGAATTATACCATTAAAAACATAGTTGATAAAACCAAAATATGTTATATGCAAGTTAAGAGTTCAAACAATGGAAAAGGTTACTTCAACATGTAAAATGGAAAAGTGCTTTAAGAAATTGAACCTAGTATAAAGCATGAACACACGTACTGTATTTTAAATGTGCATTAAAGAGATTGCACTAAACTAACAAAAAGCTAAAGTGGTCAAAAGATTTTCATCCACAGTGATGTTAACAGAGGAATCACAGATTTCTTCTTGGTCCGATGCAAAGCAGAATAATCGATCTCATAATAACATTTAACCAATAAACCTGATGATTTTACAAAGATCCGAGATGAAACCTAAAACAAATCCTAAAGAGAGTCTCCACAAAACGTTTTGTGCTTTTTAACTCTGGAATCTGAATTCTGACCTTCGTAATTTGAAAACCAATCAAACATACCATTCTTCTTCTTCACCTCAGAGAACAAACACAACTCTTCTTGGTTTCTTCCACTGTAAGCCCGACTCGACCCAACTTCTATTCTTGTAGAGTGTGGTGGTTCTGAAGATATACCGAGCCTCAAGGATAAATCACAGAGCGCTTCTTCTGGAGCCTTTATACCAATAGGCATGCCAACGATTATAGGCGCTTCGGGGACTCTAAAAGACATGTCCACTTGCTGAGTCTGATTATTATTATTACCTCCGTAATACAGAGAATAGACTGAGCCCAAGTTGATTGGACCTGGACCTGGACCTTGAGCTTGAGCTTGAGCTTGAGCTGGAGCAGTGCTTGTCCCTTGCTTTCTTGCCAATGGCTTTTGATGCATCTGCATAGATTCATGTAGAAATGGGTAACCGCGAGGCCCAGCAGCAGGTACGTGCTTGTTGCTGTTGTTATCAAGAACATCCACTGGGATCGCAGCTTGAGAGGTAAGGCTTGGTTTGGTGGATTTTTGAGCCTGATGATGATATTCATGATGGTATGGCGGCTCATTACTCTGCGGCGCAGGGACCTGTTCCTGAATTTTTGGACCTAGATAAGTCCTTATGTTGCTATGTCTTTGGCTTCTTGATGCTCTCACAGCAATGCATCCAAGGTTAAGAGCAGCTGACCATAGCCAAAAGAAAACACATTTTAAACACACAAATTACACAATACACAGTACAAAAGCACACAGCTGAACAAGTTGGTTTGAATCTTACCCTCATTGAAACAAGTTTACTAATTTCTAAGCAGCTTCCATAACAAAGAAAAATGTACTTTATGAAACAGTCAAAGAGCAAATACCTTCAACACAAGGAGGCAAAAGAGGGCCAGTTTCAGTGCTCTCATCTCTCCTAATGATTGTATCAATCGCATCGTTTACCCTATTCCACATTGTATCAGCATCTGTATACTCTTCCTAATGGAATTCGAAATCCAAAGTCAAGATTCAGGAACAAAGCAAAAGGTTTTTTGAGAAGCTAAAGAGAGCAAAAAAAACTTGTTTAGAAGAACCTCGGAATTGGCTTTAGAGTACATGATTTCCTCTGCTTTTAAGACAACTACAGGCAATTTCTCCTGCCACTCCTTGTTCTTCCTCGTCGCTGCACTGTGTGCTTCCATGGCGAGCCTAAATCCAACCACAAACCCTCCCCAAATTAAGTAACAAATTAGGAAAAATTAAAACCCTAAGAGTGAGTGAGAAAGGTGAGTGGAACCTGAAAATCTGGCGGATAATGGAACCTCTAATAGGTTGATGACGATCGCTATGCCAAGCTCGTTTCACACACTCGTAAGGTCTAGGTCCAGGCCGAGGCATTTTCTTCTTTCACCTTTCTAAAAAAAAACTCCGATATGCTTCCTCAGCAACTAGTCGCTAAACAGTGACACTCAGCTGCGATTTGGTGAACCAACGAGTCAATCATCCGATTTTCCGGCCGAGCTTCAAGTCGGCGTGAGAGTCGTACAAATGGTGTTTAGCAGCTTAAAATCCTCCGTTTAACCGATCCAACGACTACGAAGAGGGAAAATTGAAAATAGATCTGAAGCTTTGAAGCTCTGAAGTACTAGGAGAAGCTCATGGCGTCACATCACCATCGTCGGGGAATCTCCGTTGTTTATCACGTCTCCATCGTCGCCGTCGCTCTGGAAATGGTGTGTTGTGATTTTATGATTCCGGGACCAGTTTTCTCTCAAAACGAACCAGTTTTGTGATTTGACTATTATACCCCTGTTGTTCTTTAACTGTCGTTTTTTTTGCTAAACCAGTCGTAAGCCGGAAATTAAATTTAAACATACCATAAGAAAACAAAAACTAAACCGGAGAAACGACATCGTTTTTACCATTGGTGTTTGTTGTCTACCACTTCGATTAAACGAAATCTGGCTGTGTCTCTCCTCCATTAAACATCTCGCCAGATAAAACACCGATCTATCTCTCTCTCTCTCTCTGCGCGTCGACTCTCGTTGTAAAGATGAAAGCTTTCTACGTATTCGTCGTTTCTCTGCTTCTCACCCTTAATTCTAGGGTCCGTTTTTCTTCCTTCCTCTTCTTGGTTTAACGCAATTGTGTATGACGACTTATGTGGATCTGACTTTTATTGAATTTGATCGATGTTTGTGATTAGGGAGAAGCAAGTGGTTCTGTTTTCTTCATAGATGGATCCAACAACCAATATCTTCGTCCTCGATCATCCAACGAGGTAATGGTTGTGTTATTACTTGCCTTTAGATTTTGTTCCGTCTCAAATAATCTGATGAACGATTTGGAAAGCTCAGACTTTTATGCAATTTTGCAATTTCAATCTAAGATCGTCGCTGGAAATGATAAAGGCTTATCCTTTTGACATTGGTTTTCGTCAGCAAATCTGTTCTCTCGTTTTTGGGCGTAGATCAAGTCAATGTAGTAAGCGGAGAAACGATTTCTTTGTAATAATACAATAAGATCCATTTGTTTGGTCTAAGTGTCACCAATTTGGAGATCACCGGAAAAAAATTACAAATTTATTTGACTAGTATGCAAGTCTGTGACTTAATTGTTCCTTTTTGTATGATTTTTTATCTACTTTGAGTGTTTGGGGTCAAAGCTAGTGTTTGGATTTTCGTTTGTGGCAGACTGTTTCTTATGTCTTTCTTTGAATTGAAATTCCACAGGCACTTCCCATGTCACTCTCTGAAATATCTGCAACAGTGTCTGCATTGTTGGGTTTTGCACCTCCATCAACTTTGACAGCTGATGGCTCATCCAAGGTTATTGCCTGTTCTAGTAAAGTTTTATTCTTTTTGTTTGGGTTAAAGTCCTGCACTTCTCATCATTTTGTTTTGCATTTTGTTATAGCTGAACAAGATTCTAAAGCCTAATCCATTTGAGAGGCCTCATGCTGCTTTTGTGCTAGAAATCGCTGGAGCTGATGGTATGTGAATAATACACCGGGAAGCTTTAGTTTTCTGATATAGAACCACACAAAAATTGAATTGAAAAACATCCGTTTTCCTTTTCTTTTTTACTTGCAGCTACGCTTGTGGAAAGTCATTCTTACTTGGGCAATGCCATAAAGGGCAGTATTAATTCTGATTCTCACAGAGCAGATATTGAACTTCCAGGTAACCTTGAATAGCATGACTAGTTTCCAATTTTCGTCTTATGGGTTTAAGTCTTGGTTTGAATCTGTTATGTAAATCTTTTCAAAATTTTGCAGAAAGTGAAGTGGTTGTTGTGTCTGTCAATGAACGTTCATCTGATGTGACTGACAAAGACATGAATGAGTTTGTAAGTCAACAGTATCTGTCATTCTAAGTGCAAACACTATTATTTGCCTGGTTCATTTTAATGTGACCACTAGTTAATGGTGTGGGTTATATTATCCGTAGGCATCTTGGTTGGGTGGATCATATGTTGCCGGCTCTGCCGAACCATTGACTGGATTGTTGAGTATCCCTCTGGCTGGTGGTGCTAATGTGGAGTTCCATTTGGCAAAGGTGATCTTCTTGTTTCTATGAAGTTGAATGATTTACATGGACGAGGTTCTTGCATTGCTTGTGGATATTGTGATTTCCGTTTGAAAAAGGCGTTTGACTTTTATGACGATGGGCAGGAAGCAGAGAGGAAATTTGCATTGAACCTTTTGGATCTATATCAGAATATCAGACGAGCAGTCGGCCTTCACGAGGATTCATCTCATGCTCAATTAACAGCTGGACGCTTTAGTGGTATAGATGTAAGGGCATTCATTTGTCATTTGTTCTGTAATTTTTGTGTGTTTCTTTTCTTGTCTTTTCTTGATATATAGATTGGAGAATAGTTCAATCCATAAGTGCATCTCCTTTAATATCTTAAAAAACTGATTACATTGGTTAAGCACACATTTTGGCTACTCATGCTTTTAGTTGTTTTAGGAATAATAGATAATTCGAAGCTGAAGGAATCATATGATTTGATTTCAGGGAAGGGAAATTGTTTTGAGTTGATTGTAGTCGCTTTAGCTATCTTTCTCATAGTTTGTATTCTACTTATCTTTTGTAATTTTTGCAAAGCTTATCAACGTGTCTAATACAGTTGACTCTCTCTGGAAATTACAGGCTTTAGCAAAGGAAAATGGACAAGTTATGGCTAAGCAAGGGATGAGTGTATTGCTTGCCACAGTATCAAAGCTATTCGATCTGTTGGAGACATCTCACAAAGGTGAATTGTCTATTTACTTAATCCTCTTGAACGCTTTTCTTTGTCTCTACTATTTATATTTTAGCTGAGACATGTTTTCGCTGTTGCAGGGCAAATTGTTGGGGTGATCGTTCTCGATGAGAGAGCAAACCAAGAATCAGCTAATTTGCTGAACGTCGAGTCTTCTTCTCGCTCCGCTGCACGGTCGATGGCTGAGGTAGAGGGAATTCCAAGCCCAATCATTATCGCTCAGATTATACTTGTTAGGCTGACGCTTGCATGGTTGACTGGAATCATCCTTCTCATTGCAACTCTCCTTGGGGTAAGATATCACATAACTCCTCATCTTCTCTTCTATCTATTTGAACTACCGAGCAGATTCCCCACCCAATCTAGTGTTGAATCTTACCACTTTAAGTACCCTGTCAAAGCATTGTCATAGTTTGTATAGCTGAATATTGGATGTTGACATTCTTGCTTGTGATGATGGTTGCAGGTGTACTTCCTCATGTACATGCCTTTGACAAAAGACACACTTCTATATTCCAACGTGAAGCTCGACTAAGACATGAAACAGAGCTTCCAAAACGAAGAGCGGACACACCGATGAATCTCCTGGTGGTGGTTGTTCGTTTTACATCTTTTTGTGTGTATCAAGGCGTGTTTCTCTCAACTGGCCGCGTTTGAAAACCAGTCTCATTTGAATGTTTAAAGAGAAAGGATGACACTTTTTGTGGTCAAGCCAGTGGATGTGTTATTGTGTATATTTGCCATAAGGTTGCATTCTCTCGATTTTTATAATTATTTTCTTTCTTACATACAATTCGAGTCTCAGTCCTATTAATAAAAGAACAACACTTCGGAAACTTCACTTCATGTAATCTTCTTACGTTTCCTGCAAGAGCTTATGATCATGGAATCTGAGTGGATTATAACTACTTCCTTTCTGTTTGAACATAATTTATCTTGTGTTATGACTTTGTTAAGCTCCTGATCAACAGTTTAAAACAATGAAACCAAAACCTTAAAATCAGGCGTCTTAAAGTAACCAACAAAAACTCTAGAATCCACTAAGAGCGACAAAATCATAATAATTGTTCATAATAATCCACTCGGAAAGTAAATGATGACTTTCCTCCCAACTTGGTCCATGTGATAACGCGTGTCCTCTTCAATCTGCTCTTACTATTTAACATGAAAATCGTCACTTTTTTAACTGCATTCATTCTTCTTGTGCATTTGATACATGCTTCAGCTTCGAGAAAACTCGACGTCAAACTATAAAAAAATATAAGATTTGAGCACTTGATAGAGCATTCATTACAAAGCTCTAAACAATCAACGTCTTGATCTTTCCAAAGACAACGCCATCGTTTTGACAAAACACTCGTCGCCACAGCTTCTTTTGTCGGAAGCCACGACAAAACATTCACCAATACATCGTTAGGCAAGTCGCTGATATTTCTCATACCGAATATTGTTCACTGAAACATCCAAACAAACGTTTTAGTTACGGTTCAATATAGGGATCAACTAGATGGAAAAGAAAAACAAAACCATATAATCAAATCGAGTTTCGTGTTCACAAATACCAAAGCCAAACCTTCCTTCCAAGAAAAAAAAAACCTAATTCGCAGACACTTGAGTTTTTTTCTTTTTTTCTTTTTTTTTAATTGTTTCTGTTTGGTGAGCTATCAAATACATATAGCTATTGATTTTACTAATTATATGGTTTTTAACATAGTTTATGGGCTATTTCATTAACTCGAGACAATGGGTAATTGGGGAATCGAGACAAAACTTACCAAACCAATTTAACTACATGATATGAAGAGGCTTTCTTCAAAGATGATGCTGGCAAATTGGTGATAAAGTTCCACTAGCAATAAGAGAAGAAGACATTGTGCGTTGAGTGTTTCTCATAGTTTAGTAAGGATGAAGAGAACACACACAAACAAAATTACAAATCTTTTATTGGGACATGAGTATGAGGAAACTCATGTTTGTCTGTCTGACTCTCTGATCAAACTAAGTATACCGAGTTTTTTTCCTGCAATTGTCTTTCTTTTTTTCAGATTTTCGCGGTTCATGGGTTCGTCTTAGGTTTTGGTTTGTAGGCAATGCGTCTGGTCACAGTGCGCATTGTCACGAACTCCTCTGCAGAAGACGGATGTATCCCGACCTGCGTTTTGTTCAACAAAGATTTAAATTAAATCTCTAAGTTAGAGCAAACATCAAACCAAAGTGTTTGGGATTTGTGTGACTTACAGTGCTGTCAAATTGTGCTTTGGTTGCCCCACACTTGAGCGCAATTGCGATCCCCTGCATGATCTCAGCTGCATCTGGACCACACATGGATGCTCCAATAACCTTATCACTCTGCTCATCAACTATTAGCTTCATCAATGTCTTCTCCTGCCGTCTATCACCAAAAGATAAAATTTGTGGTTAGATCAACGCGGAGGTTAAAAGTCATCAAAGAGTGATCATGTGCAAGATTGTTGAAAAGCCAAGCCAAGAACTGTGTCGACATTTATATGTACTAGAAATTTGAATGCTTGCATACCCAGAAATGGTGTTCTTCATTGGATTAAAGCCTGAGGTGAAAACCAGAATATCCCCGGTTGCTTTTTCTACTGCCTCTTCTTCGCTGAGACCCACCACAGCTAGTGGTGGTATGCTGACAGACAGAGAAGAACAGATTATGAACAAACATTGTCAAACCTCTGTGAAAGCTTCAGATTTTGGTATGGCAAAATAGGAGATTGATTTGGTACACAAACAATGATGAGGTAACTACTGTCTGCAATACGACACACAAACAAAGTAAAATCTCCTCTTACCAGAAAGAATGCTTACCAAAATACGGCACATGCTACATTGCTGTAGTCAGCTTTAGTAGGCTTTCCAGCGAAAACAGTGTTCTGCAAGCATCATAAACAATCCCACTTAACAAATGGATTACGTAACTCGACATTCCCAAACACAAAAGCTGAAATATTTGGTGGAATTATAAGTGCAAGTTAAGAGGCACGTACCGCGAAGCAGGTAGCTTCCATTAGCGCAACAGGTGTAAGGTTGATTCGGTTTGTAGCATCTCCCACAGCCCATATGCTAGGTATATTAGTGCGTGAGTACTCATCAACCTGAGGATAATGCAATTTATTAGTAGCTACAAGACAAAAAGTTTTCCCCAGAAAGTCAGAGGATTGAGGATAAATTATAACATTTGCAACAATAGGAAATTTGTTACAACCTTCACTGCTCCAGCTTGATCAAGTTCAACACCAACAGCTTCTAAGTTTAATCTCTTGGTATTCGGATTTCTGCCTGTAGGAGATATTAAAAAAAAAAGATAGATCCTTAGACAGCTCAATGACAATATGTAACATCAAGTACACCGCTCATAAATAAAGAAAACATGAGAGAATTACTCTAATATAACCAAATTTGAGAATATCATAAATTAAAAGATAGAAAAGTTACCAGTAGCAAACAGTACAACATCCGCCACGAATTCTTCCCCATGAGACGATGTTACTTTTATCCCATCTTCTGTTTTTGTCAACTAAATTGAAAGATATTGTATGTTCAGTAAATGGTGAGCTCATGAAAAGAACAGTGTATAGCAATGAGACATGAAAAGTAACAATCATACTCAGTTACCTGAGTCAAACTTGTTTGCGGATGTAGATTGACACCTCTTCCTTCAAGATTTCTAGCAACTAGTGCCCTCATTTCGTCATCAAAACCCCTGAACAAGTAGAATTATTAGAAAGAAAAGAATTCAGAAATATAAAAGATAGCACAAAAAAACATAAGTTGAAGTTGCACCTTAGTGGAAGTTCCTTCCTGAAGAACAAATCTACTGTACCACCCATTCCACGCCAAATTGATGCAAACTCCACAGCGATGTACCTGATTAAAAAGTAAATAGAAACGGGGATCGAATCATTGATACGACTGACATGCTAGATACATCAGGAGGAAAACATTGAGAAACACATTACCCTCCTCCAAGCACTACAGCACGCTTAGGAAACTCTTCCAAGCTTAAAGCTTCATCAGATGTAATAGCCAGCTCCTGTTAATGAAAATTTATGTACAAACATCAGTGGACTTTTCCATACATATCAGTTCATAGTTGTTCCCACAGACTAATTTTACTCGAAGATCATATTGCAAACATACAGATGTTTTACTTCGAGGATTTTAGAGATATCAAGTGTATACAGTCGTTGCCATTGTAAGTTCTAACATGAACACAGAAAACTTACATGTCCAGGAATATTGGGCTTTTGTGCTCGGCTGCCAGTGGCAATCAATATGTGCTTCGCGGTATAGCTTATTTTCGTGCCATCGATTTGTCTCACCTCCACTTCGTTGGGACCAACTATTCTTCCTTCACCTTCGTACAATTTCACAGCAGCATTGGCCAATAACCGCTTGTAAATATTAGTCAGCCTTAGTATCTCATCAGTCTGCAAAATAGGGAATTTAAGATGATCAGCTGATTATTTCAGTTCGATTTAGTTACATCACCAAGACTTCCAATTAATGTAAGTATATAGTAGGCACACTATAAAAAAATGAGCAGGTCAAAATCATTTTTCATCATTAAGAATTCATACTTGACCAAACAATAACATCGGTATCTTCAATAGGTTGCTAAAAAGTATTAAAGCTTGTACATCCCAGAGTTTTAGTAGTTTCTCTTCGTGAGGGATCCAACAAGGTATACTGCTATTACCACTAAAAAAGGTAAACCTCAAACTGACTCGTCTTCAAATAGTTTTTATCATATGCTCTCCACAACTCCAGTATTTAAAGAGAAAATGACATTGCTAATCTTTTTTGCGATTAGCTAACTTCATTGGCATGACTTAGAGAAACTAGTTCAAGTGTACTATTAAATCAAACCAGTGTAATACTCAATTGATGAAACAATAGAATAAATAAGGCATCATAGGCAATCCTGCATACCTTCTTTTGCAAAAGCTTCTTCCATGTGAAGTCGACATTCTCATTTATTTCCCACCCATAATTTCTAGCATCCTGCCAGCAGATAACCACAAAACACATCATCAAACACATGTCTAAGGAAATAGCTTCTTTTCACCAAACAATACAAAGCCTAAAAGATAATGTTGACATATCAATATAACTGCTTTTACAGCTAAAGAAGATTGACATTGAACTGATGGTTAAAAGGAAAAAAGAAATGCTTTCTTACCTCAAGTTCACCACCATAAGTTGCCCCATAGACGAGAATCTTCTTAGGGACACAACCACGAATAACACAGCTGGAAAACCCAAACACAAGAATAAAGGTAAAGACTCTCGATTTATAACAACAACAGCAGCAAAATAACGAAAGCAACTATGATCAAGCATTAACAAGAAGCCAGAGCAACGCATATAGGATAATAGACAACTTACGTTCCACCAACTCCTCCAATCTCCTCTGAGCTAATGGGGTGAAATGGAAGCTCACAAATACCAACCTATCACAATTGATTCAGAACAACACTCATATTAATATTAGCACAAGGAGCAGATTTCAAA